AGAAGAAGTCACAATGACTGGATTATTCGAGAAATCAACTAATGAAGCAGGTAATTGGGTTAGTGCTACATTCGCAGAAGTAATTGAAACCACAACATTTACTGAGAGAATAGTTACTGAAATTGATGGTGTTTTACAAACTAAAGATGCTGAAGTAATTGGATACAACTACAATGGATTTGGAATGTACTACTTAACATCAATATTGGCAGATCCAACTGAAGACAGACATACAGTAACAGAAGCAGAATTTACAGGAATCGTGAGAGTAACTTCAGATGAAGCAAATTGGTGGTATACTACAACAGATATATTATCATCATACACTAGCACTTTTACTATTAATGACGATTTTGAACAAGCTACTCATATAGTATATGCATTCAATGAAGACGGAGAATGGATCACATCTACTTCAACGCATACCCCAGAATCCCAAACTAGATTAACTACATACACTACTAATGTTGATGATGAAGAAGTCACAATCACAGGATTATTCGAGAAATCAACTAATGAAGCAGGTAATTGGGTTAGTGCTACATTTGCAGAAGTAATTGAAACTACAACATTCACTGAAAGAATAGTAACAGAAATTAATGGTGTTTCACAAACCAAAGATGCCGAAGTTATAGGATACAATTATAATGGATTTGGAATGTACTACTTAACATCAATATTAGCAGACCCAACAGAAGCTAGATTCACGGTGACTGAAGCTGATTATACAGGAATAGTTAGAGTAACATCAGATGAAGAAAATTGGTGGTATACTACAACAGATATATTATCATCTTACACAAGTACTTATACTATCAATGATGATTTTGAACAAGCTACCCACATTGTATATGCATCAGTCAATGAAGACGGAGAATGGATCACATCTACTTCAGCGCATACCCCAGAATCCCAAACTAGATTAACTACATACACTACTAATGTTGATGATGAAGAAGTCACAATCACTGGATTATTCGAGAAATCAACTAATGAAGCAGGTAATTGGGTTAGTGCTACATTTGCAGAAGTAATTGAAACTACAACATTCACTGAAAGAATAGTAACAGAAATTAATGGTGTTTCACAAACCAAAGATGCCGAAGTTATAGGATACAATTATAATGGATTTGGAATGTACTACTTAACATCAATATTAGCAGACCCAACAGAAGCTAGATTCACGGTGACTGAAGCTGATTTTACAGGTATAGTCAGAGTTACGTCAGATGAAGAAAATTGGTGGTATACTACAACAGATATATTATCATCGTACACTAGCACTTTTACCATCAATGATGATTTTGAACAAGCTACTCATATTGTATATGCATCAGTCAACGAAGACGGAGAATGGATTACATCTACTTCAACACATACTCCAGAATCACAAACTAGATTAACTACCTATACCACTAGTGTTGATGATGAAGAAGTTACAATCACCGGATTATTTGAGAAATCAACTAATGAAGCAGGTAACTGGGTTAGTGCTACATTTGCAGAAGTAATTGAAACCACTACAGTCACTGAAAGAATAGTCACTGAAATTGATGGTGCTTTACAAACCAAAGATGCCGAAGTTATAGGGTACAATTATAATGGATTTGGAATGTACTACTTAACATCAATATTGGCGGATCCAACAGAAGCTACATTTACAGTGACTGAAGCTGATTATACAGGAATAGTTAGAGTTACATCAGATGAAGCAAATTGGTGGTATACTACAACAGATGTTTTAACCTTTGAGACAACATCTGCTGAGATAATTGAAACTACAGAAACGACGAACGAGCTTTATGTTGTTACCGGCGTGGAGGAATCATATAATATTATTGAAACTACATCAGAGATATCAATAGCCGAAACAGACTTTATTGAATCTACGTCAGAGATATCAATAGCTGAAACAGAGTTTATTGAAACAACGTCAGAGGTGTTAATAGCCGAAACAGAGTTTATTGAAACAACGTCCGAGATATCAATAGCTGAAACAGATTTTAGTGAAACAACGTTAGAGGTATTAATAGCTGAAACAAATATTCTTGAAACTATGTCAGAGATGTTAATAGCTGAAACAAGTATTATTGAAACTACGTCAGAGATATTAATAGCTGAAACAGATATTATTGAAACTACGTCAGAGATGTTAATAGCTGAAACAAGTATTATTGAAACTACGTCAGAGATATTAATAGCCGAAACAGATATTATTGAAACTACATCAGAGATATCAATAGCCGAAACAGATTTTATTGAATCTACGTCAGAGATATCAATAGCTGAAACAGAGTTTATTGAAACAACGTCAGAGGTGTTAATAGCCGAAACAGAGTTTATTGAAACAACGTCCGAGATATCAATAGCTGAAACAGATTTTAGTGAAACAACGTCAGAGGTATTAATAGCTGAAACAAATATTATTGAAACTACGTCAGAGATATCAATAGCTGAAACAAGTATTATTGAAACTACGTCAGAGATATTAATAGCTGAACCAGATATTCTTGAAACTACGTCAGAGATGTTAATAGCTGAAACAAATATTATTGAAACTACGTCAGAGATATCAATAGCTGAAACAGATTTTATTGAAACTACGTCAGAGATGTTAATAGCTGAAACAAGTATTATTGAAACTACGTCAGAGATATTAATAGCCGAAACAGATATTATTGAAACTACATCAGAGATATCAATAGCCGAAACAGATTTTATTGAAACTACGTCAGAGATATTAGCTGAAACAGATATTATTGAAACTACATCTACAACAACAGGTGGTATAGCTTCCTTTACATCAGTTGAATCGACTATTATTGAAACAACCGAATCTTCCACCTACAATGATACAAAAATGGATGTGTCAACGGAAGGAGGTAGAAACTTAGACATCTTCAGTGAAGAAACTACCACTATAGAACAATCATCAACCATTCTCACTTCGCAAGAACAAATCACAACTATTGCTGAAACATCAACTATGCTGACTTCTGAGGATCAAGTTTCAATCAACGAGTCCACTAGTGTTGTCGAAATTGTTCCGACTGAGGAACTTTTTGTTGTATATGCAATAATGGAAGAAGAATTAGAAACTTTCACAACTAATGGTACTCATATTAAATTAATGGACGGAGATCCAGTAATATTTGAAATTGATGATGATATTTTACAAATCGCAAACTTTGGATATATTCATGTTTCCACATCAGGTGCATTAGAAATTGCTGATATCGAAAATGCTACTAGAGGTTGGGCATATGAAAATGGAACATTAACTTTAGATTTCAGTTTATTGAATTTATTCAAGCGTGCAGATGAAGTTGAATTTTTTGCTTGTCCAGATGAATCAGGTTATTACATTCAAATAAATACAATGAATAGTCAAGCATGTGTCGCCCTTGATATAGTTATTGAACCAGTTGATGTTGTTGAGCCAACGATTTCTGATGTTATTGAAATGACTGAGCCGACAAGTACTGAAATAATTGATATTATAACAGCTACATTGGATTCACAAGAATCAATTGAAACATCAAACTTTGTACCTGAGGAAACCATTTTAGAAGAATCAATATCAGTGGCAGTTGAAACTCCAAATAGAACTGAAGTTCCGACTGAAGAAACCATTTTAGAAGAATCAATATCAGTGGCAGTTGAAACTTCAAATAGAACTGAAGTTCCGACTGAAGAGACTACTTTTGAAACAGCCACTGACAATATAGCATCGATTGGAGAAATAAGTTTGATCAATGAAGAGACCTTATCTACATCAGAATCTATTATTCAAGAAACAACACTAGTTGAAACGGTACCAACTCCAGAAAGCTCATTAATGGCAATGTCAAGAGACTTTATACTTGAATCAGAAACTAATACAAGTGATGAAATACTTGAAACAGAATCGACTGAGAAAATTGTGATAAATGGAGAAGAAACTACAATAATTCCATATTTATCAACTATGATTTATTGGAATGCCACAACTACAGATGACACTGTCACTACAATTGCAATAGAAGACTCAGCTGGATTATGTACTACAACATCGGAGAATGACTCAATCATTCCTAGTACTACGATCATAGATGAAGGTTTAGATACATTTATTTCCACGACAACAAGAAGTTCAACTGACTTTTCAATTTCAATTGATACTTCGACAGCTAAAGCTTCAGATTTGGAAACTTCAATGATCGTTCTATCACAACCACTGAACAAATTTGACTCAAATCACCTTGATCAATCTACAAACATCTTTACTGACACTTCGGTAAATACTTTTGTACAACCAAATTCAGCTACTGTTAAATCAGGTCAAGATAATACTAAATCATCAACAATCACAACACAAGACAAATCATTAACTAGTAAAACCATTAAAGTTATAACAATTACATCATGTAATTCATCATGTCAAAACTCATTAATTTCAGATAATATAGATTTTGAATGTCAAGATGAAAAATGTAAGTATACTGAAACTTTATCCAATACTATTGAAGAAATTGTTTCTACTTCCTTAGTCAATGAAATTCAAGAATCCCAATCAATTATTTCAGAAGAAGGAAATCATACAGTATATGCTGGTGGATCAAATGGCTTTAATACAATAATTCCATCCACTTTAATTTCCATTTTATTAATTTTATTCATTTAAGATAATTTAATTCTTTGATTTATTAGAGATAAATCATTTAATTTACGTTGTTTTTTTCAATTATTTTTCATTTAATTACAAATATTTTAATAAATTTTTCGGTTTATATTTTAATTTATGTTTTATCAAGTACTTTTTATTTTATACTTAATTATAATTTAATTCAATTTAATTTAAGTTTTAATGTTTTTCACTTATGTATATGTAGTATTAATGTTTTGTTGAGTATGTTTATATTTAATAAATAGTTCCCTTAATTAAATCTGAAACATGAAATTTGTGTTCCGGATAAATAGTTTAATTTTAAGTTTCCATAACAATTTTGTCTAATTTATAGTACTGTTTATAAATTATTATTGTTATTAATAAAATTATTCAAAGAATTTATTAACAATATTAATAGATTACTTATTTTGTATAATGAATACACATAAATATAGAGAAAACTAAGTATCACATATTTCAAATTAATATTAATTAGATTAAATGTAAAGCAAACTATTCATTACAAGAATTATTGTAGCAAATTTCACAAAATCTTTGAATTGAAAGATTAACATATTAAAACAAATACAGTTTATTGAAGCGTAAATTATGTGGGAGCTGAATTATAAAGGAAGAAATAATATAAAAACCTTTAAATAAAAATATAGTCAAATTAAATAACCAGCAATTTTAATTCTATAAAATAATATGAGGAGAAGTTTCATAATTAATTAATAGTACAAAAAATTTGGTAGCATTTATTTTAAGTAAATATTATAATATAGGAGTAATTATTATTAATAAGGATAAAATATAAACACACACATTAAATTATAAACAATACTGCAATATAAAATAAATTGTAATAAATTACACTACCATATTAAAATTATTAAAGTAAAGTAAGAAAAAGAATAGGTAGAATATAAATTCTCACTTATTTTTCTCACCATACAAATATTTTTTGTTACTACTTTTTTTATATAATATATTTTTACAACCATAGTATAAACCAATTTTAGTATGTATAATATAATACAATTAATAGTACAGTACTATAATAAAAATATATATATATACAATTAATAAAGTGAGACAAAAAAATTAATTTTTTTTACAACCAATTCATTTGCAACATATCAATTGAAATCAATCAAAACAATTAATATTGATACCAAAAATTGAGAATGAAAATTACAATTGAGGGAATATAATTGAAATCTTATAATAACAAAGTTAATGAATCAATTGAGTATTAATCAATCAATGATACACGCTTAAAAATGAATTTTCATCAAAAGTAGTTTATTCAATTGTGAATTTACACACAATTTAATATGATCAATTGGAGTTATTCATTAAAAGATTTTAACAATTAATCCAACAATTTTTGTTATTCTTACAATTTTTTTAACTAGTTGACGAAATTTTGACAACCAAAATTTTTTTAGGGGAGAGAGAAATTTCAAAAAAAAAGTGGGAAATAATTTTTGAATTTTTACAATTTTTTATTTTTAATTTCAATTTTTTTTAAATTTTGTTATACATAATTTTACATAATACAAATTTTGATCAATATAACACTACTTTTCAAGTTTTATAAAATAAACTATTCAAAGTATAAACAAATACACAAAACACGATATTCTCAAGTATTATTACTATTAATACTACTAACAATAATAATAATAATTAATAATAATAAATTTGTTTTGGTTTTCTAATTGTTGTGATTTCATAATTTTGAATTAATTATTGAATTGATATTGAATTCTAATTATTAATTATTATTTATACAATTTAGGTTTTCACTTTATCAATATATTTTTTTATATTACTTTTTTTTTTGTTAATAAATTTTTGGTTTTAAAGTTTTAACATCAATTTTATACTAACTAAAGTTTTTAATAAAGATTTTATAATATGTCAGCCCCAGGTGAAAAAAGAAAAGCTTCAAGAAAAAAGAAAGATCCAGATGCTCCAAAAAGATCATTATCTGCTTATATGTTTTTTGCAAATGAAAATAGAGATATTGTAAGAGCTGAAAATCCAGGTATTTCATTTGGTCAAGTTGGTAAAGCTCTTGGTGATAAATGGAAAGCTTTAACTGCTGAAGAAAAAGTTCCTTATGAAAATAAAGCTGAAGCTGATAAAAAAAGATATGAAAAAGAAAAAGCAGAATATGCAAAAAAAAACTCAGTTTAGAATCAATAAATACACAAAACCAAAAATCATCAACAACAACTTCTAAAATTAAACAACAACCACAACCACCACCACCATCAACACAACCGCAACAAATTCAACAACAACCAATTTCATCATCTTCTTCAATTCCTCCTCAACAACTTTTCCAACAATTCCAACAACCTCAACAATCTTTTCCTCCACCTCAACAATATCCTTACCAATTTCAAAATCAATTACCACCTCAACAACAATTTCAACAATTTTACCCAAATCAACAATTTAATCAAACTAATTTAAATCCAAATCAAACTCAAACTCAAAATCAAAATCAACAACAACAACCTCCATCATCTTCATCAAATCAACAAAATTCAAATGAATTTTATGATAATTCCCATTTTTATCCTAATTGGACATAAATCGAATTATAATACATTGTTGTAAATGTCGTGGTTTTTTTATGTTATTATTTTTATATATAAATTTTTATTAGTTTTTGAAGTATATAAATACTTCTCAATATTTACAAGTTTTTATAGTTTTTATATTTTTAAAGATTAAGAATAAATATTTTCATTTTATCGAGAAACTACTATATTTAAGAGAATTGAATCTCTACCTAATTCTTTCAATCAAAACCATTCATTATCATATTTCAGAATGTATTTAAGACGAGTGAACGAATTGTATTAGAAAGTTCTCGTTTCGACATAATTTAAATTTATGTATTTTGTAATAAGTGTAATGCGACTTAGGATTGCAGAAAAGTCTAAAATCTACGTCGAACTTGTCACTAACTTAAGACAAATAAATTACCGTGTGACAGTGTCTTACAATTTTTTTTATTAATCTGTTCTCTTTATAGTTTATTTTCAGATTATATGTGTCTTACAATTTTATTAATCTGTTCTCTTTATAGTTTATATAGCAAATAAATACATTTAATTGTCTACCACTATGCAACTGTTAGTAGCAAAAGTAAACCAAAAGTCTTACTTATTAAACAGATATTTATTTGAATATCCAAATCTATCTTATTTGGAAAACAGAAAAGTATTTATTAGAGTAATTTGGAAAAAAGTTCTACACTAAATGGTATTATCAACAAATATACAATCATACAATATACATTAAAGATTTTATGTATACAATCATACAATATACATTAAAGATTTTATGATAATTCTACATTCCAACAACATTGGATGTAATTGAAAATTTAATTTTGAATTAACTATTCAATTTGTTTTCATTAGAGTTTGTTCTTGAATCTCATCATCACCATCCCATTTTTATTAATATTAGAGAGAATGATTTTTTTCAATTAGTTTTCAGATTATGTGTGTCTTCAATTTTTTTTATAGTTTTGTATTTTTATAGTTTTATATAGTTTAATACAACGAGATGAAACTTTATACTCTTAAAAGAAAACGCTGAAGCATTATCAAACTTTTTTGATATTGCCTGTAAACATTTCCTATTCTAAAGTTTCACCTTCATTGAATGATCCATCAGAATTAAACGTGTACTAAGTGTTCCCAACCGCCAGCAAGTCAAGCACAAGAGCGACCCAAATTAACCTAATTAATTTACGTGGTGCAGGCCACAACCTTTCATCTGTTTAACCTCTAATTTCTCATTAAAAACCATCAATCTAATTAATTAAGATTTTTGGTACAGGGATGGCCTTTGACAAGCTCCACCTGTTGTTAATCCTAAGCATACTCCTAGAATTAAAATATCTTCTAATTTAGATTGTTATTATTATTTTTAAAACCCAAGTTGGTGGAAAAGAAGTATTTATTCAAACCAATTAAAACGAAAAGTAAATCATAGTTGGTAAAGCAGATTTGACAGTTGATGACCTTTTTTAGTTTGATTTTTTGTTCAATTAATTCAAAGCAAAGAAAGTATAGTATTTAAATTGTTTGTAAATTTAATTTATTACATCTATTTGTATTCTATTTTACAACTTCATAACAAAATGGTGGTCCTTAGAGTTTTACTTGCTTCACCTTTACTGCTCATTTAGATGACATAACTCTTGTCCAAAATCAAAATCTATTAAGGATTCATAGTAATGGGACCATAAGCTATAGAGCATGCATCAAAATTAATCATATTTTTACAATTATCAAAAGAACGACATATGATTTTGCTATGAATCTATTTTGATTATACTTATTGTTAATTATTGCAGGTCCGAGGACACTGACTGGACCCCATTTTAACACAGCCGACAGCAGGTGGACAAAGACTATTCAAAAACTATTGATGGCTTGTCGTCATTACGCAATGAAAGCCGAAGTGAGGATAATGTATGCACTAAAACCCTATTCCGCTAGTCAAAGTCCCTTCGGAAGATAAATATTGGCAAAATTAAGTTAAATTAGAGTTTCGCTTCACTTAATTGAGTGAATGGGCTAGCTTAAGTAATTATTTCATTTTATTTTTCTACATTGACCTAAGAAAGAAACAAGAGGTTGTTATTTTATAAATTCAGCTGAATTGCTTTAATGGTATTTACTTTAAAGAGCATAAGATGCCTTTAAATATATCACGCAATTCGATCTTTGAAGGTTTTAGTCAGGAAATGATGATTGCAATTGCTTTGCTTTATTTTGACTTTCGATCGTTCTTTAATCAACTTTTTCTCAATCTATTTTGTCTACCTTTTCATGAAACACATGTTCTGTTCCATAATAATTTTTTTTTCTGGGAAGTAGTTGGTAGATCACCAAATTTATTGCAACATATTTTTAAATTTAGCAACCTCTTTTTTTAAAATCAATTTTCAATCAGTTCCCAAATGTCTCAATTACCACCACCATATTATAACGATGATAAGAACTCATTTGCATTTCCAACAGTTCATAAAAGATGGCCAACTATTTTAAATGGAGCAATTGATGATGTTCAATTAACAATTGATGAAGATTCAAATTTAAAAGAATCCGGATCTAAGATCATAAATCAATTCAAACAATTATTAGATGATTTAAAAAATGATACAAAAGTTCGTGAATTCAATGAAATAGAAATCAAAGCCAACCCTGACTTAAAACATTTCAACAAGAGTTTAGAAAAATTCAATCAACAAAAAGAAGTAACTTGGCAAACTGGTCCTTGGTTATACTTGGAATGTTATTTATATCAATACATAAATAATTTTTTCATATTAAGTGGTGAATCATATTGGCATTCATTTGATATTTTTCAAAGATTAAAAACTAAAACTTTCAAACAATCAGAATTAGGAGTATTAGAATTATGTAAAAGATATGAATCATTAAGTAAACAATTAAATAAAACAGATGAAGAAACTTTACATTTGTTATTTATTGAATTTATTGATATTTCATTATGGGGAAATGCAACTGATTTATCATTATTAGCAGGTGATGTAAGTTTAGAAGATATTAAATCAGTTCAAGGAGCAGAAGTTCGTAAAAAAAATGAAGAAAAAATTATTGTTAATGATTTAAAACAAGCATGGAATGAAACTAATTTAAAACAAGGCAGTAATTCAAGAATTGATATTATATTAGATAATTCAGGGTTTGAGTTATTTGCAGATTTAATTTTAAGTTTATATTTATTGGACTCAAATTTAACTAACGAAATCCATTTACATTGTAAAGAAATCCCATGGTTTGTTAGTGATACAATGATAAAAGATTTTCATGATTTGATTGATCAAATGAAAGATAAGAATTTTTATCCAGAAATATATAAAACCGATCCAAAAGCTATTGAGTTAGTTTATTCAAAAATTGAAAATTATTATAATGACAAAAAAATCATAGTGGAATCTCATCCATTTTGGACTTTAGATTACAATTACTGGTTAATTCCAGGATTCAGTGACTTATATGACAATTTAAAAAAATCGAAATTAATAATATTTAAAGGTGATTTAAATTATAGAAAATTAACTGGTGATTTACAATGGCCAAAAACAACTACTTTCAAAGAATCAATTCAAGATTTAGCTACTAGTGGATTACCAATATTATCTTTACGTACTTGTAAAGCTGATGTTGTTGTTGGATTACCTGAAGGATTAGAAGAAAAATTACAAAAACAAGCTGATAATTGGGCTACGAGTGGGAAATATGCTGTTATATCTTATAACAAGTAAATCAAACAAATACCAAAAAACATGCAAAAAATATGCTTAATAGAAATCTTAGATAGAAATCAATTAATAGACTTATAATTTTTATGATAAATCATACTGTACTGTCAACCTCTAATTGTATTTATTACTAACCATTTTTTACATACAAACAAACAAACACATAAACATAAAACATTGACCTACAATCTAGTCAAACCATTGCTAATCAAGTCTCACCAGCTTTTCTTGAATTACAAGCAACAATTTTAAATTTATCAACATTAATTTCCATTTCATTATCATTACCATTTGTAGAACTTAAATCACTTAATTTAATTAATACATTTTTTATAATAAAAGTCCAAACATCATCACAAAATCTATAAGTATCTAAATCACCTTTAAAAGTTAATTTTGATTTTGCTATATTATTTTCATTTCTTAAATTTTCTGATATTATTCTATCAAAATTACTTAATATTCTATTTGCTAATTGTGGTTGAATTTTTTCATCTGATATTAATGTATCTAATGCATCTGCTAATGTTACTCCTATTGTTGATCTTCTATATAATTCATAGTACGCTGGTGCACTCATTTATGTAATTTAGTAATGATTAGTTGATTAATATGATTAATGACAATGATAAGTAGATAAATTTATTTGTGATACAATATTATTTTGTAAATATTATTTTATTTTTTATTCTAAAAAATTCTAAATTTTGACTGCAAATTTCAACTTCATCATCTTAAAATAATTACCAGCATGGAACAATTAACAGTATCGGAAAGATTTAAATTAGCTTCTGGTCAATATGAAGAGATTTTAAACTCACCTGATAGACAGGACTCAATTGAATATCAGACTTCACTTACAAATTTAATAAAAGAATTTGAACTAATATTAAAAATCATAAATTCATTATCATTATTTAGTGATAATGAAGAATTAAAAGAATTATCAACCTCATATATTCCCTATTTGAACATTTGGTTTTATTTATCACAACTATACTCAAGAGTGCTTAAAAAAAACAATAATATATCAATTGACAATAAACCTGAATTTCTACAGGTAAGTAAATCATATTTAATTGAATTTTTAACTAATTTAAAGAATTATCAATTATTAGACAAAGATGAAGAACAAAAATTAAAATTAATAGATGAAGGAGAAAACATACAGATATCACCACAATTGAAGAGACAAGAAAAAATAGACAATTACAAGAAAGAACAACAATTAAAAGAAAAGATTAAATTGTTTCAAGAAATGAAAGATGACTCAAAGTCAAATGCCGACGATGAAACTGAGAGAAGCATATATATAAATCAATTAAAGTTCAATTTACTCAAGTCATTCGAGTTTATAGATTTATTGAACATGGAGATTCAAGTACTAAAAAATAAGCCACAACCAAAATTACAAGAAATCAACGAAGATGAATTAAATGACGATAGAATTAAATCGAAAGACCCCACTGGATTTACTACAAGAGTTGAAAAACTCCCCAAAAATCAAATCTCAGATTTAATTTCAAAACAAGGTAAAATTCTCCAACCATTTACAATAACAACAAAAGAAAAATTAAAAAATAGAGTATTTGGAACTGGTCAAGTTTTACCATCAATGACAGTTGAAGAATATTTAGATTATGAATTAGCAAATGGAAAATTAATGAAAGAAGAAGTTAAAGATCCTATAAAAGATGATGAAAATTATGAAAGTGAAGAAGATGATGAAGCTCAATTGGAAAAAAGAAGATGGGATGATTGGAAAGATGAACATCCAAAAGGTGCTGGTAATATGAAAGCTAATATTGGATAAATGAGAGAAATTAAGGATTTAGATTAATTTATACATTCATTATACAATCTAGCATCTAGTCTATTGTTTTTAACCAGTCGAAATATTCCTTTTGTAAATTATTAATTGAAAGAATTTCTCTCGAATCATTTTTTTGCACCAAAATCCAACGATCTTCTACTTCAAAAGTTTTCAAAACATTCAAAATAATAATATAAAGTTCTAAAATTTTTAATTTAATTTTATTATCTTGTTCAAAAATTTGATTTTTGAATTCCATCTTATACCTCCATATAAATTGATATAATGCTTCACATGATCCTCTTTTATCACCACTTAATTCATTTGTAGTTGTAGAACAACCAAAATTTCTCCATGAAAATAAAATCTCATAGATTTTCAAAGATTGATTTAATGATGTATCATTAGCTATTTGATTTATTATAGTGTCAATCAACTTGAAATGTTCACGATATAGCTTTGTATTTGAATTAGTGGAAGGGAATATTAAGTTACATTTATGTTGTTGAATTAATTTTGTTACAAATTCTTTGAATAATTGCTTTATGTTGGAGGAATTTGACAAATTTACTAATGCATCTTGTACCAAATTGTAATCCGATATATTCAATGCATTGTGAAAGACATTTAAATAATATTCTTCTTTTAAATCGTCAACATCTGTACTTTTTATTGCCAAGTCTTCAAATTTTAACGAGTTTTCAATTAATTTATTATTCAGTTCAATTGAGTTCTTATTGGATATTTGAGTTAATAGTAATTTGGATAATTCATGATAATAACCAGATTTGGTTGGTTCATCAGATAATACAGTTAGTAATGGTCTTAAATTTTCATTTTTTTTCAAGTCAAAGATAGATCTGATATTTAAATTGTCAAATTTTTCAAAGTTGACAAATGTTTCAAAAAATATTTCTGGTTCATTGTTGATTAGTGATATTATACCGATCAAGAATAATTCCTCAGCACTTGATCTGGATAATTTGTTTAAAAAGTATCTTTGTAAGTATTGACCTTGTTTATTATTGATCAATTGCATTACTGAGTTGATGATGAATTCATCTTTTGATAAAATGTCATTGAAAAAATAATCATATGCATCATTTATTTGTGAATGTTTGATCAAATTATCTAAGTTGGCATCTTTGTCAACAATAGCTGACCAGAATAAGGAGTTGTTGATTTTGCTTATCCCTCTATCCCCGGAAGATGCTGCTGTAATACTAGTATCCATAATAATATCCAAGGTATTGTAACGTTGTAGTGTTGTCACAACACTATTTAATAATCTCAAAATCTCATCATTAGATTCACAAATTAAAAATAGTATGACCAAGTCTAACAATATAGCAGTATGTTGCTGAATTATATTTCTGAAAGTGACAAAAGTTGAGTCTTGAAAAAAATCACCTAATTTACGAACATTGTCAAGTTCATTGATTAATTGAAAGTCTGAACTTGAAACTAATGAGTGAACAATTTCCAAAACATCGGATATTTTACTTAAATCATTCAAGATTGAGTTGATTTCTTCATCAGTTAATTTATTACCTAATATGCTAGTAAAAACTTCGTTAACTTTTTCTGAGTCAAAACCATTTTGAATTGACAAAATCTCGCTATATAATTTGTGGTATGATTTTGAAGATAATGCTGATTTGAATTTATTGAATATTTGAATTAATTCACCATCTGGACTTGACAAAGCTTTATGCATAAAAGATTCAAAATAATGAGACGGTCTAAACATTCCAAATCCATTTGCATTGAGGGTAATATATCCATTATTGGATGATGTTATTGCTAATGCTTCATTACTCAACTTCCTAAATTCTTCACATAAAGAATATAGTTTAAACCATAAATATTTAGGATCTGAATCTGAATTGGAACTGATTAAAGTTGTAGCTGATTCTCTTAAATTTGTATTTATATGACCAAATTCCCTGTTTAAATGCAGAACTAAAATACTTAATGAAGTTGAAACTATGAGTTCATTGTAGAATCCCGAATCAAATATCTTACGTATATAATAATCACTTTCGTGATATGCTGATAATTCATTATTTTCAACTTGTGAGTTAGGCGAGGAAGCTTTTATTTCTATTATCGAGCCATTATCGAAGTTTATTCTATATGAAACCAATATCGACGACGTATTGGATTTCCACAAAATGTTATAAAGTACTTCTTTTCCAATATATTCAACCTCATAATCTTGAATAAACCATATGTTATTTTGGAATGTTGAGTCATGATAATATACGTCTGAGGATGACAATAATGTATTAGGTAACTCTGGTTGTAAATCAAATTGCTCTTGTTCTGTCAAAGACGTGTTGTCTAGTTTAAAAGTCTTAAATGCAAATCTACTCTTCTTCGAATCTCCACTATTTGTTGTTATGAACATTGTAATAAAGAACTCTCCGTTTGCATTAATCAATTTAAGATATTTTGTGGGTATTGTTGTTAACCAAGTCTCTCCTGCTTTTTTGTTAAATAAAGAAGTTGTTGATAAATATTGACGACTTTGTAGATTCCATAATTTTAATTCTTTACTTGCAGTTAATGTGACTAGTAACTCATTTATTTGTAATACATCAACAATGGAATTTGAAGATATTCCATTCAATTCTTTCTTCTTATCACTACCAAAAAAACCACTAAAGAATGAAATAGGTTCGTTAAATGTATGAATTTTGACATCTGATAATGGTTCATTTCTTTGAAAATGAAGTAATCCCCCATCTTTCAAAGACACTATTGTATTTAATTCATCCAATGACTTTATTATATATGGACTTGATCTCAACTCAAAAGAGTAAGGAACTGAAATATGACCCCATTTTTCAAAATCTGATAAATTTAAAGTTCTTCCTTGAATGAATGATTCAATTGAAATTTGTAAAGTTATGAATAAGTACTTCGAGTCGATTATATTCAAATCTATGTTTTCACCTTTTCGAATGATGCTTAAAGAAGTAGTAGATGCAATAGTATTTGGTAACTGAATTTTTATATTTTGGAATCTAATGCCTAAATTATTTCTTTTGTACTCAATGGGTGTCAAATCTATGGTTTTTAAATCATTTAAAATTGAGCACAGTATGATGGATATTAATGAATTTGATTCTAAATTTATAAAACTCCCGGAGACAGCTGTTTGTTGATGAAACTGATCATTTGGATTTGTTATTGTTGTTGATGATGAAGTAGGTGGATATTTTAACGGTAAAGTTACCTCTAATTCAGGTAATCCAGACTTATACCCTAGTATATTAGAAGTTGAGTATACTACTTCCATCCTAGAATGATACTATAATCCCTTGAACCTGTGTGTATATGACTTGTTTTCTAATACTGTTTTGAAAATTTACAAAGAGAAAAAAATAAGTTTTATAAATTTGGTTGTAAAACTTTCTATTACAATTACATCAGCTAAACAAGAACATCACAATTTAAATCAAATGTCATCAGTAATATATTATAAGTTCCTACATCAAAAGAATAAAAGTGTAATACATTTTGATGGTACAGCTATAAGTGTATTTGATTTGAAGAAAGAAATCATCACTCAAAATCAATTAGGTACTGGTTCAGATTTTAATTTAAAATTATATCATTCAGAACAACCTGATGTAGAATATGAAATGGATAATGATATTATACCCAGATCAAGTTACGTTTTAGTCAAAAGATCACCTGCAAATCCAAAAATGGGTAAATTTAATAATGCATCAAGATATGTTACTGGTAAACCAAGACTAAATAGAAAAGTTTTAAATACAACCAACGCCAACGCACCATCTACCACATCAGCACCAACTATTCAATTAGGTGAAAATGCATCAGAAGAAGACAAAATAAAACTTATGTTTGAAAATCAATCTAATGCATGGGCTCAAACTCAAGATGAATTAGCACAACATAAAATGGTGTATTATAAACCAACCACCACCACAGCCAATACACAAAATGAAGTACCACCACCAGGTTATATATGTTATAGATGTGGTAAAAAGGATCATTGGATAAAAAATTGTCCGACAAACAATGACCCAAATTTTGAAGGTAAAAAAATCATGCGAACAACTGGTATACCAAAATCATATTTAAAGACTATTTCAAGAGAAGATGTCGAGAAAAATGCTAAATCTTTTACGACTAACGATAACGGTGATGTTATAGATAATGAAGGTAATGCAATATTAATAACAGATGAAGGTGAATATGCTGTTGCAATGGCAGATTCTAAAACATGGACAAATTATCAAACAAAATTACAAAATGCAGCAATGAAATCAAAACAAGAATATGACTCAAGATTAGTATCGTTAATACAAAAATATAACAAGCCTGAATTTTTGGACGTACTATCAACTACAAATGAAAAAGTTTTGCAACCACCTATATATATGACACCATGTTGTAAAGATAAATCAAGTTTAAAAAAATTAAAAAATTTCAATCACAATCAAACAGAATTAGAAAATGCTTTAATTGATAATGATTTCCATTGTCCAAATTGTGATAAAAGTGATATTTATATTGATACATTAATAAGAAATGAAGATTTAGAAAAGGAATTAAAAGAATTTATAGAATCAAAAGAGTCGGAAATTGGAATGCAAGATCCAAGTAAAAGATCATTAGAAGATGTTGATTTAGATGAAGGTGAACCAAGTATTAAAAAACAAAAACAAGATCCTAATACTCAACAACCACCACCACCACCTCAACAACAATTTTCTCAATTTCCAATGGGAATGATGCCACCACCACCATTTGGAATGCCAATACCACCAATTAATTTTCAAGCACCAAAATAACTTGACATATATAGACTACTTGTATATGTAGCATATATTTAATGAATTAATGATAATCATTTAATCTTTAACAAAACTTTGTAGAATACAACTGTTTTATATACACTACCCCCATAATGATACATCTCTCTCTAAATTTTACAATATAAAAATTTTTCAATACATAAAAAAAATAAATACAACTTCATGATACTTTCTTTTCTTTTACAACTTTAAAAGAATTTTATAATAATGATTGTATCTATTTATAATTCATAAATCGATATGATTTGTCATTCTTTAATGTATGCATTATTTTAGACCAAGAATTGAATTCAAAGCATTGAAATATATTAAGAAATATAACTAAATATTAAATAAGTTTTTAAGGATGATCAAAAATAATTAAAATTCAAACTAGAGTATGTGACTATAATGGAATGATCACAACGTTATTCAAGTTTACTGATTGAAAAATTTATTTAATATACTATATATTTTGTTTCGAACATTTTTCATATTTTCAACACAATTCAATTTACAACAATTTGAGTTTCAAATTACTAACTTTATCAAGAAATGTATGTTCATTCTGATTTTTTGTCAATTGTTTGATTGTTGATTTGAATTTTTCAAGGAGAATTGGGCTTATTTAATTTTTATGATGATTTAACAAAAACAAAGCTGGAATTACTGGCTGAATTTCTGTGATTGATAAGTTTTTGCATTATACGCCACTGATTATTTATATAAATAACCCATTTTCCTTTTAAACGCCAAACTAAAACCAATGTTTCATTTTGGAGAATCATTTAACTAACTTTTGTTATTAGTGTATGTTTAAAATTCGTTTATCTATTTTTTTTTTACAATATGAGGAACTATTGCACTGGGCACTGACATATTTTATGAGTGACAACGCATTTTATGGTGGGCCTCAGAAACCCATCGTTACTGATTATTTTTGATATATTGTTGATATAATTTGAAACATTATACTAACTTGATTAAGTTATTTATTTTTGAGAAAAGAGATCTTTCAATTATTCAGAACAGAGTATGTATTTTCAAATCTTTACTGTTTTATGTGATGATTACCTAGATGACGAGTCAGAACTCGGGTTTCCCGTTGATGACAACCTATTTTTAATACCATTCATGCAATTCTGATTTAATGGCAATAATTATGAGAAATTATTTGACTAACAACATTAAATTCATAGATATGTGATGTATCTTAGTCAGTGCCGCTTTTGACAACATAATCATAACATTCTGGAAAATCATTCAATAGTCATTGCAAATTGACGATCCTAGATAAAAGTATATATATGATAAAAAGACTAAAAGGATGATTCAATCAAAAAGACAAATAGACAAGCATATGTCTGAATTTAAGTTGAAGATAGTCTTTCAGCGTCTGATTTTTCTTTTTTAGTATATTACTTTATTACTGGCTTCAAAATACTCAAATGATAATGTATTGAAGATTTTATTAGAAAGTTATGACATGCTGTCTATCAAAAGAGAGAGATAAAGAATTTGAAATTGAAGTGTTTATGATGATTTCACCACATTTTTCACGACGGTCTACTGTTTGTTTAAGGACTGTTAATCCTTAAATGTTGATGATAAATTTTGGCCTTGACCGGCCGTGGTCCCTGATTACACTTTTATTTTTTTTTTCTTTAGAATAGTACATAGTGAAATAGTAAATATCTTTGTAATGGATAATATTCTGCTATTGCTAATAGACAAACTGTAGTAATGATATCAAACGAACTTTAAAGAGAAATTCGCAAATGCTCTGAGTGTTCTACCATTTATCAATGGCATTTTCATACGGCAAATTATAGGAAATTGTGCAAAAAAGAATTAATCTCGTGGTAAAGCAAACAAATTTAAAATAAAAAACCTTCTGCAGAATTTTTCTTAAGATTTATTTCATCTTTTCCTCTTCAAAACTTTAACCTTAATTAAAAGTATGTTTCATCTTTAAACTTTATTTAAACTCATCTGAAATTTATTATTGAAAAAATATAGTGATGATTTATTATTCTTACATATCATGAGATTTTACAATGAAATATAAAATTAAAACGATTTGCATGTCAGTCTGATTTTTGATAATAAATTTTAAAAAAATGAATCTGTACAATTAGGATGATTTACTAACTTTTATTGATTAGTTTAACGACTTTAATTATCATCCTTTAATATTTGATTGAAAGTTTCAGATCTTGATAAAGATTGTGTCAAATTATGCAATCTTATGTAGGAGATCTATCAAGGATATTATTATACTAATTTACAACCAAAAAATTATAATACAGTAAATTAAATTTTTTTGTTAAACCTATTTAAAACCCAATTATATAAAATTAAAGAAAAACTATTGATCACAATTTTTAACATGAAATTAATGAGCAGTTTTTTCAACATTTGGTAATTCTTTCAAGGATTGTTTTATAGAATCGACACCTTTTAATAAATCTTCTTCACTTATAACTAAAGGAGGAGCTAATCTAATAATATTATCATGAGTTGGTTTTGCTAATACTCCATGATTTTTCATCAATAAACATAAATCCCATGCAGTTCTACCATTTGTTTTCGATTCATCTATAACTATAGCTGATAATAAACCTTTACCTCTAACTTCACTTATCATTCCATTACTTTGAGATTTTAATTCTTCTAATTTTGATCTTAATAATTCACCTAATTTTTCTGATCTTTCAACTAAATTTTCATCTTTTATAACTTGTAATGCTGCAATTGCAACTCTACAAGCTAATGGATTACCTCCATAAGTTGAACCATGAGATCCTGGTTCTAATGTTAACATAATTTCTTTTGATGATAATACTGCACTAACTGGTAATACACCACCAGATATAGCTTTACCTAATAAAATAATATCAGGTTTAACATTTGGTGAATGTTCATAACATAACATTTTACCAGTTCTTGCAATACCAGTTTGAATTTCATCACAAATTAATAAAACATTATATTTTTTACATAATTCTGAAACTTTTGGTAAATAATCTGCTGGTGGTACAACAATACCTGCTTCACCTTGAATTGGTTCTAATAAAATTGCAGCAATTTTATCACCAGCATTTTTAAAAGCTTTTTCAATATCTTCAATTTCTCCATATCTTATTAATGAACCTTTTGGTTCTCCAGGAATTTGTGGTCCAACATTTTGTAAATATGGTCCAAAATTTGTTGTTGCATCTTCATCTGTTGACATTGAAATAACTCCTAAAGTTCTACCATGAAAATTATTAACTGCTGATAATATAATAGCTTCATTTTGAGGAATTCCCTTTTTGACATAACCCCATCTTCTTGCTAATTTTAATCCAGTTTCAACAGCTTCTGCACCAGTATTCATTGGTAATACCATTTCATAATTGAAAAAATCAGTTATATATTTTGCATAAACTCCAAAAATATCAGATGAAAATGCTCTTGAACATAATGTTAAATTTTGAGCTTGATCTACTAATGCTTCAATAATTTTTGGATGACAATGACCTTGATTTACTGCTGAATATGCAGATAAAAAATCTAAATATTCTTTACCTTCTGGATCCCAAACATGTGCACCTTTTGCTTTTGTAAATACAACAGGTAATGGATGATAATTATGAGCTGAATATTTTTCTTCTAATTCACGTGCTTGTGTTGATGAAACTTTAAAATCTGGTCCAGACATTTTTTACTTATTGTTGTGAAAAATTTAAGAAATTGAATAAATATGTATAAAACTTAAAGTAGTTGAATTAATTAAATTGAAAAATTAATATAAAAAATTTTGAATGATATATTTGTTGTTTATTTATACAATTCAATTAATTGAAAATAAAATCAAGAAAATTAATGATAAAATTTTTTAATTAAACGCTATAGGCAATTGAAGCAATATATAAATATGTTGATATGATAAAACTGTAATATTAATATTAATACACTAAGAATGATTTATTAAGTTACAAGATCAAATGTTTCAGTTAATGGAAGTTAACAACTGAAAATTTTATCGCTACCAAACATTATATAATGCTACCAAACAAAATGGAAATTAATTAAACTTAATTAGGAAGGATATAAATAGTAGTGTAATATGATCAAAAATACATTTTTATTTATTGAAAGGGAGGTTCTTTAAACAGAATATCAAATTTGATTAACAAGATATTATATTAAATCAATCATATCAACCATCCAATCATTTAAACAAAACCAGCAAAGAAGAATCAATAAATTCCACACAGTGCCGATTCACTATCTTTAATTTTGAATAGAGATTCACCTAACCTTTCTTTTTTTTTTTAACCACATAATATTACTTCATCCCTTATTAATATTATAATAATTCATTAGCCAGACTTTTTAGTTTGAACATTACATAACAACTTTATAATAAATATCATTCAATAAAAAAGAAATTAATTAACTAAATAAAAACGATGGAAAGAGAATTTAAGAGACCTTATTTATCAACAAATTCATCAATGGAATCATCATATTCAAGATCATCATCATATATAGATGAAGAAACAAGAGCTAAAATTATTGAGAATTCAATGAATGCAAGAAAATCAGTTAGTGAAGGTTATAATAAAGGACAAAGGTTGAATTTTTCTGGAAACTATCAAAGAGTTCCATTACCTTCAAATTTAAATAATAAACCTCCAATGTTAAGTAATTCTGAAAGTACAAGAACTTTATCAAATTTAGAAGAATGGGATAGTTATTTTCAAATTAATAATGCTCCAATTCAAACGTTAGAAAGTTTTAACGAAGAATCATTTTTCAATAATAATAATAATCAACAACAAAACCCATTGAAAAGAAAATTCCAAGAGAATGGTAATAATAGTGGTATTAATTTGAATATGAATAATAACAATAATAATTTCATTGAACCTGAAATTGCTCAATATCAAGCTAAATATGGAGCTTTAAGTTTTAATGAAGAATTTTAAACGGGTCCCATTCAAGGAACATTTTGCTTTCGATAGTTTTATTTTACTTATTTGTTATTTGTTTGTATAATAATTTTCAATTCTTCTTATAATTTGTTTAATATATAATAATTTGCTATGTTTTTATATGACTCAACCATTTTCATTAAGTATGAGAGGGTGATGGCAGTTCTTTGATCCCTCGAAGTAAATCCATTAAAGATTTGATATCTTTGATGGAGATTGTTTCAAAACCACAAAACCGATTATACTAGTGTTCCTGGATTAATAAAAGAGTTCAATAATTTGACAAGGTATTAATTCAGTACATTTGACCTAACCGCCCTAATGAATTCAGCGAAAAAAGTTTAGTACGAACAATAATAATTTTGACGCTAGGATACGACCGAGCTGTAGTAAATTCAAAACGGAACTTTAGACGAAGTAGCGGATAGAATTTTGTGTATAATTATAAATATTTAGCATGTGAGAGAGATAAGAATATCTTAGTATTAAGAATTAGTAGTACTGCATATAATAAAATCTGATTGATTTCGGTAAATTAAAATATTAAAATTATTTTTTTAAAGTGGGGGAAGGAAAAAAATTAAGATCAAATTTATAATTAGTAATTTATTTATTTGAAGTACATTATTTATCAAAGTTTTGTTTCATTTTGCCATTCTATTTAAAGAATTTATTTTATTTACAAAACATATTCAACATAATTAGTTGGAATCAAATAATCAACTTTGTTTCATAAACTTATTTACACTTTCAACAAATATAAATAATAGTCATATATCATGTCATTTGTAGGAGGAGGATCAGAATGCGCTGTCAATGGTAATGTTGTATCACAATTAAATAAACATACTCAACAAGATAGATCATTACAGCAACAAGTATCACAACATGGTAATCCCATTTTAAACAATCAAGGGTTTAAAAAGGATAATTTGATTAATATAAGAGATAGACAAAATTTAGATCAATTTATGAATAATGGAAGCTCTCAACAAAATTCATTTCAATTTCAACAAATGAAACATGAATTAAATCATATGAATCAATTACCTCAACATCAACAACCTTCAAACTGGTCACAAGATTTTAAACAACAATCTCATTCACCTATTCCACAACAACAAAATATATCAACACCAATGACCAAAAATGGACAATGGGCTAATGAATTTAAACAACCAATACTTCAACAACCTCAAACTTTACAACAACATCAAGATCAACAACTAAATGCAAACCAACAACAATATAATTCATATAGACCAATGATGAACTATAGGCCAATGATGGGTATGAGTATGTCTTCGAATTTCCAACAACAACAACCACAACAAATATCACAACAACATCAAAAAGAAGAAACAGATCAACAAGTAGACTGGGATGACCAATTTAAAAAAATTGAAGAATTGTCAGATGATGTTAAAGAAGAAGCAAAATTAGCTGATGATCAAGATGATATTGTAATTGATGATAAATATCAAGCAACTTTTCAAGAAGTTTGGGATAGTCTTAATTCAGAAGCTTTGGAGAATGATTTTATAGAACAACAATATGAAGAATTTAAACATACACAAAAAGAAACATTTCCACCAGATATGAATCAATGGGAAAAAGATTTTGCAAAATATGCTTCAACAAGGGCTCATTTTGGTGATTATCAATTTGAAGATTCCAAGACAAATCAATTTTTGGATTTACCACAAGATCAAGATCCGTATGAAATTGGTTTACAATTAATGGAAAATGGTGCAAAATTATCTGAAGCAGCTTTGGCATTTGAAGCAGCAATACAAAAAAATGAAAATCATGTTGATGCTTGGTTAAAATTAGGTGAAGTACAAACTCAGAATGAAAAAGAAATTGCTGGTATATCGGCCTTGGAAAAATGTTTAGAATTAAACCCAGAAAATTCAGAAGCTTTAATGAATTTAGCTATATCATATATAAATGAAGGTTATGATAATGCAGCTTTTGCAACTTTAGAAAGATGGATATCAACAAAATATCCACAAGTTGCAGATAAAGCCAGACAAGAAAATCCAGAGATTACAGATGAAGATAGATTTTCATTAAATAGAAGAGTTACAGAATTATTCTTAAAAGCTGCTCAAATATCACCAGATCATGCAAGTATGGATGCTGATGTACAAATGGGATTGGGAGTATTATTTTATGCAAATGAAGATTTTGATAAAACTATTGATTGTTTCAAAGCTGCATTAAGTATAAAACCAGATGATGCAATATTATGGAATAGATTAGGTGCGTCATTAGCAAATTCAAATAGATCAGAAGAAGCAGTAGAAGCATATTTCAAAGCATTGCAATTAAAACCAACTTTTGTAAGAGCAAGATATAACTTGGGGGTTTCATGTATAAATATTGGATGTTATAAAGAAGCTGCAGAACATTTATTATCTGGTTTATCAATGCATCAAGTTGAAGGAGTTGATTCAAATTCAACTTTAAATCATAATCAATCTACTTCATTAACTGAAACTTTGAAAAGAGCATTTATTGCAATGGAAAGAAGAGATTTAGTGGAATTAGTTAAACCAAATATGGATTTAAATCAATTTAGAAGTGAATTTAATTTTTAAGAAAATTTTGCAAAAGTTGATTAAATACATGACTGTTTATGTGTATATAGTCAATGAATTTTAATGATGACGTTTATATTCAAGCTCAAGTTGTAGTTTTACTATTTTTAATCTATATTTGGAACTAGTCATCTTCTTGATCTACATGATATGGTAGGTGTAGATGCTACCAAATTTTTATGAGTGACTCAAATAATTTTATCTGAAAAATTTAAAGATAAAACAACTTTTAAATTGACACATTTTATACAACCAAATATTAATTAAATAATGAGTTTCCCAGTACTACCATTATTAACTTCAATTGAAGATCCACAATTCAATAATTTAAGTATAACAGGTAACAATTTATTACCATATGAATCAATAAAATTAAGTAAGCATTGGATACAACAATTTCCAATTGATTTACAAGTATTTGTTAAAATAAATAAAGAAGTTTCAATTGATGAAATTACTGATATTTTAAATTCTGGAATAAATAAGATTTTTATCAGTGATTCCAACCAGTATCAACAAATTTTAGATGCTGGATTGCCTGAATATAGGTTTGCTTCAACAACTGAAAAAAGTAAATCAGCTTTGATTGTAAATGAAAAGTTAAAAGATATAAAACAATACAACAATGGAGAAAATAGAGATATTTACTTTGATTTGACAAATACAGAAGATTTATCGCAAGAAGATGTTAACAAATTAGCTCAATCAGGATATATTCCAATAATATCATCTTCAAGTTTGACCACCAAGAAAGAAGAACCTTCCAAAATTTCAATATCATCAATATTCGTAAGCACATTAACAACAGATAGACAAGATGGATTATATACAACATTAATAACCTCACCAGCTCCAGAATTTACAGCATTGGGAATAGTTTATTCATCAAAAGATTCAATAATTGCAGCAATAGATGAAAAAGTTGGTGTATATCAATCAAGAAAAAGAACTCATGAATTGTGGTATAAAGGTAAAACAAGTGGTGCTACACAAAAATTATTACAAGTTTCAAAAGATTGTGATTCTGATGTTGTTAAATTTATTGTTGAAAATAGGAAAGGATATGGGTTTTGTCATAAATCTTCAAAATATACTTGTTTCGGTGATGAACTAGCCGTGGACGGTTCTGGTTCTGGATTATCTAAATTAGATCAAACTTTAACTGATAGATTTGAAAATGCACCTGAAGGTTCCTACACCAAAAGATTATTTAATGATGAAAAATTATTAGTTGCAAAATTAAAGGAAGAATTGGATGAATTAATTGATGCAAAGGGTGACAAAAATGAAATTGCTTGGGAAGCTGCTGATCTTTTGTATTTTGTTATGTGTTGGTGTATTAAAAATGGGGTAAAATTAACAGATATTGAAAAAAATCTAGATGTTAAATCTTTGAAAGTTACAAGAAGAAAAGGTGATGCTAAACCAAAATATGTTGAACCAAAAGTTGATAAAAAACTAGAGACTAAAACCGAACCTGTAAAAGAAGTTACAAATGATTACAAAATGGAAACAGTAGTAATTAATGATGATTTAAATTCATCAAGTGTCTTGAAAGCAATGTCAAGACCAGTACAAAAAACGTCAGATATAATGAAATTAGTATTACCAATAATTGAAAATGTCAAATCCAATGGTGATAAAGCATTAATTGAATTAACATCAAAATTCGATGGTGTAAAACTTGATACACCAATTTTAAAATCACCATTCCCAAAAGAACTTATGAATATATCACAAGAAATGAAAGATGCTATAGATTTATCAATGTCAAATATTGAAAAATTCCACACTGCTCAATTACCAAAAGAAAAAGTTATGACTGTGGAAACATGTCCTGGAGTTTATTGTTCAAGATTTGCAAAAGCTATTGAAAATGTAGGATTATATGTTCCAGGAGGTACTGCAGTATTACCTTCTACTGCAATGATGTTGGGAGTTCCCGCAAAAGTAGCTGGTTGTAAAAATATCATTATAGCTTCACCACCTTCAAGATCAACTGGTAAATTAACTCCAGAAGTTGTTTATGTAGCTCATAAATTAGGTGCTTCATGTATTGTAATGGCAGGTGGAGCTCAAGCAGTTACTGCAATGGCTTATGGTACAGAATCAGTTATAAAATGTGACAAAATCTTGGGTCCAGGTAATCAATTTGTTACAGCTGCTAAAATGTATGTACAAAATGATACTCAAGCTTTATGCTCGATAGATATGCCAGCAGGTCCAAGTGAAGTATTGGTTATTGCAGATGAAGAAGCAGATGCTGATTTTGTTGCCAGTGATTTATTATCACAAGCTGAACACGGTATTGATTCACAAGTTATATTAATTGGAGTTTCATTATCAGATGCAAAAGTTAAAGAATTTGAAAAAGCAGTTTATGATCAAGCTATTAAATTACCAAGAAAAGATATAGTTGCAAAATGTTTATCTCATTCATTCATTTTGTTATGTAAAACTTATGAAGATGCTTTTAAACTTTCCAACAAGTATGCACCAGAACATTTAATTTTACAAATTTCAAATGCTAAAAAATACGTTCCAGATTATATAGAAAATGCAGGTTCGGTATTCGTTGGTGCATTATCACCAGAATCGTGTGGTGATTACTCAAGTGGTACTAATCATACATTACCAACTTATGGGTATGCAAGGCAATATTCTGGTGTCAACACTGCTACTTTCCAAAAATTTATTACTTCTCAAGATGTTACTGAACAAGGTTTGAAAAGTATTGGTAAAGCTGTTATGACATTAGCTGAAGTTGAAGGATTAGAAGCTCATAGAAGAGCAGTAGAAATAAGAATGGAAAAATTAGGATTACTTTGATACCACTAAGTAAAAAATCAAACTTATTTATTTATATGTATATAGAAACTCAACCATATCAATTTATTTATACTCATGTATCGTGATTTCTGATAGAACAAAACTCCATTTTCCTTCTGAGGATGTAAATAACCTGATGAGTAAATACTTTCATTAAGATTTTTTTGAGTTAATTGACATAAATTAAAGTCCTCAATCTCAACTAATTGTAAAAAATCAACGAATTCTTTCTTTTGAGCTTCGTCGATACCCTTTTTTGTATATATGTCATATTGTAAGGTAGTTTTCTTTGCAGAATGAGGAAGCACTCTGATTGAATACCATGCAGGGGAGTAGCAATTCTAGAAAGGTTTGGTTAGTATTGTTGAAAAGATCAAACTTATTGGCTAAAAAACGTACAACTCCATTTGAAGGGTATAAATAGCACCACAATCCATCACTTGTACCAGCTGTGTTGCTTGCTTTTTGTCTTTGCTCTGGTAACGACTTTTCCTTTTTACCAAATCCAAACCAACCTGATTTTTCTTCTTATTGTAATTCCTCAGCAGGTTCTTCCTCTTTAACAACCGCAGCATAATGACGACAATATCTAGTCTTTGGAACCACCTTATAAGTCTCCATGTTGAAAGCAGCACTCAATTTCCTATGCAGAATAGGGCAGTGATAGCACTCATTGTACGAAGCTCATAGAAGAGCAGTTGAAACCAGAATGGAAAAACTAGGATTACTTTAATACCACTAAGTAAAAAATCAAACTTATTTATTTATATGTATATAGAAACTATATTATTTTCTTATATTCATGAATCGTCTTTTTTACCAATCCATTTTACTATCACCATTACCACTTGAACAATCTAAAGTTTGACAAATCTTTTCCAACTCTAAAATCTCTTTATTTTTGGGATTAGCTTGAATAGAAGCAGGGTCAATAGGTAATCCACCATTAGCTTGTTCCATTTCAAAATGTTCTTTGACCATATCGCGAACTAATTTCTGATAGAACAAAACTCCATTTTCCTTTTGAGGATGTAAATAACCTGATGAGTATATACCTTCATTAAGATTTTTTTGAGTTAATTGACATAAATCAAAGTCCTCTATTTCAACTAATTGTAAAAAATCAACGAATTCTTTCTTTTGAGCTTCATCGATACCTTTTTTTGTATATATGTCATATTGTAAGGTAGTTTTCTTTGCAGAATGAGGAAGCACTCTGATTGAATACCATGCAGGGGAGTAGCAATTCTAGAAAGGTTTGGTTAGTATTGTTGAAAAGATCAAACTTATTGGCTAAGAGACGTACAACTCCATTTGAAGGGTATAAATAGCACCACAATCCATCACTTGTACCAGCTGTGTTACTTGCTTTTTGTCTTTGCTCTGGTAACGACTTTTCCTTTTTACCAAAGCCAAACCAACCTGATTTCTCTTCATTTTGTAATTCCTCAGCAGGTTCTTCCTCTTTAACAACCGCAGCATAATGACGACAATATCTAGTCTTTGGAACCACCTTATAAGTCTCCATGTTGAAAGCAGCACTCAATTTCCTATGCAGAATAGGGCAGTGATAGCACTCATTGTACCCATCAATTAACGTCTTCCAATTGAAGTCACCATGAAGTTCATATGACATATGATATTCATAATCTTGGAAGTCTATTTCATGTAATTCTTCAGTTAAACCTGTAAAAAAATCTTCAAATGGTAGCGGGCTGTTACAAAAATTCACAAAAATTAAACCTTGAGGAGTCACGTGAATTGGGATTGGAAATAATGAATTTTCTTCTTTAACAAAGTCTTTAACTTCTTCAAAATGGGGAGCCTTACTCAACTTACCTTCTGAATTATAACTCCATCCATGGTATTGACAAGTTAAAACTGTACTTGTACCTGATGCCTTTTTAACAACTGGATAAGCTCTATGACGACAAACATTATGGAAAGCTTTTAATTCGCCAGTATTCTTTGACTTAATAATAAAAAAATTTATACCTGTAACATTAAATGAAAAATAATCACCAGGTTTTGTGAATCTTGAATTGTGAATACAATATAACCAAGATTTATGAAATATAGCTCTTTTTTCTAAATTAAAAATATTTTCTGAATGCCACCAACTTGCAGGTAATGTATGTTCCCCAGCTAATAATTGCTTTGATGAGTCATCTTTTATAGCAGGTGGAGTTATAACTTTTCCTGGTAATTTAAGTTCTGAATTTGGTTGATTTGATACTTGAACTGTAGCCATACTGTAATTAAAATTTTTGATATTTTGATTAATATATAATTATGCAACTACTGAACAGCAATGAATTTAGGTGAACCTGTCCAATATATATATCAACATGATGAATGATAAGGGGTTGGGTTCTCAACGTACATTAATTAAATTTAATCTTTTGTTATCAACAATTCAATTTAAGTATGGGAATATAATGCTGAATTAAGTAATTTGAGGCATGAGAATATGTAACACAAAATATGTCAAATAGCTTATCGGTGTTAAACAAAGTTCAGAAATTACAACATGAGATTAAGATGTAAATGAATCTCCACTTTGTTATGGTTTGTATCAACAAGGTTTGATTGTAATTAAAAACGTTTTCCGCGTTATTTCAATTTCACTGCTGCTTCTGTCCATGATTTCCTAATATTGATATTTAAGATTTATCAACTTTCAAACTAAATTTTGATCCTTAAAATTGATATCTATGTTTGTATTTTAAGTATGAAATCAGTAAACAAGAGGTTAAAATTAAAGTGCTACTTATTTATTCTTCGTTCCAAGAATTTTTATTAATTTCAAATGATATATTATTTTGTAATTTGACGTACTTTATTTGACATATTTTATTTGCAAAACTTTAGTTCTTCGATTTAATTTTTTAGTAAGAGTATTTAAGACTGATTTTCAGATACAGGTTGATTATCAGTTTTTTTCGTGGTTGCAAATTATCGTGTGATCTTGGGAAAATTAAGCCTTCAAGTTATCAAGGTACCTTATCTTTTTTATAATAGTTTTTCATCTCTTTATAGTTAAAAAATACATTTGTGTTACAATCTTAAAATTTATTCCGATTTAGCACAAATATTGCGCTTTATATTCTTTAATGTTTTTAATGTAGGATCTCGGATAAATTATTTTAAGAAATATATTTATAACATCGAATCAAATTGTTGTCAATAGTGATATAAAAAAGAGTTTTGAACAGTGAATAGATATATCCATTTTAAAATAGTCATCAACATTATTATTACAAATATAGTACACGTTTATATTATATACCTTCACAAGCTTTTAAATCTTTTAAATATCTTAATAATCTAACAATTTCTTTACCTAAATTAGTATCAATTGTTGGTGCCAAAAATGTATCTAAAGTTAGATTTATATCAGGTATAATTCTAGGAAATGCATAACAATCAGTTAATTTTTCCATTAATTCAGAATGTTGATTTGAAGTTTCTTCTGAATCTTCTAGGTTCTTAGCAATTAACGCATTATCAACTAATGAATTTACAACAATTAATGCTTTAGTCAATGCTGATGATAATATTGAATGTTCTGCTGATTCTCTTGGAAATTTACCAGTTTCTGAAGCTAATGCAACAACAATTCTTGCAAAATTTCCTAAAATTAATTCTCTATTGTGTAAGATCCAATATAAGGTTAATTTATTTAATGGAGTATTTAAATCTTCAATTGGTGCCATATCAATTATTAATTTAACTCCAAATAACATTTGAGAAACTGTTGGAGCTCTTATAAAAACAAATTTTGAAAACTCAAAACTGTTGGCATCATATGGTAATATACTCATGTATAATTGGAAAGCTCTAGTTAGCAAAATACCAGTTTTGAAATGTTTTGTATCCTCCTTACCTAAATATAAATAAACTAATTTTTTGGTATATTCTTGATCATACTGAGATATTACAAAATTGTTGGTATAACTTGTTGTTAAGCCAAGGTTTAAACTACCATTCAATACTGCTTGTAACAATGATCTATTATATGGTTCTCTTACTAATAATTTTGTAAATGCATCTAAAGCAAACGAGAAATAAGTATGAGTGTCTAAATTACATCTTGGTATTTGCCATTTATGTTTGATTCTTGGTCCAAAACTACTAATTAAAACAAATGATAAAAATGCTTCTTCCAATGACTGTAAATGAATGAAATATGATATATTGTTTAACATCAAAAGACAATCTTTTAATAAACATAATCTTTTCCTACTAAATTTAAATTTGGATCTATGAATTGCAATTTGTTTAATAATTGAAAATAATAAATCTTTGAAAATCCAGTTTGTTGCCATTGGTTCTTTATTATAATCAGTAAATGAAATGTTTCTCAAAATCATAGTAATAGTAATTAATTGATCAACCAAGAAAATTTGTTCATCATTTGCACTTTTAGTTTGTAATTTACTAAAATGATCTTTATTTTCCCATTTGAATATTTGTAAAGCAGTATAGTAATCATCAATATGAAAATGTTTGATTTCCTCAATCTGTGAAGTTGGAGTTTTGGGAGTTTCTGGTTCTTCTAAATCAAATAATTCATTAATATCATCTTCATCATCAGATACAATTTCACCAGTTAATGAATTGACAACATAGTGTATATCTTCTCCATCCTTATTATTACCATTTACATACTTACTAAAAATATCATCAATCCTACTTTGTGAGTCTAATTTTGTTACATCTTTCATTATAATATCTTCACCAGATGGCTCACCATTTATAATTTTATGCAACACTTCCTTTCCTAATTTACTCAATGTATCTAATAATTCTAAACAATCGGTTATAGCAAAAGTATAATTTATATCAGACGTAGTGACCAACAATGTATTTAATGCATTAACAACTTCTGAACTTTGTATACCATTATCACTCTTTATAGACATACATAAAGCTTGTAAATTTATAGCTCCTAATTCTGGTGCAAACAAATAAATTGGTTTTGTAACTTCGATTTCACCAGCTAATTGTGAAAGATCTTTTATCGTATGGTTTCCATGAGTTTCTATCATTCTCTTGAATGGTACATAATTCTTTAACACATTTGCTTCTTCTTTGGTGATTATATGTTTAATATTAGATACTGCTTCTTGTTTGGTTTGTGGTATAGGTTTTTGCTGTTGCTGCTGCTTAACTTTTTGCTGTTGTGATTGTGATTGTTGTCTTTGTTGTTGTTGAGCAAATTGTTGTTGCTGTTGCTGTTGTTGAAAGTTTTGAGGAGGTTGTTGTTGTTGAGCTTGACCAGAATGGAATTGACCAGGAGGAAATTGAGGATTTTGTTGTTGTTGCTGTTGTTGATTAGGTTGTCTATACTGCTGATTTTGAACATATGGAGAATTAACCATTGGTGAATTATGATTAGATGGATTACTTGCTCTTGATAGTTTTCTTTGTTGAGGAGTTGGTGCATTACTTATCATTGGACTTTGATGAGTAGGAAGTGATGTCATTGGTGTTGGTACAGTCATAGCTGGTGAAAATGATTGAGTTTGAGAAGGAGCTGATTGAGGTTGTTGTGGTTGTTGAGATTGTTGAAATATTTGTTGTGGTTGGGGTTGGGGTTGCTGCTGTTGATTTTGTTGTTGCTGATTTTGTTGTGGTTGTTGTTGATTCTGTTGGTTCTGCTGATTTTGTTGTTGTAACTGATATTTTTGTAAAATCTGTGCTTGAAATTGAGTTTTCCTTTGAGAAAGATCTCTTTGTCCAGCAGGAGTACCTTGATATTCTTCATATGGTAAAATATTAGTAGCATAACATTGACTTACTTGTTGATCAATACTTTCTTTAACCCCAGGTTCTTGTAAATTTACACCTTCATAAAGTCCCATTTTTGCACCAACTAAAGCCCAAGGATTTTGAGGTTGTTGCAGCATATCCATATTTAAGAATCTTCTTAATTGTTGAAATCCTCCCAATTTTTGGCACAACATGTAAAATACAAATAAATTGACACGTTTATTATTGATAGCAATTGGTTGTTTTATCGGAGTTCTCCTACGTTGCATGAAGTCAAATAATAAAGTATGAAATAACTCAAAGCTTAATTGGGTATTCATGGATGGTTTTTGAGGCATACGTTGTTGCTGTTGCTGTTGTTGAGGACCTTGATTTTGAGATTGTTGTTGCTGCTGTTGTTGCGGTGGCATTTGCTGATTTTGTATTGGTTGTTGCTGTGGTTGTTGTTGCTGGTTAAGTTGCTGCTGTTGAGGAGACATTTGCTGTTGTTGGATTTGATTTCTTGGTGGCATTTGTTGTTGTTCTTGTTGCTGTTGAAATTGAGGTGGGAAATTTCCAGTATTATTTGTAGCCATGTTTGCCATAGTTGGATTATTCTGAATAGGTGTTGGAATTTGAGAAGTAGGCATTGGTGATGCATGAGCTGACTGATTTTGTTGTTGTTGTTGTAATGAAGGATTTTGATTTAAATTTTGATTCTGAGAATGACCTTGAGCATTAGCTTGAGCTTGCATTTTTTGTCTATAAATTTGTTGTTTCATCCTCATTAACATTTCTTGTTTATTTGCATTCATTTGTTGTTGAGGTTGATGTGAAAGTTGTCTCATCATCATATTGTTAAAATCTATTTCTGATGGCATTTGTTGTTGTTGCTGTTGCTGTTGTTGTTGTTGAGGTTGATTTTGTTGGAATTGTTGAGGTTGCATTGCATTCTGATTCATATTTGGTTGTGACTGAGGAATAGTTAAAGGCAGTTGACTAGACCTTGATGGATGTGATTGTGGTTGTTGTCCTAGATTTTGATTTTGTTGCATTTGCATTGATTGTTGTGATTGTTGGGGTTGTGAAGGTTGAGACGGTGGTTGCAGAATTTGACCTTGATCTTGATCAAATATAGAATTCAAAAAATCATCTCCTGAATTATCCATATAATTTGAATCGCTTAACCAATTTGGATTAGACATGATTAATGATAAATGTATTATATTTTTAGTTAGTTATTTATTTATAATAAAATTGAAAATAATTTTGGTTGCAAGTTTTTGTTACTTTTTTTTTTTATTTAGTTCAGCTATACTAGCACGTGATTCGGATTTTAATTACCATGTAATAGACCAAGTCTATGCTTTAATAGTAGATATTATATTGATCTAAACTTAAATTATTTTGAATATGTACTAAATTATTTATCACTACTCAAGTATTAGAGGAATATTATACAGGATGAATCACAAATTAATTATTGCCAAAAATTATACCAACTTTTATGTAATTTTTTAGATAAAGCTTTATAATGTTCCATTTCTCCCCAACAATCTCTACCCCATTCACAACCTGCCATATTAACAACAAAGTCATGATCTTTGAAAAAATATTGTGGATCATCAGCTTGATCAGAACATGCACCTGGTGGGAACGCATTTATAGTTCTCAAAGGTAAAAATGCAGTTCTTTCTCTAATCCATGGTTGAGTAGAATATAACGTTTCTAAAGCATCTTGTTCTTTATGCTCCCATGTCATATGCATTTGTTCATACATTGCTGGGTCCCACCATATATCTAATAACATTTCTGACCAAGATGATCTTCTAATCAAGAAAGAACCTAAATTAAACCCACCACAATCTTGAGTTATTATTAAATCTATTGGTTGTTCATAATCAACATATTGTAAATCAACAGGTAGGCCCAATGGATTGAAAGTTGTTAAAGTTCGATAAGTTGCATTATCCAAGTTATTTAAAAAATGATCTTCCAAAGAAATTTGAGGTTCCATAATATATGTATGTAAATCTAACCACCAAAACCATTCAGTTTGTGGGAATTGTCTCATTGTTTGTTTTAAAATATCAACTTTTTCCCAACTTTCTCTCCATTCATGAGAATATCTTTTCTTGATTGTCATATCTTTTATTGTTAATCCATAACCATGTTGTTTTGCATAATTTTTCTTATTGGCTATAGAAGATCTTTCAACTGACCATTCTTGTGGTGATTTCCATTTTAATACTCCCCCTCCTTCATTTGCTGCCAATATTATAACTATTTTAGGTGATGAATTTTTAAAATGGGGTATGTATGGAACGTTTGTAAATAAAGATAGACATATAAAAGTTATGACTAGTATAACTATTTTTTTATATTTTGTTATCAAATAAAGAATTGAATCTTGAAATGATGAATATGATGATAAATTTGAATTATATGATGAAGTTGAAGATGAAGATGATGATAGTAATTTTTCATTGGTATTACTATTTGTATGTGATTTAAAATTTATTGAAGATTCATGATCTTCCAGATAATCATTCGTATATGGTAATGAGTAACTCCCACTCATTGCTTAAAAATGATGTGATATAAACTGACACTGACAGATTTGAGCCCTCAATTTAACACTTTCAATATACTAAATAATTAGTTAAATATGTCAAACTTAATTTATTATATTTCTTGATATAATATTTATTATTATTATTTATTTTCAATTACGAAAAAGTTTTAAAATATTTTTCTATTTTTTTACGTGTATCAATTTATTGTAAAGTATGAGAGTATCATTTTTTTCAAGTACTTTACCAACATATTATATTAAGTAATATATTTATCACCTTAAAGGTAGTAAATGCTGTTCTAAACATTGTTGTCTACATAAAGGACATTCAGGATTTTCCCTTATCCAATCAACTATACAGTCCCAACAATATAAATGACCACAATTTGCTGCAGATGGTGTTATCATTGGTGATAAACATAACATACAATTTCTTGAATTATCTTGTAAATATGGTAATTGAGTTGAATCATTAAGATCTATTAAAAATTTAGAATCAAAATTATTACTTAGTTCGTTTAATTGATTTATATTTTTAATTCTTAATTCATTATTTGTATCTTGTTTTAATTTATCTAGTTCTTTTAATGATTCTTCTTTTGTAATTAGTTCGTTATTATACTCTTTTAATTTCATGATCATTTCAACAAAAAATTGTATAATAATCAACCCACCTAATAATGAATAATTACCTCTTTTCATTTTCTCAGGTTCCTTATGATGACCAAATGCATATCTTAATCCAAAAAATCTTTTGGATAATGAATAAAATTCTCCTTTAAAATAAAATATAGCTATATGTAAATTCAATAATGTATCCAATACTGAATAATAATTTGATAAAAATTTTATAATCCAATTTGTGTATGTTGATTCCATTGTTTCATTAGTTTTACTTAGTTCTAATTCTTGTTCTTTTTTGATTCTTAAATATTTGATGAATCTATTTATTATATAGGGTATTATAGCATATGATACCAAAAATCCTAATCTTGGTAATAATTTCGGTATTTTTTTACCTGATCTTGTTACATAAATTAAATCAACATATTCCTCTCCTAAAGTCCTTGCTCCTATTAATGTTGTTAATCCAACATAAAGTGCTTTTGCTAATACTGTTATTTCTTTTGAATATGAATTTACAAATCGCTGTCCTTTTATCATTTGAAATAAATCTTGTAAATGATCTCTATATGATGATTCAAAATATACATCCTTTTGATGTGCTCTTACTAATGAAGGTGTTAGTAACTAACTGGTTATTAAAGTTCTGTAGATCTACATACCTATGGTTGCTGCATCAGCAAACGGAAGTTGTCTTTCGTTACTCATATGCCTTTATTTGTTTAAATTGATGTACTATAGTATTTAATTATGTTTTAAAAGTCTGGTTGTCTTATTTTTTTTCTACCCCACGGAATTTAAATTTTGTATGTAGATTAATTTTGAAGAGAGAGAAGTGAACTAATACAAACTCTAGTTTTCAAAAAACAGATTACAACAAAAGAAGAAACTACACTTCAATGGATGAATTATATAAAGTAAACATTTTTAACATTTTTAAATAATATGAAAATTCGTTCTATTATTGTACATGATTAAAATTGATTTGAATATATATGTATGAAAATTTTTTTACTTTATTTTGAACCATTTCATCATATTTCATCAAAATTTATTAAGTGAAATTAGATGAATGGTTTATTAAACCCATTAATACCTTTATTTGTAAGTTTTTCTTATGCAATTTGAGTAAAAGCTGATCTAAACCCATTGAATTTTAATCTAATTTTGCAAGTAATGAATCTAAAGCTTTACCTAAATCTAAATTAGGATCTTCCCAATTAATTGATCCAGTAGTTATTGAAGTTGGCTTTGTTGGAGTTGTAGTTTTTGGTTCATTTAATTTTTTATATTCATCTTTTGCTTGTTGAATTAATTTTTCTTCATGTTTCCATTTTTTAGCAGCTTCTTTTTTTGCATGAGTTGATTCTAATGAATACCTATGATAAGCTCCATATATTATACCTGCTCCTAAAGCAGACCATCTAAATACATTGAATGTTGTTGACATTGTATATTTTGTTTATTTTTTATTATGTTGTATTATGGTGGTTATTTTAATTAGATTTGCAACACTTTTTTTTTCACTTTGAAAAACTTTTTAGTGAAATTTAATTTATTGATTGGTTGGACACAATTACTACTTGATCACGTGATTTACTGTTTTATTAAATTTGAGTTGAAGTATATATGTTAAAAGTTAGTTATAAGTTGGTATTATGAGAAAATAATGAGCTTTACAATGATTCCGATTGATTATTTTAAGTACCTGACGTTAGAGAGATATGTGTTGGATCAGAATCTATCCAACTCAATTAATTAAAATTTAAATTAATTTGGTTGCCAAAAATTTGAGATTTTAAATAGTTCAATCCAGTAATGTGCGCTTTTAGATTTAACCTTTAAATTTGAAAAATTGTTTTTCCATTATTTAATTGAATTATTCTATTAAAATGGATTTAGATCAAAAACTGGGTTCGTAATAGTTTGTTGATAATAATTGTTGCAAGAGAAAGTTTAGTCACGTGCAATGGATATTAATAACCGACAGTAAGTACTTTAACAATTAATAGTAAAATCTAAAAAACCTTAAATGAAATATAATAATAAATATTTTGCAAATAAAATTTATAAGAATCAAATCAAATTCAAAATATTTTAGTAGGTTTTATTCAATTTTTAAGCCGGTTTTAAAAGCGTTTAGATCAACTTTTGGAAGAGAAATTGGATATCAAGCTTGAAAAACAAATATTAAGTGTACTAGAAAAAATCATAGACATTTTAGTGGATGATAAATTCTATAAAAACATTAAAATTTTGTTTATTTATAGTTTTAATATCAATGTTACTATCTTTTATTTCCAAAAGGTCAATAATACCTACTTTTACTCAAAATTTTATAAAAACTTCATTAAATCAATCAGCAAGATCATTTACATCAACTAATTCAAATTCAAATTCATATACAAGCTCAACAGGATCATCATCATCATCATGGAATTCAAATAATAATAAATCATATTCAACTTCAACTTCACAACCAACTTCATCACAACCCCCAGCATCTACATCAGCATCATTAAATTATGATTCAGCATTAACTACTTTTACAAATTATAATGTTGCTGTTGCATATCAACCAAAAAATAGAAAACCAAGTACAAATTTATTCAAGAAACAAAATAATAATACTGCTGCATTGGATTCACCAACTGGGGAAGATAATTTATTTGTAACGAAACAAATTCAAGATGGTTCTATAGCAATTGGAGTAGCTGATGGTGTTGGGGGTTGGTCAGAAGCAGGATATGATTCTTCTGCAATATCAAGAGAATTATGTTCACACATGAAATTGAATTTTGAAAAAGACACTAGTAAAAATATAACGGCAAAATCTATATTAGATGAATCTTTTAAACAAATTTTACAATCAGATAAAGTGGAAATTGGAGGGACAACTGCATGTTTAGGAATATTAACATCAGACCTCAAATTAAAAGTTGCAAATTTAGGAGATTCTTGGTGTGGATTATTTAGAGATTATAAATTAATAAAAGAAACAAATTTCCAAACTCATAATTTCAATACACCATATCAATTAGCTAAAATCCCAAAACATATATTAAAAAAAGCAGAAATGGAAGGTAGAAGATATATAATAGATTCTCCCAATTTAGCAGATGAATATGAATGGGATTTAAAACCAAATGATTTAATCATGTTTGCAACTGATGGAGTAACAGATAATGTTATACCTCAAGATATAGAAATTTTTTTAAAAGATGAATTAAGTGAAGGTGATACAGAACTTGATATTATAGCAAAAAAATTTGTTAATGAAGTTGTTAAAGTAAGTAAAGATAGTAATTATCCTAGTGCTTTTGCTCAAGAATTAAGTAGATTAACTGGTCAAAAATATTTAGGTGGTAAAGAAGATGATGTTACAATTGTATTAGTAAAAGTTTTATAATGAATATATTAGTATGTATAGATAGAATAGTTTTTTTTGCATTCAATATATAAATAAGCAACTTGTAAATTGTGAGAGCGATGATGTAGAATCAAGAATCTTTAAATTCAGTCTTTCACTACAATTGAGTAAATGTAGTTGTATGTGTTTAAGTTTTGTTATATATTTCATTGATAATCTTATCGTTTAGGAATTAACAAAAAAAAATTAAATAAATATAAATTTACACGAAATGTTTCAGAATAAATTTAGATATTGTTTTAGTACTTACTTAATTTAACAGTAAATTTAGATTACAACATAAATAATATTTATATTCAATTAAAATCATGATAATATAATACTCAACAAAGAATCAAAAATGACTGAATTCAGATGTCCCATATGTAATGAACAAATGATAAATCTATCACAATTAAATCAACATATTGATGATATTCACAATCAAAATCAAAATGCAACTACAAATTCAAATTCACATGATAATTCAAATGCAAATACAACAAAAATAAATGATACTAGCAATAACAATAATATAGGGGCCAAGTCATCAACAGTATCCACTACCAAGAGCCGAACGACGCCTACTAAAAAAATCAATAAAATAGCATTTACAGAACAAGGTTTTAGTATAGGAGATATAAATAGTAGAGATTCAAGTCCAGAACCTAATTCAACATTATCATCGACCAACTCAAATTCATCAAACTTAAATAACAATAACAGCAATGAAATCACTAGAAAACATTGGAAACATGCCCAACTGCAATCACAATTAAAATGTAAAATATGTTCAATAAAATTAAATGTTAAAAATGGTATAGTTAATTGTAGGAAATGTGGGGATTTATATTGTAATGAGCATACACATTATCAAATCAAATTAAGAAATCCCAATCCTGATGATCCAAAAGAAAAAGGACCACAAGATGATTCTTCATCAAATGGGAAATGGAGTAGATGTTGTGAACTATGTTATAGAGAGAGAATGAAGACAGAAGTTAACATGATTGACTTAACTAAAGAATTTAAACTGAAGAGACAAGTACAAATTGACTCAAATCAATTATACAGAACCAAAATTCAGAGAAACTTCATCAAATTAATCAACTTAATGGTGGACAAGAAACTTTCAAAACAACAAACAAAACAAAATTCATCAATCTCACAAACAACTTCAAATTTCTTATCAATGTTCAATATAGATAACGACGAGAAAGAATTAGTAGGAAATAATTGGAGAAATGATTCAACAATAACTAACTGCACGATATGTTTCACAAAATTTAATTTCATTATTAGAAAACATCATTGTAGATTATGTGGCAATATTGTATGTGATGATAGTTATGGAGTTCGTAAACACTGTTCAATTTATGTTCCTGTATTAGCATTTATGGAAAAATTGCCTAATTTAAATTATTCACAAAAAGTTAAAGAACTGTGGTCAGAGATTGATGATGAATTGAGATTTAGATGTTGTGTTAATTGTAAGAATGCTATTTTGTTTGATTGGAAGAAAACTCATGGAGCTCACACCGCCAACAGTGAAGAAGTTGGAGAAGATTTATCAGTTTTTACAATGTATGAAGGCTTGTTTTTACAAAAGCAACAAATTATGAAATTAATGCACAAATATGAAAACGGAACTATAAAAGTAGATAAATTAAAAGATATAAACAACAGGCAACAAGAAGATAATTTAAAAACGGGTCACAAATTAATGCTACACCTAAAGGAATTTGAGAATTCATTATTACAATTCAAAAATAAATTTTTTTACAAGAAAGATAATAGAATAATAGTACGTGATGAGTTCCAACTCAGGTATAACAAGATATTAATGAATATTTATCAAAGTGTTGCAACTTTTTTACAAGAGAATATAATCAAGTACAGAGAAATTAATGATTTACAAAATGCTTTAATACAACAAACCTTAGAATCATCATCAAACAAAGATTCTCAAGATATTTCAAAGGATTCAAGTCCTGTGCCAAGATTAACCAAGAAACAAATTAGAGAATTGAGAGAACAATTGATGGTACTTAATGAACAAAAATTTTTAGTTGAAAAAACAATTGATGAATTTACGAAAAATAGGAAATTTGATGAGCTAAATTCACTTATTGATAATAAGAATGAAATTGTTGATACTATCAAAAATCTAGAAATGGAATTAGGAGAATTTGGATTTTGAAAATTATACGTTAAAAAATTTATTGTATGTATTATATAGTCTATAGTCTCTATGTTCAAGAAAATTTATAATTGTCTATATTATGTTTTTCTATTTAAATCAGTAGATACAGAATCTACATCTCTATTAATATCATGTTCGTCACTTACACTAGTAGTTTCCCCTAATTCTTCAGCTTCTTCTCTATGTAATTCATTTTCTTCTCTAATTTCTTCTTTATCTTCTTCACGAGTATTTCTATGACTTAATTGATTTTCTTCATCACTTGTATTTAATGTTCCATTTTTCTCTTCTACTTCTTCCTTTTTATCATCATAATGTACCCATTTCTTCATAAATTTAGTCAATACTTGTGCTGTCATAACTTGTTCTGCTTGATATAATACCAAAGGAACTAATAAAATCCCTAATTTTGGATTATGTGAACCATATTGTGAACTCACCAAAGATACACCCAATGCAGCAGTTTTAGCAGGTCCACATAACATGATAGCAACAGCATCTCTTTTATTATAATAAAAAGGATTAAAAAACCAGTAAGACCATTTATATAACCAACTTGAATTTTCATTGGGGAATTCCCAAAGCCAACGTCGTACAAAATAAGGTCTTGCATAAATATAAGTTATAACTGTGAAAAATAAATATATACCAAAATTGAAAAAACAAATGAATATAATTGATTTATGACTAACTGAAGTGAATGCATGTTGAGCAAAAGCAGTAGAAAAAGATTGAAACATAATTAATAAAAGCATAAAAGATCCAACTTTATTTAATTTAAAAGTGGTAAGTGTCCATTTAACTTGTTTTGGGAAAATATTTTGTAAAACTTGTCCAACAAATAATGGTATAAATACAGATAATCCCAATTGTTTCATTGTTTCTCTATATAAATCTCCAATTGAACTATCTCCAGTTGGTTGATAACTAGGGTTACCAAAATCCCAAACTCCTGTCATATACATTTGCAAAAGAGCAGGTGTAATGAATGCTCCTAAAACATTTCCAATAAAAACTTCACATAATGTTAAAATATCATTACCATCTGCCTGCTTAGTCATAACAACATTTGAACTAACTGTAGTTGGACAAGCATGAGTAACAATCAATCCAACTAATAACCAATTATCTATTTCTTTATTATTTGCTTTTTTTATACCAGTTGCAATTCCATATATAATTGAACTAGTAATTAAAAAACTTAATGATAAAACAGTAAAATGAGCTCTCCAATTTAATGAATTAACTAGTAATTGTTTTGAAGACATTGATAATCCACTAATTAAAAAAATTACTGCAACAGCTCCATATCCAATAGAATATTCTGCTTTTACTGTCCCACCTTGTTTTGCAAATTCAGGATAAGAATGAGCTAATGCAATAAATGCTGCTAAAAATATGAAAAACCATTGTGCTATTAAAAAATCTAGTATTTTTTTGAACCATATGTATCCTTTAGATTGTATTATATTCTGATATGTGGGGGATGAAGTTAGTCTATCAAACATTTTATAATACGAATGTATGAAAATTTATGTATGAATCTATATTTCTAATTTTTTATTGTAATCTAATTATCTTTAACCGTTCTTTGAACTATATCATTAGAAATTTTATATAAATTTAACTTAATGTGGTATATATCGAATTTAAAAACTTTTTATAATGGATAAATGGTTTTTATTATATAATAAATTGTTTAAAAGACTGATATTATATTGTATTTGGATAATGTAATTTTTGTGTGATTATAATTTTTTTTTTCAGACAAATTTATTTTAGCTCGGTTAGATGTCTTAATTGATCTTTAACAATATTTTTCTACCAATAGCTTCCGAATATGAAATGAAAATAGTCTCTTATTAAGCAATATGGTGAATGATCACAATTGAAACTAATTAAGTTTCAACCAAAGTAGGCTTTCATTGAGAATAGTGATAAAGTATCAATTTTTCAGTGACCCACAATTCATATTAATCGGATCGAGTAATACTTTTGTTTATATACAGGTTTGATACAAACTGGGAATAAAGTTTGAATGTTACAGAAATAAATTTTGAAACATTTAACAAATTTACTTTTATGAAATAATTAGAATATGAAGATCGCTGTCCAAAAAGTTTATAAAGTTTTTGTTTTTTTCTCATGAAGTATGAATATTAAATAATTTAGCGTCACTGTTATAACCATATATACTTTAGATAAGAAAATGATTGTTGCTCTCCCTTACTAAAATTACGAATATTTATCAAGCGGCTGAATCAAATGTTTATAGAGATAAGCTTTATACTGGGAAAACTTTAATTGAATTAAGTCTCGTCTAAATGATATAGATTATACGTACTTGACTGATACTATACAATTCAAGTCCGTTTTTTGGTAACAGCTTGTATTGTATGATTTAAAAATCTGATCTGTTAGGACTAAAGAAATTTAATTGTAGCTTAAGGAGGAACACAGCAAAATTGACAATAGCTGCATGTTTTACTTTTATAAGGTACCAACTAAATGCAAAATCCTCGAAAAAACTATTTGAGACTTCTATTGTTCGAAAAACTAAGTTTGACCTTATAAGGACTTAGGTTTTATAGCTGCTATCTCAAAAATTTGAATGAATTATTATGAATGTAGCAATATTAAAATTTGAGAAAAAAACAAAAACCTGCCAGAATATGTCAACTAAAAATTTTTTAAAACGTTTATTGTTCTAATTTATCAAAATGAATATAACCAAATTCATGATATATTAATAGATGCAAATCCACCAAGAAGCTTTGGGCTTTTTTTGCAACTACTCAAAGCTGACATACTTACATAATTTCAATTAGCTTTAGTGTCTATTATTTTTTGAAGTTATAAAATAAAGTTTCACGACAATCAATTAAACTTTGTGCACTTTAATTATAGTAAAACCTAATTAAGACAAATTATAAACAAAAGAATTTATATTAACATCATTTAAATATTTTTTTAATTTAAATCATTTTAATTTATTATCAAAATAGAATAATCTTTCATAGTTATATGACAATATCAAAGTAACATTAGACAAAACAATTTTCCGTAACTCATCTTTAAAATAATACTATCAAACTATCATATTATTCATAATATAACTTTTCAATTAAACCATCATAGTACATATATTAATTGAATGAGAATATCAGATTCACAACAATCATATATAGAATTTGTTAACAATTTTTGGGGTAACTCCCCAGAACAAAGTTTTCATATAATATCAACAAGAATAAAAGATTCAATAACAACATTAACAGAAATAATAACGTTTTATCAAGACAAAATATCAATTGAAAAAGAATATAATAAAAAACTTGAAAAATTGTCAAATAAATGTATAATTGGGTCAAAGGAAACAGGAACTTTGAAAAAATCATTGGATAAATTAAATATTGAGAATCAATCAATGATAAATTACAATTCAAAATTTATTAAATCATTAACTCAATTAAATTTAGAAAAATTGGAACAATTTTATAATTTATATTTAAAAAAAGTTGAAAAATTGAAAAATCATATTAATAAATTAATTAATAAACGAGGTCAAGCATTAAAAGATTTAAACCATTACAAATCCAAATATCAAGAAGAATGTTCACTAATAAAGTCATTAAAATTATCATTACAAACTACTTGGGGTAAAGAATTAGAAAAAAATCAAATGAAATATAATAAAATTGCACAATCTATGAATACTACAAATAAAAATTATCAATATTCAGTGTCTGTATTTAAAGAAATAAACGATATATATAAAAGAGATTGGATAATATCAATAAATGATTTTTATAAATTGGAAATAGAGAGAATTCAAATTCTTAAAATTAATTGTTTTACATATTGTAATAATATAGCAACATTATGTGTTGATCTAGATCAATCAATTGACTTAGCAAGATCAAATTTCGCATTGGTTGTACCTCAACAAGATATACAAGAATTTGGTATAAATTATGGGACAGGAAATAAAATATATGATGATCCAAAATATGTTGATTATATGACTGGATGTGATGAACCACAAGTTGGTTATACAATACTGAATCTAAAGAACCCAGATCATAATGAAATTTTAACTAGAACTTACTCTACTTATTCATCAAATTCAAAAGCAACATCTAATGGTTCAACAAATGGAAATTACAATACTAGTCCAATTCAACAACATACCCAGCCTCAACAACAAAGAGACATATATAATTCATCACCATCTCCAACTAAGACATTCAATAATATCAACTCAACCCCACATCATCAAAGACAGCAACAACCATATCAATATCAACATCAAGACATTTATCAAGTTTCATCATCTCCATTAAAAGAATTACCAACAAATGGTAGAAATCAAATGACACCTACTCCAAAAGCAAATTTAGCATATGAAACAAATAATAAAATCACAACTACAGCATATAGTAATAATAACTCCCCATACAAATCATTAGTTCCAACAACAACACCAACAAAAATTCCACCACTTAAAAATCAAAATCAAATAAGTTCACCAACAAGAAAACCGCCAATTGATTTATTATCCCATAAGACTCAATCAACAGTAAGTACATCAGGAGATAATGATGTATTTTCAACTCATAATCAAGAAAGAATGACAAATAGTCAAGGTTCAACATCATCAAATTCAAATTATAGTACATCGGAAAGAAATTGGGCATCACCAAGAAGACGTGAAAAACAAATTCAACAAATGCAAGATCAAATTACAAGAAAATCTACAAATGAATTTAAATATAAACAACCACCACAACAGCAACAACAGTCCCCTCAACAACAGAAAGTACCTATAATGAAAGATTTCTCAATAGATTTTATTGCTAAAGCTTTAGAAGATTTAAATTCAGGTGGGGATGGAGATGTAAATCAATTTAGAAAATCAGTAAGATCATCAGCTGCAACAAGTCCAATAAAACAATCACACCAACAACAATTTAATAATCCTTATAATAACAATAACAACAATAATATTCAAACTCCTAAAAAGCAAAGACCTAAATCAGATTATATTGATGATCATAATGAAGTAGCTCAAAGATATGATTCAATAAATTTCACAAGACCAAAATCAATGATAGATATAGCACAATCACAATCACCACAACAACAGCAACAAAAATCAAATCCATACCATAAATTACAATCCCATCCTTATCAAAACATTTATACTTCCCCACCATCAACTCCCTCAAAAAAACTAACACCAATAAATCAAAAACCATACATCACAAAAGCAACAGCAAGGTATTCTTTCAAACCACAACATGCAAGTGAATTATTTTTCAAAAAGGGATGGGATATGTATATTTTACATAAACAAGAAGATAATTGGTTTATTTGTGAATTGGGAGAAAATTGTAATGATGAATTTATTGGGATGATTGGATTAATTCCTGGTAATTATATTATTGAGCACGATTAATTGAATAAAGGATTGCTCTACTAAAGAGTATGATTTTTATGTTATGTATGTATTCGATGTATTAATTTTTATTACCCTTTATAATTTACCGCTTAATTTTAATTCTCTCTGAAAACTATTTTTTTGAATTATTGTTTCAAATTATTAAAATAATCTTCATCAATCGTACTACAAGTACTACCTCACCTATCTCCTCAGTCAATTACTGCATCTTGTGAATACCCGTTATAAGATATTGCTCAACATAGAGTACCAAAAATGAGTCAATCAGTAACAACTCCAACATCATCAAATTCTAAACCAATTGAAAATTTACCACCATTCATAATAGGAGGAGCAGTATTCAATCATCAATATTCCCAAAACCCAGAAACATTACCAATAGAGGATATTTTAAGAAAAGCTTTCAAGTTGGGGTTCAATGCAATAGATACATCACCATATTATGGACCATCTGAAGAATTATTAGGTAATGCATTACAAAAATTATCTTCGGAATTTACTAGAGATTCTTATTATATATGTACCAAAGCAGGTAGAATTAAATTAGATGAATTTGATTACTCACCTAGCAATGTCAAATTTAGTGTTGAACGATCACTTAAGAGATTGGGGACTGATTATTTAGATGTTGTATATATGCATGATATTGAATTTGTATCACCAAATGAAATTATGAGTGCATTAAAAGAATTACTAAAATTTAAATCAAAAGGAGTGATTAAGAATATAGGTATAACTGGATATCCGATTAAATTTTTATATGAAATTGCAATAAAATGGAAACAAGAATTTGGTGAACCATTAGATATTATATTATCTTATTGTAATGGATGTTTACAAAATAATTTATTATTTGAATATTATGATAAATTTAAAAAAGGAGCAGGTATAAAACAAATATTAAATGGGTCCATATTATCAATGTCATTATTAAGATCTCAACCTCCTCATTCTTTCCATCCAGCAAATGATAAATTAAAACACAAAATTCAAGAATTATATACTAAATTGAACATTGATTTAGCTGATTTATCTACTAAATATGCAATTAATGAATGGTTAATCAAGTATAAAAGTCCTATTGTTTTAGGTGTATCAAATATTCAAGAATTAGATGTTGCTATTGATAATTTTAAATCTATTAAACAAAAAGGATTACTGGAGAAAGATAATGAATTAATCAAAAGATTTCAAAATGAATTAGGTGATCATTTGAATGAAACTTGGGCTAGTGGTAATCATTAAATTTATAGACTGAATACAAATTTATAGATAGAATAGAATGTACATAATATTATTTGCGATATTTATGCGCTCTATTTGAACTCTAGTTTACTCCGCGTTTTGACACTGAAAAATTAATATGTAAATTAATTAATTTGATTTACTACACGTTAATAAGACACGTTCAATTAATCAAATCAATTCAATAAAACAACCAATACAATTAATTGATTCTTCGATCCAAATCATATCATAATACAATGGCATACAAAAGAACATATTCAAAACAAAATCAATCCCAACAACAACAAAATCAACAACCAAATCAAGAAGAAGAAACTGAAATTATATTAGATTCTAAAAAAAGAGTAACAATTAGAAAATTTAATAATGTTAATTTAGTAGATATAAGAGAATATTATATTGATTCATCAGGTGAAAAAAAACCTGGAAAAAAAGGAATATCATTAACTGAAGAAAGTTATTATAAATTAATTGAAGCTCATAATAAAATACAAAATGCATTAGATAATTTAAATGGTGGTGTAAGTTCTAAACCTAAATCTATTGAACCTCCTACAAAAAAAGTTAAAACTGATAATAATAATAATGAGAAATCAAAAGAAAATAAAAAAAAACAAGAAAATGATAACGATAACAATGAGGAAGAAGATGAAGAAATTAATTTAAATGATGATGATTTTGATGAAGTAGTAAATGAAAATACAAAAGATACAAAAGATGAAGAAGAAGTAAGTGAAGAAGAAGATTAAAAAAATTGATTTTAAATTCATTCATAATTTGTAGATTTAACTATCACGTGAACTATATGCTAAATTAGTTTATATATTTTTGCCTACCTCTTCCTTACTTTTCTATACTTTTTATCTATATTTATACACATCGGATCTTATTAGCAATCTTATCTTATAGCAATATTGGCTTTAATCATTGCTTATACGTCGTTCAATATATTATTGGTTCATATATCAAATCTTCTATGGGTTTATTATTTTTATATATCAAGATCACGTGCAATATCACGTTTCTCGTACTTCTTAAATAGTGATATTTCTACATAATTGTACTAAAAATATTGACAATATAGTTAAAGTAGAGTTGTGAATAAAAGAAAAAATACGCGCGTTTAATTTGGACCCTGAATTTTAATATTATTTAAAACTTAAAAAAATAAATCAAATTGCGCTTCAAAATATTATTTTATTATATACAGGTTGAAAGAATAAAAAAATTAAATTTAATACACATCTTTTAAAATAGCAATTTTAAAATATAAGAAAATAAGGATCACAAGACCATTAATCTTGTTATCTTTTATGTTACAACTTATTACAATTTGGCTCAAATTGAATAAATAAATTATTAACTAATTATTTGGAATTGAAACAAATTTTTTCACTTTAAATTCCTTATTCTACATAATGAAAGAATTTAATTCCGTTTTTGAAATGTATTTACAATAACCACTTAATCAAATAAATACTAAATTTAAATTTAACAAAATTAATTTTGACACTCAGAAAGTATATTTTCTTTAACTTAATGTACTTGATATTATTAGTAGTTTGTTAATCTTGATGTTACTTTTTGGCTTATAAACTATAATCTTTCACTTCAATTTTTCTATATTGTCAATTCAATTTAATATTTAAGAGGCTTTTTCAATAAAGAATAATATGTGACAATTTATTCTTTCTATTTTTAAGTTCTTTACTATTATTATTAATTTTACTTAACTTTTTTAAGAATATTTTAACATTTAGAAAAAGAATTATCTTCAAAATATTTACAAAATGATTATCATAAAGATTTCTTAGTATTTACATTATTATCTATTATTGTAGTTTAAATTATATTCATATATTATATGTTTGCTATAAAAATATATATTTAATTTTTCACTCTAATTAATTAAGTATAGAATCATTATTTTAATGTTATTAATAAACAAATAAAATAAATAAATCAATCTAATACATTAAAGAAATTTATTTAATTAATATACACATTTCAAAATTTATTTATTTTAGAATCTTTATAATACAAATTTTAATTAAATCATTATATATATTTTCAAACAACTTCTATAAGAGAATGAAGACTTAACAATTTAAAGGTTTTTAATCAAATTTTAATCATTACATTTTTCAGTAATTTATTCAACATATAGCCATTAAATCGTTTTATTAATTACAGATCAAATAAATACTACACAATTATATATTCATTCAAACTATACATTAATCACTATTCAAAATGGAAAGTACTGATAAATTATTGACTGAAGATAATGAATCAACTATCCAACCTTCACAATCATTAAATAATCATATACCTAATAAAAAGAATAGTACCAATAATAATAATAATAATAATAATAATAACAGTCATAAAAAATCAAATAAGAAATCAAAATTATTAAATGGTTTAAATAATAATACAACAACTAATCAAACTAATGATTTAAGTAATGAAATAAATAAAAGTACTTCATCATTAGAAAAATTAATAAATTCTGGTACTTATATTGATCATAGAAAATATGATGATTTAGCTCATTTACATTCTTCACCTGCAAGATCAAGAAGAAGATCAAATGGTAATATCTTTAAAAAATCAAATAGTATTAATAATTATCAAACTACTAATACCGATTCACAAAATTATAATCAACATCCAAATATTCAACATGTTTCAACTTCACCAACTTTACCATTAACAAATAGAAATTTACAACTGTTATTAAGAAATTCTTCAACTTCATCAGATAAAGATTTTAATTATCCAAATAATATCAACAATAATAATAATAATAATGATACAAATGGTAATATATCACCAAATGCAATAGCTGTAGATATGGATCAATTTACTAAAGAACAAAGACAATTTGCAAGATCACAATCTTGGCAAAATCCATTTGAAAATGATGATGGAGAAATTCGTCATGTTTATTCTGATAATTTTGAACAAAATGGTAGAAATAATCCAGATGATCAAGATTCATATTCTGTAAATTCATTAGAATTTGGTGAATCAAATCCATCAAGTGATCATTCAAGTGATTCTACTTCATTAGATGATGTTTGTTATTATGATTATCAAAGAGATGATGAAAAAAGAAATGAATGGCCAAATTTAGAAGTTTTAGAAGAATTTATAAAAGAAGAATATGAAGAAATTGAAAAAGAACAACATCAAAAGGCTTTAGAGCATAAACATACTGTCAATTTTGGTAAAGATGTTGTACATGATTCTCATTCAAATAAATATGCACCAACTACTCGACCTACTACTACAACTACTAAATCAGCAGCATCATCACCGCCATTAACAACATCAACTACGAAAATCACAAAAAAAGATTCATATGAAGTAGAAGATGAAAATGATGATGATAAAGCAGAGTCAGATGAAAATACTCCTTTAATTGACAATTTTAAAGTAAATGAATTAGATTCATTAGATCTGTTACATGATTCGTTTAGAATTAGACCAACTCCCACTCAACCATGGGAAAAATCAAAAGATCAAATACCAACTATTTTAAATAGAGGTCCAAGTTTTAATAACCCTCAAAACAGTAATTCTAAAGAAGGTGAATTATGTCGGTTTACTTATTTTAGAGAAGATTTAGCTAAAACTATACATTCACCTACTTTAGGTGGATTAATAAACAATGAAGAATCAAATTTAACGATTTATGAAAGATTAGTTGAATTATTTAGACCAAATATTAAAGTATCTGGTGCTCCATCAACAAGTTCACACTCACATAATAACAATAATAATAACAATAACAATAACAATCACAAGAAACAGGAATCATTAAGTTCTAGTAATCTACAGGCCTTAAAAGTCCCAAGAATTGGCAATGAAACTCCTTTACCGTTATCAGTTGGGGATTTAACTATATCTGATCCATTTTGGTTAGATGTATTAGATCCAACAGAAGAAGAAATGAAAGTTATATCAAGAACATTTGGTATACATCCATTAACTACAGAAGATATATTTTTAGGAGAAGCAAGGGAAAAAGTTGAATTATTTAAATCTTATTATTTCATTTGTTTTACTTCTTTTGATGTCATTTATGAAAGAAGAAAACAGAGGGCAAAAGAACAAGAAAAAAAATTTAATAAATTACAAGAAATGTATGATAATCTCTCGGATACTACAAGTTTATATGGACATAATGGGAATAGTCTAAAAGTTAAAGTTCATAGATTTTTCAGTAATATTTTTAGGAGAAACAAAAGAAAATTTACTAATTCAGTCAATGAAATTCCATTATCAACAACAGTGAAATCCAAAACCAAGAAAATAAGAGAAGGTGAATTATCACCATTAAATATGTATATTATAGTTTTTAAAAATGCAGTTATTACATTTCATTTTTCACCAACACCACATCCAATAAATGTTAGAAGAAGAGCTCGAATGTTGAAAGATTATTTAACAGTTTCATCAGATTGGATATGTTATGCATTAATTGATGATATTACTGATTCTTTTGCACCAATGATTGAATCTATTGAAGTTGAAGTGAATTCTATAGAAGATGCCATATTAAGAATGCATTCAGGTGAACATGATGATTCAGATGATTCAGATTCAGAAGATGAAAATGAAAGTCAACATTATAATAGTAGTCATTATAGACGTCAACAACAAAAACATCAACATCAACAATTTCAACAACAAGGAATACGTCATAGAAAAAATCAACAAGATCCTCATGAAAATGTATTCATATGGAGGAAAAGATCAAAATCAACTGTTGATCATAATAATAATGGATTATTTAAAATGAATAAAAAGACAAAATCAAAATCAAGTACCACATCAACATCAACTTCAGATACAGGTTCATCCAAAATTTTAGGATGGAAAAGAAAAGGAGATATGTTGAGAAGAATAGGAGAATGTCGTAAACGAGTAATGTCAGTACTTCGTTTACTTTCATCAAAGGCAGATGTTATAAAGGGATTCAGTAAAAGATTTAACGATTTAGACTCAAATAATTTAAATACAAATTATCATCAACATCAATCAGAAATAGCAATGTATCTTGGTGATATTCAAGATCATATAGTAACAATGAGTCAAGCATTAAATCATTATGAAAAATTATTAGCAAGATTTCATTCAAATTATTTAGCTCAAATAAATATAGATATGACAAAAGTAAATAATGATACTAATGATGTATTGGGAAAAATAACTATTTTAGGTACTATTGTATTACCTATTAATGTTGTTACTGGATTATGGGGGATGAATTGTTTGGTACCTGGGCAAGATTATGATGGATTAGCTTGGTTTTGGTGTATTGTTGGAGCTATGGCTTTGTTTAGTCTTGTTGCTTATAATTATGCAAGAAAAGTCACTGGATTATAAAGAATCACGATATAGAACGATCGAACCATAGAATGGTTTTATAATTAATAGGTTTTAATGCACTGTATTTTTTCATTTAATGTTTATTAATAATGTTCTCTTTTGACTTTATAATTAAAACTCTAGATCCAGACTATATTGATCAACTTGTTCCCTTGAGGTATTCAAAGATCATTTACTTTTATTAAGCCAATTTGCAATAATTATTATCACTTGTCATGCAATCAAAGTTCAGTCTACTAGTAATACAGCCATCCTACAGAAAATTTCTCCATACAAATTACATTTACTTTTGAATATATTATATCTTAATACACTTCTTGAATAAATTTTAGTACGATAACAAAATTTAGTTCTGAAGAATCGTCAAAATTTGGGTCCATAGGTGATATTCCCTTTTCCAACTTATTTGACTTATAATATTATTACGTAATATAATTTTCTGATAGGAAAAATAATATTTTAACAAGTTTCATCTATTTTTAAAAACAGTTGCCATTTATATTTAAACTACTTTTTTACAACACTTTTCATATTATATTCAATTGAATTCAATTAACTCAAAAATGTCATTACAATTATCAATAGTATTTGGAGTAATGACATTTCAAATGTTTACATTATTAATATTAGTAATTCCAATGCCATATATAATGAGATCCAAAATAATAGATTTATATAATAAATTAACAAATTTACAAAATTTTAAAATTTTTTTATTATTTAGTATAAGTTTAATGTCATTACAATTAATAGATTGTTTACAAAGATTACAAAAATATCGTAAAGATGATAATAATTTAGCTGGAAATTTTGTAAATTATGATAGATTAGCTTCAAAATTTTATTCTCAAAGAAATTTATATTTAAGTGGTTCAATTTTATATTTAACTTTATGTATTTTCACTGTTGTTACAATAGTTAAAAAATTAGTATTAAAAGAAAAAATTTATAGAGAAGCTGTTTTACAAAAGGGTAAAAAATTGGAATTGAATAAAGTTGATGAAGTTGAATTATCTAAAATTGAAGAATTGAAAAAGAAAATTGCTTTAAAAGATAAAGATATTTTAAACTTAAAAAATCAAATTAAAAATAATCAAAGTGCTTATGATAAATTAAATGGTGATATTAAAAGATCAAAAGATGATTAATCAATTGATATAGCTATTCAAATAATTAGTTCTATCTAATATTTTATGAAAATTTCATTAAAATCTTACAAATTCTTTCACTATAAAAATATATATATAACGAATAACAACGAATAACTAGCTAATACAAAAACTAAATATGAGAACTATATTGACCACTAATTAAATTTCTAAAAGATGGAATTTCTTGACCATTTAATAAATAAATACTACAATTTTTAACAACTTCACTACTAGCAATTGAAAATTTTAATTGTACACCAGATTCACATTCTTTACCTAATCCATTAGTCATAAATCTTGCAATTAATTTTTCTTCATTACCACCATTTGATTTTAAATTAATTGATTTATTATATCTCCAAGTAATTCTATTTTTATCTTTATTGAAAGATCCTTGTGGTTTAGACAGTGCTGATGTAGCTTCAACATCTTTATCCAATGCTACTGATACAACTAAATGATCTAATATTATATCATGTGGTAAATTTGATCTAATACTAATCATTAAACTTGATTGATGTTGTTCAAATTTCCAAATTTGTTGAATTATAATAGGTACTTGTAAATTTTTTAACAAATATTTTAATCCACCTAATGTCTTTTTAGATATAGATAATGGATCAATTGAATATTCATTATTACCTAATTCTTCAATAAATTGTTTATTTACAATTAATTTATCAAATGAATAAGGAATATTAATTTGAATTGGTTCTTGAGATTGTAAATTTCCATTATAATTAAAAGCAACTTCTCCTAATAATTGAGAAGTTTGTAATTCACCATCTTTAAAATTTGCATTTATAATTTCTGCAATTGATGTATTTAATCCTAAAGTTGATGAATCATCATTTAAATTAAAATGTTTGAAATCATTTTTTAATAATGATCCAGTATCTTGATTTACTAATGGTTTGAAAGATTGATTATTTATAAATGAATTTCTTGAAACTACTGATGGTGGTTGTATAATTGAATCTCTTGTGTTTGATGATGATGTAGCTGATGGTAAATTATGGAAAATTGTTGAATCTCTTGAATTCGAATTTGCTGAAGATATAGTGTCATGATGTACAACTTTTCTTGATGGTGGTGGAGCTGGTTTACTTGCTGAAGATTGACTATTGTGATTGTTACTTCCAAATTCCGAAATACCTGTCAATGTACCTGCTACTGCTCCAGCTGTTGCACCTGCTACTCCTGCAATTCCTGCAGCTACAGTTGCTGGAAAACCATTGCCTTCAGTGGAGCTAGCAACAACAGGTTCAATTGGTTGTTGTTGTTGTTGATATGGTGATTCAATATTGAATCCATTTTGTTCACTTCTTGGAGTTGCTGAAATTGGTTTTTGATCATCACCTGCTTCAAATGAATATTTACCATCACTATTTTGTCTTGATCTTTGTGTATCAAGATATGCTCCCGCTGGAATATTTTGTTTAGGTTGTTGAAATATTTGTGGAACTTTTTGTTGTTGTTGATGTTGATATGGTTCGTGTAATTCTTGTTGTGGTTGTGGTAATGATTTATTATTAAATGATGACCCCTGATTGGTATTTTGTTTTTGATTATCTAATTCATGTCTTTGTAATAATGATGATCTTCTACCATTCCCTATTGAATCTTCATCACTCTCGTCATCATCTTCATCTTCGTCATCATCATCATTGTCATTGTATTTTACAACATTTGGTGAATCCGTTGGTTCATTTGTAGGTCTTTGTGGTAAGAATCTGTCATGACTTGGTGTGTTAAGTTGTTGCTGTTGTTGTTGTTGCTGTTGTTGTTGGAAAGCACCGAAATTTGATTGTTGAGTAGGGTAATTTTGAGATTGACTTGGAAATGATGATTGTTGTTTTGGTGGGGGAGGTGTTGGTTGATTTTGAGTTTGAGATTTTTTAATAGGTTGTAATGGTTGGAATGGAGATTGTTGAGTTTGTGAAGGAATTGTTCCCCCTACAGCTGTATGATCATTTTGATGATTATTAAATGAATTTTGTCTTTCTTCTCTAATTGGTGGATCCATAGTTGATCTTCTAGTTACATTTCTCGATATTGGAGCTGATCTTGTGGTTGAGGTTTCTGTTGATAATGAAGCATCTTCAGGAATTGATAATTCATGACTTGGTTGGTTTGCTTGATCTTTCTTTTTCTTTCTACCAAAGATTGATCCAACTCTAGATTTTAATTTTGATGGTTTTTTTGGTGAACCATCTGATCCAACACTTCCTGAAGTTCCATGTTTATCAAGTCTACCAAATGAACTCATTCTTTTTTGTTTTGGTGGGACACTACTTGGACCGGCAGCAGCGGCTGATGTTGGTGGTATTGATGATGGTTGTATTTGAAATTGAGTAGTTTGTAAATAATTTAATTGATTTTCCATTTCATTATCCAATTTGAAACTTCCTAATAAATAATTTGTTGAATTTTCATTGTTTTTCAATTCTTTTGATAATTTACCATTATATAATTGAAAATAATTTAAAATTATGTCAAACATTAATTGAATTTCAATTTTTTTGAAATCTTCTAGATTCTGAAAAGTTTGTGGAGCTTTGTAATTCCATTTATATTCACCATCTTTTGTTAAATTTTGACTAATTTCATTTAATTCTTGACCATTTACAATTAATTCTGAAATTCTAACATCTTTTTCAATTAAATCTCTTAATGGATTAATGATTTCTTGTTTCAAATTCTTTTGTAATATTTCATTATTATTTAATTCTAATTGAACTGAATTTAATAAACAATTCCAATTTCTAGGAAAATTATTAAATCCAATATTACTCCTTTTTCCAATCTTATTGGCTTCATCAAGTAACGATTTTAAGGCTTGATTATGTGAAGAAATTGCAGAACTATATTGATTGAACCATGCTATTAAATCCTTATTCAATCCGGTTGATCCTGTTATGACATTCGGTACAATTGCAGCTGCTTGTTCTGGAGATTTTGAAGTTAAAATAGTTGTTGCAAAATTATAAGATTCTTCCATTTTTCCATTTACAATTAATTTCTTCGAGTAACTATGCTTCAGTTAAGAATTTAATTGAAGTATTTATTAATTAATTTTGGCTCTATTGATAGGCAAAGTTGTAACTTATTGAATTGATTAATTAATTGATTCCAGTTAAACTTTCAATTGAATGAAATTTGTTGCTAATTTTTTTGTCCTCTCGCTTCAAACACGAGTGAGTGATTAATTTTAAATTTTTAATTTTTCTATAGAGTGAATTTTTTATTTCAAGATTTTTGCAAGTAGTGTCTCCAGATTTTTGTCCTAAACTAAATTTTTATGACATGTTAGTTGGTAGCTTGAACTTCATTAAAATTATTTGGTCTGATACAAATTTAACATAATCTTATTAAAATTAAAATTCAATTTAATGTAAGGTATATTTAATAATATTGGTTACAAAACTCATACCAAATCTCATTTGTCTCAGACAGATCTATCAACCATTTTTCTTTTCAAATTCTCACTCAATAAGTTAATTTTTAGTGTTTAGTCAAGTTTTCTCCGTGCTGTGCTGTGATTTATGAATCAAATTCGGTCTACAAACATTTAAAGCTAATCGTTTTCATTACATTCTCAAAACAATCTCTTAAGTTGTATCAAGAGAGAGTTATTCTGAAATCGATCTATTGATCTTAGTAAGCTTTGAGAGATTTAATAGTATTTCCGAGAAATTAAATTGAGATCAAACGGGGTATCTGATACGATCAATTGGTGAGTGTTTAATCACAGTCGATCAAATAATTTTCCAGCTATGTACGCAAAAGGTCAAGTAAGTTAAAGCAAGTAAAATAACAGGAAAAAGGGTTTGTCAAATGATTTTATCCAAATCCATTAAAAAATATTTTATGATCAACATGACAAGAAATTTTAACCGGATTTTATATCAAACATATCGTAGATAAGAGATAAGATTTTGTTTGCAAAAACATCAAACGTTTATGAAATTAAACCACCGGGGTAATTGATCAGTTTCATCTTTTGTTCAAGTAATTAAACACAACAATAAAGTATTTCAATGAATGCAATTGTCGATCTTGGTAGTTTGACTCAATTTATTGGCTGGGATTTGCAATAATAGATACTTAAGAAACGGAATACTATGAATTTAACTGAAGAAGTGACAAATCTTATTTTGTCATACTTTATCACTAGTGAAGTTTACTAAATACGAAATTGTAACATTGACAACTTTTGTACAAATTTTAAATTCTCTTGTCTATAAAATATAATAAATTAGAAATATTTTTATTTTACCCTCTTCTACTTTTTTTTACGAGAGAAATTTTGTTACAATTAAAATATTATTTTATAGTCTTTTATTCCCTATATATATTATTTAGTTTATTGTACATATATTACAAAAACTATATCGTTAAATCACTATTGTTCATATAATTAGTCTAGATCATTTCATTGAGAACAATAAGGATAATTTTACCTTTAATGGTTCAGGTAACAATTTTCGTTTGTGGTTAGTATATAAGTTAGTGTTTTTTTACCTTCTGAGTAAACTATTTAATTATGTATCATGAGATGATCGATAAAACAGTTTCTAATTTCTTGGTAATATAGTTCCAATTAATTGGTTGATATTTGAATTGATTAATGATAACCTAATTAATGCTAATAATAATAATTAATAATAATATAAATTATAATAATTTATTCTCATCAAAAAATAAATTATAATAAACGTTAAATTTTTGTTTGACATTTTATTAATATTTTATTAAATTAATTCTTTTAATTTTCTTATATGTAATTAAACTTATCTTCTTTATTATTATAATATTATTATTCTTATCTTTATTTTATTATTTTTGAATTTTATAACTCTTGTTTTATATTCACGTGCCTCCTTAGATTTTAATTGGTTAATTTGGTTATCAGATCAAAGCTTATTGGTAGCAATGTTTTAAATTTTGTTGCAAAATAAATTTCCATAAGAAAAATATTCAAGTACCTGTTTATACAGTTTTCTTGACATTTGATAGATTTGACTTATAAATGATGAGCCGATTTGGTCCGACTTCAAACTATACGAAATGATGAGCATTTTCATGACTATTCATTCAATCTACTGAATAAAAAGTATACGTCATAATATAATTGAATGCATAATAATTGTCCATGTAAGTTTTATTAAGTGGTTTTTTTTTCATTCCCACAAATATATAAAAAATTTAGTTATGAAACTAAAACACAAAACACAAACACAAATTTGAAAGATATCACAAACCAACTTTTTCATATTTTTTTCTTAACTTTGTTCTTATCTTTTAATATAACTTGCAGTTTTGTTTTGTTTTAGTAATGATCATCTATTAAATAGTATTGAATTATTTTAAATCGTATATCATTAAATGGAACTATCCTTTGTTTCAATAAAAATATATAAATATGTCAATGATTCTTCTTCAGTTTATTGTTTTTTTTCAGAAAAAAGTTTATTTTTTAGTTTCATAATTTGCAACTATTAATTCAAGTTCTTTTGTCATTATTTCATTTCCTTAATAAATTAATAAAATACATTATCATTTAATTGTATTTAAATTTAAACAATAACTTTATCAATACAAAAACAAATTAAATAGTAATAGCATAATATAAAAGATCAAATTATGTCGTCGAATGAATCTGGTTTCACTGGAACTGGAACAGGTGGGGATGTTTTTCAAGTAGATTTAAATCAACAATTTCAACAAGGTGATATGGTATGGATTGCCATTGCTGCAGTTATTGTATGGTTAATGATACCAGGGGTTGGATTATTATATTCAGGTTTATCAAGAAAAAAACATGCATTATCATTAATGTGGGCAGCTTTAATGTCAGCATGTGTAACAACTTTTCAATGGTTTTTTTGGGGTTATTCATTAATTTTTGCTCATAATGGTTCACAATTTATTGGTACTTTACAAAATTTTTGTTTAAAAGATGTCTTGGGAGCACCAGCAGTTGCTTCAACTTTACCAGATATTTTATTTTGTTTTTATCAAGGTATGTTTGCTGCAGTAACTGGTATTTTGATGGTTGGTGCAGGTTGTGAAAGAGCAAGATTAGCTCCAATGATGATTTTCTTGTTTATTTGGTTAACTATAGTTTATGCACCAGTTGCTTATTGGACTTGGGGTGGTAATGGATGGTTAGCTAATTTAGGTTCATTAGATTTTGCAGGTGGTGGACCAGTTCATGAAAATTCAGGATTTTCAGCTTTAGCTTATTCATTATGGTTAGGTAAAAGACATGATCCAGTTGCTCAAGGTAAAGTACCAAAATATAAACCTCATTCAGTTAGTTCAATTGTTTTAGGTACATGCTTTTTGTGGTTTGGTTGGTTTGGATTCAATGGTGGTTCAACTGGTAATGCTAATATGAGATCATGGTATGCTTGTGTAAATACTAATTTAGCTGCTGCTAGTGGTGGATTAACTTGGATGTTTATTGATTATTTTAGAACTGGTGGTAAATGGTCAGTTGTTGGTTTATGTACTGGTGCAATTGCTGGTTTAATTGGTATTACTCCAGCAGCTGGTTTAGTTCCAGTTTATACTTCATTAATATTTGGTATTATACCAGCTATTATTTGTAATTTTGCAGTTGATTTAAAAGCATATATTGGAATTGATGATGGTATGGATGTTTGGGCATTACATGGTGTTGGTGGGTTTGTTGGAAATATTTTAACTGGTATTTTTGCAGCTGATTATGTTGCAATGATTGATGGTGTTGAAATTGATGGTGGTTGGATTAATGGTAATTGGAAACAAATTGGTTATCAATTTGCTGGTAGTATATCAGTTGCAGCTTGGTCATTTATTGTAACATCAATCATTTTATTAATTATGGATAGAATTCCATTTTTAAAATTAAGATTAAAAGAAGAAGAAGAAATGTTGGGAACTGATTTAGTTCAAATTGGAGAATTTGCTTATTATGATGATAATCAAGATCCAGAAACTTCACCATATTTATTAGAACCAGTTAGATCAACTGAAGCATTAAAAGAAAAATTAAAAGCTACAACTTCAAGAAAACAAGAAGGTGTTGTTGAAACTGTAGCTGAAGAAATTGATGGGGTTGCTACTACCAGTGATGATCATGATGAAAGTCTTGATAGTGAAACCAAAAAATAAAATAAAAAATAAAAAATGAAAACTGTATTTAACAAATAAATCAAATTAATTAACTTATGAATGACTTTTTTAATGTTTCTACTTCTTTTTACAATTTTGTATATTTTAATAAAAATTTTTAATAGTACTTTATATTTAATATTTAGACATTGTAAATTAACTAAAATGGTAGTCAATGATAAAAATTTTTTATATTTGTTACATATAAACTTATAGTAGCGTAGTAGTTGCAAAATAAATTCTCATTAAATTTATCTAGGATTTTACAAACAAAATTTCCTATCTAATAAGCGTCCATATTAAATGTATATTAAAAGTTTATAAACAATAATAAATTATTGAATGGGTATTATAAAAAAAGAACTAAAAATTTAATAATAATACAATAAATTTGCAATCAAAACAAAAAACAATAAAAAAAGATTTAAATCAAATATAACATTTTCTTTTCTTTCAATTAATCACTATCTGATCCATGATGTATACTTGCACTTTCTTCGTGATGAGTAAAATCAGGTTCATAAGCAGAATCTCTTAAACTTCCCTTTCTTGTGAAATCAACTAATTTTGCATTATCGTTGTGATCTGTTTGTCTTGTTGGTGACAAATTATTTGATCTTAATTTATGATCATATATAAATTTTTCACTTGATATTGAACCTAATGATAATGATGATAAATTGGGGTTTTGAGTTACTTGGTTTTGTTTTGGTGAATATGGTTGGAAATTTGTTGTTTTAAGTGGACTTGATGATGGTGAATTTGAATTATGAAGATCTTGATGATTGAATAAATAATGATGTTCGTTAGTGGTTGGGTTTTCTTCAGGTACTATATCTAATTGTGATGGTGATTGTGATAATCTTGATTTTTCAGGTGATGAATTTTGAAGTTGTTGTAGTGGGTTTAAAGTATTATAATCAGTTATATTTCCTTCTGAATCTAATCTTTGAATATTGAACGAGTTTTCTCTTCTTAATAAGGCATTTAATGATTGATTACTCAAATAATTTGATGATGATATTCCTGAGTTTCTTAATGAATGATCTTCAACCAATCTAACTGAAAATAATTGTTCTGTGTTAACCGTTGACATTGATGCATCACTATGTCTCATATTATTACCTAATAATCCACTTGGATGTATATCATCAGATTCTGTATTTGCTCTCCAACTTTTCATTGGTTGTTCTTGAGTATCAAAATATGATTCATTTGAAGATTCAACATGAGTTAATGATGAAGATGATGAATTTGGTGATAATCCTTCCAATTTCATTAAATTAACTTGTGATTCATGTTTTGGATCCATTGGTAATACTCCACCTTTTGTAACTGGACCTTGACCATCATCTGAAGAAGTTGATACTGTTCCCTTTTCAGCATCATCTTTTTTGTTGTTTCTTTTTCTTTTACAACAACAACATATTAATATTATAGCTGCAAGAAGTATTAAAAATCCAGGGATACCAACACCAAGACCAATTGCTAAATCTCTATTTTTATTTGATTTTGAAACACCAGAAGCACTTGAAGTTTCTGAGGAATCTGTTGTTGTTTGTGAGGTTGATGTTGCAGAAGATGATGATGATGATGATGTAGTTGCAGTTGAGCTTGAACTACTGCTCAGTGATGAACTTGTAACTTGTTTATTAACTCCCTTTATATTAAAACTTTTACTTTCATCTTCAGAATCCATTGATCCTTCAATTGTAACTTGTAATTCATTAAAATCTTTTGGAGTTAACCCATTTAATGTTCTGTTATTGTCATGATAATCTAACCAATTTGAATTATCATATTTAACTTGAATATCAGTATTATTGACATTTGTAAAAATTGAATTCATTATTTGATACTCAAACCATTCTCCCTTTGTTGCATTGACATCATTCAATGAATTTATTGTAAAAATTGATCCAATTGTATCAAATGAATAAGGAATATCAACAGTGTTACCATAAACATCTCTGACGGTAATTGAAAAACTATCTGCCTGTGACTTATTTGGCAAAGTACCAATAATTGCATAGTCATTTTCGTCTAATTTTAAATAATCTGGTAAATTATTACCGTAAACATCAGAAATATTATCTTTTGAGATTAATTCATCATCAAGATAAACATTTGATAAAATTGGGATAATTTCATCGATTTCTTGTTCAAAAGTACCATTGACTTTTATAGTTTGATTCAAATTTGTGTTTAATTGATGACCACCAACAACTAATTTAAATATGCCGGAAGCACCAGCATACCCATAATAATCACTTGCAATAAAAGTAAAACCATATTCAAATGATGGAGCATTTTCTGAAGTCACTTGAGGTACAGTACCTGAAAAAATTAAATTATCACCATCAAAATTTAACCAATTTGGTAATGAACTACGATCAGCTGATCTACCATAATAAGCAATAATTGGTCGATCACTTGTTGAATAACTTTCAAAAATATCTTTATTAAATTTTAAATTTATATTTTCACCAGGTTTAACAACTAATCCATTATTACCATTAGTTCTACCAAATGATGAGATTTCTTGATTCATTATATTTTGAGAAATTAAATGCAATCCAGTATCATTCGAAACTATCATAGTATAATTATTTGTCATTGTAGATTGATCACTTTCATCAGTACCTTGTAAAGTAATTTGAAATTCTCCGACATCACTATCTTTTGGAGTACCTGTAAAAGTTCTTGAATTTGAATCAAAAGATAACCAAGTAGGTAAATTTGTAGCTTTATATGAAATTTGTCCGTAAGTATTTGATTTATAAGTGGTATTTGCTATTGTAAAACTGTATGCTTCATTTATTCGTCCAACATTTGGTAATTGTTCATTAAATGGAAATCCCATATAAATTGATGCAAACACCACCTGTATAAAACATAGTAGATTGAATATTAATATAAATAACATTTGATTCTATTACTTTATATTATATTCATAAGTTATTGTGAATTCAAATGATAAGTTTATTTGATACAGTGAACTAGTTGTATTCTTCTCAAAAGGAGTTTGTTGTAATACTGAACTGATAATGTAAGTCTCGATGAGTCGACCAATGAATGATTTATTTAATTAATGAATGAATGTATAATATAAGATCTTCTGTGATAGTTACTCTTAGTATAAAAAAAAGAAATAAAGTTATTTGGTTGACCAAAATTAAAGTTAAAGAACAGTAAAAAGTTTTAAAAAAGTTGAATTGAATTAAGAATTCTTAATCGTAATTGAAGATGAAGAATTATTATTCAAAAAAATATTATTATAAGACCTACACGAAATCTATATTAATTGTGTTATTTTATATTTAAGGGGGAGTGAGTTGATAATTAAGTAAACATACATTCTTTAATTAAAAATTCTATCAACAAAATCTATATCAACACAAAGGGCTGCAACATAAAAGTATAAAAAGGAATACGAAATTTAAATTAAATTTAAAAAAAATTTAACTCAATTAAGAAAATTATTAAATTATTATTATAATTTGTTAATTTGTTTTGATTACTTTGGTGAAATTTTGTGAAATTGTTTTGATTTTCGTAAATTATAAAATTTTTTTTTTTTTAATTATTTAGACGCGTTTATTTCTACACTATTATACTAATTTGATGAAACATCCAAACATATATAATTAATAAACTCTGAACCAACTTTTATAATGGTTTTTATAATTATGTTTTAATACAGTATTGAACTTTCAAAGGGTTTTTTCAATTATTGTGGAAGAAAAATATCAGTTATTTATCTATTTTAAGTTAAATTACATAATTTTATATACCAGTATATTTTATAAATATATCGTGTAGCAAAATAGTATTCATACAAATATGTATTAATACGAACTAAATTCCGAAAACCTCTTTTTCTGACGTCGAAAGTTATGTAAATGGTAATTTCAATTTTAGTCATAGGTCTAGGTATCCTACAAGTACAAGTTTCTATGTATAATTTTATAGTGAATAAATGTTAATTTTAGGAAAAAAAAATTTAGTATTTAAAAAGACAAGCACATAATTTTTACTTGATCCTATGATTATCAATTCTAATAGATTTTTATTAAAATTATACCATCGGTTGTAGCCGTATGGTTACATTCACAAGTGTTTTAATTAGAAATGTAAACCTGAATTGGTGAATTGGAAGATCGTCAACTAAAAACTACAACCGTGCTGCAATATAGAAGAGTTTTTGTAAATAATTTCGTATTTGACGAAAACTAAAGCATGAAGTCTAGTTTACTCCTAGAAAGTTAATATTGAAGCTTAGTTTAGTATTAATCCACCCTTCATATCCATACTGAGCTCTTTGCTTGCTATTTGACGAAGTAACCATCGGCTTCGAAATTATGAGAGGCGAACGTCTTTCAAATAATTAAAGTTTATTTTGACTAGAGTTGATGCAAAATCTCCCATTTTCGAAAATGTAAAATCGTTTTGTACTTATTTATTATTGGTAGATTAGACAGATCTATATATAAAAAGCTTGTTGGCCCTCAGCAACAAGAATTGAGTTGTTTATTGTTGAATATTGTTACTTATTCCTGTGATCGTGGCGTAAAAGAAAAGTAATTAAGATTTACGAATTTTAGATTTCTTCGTAAATCAAGATTAGCAGTTGCACATATACAAAATATGTCAAAAGAATCGTGCCTTAAATTGAAAAGAAGACATGCAATGCTTTATAGAATATTATAATGTATTTAATTAAAGGGATATAAACACAACTTAAACTAACGAAGACTGTAACTATAGAAAATATAAATTTTGTGAAAGCCACTTGGTATTTGAAATCCGAATAGATAAACTTTTAATATTCACGAAGTAATAAAATGAAAAATGACAAAATGATAATTTGAAAAATGAAAATTTTTTTGATCTTTAAATAAAATAAATTATTTAAATTAAAGCAGCAATAGCAGCAATGACACCTCCCATAGCAACACCTGGTAAGATAGCACCATTTTCTAACTCAGCAACAATTGAGGTAGCTTCAGCGTCAACAGTGGCAGTTTCAGTAGCTGAAACACTTTCTTCATCAGCAACTTCACCTTCTTCAACAACAGGAGCAACATCAGTAGTTTCTGGAGCAGTAACTTCTTCTTCAGCAGAGGTGGTAGCTTCACCTTCAGCAGCAATTGAAGTTTGAGCTTCTTCTTCAACAACTTCAGCACTAGTGGTTGCAACTGGTTCAGAAGCACTAGTTTCAACTGGTTGGGTAGCTTCAACAGTTGAAGCTTCTTGAGCATCAGTAGTAGCGACAGCTTCAGTAGTAGCAACAGTAGTAGCAGCTTCAACATTAGCAGCACTAGCTAAAGCAGCACTTGCTTCATCATTGATAAACCAATATGGATCCCAAACACCAGCACTTGAACAAATTGAAGTAGCTAAAGATTCAACAACTCCAACATCACTACCTTGACAATTTTCAGCAACACATAAAGCAATTGCACCACCAAATTGTGGCATGACACATAAACAACCTGTATCCCAATATGGACATGGGGTAATTCCAGTATTTTGATACATACATGGTTGAGCACATTCTGGTAATTGAGCATAAATATTATCAGCAAACCCATTAATTGATGCAGTTCTTGCTACACTTGGGTAAGTGGCATATGGATTTTCGGCGGTTTCAACAGTAGTAGCCATTTTTTAATATTTAGTAGTAGTTTTAAGCGAGTGAATGAAATGTGAAGAGTTCTTGAATGAAAAAAATTTTAAAAAAGGGTATTGAAAAGAAATTTACATCCTTATATATATTTAAATTTTATAATAAATTCTATCAAATTTTGCAATATTTTTAAAATAGCCAAAATTGGGATCCTAGACGGTCTGGGAGCTGAAAATTTTTTACCTCAATAAAAAGCTTCAATGAACCAAATTTTTTCTTGGTTTTTGAGTGGTGAGTAAGATAAAATACCCATATTCACGAAAATAATAAAATATTATATTTCGAGTTAAGTGCTACTGTTTATATAGCCCCATCTATGGTGCGTGTGTTGCTCTTACATGTATATATTTGCAATAGTAGATAATGGCCCCTATTGATTCAGGAGAAGATAATCAACTGGCCAAAAATATGATCAGTTGAGCTTTCATAGGCAGTGATATAAACGCTTCCTTTGAACATTTTGCAATTTCGTTAAATAGCATTTACAAAATCAACTGGAAAAATAAAATAAAATATTATAACTCTATACCTTTATATAATAACCTTGGCTCAGAAGTACAACATCGGCCAGAACGTTTTTCTTTTGAAGGACTTGGTTGGCCAGTTTATCCTGTTATAATATATTTTTGAACAACTGAAAATCTTTTTCACAAATATAACAAAAGTTTAAAAATAATTTTTTTTATAAATAATTATTAAGGTTGAGGGTCACATGTGATGCAACTTTAATTGTAACTTTAATTATGATTAAACTTTTCTTAAATCTCTTTATGTGATTAGGTTTAGTAAACTTAAAATCACTTATGAAAACAACACGATGAAATATTTGGAGTATATTTTATGATATATTAACCTATTTTCTTTTTGTGCTACAATAATTTTTGCAGCCAAATAACTACGAGGCTCTTATATACAATACTGATGGAAATGATAATTTTTATTTTTCTTATGGATCAAAAAGATCAAATAGATAAGTTTTCGACAACATTTTTATCCAAAGATCTTGCAGACACTTACAGAAATGCTACATAAAGCTTAAAACAAAGTATTAAAATTAATTATTATACACAAAGAAAGATTAAATCAATATATAAAAATTAAATCAATCAGTGTGAGATTTTTGAGGTACAGATTGAGATTAGTAAATTACTGCAAAACCAAAGTTGCAAAAAGCAGCGTATTATTAATGCATAAGTCATCTAAGCTTAAATCAAAGCAGCAATAGCAGCAATAACTCCACCAACAGCAACACCTCTAATATTACCTGCATTTGCAACTTGAACTGAGATTGATGATGATTCAGCATTAACAGTGGATGAAGCAGCAACAGATGAATGAGCACTTGATTCATGATGTTCTCCAGTTGAAACTTCAGATGATGAAGAAGTTTGGGTTTCACTAGATTCAGCAGCACTTGATTCTTGAGCAACAGAAGTACTTTCCTCATTAGCTGCTGATGAAGTTTCTTGAGCGATAGAAGAAGCAGTAGTTTCTGGGGCTTGAGTGGTTGATGGAGTAGTTTGATCAGCTGAAGTTGTTTCTGAGGAAACTTCTGCTGTTGATGTTGGAGTAGTTTCAGCTTGAACAGTGGCAGCAGCATCTAAAGCCGAGGAAGCACTTGCTGGAATCATCCAATATGGTTCCCAAACACCAGCACTTGAACAAATTGAAGTAGCTAAAATTTCAACATTAATGACATCTTGACCTTTACATTTTTCAGCAACACAGTTAGCAATTGCACCAGCAAATTGGGGCATAACACATAAACAACCAGTATCCCAATATGGACAAGGAGTTGAACCAGTTGATTCATGCATACATGATTGAGCACATTCTGGTAATTGATCATAAATTCTATCAGCAAACCCGTTAATTGATGCTGTTTTTGGAACACTTGGAAATTGTGAAAATCCACCTGCAATATCAAAAGTAGTAGCCATTTTAAATTAGTTATAATATTTTATTATATAAATTATTTGAACGAGTGACTTTAATAATAAAAAGCTTATAAATGAGTTGAATTATAATATGCTTATAGCCAAGTTAAAAAAGAATAATAATAAAAGCTTAAAACAGAAATATAATAAATTTCAAGATAAGGGAAATCGATTCCTACTTTATATATTGTAATAAATTGTTTCATTAGAGCTAAAATCAACAATTGCGAAAAAGTGAATACCAATAACCTCCAATAACTATTAAACACAATAAAAAATTAAGTACACAATAACAACTACTAGTTCTAAATATGGTTACACACAACAAGACTTTATTGATTACAGTTTATAGTAGAATTACTAAATAAAGGAAAGAAAAATAATAAAGTCAAAATGGCAAATTATTTTTTTTGTATTTGCGAATAGAATCTAGATTTAGTAAGTTTAAAGCCAAAAAGGTTTAAAATTAACATTTTTTCTTAAATCTTAAATGTATAGAGCGGTCATTTGTTAAAAAAGGTAAAGTCAAACTTTGTGTTTAGTTTTCACAAAGAGATTTATTAGAACTTTGGCACAATACTGAAATTAGAATTTGAATGTACGATTTGAGAAATACCCAAGGAAAATTGTATTCAAAATTACTAATTAACTAACTACACGCTTTGCCAAAACAAATGTTGTTCCAAATTACCATTGGAGGAAACTATTAACTTACTTCAAATAAAGCCTTTTACTTATGTTATGTTTTTCTTTTTTTTGCGTATTTTAAAGACAATCTGATGTTTTTCGATGATCGGATCTGATAAATTTATGTATTAATTTATGCACCGTTTATTAAATTTAAATATTGGTTTCAAGTAATTCTTACACTAAAACAAATTAAATCTGAAATCTTAAATTCACTAAAAAGTCAATTTGTATTACCACCGATAATTCCAAGCAGTAATTTTGTTATTAGATTTAAAAGAATTTTAAGTTTGATTTTATTAAGTTAGTTATAAACATACTAAAGTTTAGCAATTGACATTAGCAATTGACATTGTTCTTTTCTCCTTGATGTATCCAAATTGTCATACGATATTTGTTGTTTAAGAAATGTTTTACTTCTCTCATCGAGTAACTGAGATATTTTGACTTTTATTTCTTGGTTTACTTCAAAATAATTTTGAAGGTTGTATACAATTTGTTCGTAAATCATATTATCTATTCGATCAATTTTTCCTAGCGCTTTATATAATTTTTAAAAAATATGTAACATTTACAAATGAAGGACAAAAATAATTAGTAACATTCGTTTCTACAACAAAAACAATTGAAGTAACACAAACATAATAAAACAACTAAAAATCTGTCAAAAAGCAGCAGATTAAACATTAGCGATAACAAGCTAAAGGGTCTATTGAATATATTCAATCCAACATAAAAGTTTGATTACTTTGTTTCTAAATCATTTTGTTCGTACATACCCCCTGTTTTCTCAGATGTTTGAAAATTTTTTAATGTGAGAATATGCACTAGAAATTTCTATTGATTTACTCATTTACTCATGTAATCTTGTCGTATCAAAAATTATTTTACTTTGAAGATTAAATTTGCAATGAGGTAGTGCAATCCTTTTTTTGGGCCCTAAACTGTACAGATCACAATTCCTGTATTCCATGAAATCGGTAAGAGATAGAATTACATATTTGCCAAAAACCAATAGTCTTTAATTAAACCCGAATATATACAACTATTTAGTTTAGATGATTAAACTGACTAAGAAACCAAAAATAATAGTTCCAACACTACCAGTTTGTAGGATGGCCATGTTTGAAGTTGAAGAAGTATTTGTTGTAGCACTTGTAGATGATGAAGCAGAACCAGTATTACTTGCAGCTGATGAGCTGGCGGTGGAAGTAGCAGCTGTAGAAGCCCCAGTTGAACTTACAGTATTTGCTCCCGAGCTGGCTGATTCAATAACCCACGACATAGCTGTTTTATCAGTAATTGTAGTAACTTCTCTTGCATTTCCAGCTGCTGAAGTTAACATGGTTGAAATTGAAGCTGGCATCATCCAAGTATTTGCACCAACAGTTGAACATAATGAAGTAGCTAAATAAACAGCACTTTGAACATCATCACCTTTACAATTTTGAGCTATACATTGACCAACTAAACCTGCCCATTGTGGCATTACACAGAAACAACCAGTATCCCAATATGGACATGGAGTATTATTAACACTAAATTTAACACAATCTTTTGCACAATCTGGTAAAAGATCAATTATTGGATCAGCAAAACCATTAATTGAAGCTGTTTTTGGAACTTGTGGATAAGTAGCCCAATCATCAGCATTTACTAATGCTAAAATAAAAAATGATATAATTGAAATGATAAACATTGTAGCTTTCGATCAAGTTGTAGTTAAATTTGTAAAACCCTTGGTTTATTTGTTATATTAATGTTCTAAAAATTTTACAAGTTATCAATGACTTTCTTGAAAATGTTTTATTCAAGACAATAATTATAATCTTCGTAAGTTAATTAGAAGCAGTATAACTTAAAATATAATAACAATCAATTAAATTGAGTTTTGAAAAATAAGCAATAATTTCTGAAACTTTGATCCCAGTATACTTATATATTTTTTAAATTTTCTCATATTACAAGAAGAAGTTTTTAAAAAGATCATTTATTTTTTTAAACTTTAAAATATATCATTTCTTGAAAAATCCGATAATATGATTGACACAAATTAAATGATTGACACAAATTAAATAAGTAAAATTTTTTTAGTGAATTTAAATAATAGGTCTTTAAAAGAAAGAAAATATTGAAATAATTTCGTAAAAATAATATGTGGAAATAAACAATAATAATGATAATATTATAGAAATTAATAAAATAAAGTAATAATTTACTAAAAATTAAGAAAAATTAAAAGATCAAATAGATAAAGTTTTTTGTTTCATGCAAGACCTGTATATAAACATAATACTCCAAAAATGTTTCAAAATAAAATAATATTTTGGTAATTACACAAAATTAATTAATATGATATACAGGATTTGGTTATATTTTTTTATTTTTATTTTTTTTATATTCAAAACTTGGCAAATATAAATCGATAATTCCACCAATCAATATTATAAAAGTTATTATTAACTATTTTTTATGTAAAGTATCCTTATAGTTTACTCATCTGTTTAGCTCGGTGAAATTTTGGATTAATCTGATAAATCTCAATTTCCAATAACAAAATTTTTTTATTAGTTTCATAATTTATTATTTTATGCAATGAGTATTATATATTTTTTTAATCTGATTATAATAATACCAATCCTTGTAATAGATTCCGGTAAATACAATAAGCTCCTTAATTTTTGTAAATTAATTTTTTAACTGATCCAATCTGATAAGGTTAATTATTTTTGGATCTTTTTTTCTTTTTATGTAAGAACTCATCTAGTGTGGGTTATCTTAATATAATATAATTTTCAACTATTATATACGCTAGATATTTTATTATTACAGTTTTTAATTTGAATCAGAAAAATTTTCATTTGACGTTGAAGCTTATATTTCATCTATTAAAATAGAATACTATCCTGGAAAGTCAAGATTTTTGACTAGATAGTAAATATCCACAGCATTTTTACTTTGATAATACCATAGTCTTATCTTTTGCATTATTTATATAAAAACCACCTAATTAAGGAGACTTACCAAATTACTATTTATTTTACCACACAATACTCCCTTATTCACAATAAAATCAAAAAATGATTCCATTTGATCAACAGTTCTTTGTGGAAAAACAAAGAAATAATACATATGAATTTCTAGTTTTCATAGTAACATTAATACTTTTAGGTGGTCATGGACTACTATTTCATTGGATTCCAAAAATATTAAGAAGGAAAAGAGATGAAAATGGATTAAAACATTTAAAATATTTTAAATTTTTGAAAAATTGGGATAAGTTTACTTCAATCAAAAAGATAACGATATTTAATAAACCAATTTTTTATCAACCAAGTCTTGTATTATTTTGTTTTTTATTTTGTTGTTTCAACACTGGATTAGTTTTTGCACAAATAAAAGAAATTGATTATCAAGGTTTCATGTACCCTGTATCAAAAAGAATTGGAAGAATTGCTGTTGGTAATTTACCAATTTTGTTATTCAGTGTTGCCAAAAATGATATTTTAACAAATTTATCGGGTTTCCAATATGATAGATTAGAATTTTTACACAAATGGTTAAGTAGATGGATGTGGTTTTTAATTTCAATTCATTTATCTTTAGGTACTTATTATTGGTTGGATATGAAATTCTTAATTATGATAATAATTCCTCCTCAAATTTTTGGGTTTATGGCTTATGGATCATTATGTTTTTTGACTTGGGCTTCATTAAAATTTATAAGAAGATGGAGTTATGACTTTTTTTTATTTCAACATAGAGTATTTGCTTTTATAATGTTATTTATGTCATTCATTCATAACGCAGGTAATAGAGCTGCCGTGTTGATATCAGTACATGCATTGGTAATTGATAGAATCATACTGAAAGTAATGGCTTATATTCATAAAAAACACTCACCTACAAAATGTAAATCAACTTTTGAAATTTTGGATGAAGATACAATTGAGATTACAATACCTATTAAGACTGATGAATATAAGAAAGATAAATGGTACAATAAATATTTAGCTTACAAAAACTGGAAAGCTGGACAACATATTTATATAAATGTTGCTAAGATAAAATGGTTACAATATCATCCTTTCACAATTGCAAGTTTATCCTCTTCAAATGATATGAAATTATTAGTAAGAGTTCACAAAGGTTTTACTAAAAAATTAATGAAATATTTATCTGATGTAGATCATACTGATCACGAAGATGAATTGGTAACAATAGGTTCAATGTTTCATGGTCCTTATGGTGCTGTTCATCAACCATTAATATCATTTGATCATTGTCTATTTTTAAGTGGTGGATCAGGTGGTGCTTTCACTTTTCCTGTGTGTCTTGATTTATTAAAACAAATAGATGCAAAAAATCTGGCTGGAGATTATTTATTCAGACCAAGCGAACCTAAAATCAGGTTTGTTTGGATTATTAGAAAGTACAAAAATATAATTTGGTTTAAACATATCTTAGATCAATTAATAGATTATTCATTAGAAGGTAGATTGATAATAGACATTTATATAACACAAGAAAACAACAAACACGACTCATACTCATCATCAACATCAAATGAGATTTCAATAGATCGAACTTCAATGGAATCAAGTCTGGAATTATTAAAGAAAAACAATAATTTATATGATATAAGTCCTACACAATTTAAATCATTATACTCAGAAAATACAAAACTTTTACCAACAATCTCAACCTCAAAAACTATTCAATCAAACTCATCACAAGTCATAGAGGAAACATCAAGTCAAGGTAAAAGTAGAGCTGATATACAGGTTGAAGTAAATGAAGAAGTAGAAGACCCAGAAGTAGTTACTGAAAATAAATTCAAATTACCAAAATACAATATTTATTATGGAAGACCAGATGTGGGTAAAATTATAAAAAATCATTCAATTGAGTTATCAAAAGAAATGAAATTAACAAATACTTATAAGTCATTGGCGGTTGCATCATGTGGTCCTCCATTACTTACAAATATAATAAAAGAGCAGTGTCAAGAAGCTAGAAAATTGAAAAATTCACCTGATGTTTATTGTTATACCGAAGCCTTTTGAAGTAGTTAAGTGTACACTATGTCAATTTTTAAACTTATTTATTTAGTTCATCAATGTAGAGATATTAAAAAGTAAATTCATTTTCAGGAATAAATAAATTTTGTAGACGAAATGCATATAAAAGTTCCTCTATTCGGAATCGATTTTTGGCAAGGTTTCAACATATTGAGCGGTTTCTTGAGCTCTTCTTCTACCACTAATGTAAGTCATCATTTCAGAATAAGTTTGTGGAATGACTGAGAAAAATCCATTTTCTTCACCTGCTGAACTAACTTTTGGTACAAAAAATGAATAAATAAAAGTACCTGCAGGTTTTGAATCTGTTGAACCAAGATGTTGAATAAATGTATCTACTTTGACTTGTACTAAAGTTCCTGGTTCATTCAAGAATACATCAGGTCTAGAACTTATCTTGTTCATTGCTGGTAGTTTAAAGTCAAATGGTGAATCAACATAAGCTTTTTCATCACCGTTGTGTAAATGTTCAGTGTATGATATTGACGCTTCCATTGTTAATACTGACCCCACAGGGACAGGAGTTTTAAAAGTTGTAGTGTCTAAACTGACAAATCTTGGTGGTGCAGAAAATGTAGCAGCAGTACAATAAGCTAATTCGAAAGTTTGTCTCAATAAATAACCTCCAAAGATCATATATGAGTGACGATTTCTATACTGAGGTTGCATGAATAAAGTTGATTTTTGGACTGTATCTTTCATGAAGGAAATTCCATTAGAGTGATCACTTAATTTGTCAGGACTTTCTATATTTTTTGATGATCTCCACATATCGTAAATTAATCTTGATTCTTCAGCTGTTGGTTCAATCATCTTCTTGTTTTTGGCCATAAGTTTCTTTTTAGTGTTATGACTTTCTGCCCTTCTGTAATCAATCCAATCTTTTTCTGTTACTGGAAGTAATCTATTAATTGCAAATGATTTATGAGTGAGTGGATTTCTAGCAACAAATGTAAAATTGGCGGATAAGAAAACATTTTCATCAGGTAAAGTATCAGCACTAATGTTTTCTTCTTTAATATCATCTTCAAAAGCATAACCTTTTACAGTGATTTCCATACTAGATTTACCTGTCCATGTTACTGATCCAGCTAAAACGAAATTAAATTTGAAAATTTCATCAACTTTTTTCACCATATAGATTCTATCAACACTTGCAGTAACATTAACAGGTTCAGCTGGAGAACAATGACGATAAGCAATTCTTCCAGCTAATGAGTCAAGATCTAGCAAAATATTACCAACTCTTAATCGACTGAAAGCATTAATATAAGCATCACAAAGCCATTTGTCTTGTTTAAAAGGTAATAATAAATATGTAAATGAATCATCTCTTGTTTTTTCAGTAACATCAGTTGTAACAGGATTTACATAACTAAAACTATCAATTCTTTTTCCTTCTGCTTTTAATTTCTCTCTTTCATTCATAGCATCAAGCCATGTTGCTTTATTTGGATTGATTTGTCTGTCTCTAATTTCTGCTAGTATTGTTGCAGCAGCATCAGCAGCATCAGCAGGTTCCGTAGACCCTGCTTTGTCAGGACGATGAAAATTAAGTGGTTTTGATGAAGTTTCTTGTGAATTATATCTTGTGATGGTTAAATTAATTGTTGGTCTGGCAAGTTTGCTAATAGGTCTTAGTTGTTTTAGTTGTATAGTTTTGATCATCGTAATTATATAAATTGGAACGGTTAAATTAAAGATGTACTGCGATTATTGATTGAATTGAAGAATTCTAGAAATCCCTCCAGATGATTCAACCGATGTTTTATAGTTTGTATCGTATAATTATGATTATGCAAAGCGCGATTAATATTTTACCCGGAGCTGTTGATTAGCGCGCGTAATGAGGGGAATTATAATATGTATAGAATTACACAACAAAAACATCGGGCGTATAGGAATAGATGAAATTCTAGTAATTACAATACCCAAAAGAATTTTTGCGTTTTGGTAGGAATACATAATAAAGCTGATGACAAATTGATCCAATCTATCGCTCAAGAAGTATGGTCGCTGCGTCTTTCTTCGTTTAGCACTGTAAAGAGATTCAAGTCGTTTGACATATAAATTTTCTCGCTTCAAATTTATTTATATTTTTGTTTCAGATCTTTTATATGAATGAAGAGGAGTTGAGCTCAACAAAACTAAATTTTTGAATATTGTTATATAAACAATTGGATTAGATAAGACATTATAACTCAAACCTTTGTAATAGTTCGACTACAGATCTAGTCAACAATCAAAGAAATAGGACAAATTGCATTAAATGATATCATAAAAATTTAAAATGTTGAAAATACAAAAGTTCCATATAAAGTTTTCCTTAACTTTATGGTTTTATTCTTGACCTGATGATCGCTCAAGCTACTCTATTTGAAGTCCTGTAAATGCTTAGTCACAGAGTTCAGTTTCGTTAGATGAGTTTTGAATTTGAAACCTTCTAATTTTTCCTAATTTTTTGACATAAAAATTTATTTTTTGACATAAAAATCAGTTTTGTGACATTTCAAGGACTTTAAAATCCATCATGGAAGAATCCAGTCCGTTCTTCTAGTAATTTATTATTGGCTCTAACTTTCAATCGAAAAGCTTCTGAAACAGTCAACATTTAGGTGGGCTCGACCTGACTAGACTTTCTCATCTACCATACAGTTTATTAACTTTTAAATTTATTTTTGTAATTTTTTTGTTTTCATTTTTACTTTTTAAAATAATCTCTATATAGACATTTAAAAATAAAAAAATATTAAAGAACTCATACTTTTGAATCACCATCTCGTCTTAAAATCATTCAACCAACATCCATTTAAATATCTATTCCTATCTTAACATTTCCCACATCATACTACAATAAATAATGGCTCCAATAACATCATCCGTTGCTAAAACAGCACAATTGGCCGCACAAGCCATTAGATATAACAAACCAATATCTAAGATTGGTCAACAATCGGCATTAAGAATGAATTTTCCAATTTCACAAAAAATATCAACCAGATTAAATAACTCTCAATCAGGTCCACAAGAAATGACTGTAAGAGATGCATTAAACTCAGCTTTAGCTGAAGAATTAGATAAAGATGATGACGTATTTTTAATGGGTGAAGAAGTTGGTCAATATAATGGTGCTTATAAAGTTAGTAGAGGTTTATTAGATAGATTCGGAGAAAGAAGAGTTATTGATACTCCAATTACTGAAATGGGTTTTACAGGTTTAGCAGTTGGTGCCGCATTACATGGATTAAAACCAGTTTTAGAATTTATGACATTTAATTTTGCAATGCAAGCTATTGACCAAATTGTAAATTCAGCTGCTAAAACTTATTATATGAGTGGTGGTGTTCAACCTTGTAATATTACTTTCAGAGGTCCAAATGGTGCAGCAGCAGGTGTAGCTGCTCAACATTCACAATGTTATGCTGCTTGGTATGGTTCAATTCCAGGTTTAAAAGTTTTATCACCATATTCAGCTGAAGATTATAAAGGTTTACTTAAAGCTGCTATAAGAGATCCAAATCCAGTCGTTTTCTTAGAAAATGAAATTGCTTATGGTGAATCATTCCCAGTAAGTGAAGAAGTATTGTCATCAGATTTCATATTACCAATTGGTAAAGCTAAAATTGAAAGAGAAGGTACTGATTTAACTATTATTGGTCATTCAAGAGCTGTTAAATTCTGTATAGAAGCTGCTGATAAATTAAAAGAAGATTATGATATTAATGCCGAAGTTATTAATTTAAGATCAATCAAACCATTAGATGTTCCAACTATTGTCGAGTCTATTAAGAAGACAAACCACTTAATCACTGTTGAAAATGGGTTCCCAGCTTTCGGTGTTGGGTCAGAAATTTGTGCACAAATTATGGAGTCAGAAGGTTTCGATTACTTAGATGCTCCAGTTGAAAGAGTTACCGGTTGTGAAGTTCCAACTCCATATGCTAAAGAATTAGAAGATTTTGCTTTCCCAGATACTGAAGTTGTATTAAGAGCTTCAAGAAAAGTTTTAGGTTTATAAACAATTTGTAAGTAACAATAACTACAATTTAACCAACAAATAACCTGTATAATATAATCAAAGATCATAACGAAGTCCAAAAGAGCATTATAAATTATAATCGTAAATTTATATAACTTTTGTAATTCCTAAGTAATTTTTTCTTTTTTTCAATTTTGGTCTCGTATATATTAGTTTTTCAGATCTAGATTTCCGATTTACTTTAGTACTCGAAATTTTACTTTAAACTGAACTGAATACCAAAGAAATTATTATACCAATACCATTACATGGCACAATCTAGATTATGTCAGAGAAACCGAGTACGAGAAACGATGACAACTCATTAGAAAATCAATTGAACTATAGACACTCAGCTTTTGAGGAGGAGAACGATGGGTTATTACCGGTTACTCAACAAGATTTAAAACCTAAAACCAATATAACTAAATCAGATCATTTACTACCACAAGACAGAAAATCGTTTTTGGTATTGGTGATACTATATCTACTACAAGGTGTACCGGTTGGACTAGCATTTGGTTCAATTCCTTTTATACTAAAAAGCAAACTATCATATTCTCAAGTTGGTATATTTTCATTAGCAGCATATCCTTATTCATTAAAACTAATATGGTCACCATTTGTTGATTCTATATATTCAAAAAAGATTGGAAGAAGAAAATCTTGGATTATACCCATACAAACAATATCCGGATTGGTACTAATTTATCTAGGTTTCATAATTGACAAATTAATTGAAGATCCAAAACAATATCTAAATTTAATAACATTATGTTTTTTCATACTAGTGCTTTGTTGTGCAACCCAAGACATCGCAGTCGATGGATGGGCTTTAACTTGCTTATCTCCCGAAAGTTTATCATATGCATCAACTGCTCAAACAATTGGAATTAATACTGGTTATTTTTCAAGTTTTACAATTTTTCTAGCATTGAATTCTCCAGATTTTGCAAATAAATATTTACGGTCTGTCCCAAAAGATATTGGATTATTTACTTTAGGTCAATATCTAACATTCTGGGGGTGGGTATACATTTTAGTTACTGGGATTGTATTTTTTATACCCGAAGATCCTCCACATCTAGTAAATATAAATAAAGATAAAATTGCCAAAGAGAAAGGAGTTTACAATTTGAAAAACAAATGGAATCAATTATCAGAAGTCTATTCATCGATGTATGAAGTTTTGAAATTACCAAATGTACAAACATTTGTGGTGATACTATTAGTAGCCAAATTAGGATTTCAGGTAAATGAAGCAGGAACAAACCTAAAATTATTAGAAAAGGGATTATCCAAGGAAGATTTATCAATAACTGTTTTGATCGATTTTCCATTTGAAATGATATTTGGATATTACGCTGGAAGATGGTCTAATGGGAAAGCACCATTAAGACCATGGATATTTGGATTTATGGGAAGATTAGTTGCAGCAGGATTGGCACAATTGATTGTATATTTCTTCCCTAAAGATGGTCATATATCCAAAACATATTTCTTGATGATTATTTTACAACACTTATTAGGATCATTTATGTCAACTATTCAATTTGTATCATTATGTGCATTTCATACGAAGATAGCTGATCCCAAAATAGGAGGAACGTATATGACAACTTTAAATACTTTATCAAATTATGGAGGTACATGGCCAAGGATATTTATTTTCTTTTTAATCGATAAAATTACCATATCCAAATGTAATACCGATAAGGGATTTATAATGCTTGAAACTGAGAAGGATAAAGAGCAATGTACCTATAGTGGTGGAGAAATAGAAATTATTAGAGACGGTTATTATTATACGAATGCATTATGTATTTTTTTGGGAATATGCATTTTATTTTGGGTTAAAAAGAAAGCAGTTTATTTACAAAGTTTACCAAATAGTGCTTGGAGGATCAAAGAATAAATAAGTGATAAAGAATAAAAGTGTTGTTGTAATTGTACTAAATTTTTGGTTGCGAAATAATTTGTTAATCAATTTTCTGAAACTCACTCTATTATTAATTTTTGTTCTATACCAAGACACGTCTGTAAATGGTACTTTTGAATGAATACAAACAGCATCAACAAATATATAATGATATAACAACTGACATTAATAGCTTAGATAGGCTACTACAGCAACATTTACCTTTAAGAAATGATATTTATGACTTTCAATCAACACCTAATTGTGATGGAATGTATATATTTACAACATCAATTATAATATCACATTTAAAACGCGGTAATAAAGTTATTATTATGGATTGTGCATGGATCAAATATCAATTCAGTCATATCAAGGATCATCCTGAGTTTAAAACTGAATTCAAAGGTCAAATCACTTATTATCAAATTGATACTTTTGGGAAATTATACTACAAAATTTCACAATTACAAGATACCAACACGTTAATAATTTTAAATGGATTTCACCAACTAATTGATTTATACAAGTTGGAATTATCATTAACATATGAAGAGTTTAGAAGTAAACATAGACTAGAACAATATTCGACACTAAGTAACAACAAAGAAAATAATACTAATGATCCAATACCCCAAATTTCATCAACTTCTCAATTATTTAAAGTAAGTCCCACCACCAAGTACGATAGCCATTTGAATTCCTTAATCTCCAATCTAAATAAGCTTTGTATAAAGAATAACTCAATGGTGTTTCTACTAGGAGTTCTAGAAACTAAATTTCGACAATTTCGATCAGTGTCAAGTCAAGAAAATAATAATTCATCTCAATCATCAACACCCAACAAAAATAGAGTTGTACTCTCCTCACGATTTGTACATAAATCCGTGGACTCAAGACTAATATTCTATAAGGATTGGTACCATAAATCCACCCACTTTTTAAATAATCATCCAATTGAAGACAAGAGATCAATCACTATAAATCAAGCAATACTTAGATTCGTTAATGCAGTTAGACTAGAAATAGGTGATATACATTACGAGCCACTTTATTTTGATATAGATGATGAGTTTTTCCATGATGATGATGAAGAGAAGGAGGTTGCAAAATACGAGATCATAGATTTGTCAGAGTCAAAAAATTTACAAAATATTTTACCACCATCTTCACCACAAATTGACTCTACTGTTATTAATATAACAGCTAATGATATTTTTGAAGAGGAAGAAGAAGAAGAAGAAATAGAAAATCTTGAAACCATATGTGAATCAGAAGATGAACAAGTTGAAGAAATATTATTACCAGGAAGTGCTACCAATTAATTTTTTCGGATTTATATACTTGAAAATCTCATCTCATATATAAATTTATATATAGAGTGTTTCATAATAACTTTACATTTACAAATTCATAAATCAACAATAGAAAAATGGCCACGGTAATACCACCACCTTCAAAAAGACAAAAAAGAGAAGCACAACAAGTTAGAGAAGTAGATCTCGTACCAGAAGATGTGCCGAATGTTTTAATTAAATTTCAAGCATCAGATACTGGAGAATCAACGGGTGGATCAATAAGAGTACCAGGAGGTATAACGGAAAAACAATTAGAAGAATTGTTAAATAATTTAAGAGGAGAAAGTGATGATCCAGTGCCGTATACTTTTTCATTACTAGATAATGATGAAAGTAAGTTAATAGATATTAAAGATACAATATATCATTCCATATTAAAACCTGGTATAAAATCAACAGAAGATTTCCTCACGTTAGTATATACACCAAGAGCAATTTTCAAAGTCAAACCAGTCACAAGATCAAATGCTGCAATAGCAGGTCATGGATCAACAATTTTATGCTGTTCATTTGCACCAAATGATTCAGGAAGAATGTGTTCTGGAGCTGGAGATTCAACTGCAAGAATATGGGATTGCAATACATCAACACCAATGCATACACTACTGGGACATACAAATTGGGTTTTATGTGTTGCATATTCCCCGTGTGGTACAATGATTGCAACAGGTTCAATGGATAATACAATACGGTTATGGGATTCACAAACTGGAAAACCAATAGGTAAGCCTTTAACTGGACATTCAAAATGGGTGAGTAGTTTAAGTTGGGAACCATTACATTTAGTAGCCCCAGATGCTACCCCAAGATTAGCATCAAGTTCAAAAGATGGATCAGTCAAAATATGGGATACAACTTCAAGAACTTGTACATTAACTATGAGTGGTCATACAAACCTGGTACTGTGTGTTAAATGGTCTGGATCAAATATTGTATATAGTGCATCACATGATAAAACTATAAAAGCATGGGATATATCAGCAGGTGGTAAATGTATACAAACTTTAAAGAGTCATGCACATTGGGTAAATCATTTATCTTTATCAACAGATTATGTATTAAGAAAAGGTGGGTTTGATCATACATCAACAAGAGCTTCAAAATATACACCAGAAGAATTACGTCAAAGAGCAAAAGATCAATATGAAAAAGTTGCAAAATTAAATGGAGTAATAAGTGAAAGATTAGTTACTGCAAGTGACGATTTTACAATGTATTTTTGGGAACCATTAAAATCTTCAAAACCATTATTAAGAATGACAGGTCATCAAAAATTGGTAAATCATGTTGGTTTTTCACCAGATGGAAGATATGTAGTATCAAGTTCATTTGATAATTCAATTAAAATTTGGGATGGTATAAGAGGAACATTTATTTCAACCTTAAGAGGTCATGTTGCACCAGTTTATCAAACTGCTTGGTCTGCTGATAATAGATTGTTAGTTAGTTGCTCAAAAGATACAACTTTAAAAGTCTGGGATGTTAGAACTAAAAAATTAAATGTTGATTTACCAGGTCATGCTGATGAAGTTTATGCAGTTGATTGGAGTTTAGATGGTAAAAGAGTCGCATCTGGTGGTAAAGATAAAATGATTAGATTGTGGTCTCATTAAATTGAATAGATATAGATGTATAGTTAATGAAAAGACCCAACTCCTACTGATCATATGATTACACTATTTTATAACATTGTTAAATGTAGTTGAAGTATTATAATTCAAATAAATTAATAATAATAATCATGTACTGTATATAATAAATATATTCTTAATGAATTTGTATAACCACTATAATTTTTTATAAAAACAATATTTGCAATAATTTTAGTAAATTTTTAAAGCTTTATCGATGGAAATTTAAAACTTTTCAAATTAATAATCTTGAGTTAAATATCTGTTTAAGAAAATCACAGTTTGAAGTTAAATATCACTTAATCATTATTTTTACACCAATTTTTTTGTACATTTAAAGTTAAAGTTGGCGATCAAAATCAGATACCAAAATATCCCTATCAAGTATTCATTCATTTTATACATACCTTACCAATAATTCAGGATGAAACTAGATAATAATGCAGAAAATATAACTACATGTAAGGATTCATTTTGCGATGAACTAGATGATTGCTTTTTCATGAATCATAATTGTGATGATAATTTTCATAATACAAATGATATATGTGATTCAAGTTGTTGGACTATTTGTTGTGATGATGAAAATTGTATACCAACTTTAAAAAGTCAGCATAGAAATATAGACACTGGGTGTTGTGACGAACATATTTCAAATAAAATAGAATGCTGTAATCAACCTGATTGTGATAGTTTTGAAGTTCCTGAAGATTTTGAAATTTGTCATGATATACAATGTAGCTATAGTCCTAAAAATCATCATAAAGAAATCAATCGTCAATGTGAAACATCTGCAACTACAACTACAAGTTCAAAACGACCTAATTCAAGCAGTTCACCTTCTCAAGAACATATACATTTATCCAATCAAAACACGTTTCCACCACTTAAAAAGTCAAAAGTCAATAATTTTAATGAATATGATATACACTTTCCAAATGAAGGTCAACTCCAAGATTCTACGAAAAATTATAACAACAATCATCTACAAAAAACTTGTTACCATCCACCAAATAATGTATCTCAATCACAAGATATAATGTCTGATATAGATAAGATTATGAAGTACAATGTCATGTCAACGGAATTTCAACCAACCGTGAAAATAGAAGATGATCCACTACAGTATTCATGCCAATGGGAACATTGCTTTAAAAAATTAAGTAATGATAATTTCATTAATCATATAATGGGGGATCATATAAGTCAAGAACAAAATGTGGGTAAATCTTCATCTTTCCAATGTGAATGGAGCAATTGTAATTATTCCGATTTAAACCTTGATACTTTATTAAATCATTTAGAGACACATAAAAACAACACAACTAACTCAACAAATTCTCAAAATATCAATGTATTAACTCCTTTATCTTCGGCTAGTGGTAATGCTCACGGAGATTCACCATCAGAACTTAAAACCAATCAAGAATACAACTACCTGTTCAAAAACTCTCCAACAATGCAAGAGCAACCAACCGCAATTACTCAATTTAAATGTAATTGGCAAGTAGGTACAGATGCTAATGGTAATCCTATCCCGTGTCATACAATTCACACTACTGAAGGAGATCTACAAAATCATATAGTAACCGAACATATTGGCTCAGGTAAGTCAACATATTGTTGTGACTGGATTGGATGTGATCGTCACAAGGGTAAAATATTCAATCAAAGACAAAAATTGTATCGTCATATTCATGTTCATACAAATTATAAACCGTGTAAATGTGAAATATGTGGTGCATCTTTTGCAGTAGAATCAATGTTGATTCAACATTTGAGAATTCATTCAGGTGAAAAACCATTTAGTTGTAAAATTTGTGGTAAAAAATTTGCAACTAGTAGCTCGTTATCAATACATAATAGAGTCCACACTGGTGAAAAGCCTTTGAAATGTAAATGGCCAGGTTGTGGTAAATCTTTTAGTGAAAGTTCAAATTTGACAAAACATATGAAAATTCATACAAAGAAATTTGAATGTGAAATTTGTGGTGAAGCTTTTGTTAAAAAATTTGATTATAATAAACATTTGAAAATGCATAAAGGAAGAGATGACACTAGAGATGAAGAGGATGGTGAAAGAAACATATTAATGACACCTTCTATTAAAACTGAGTTTATAACTACGTAATCGAACAATTTCAATTCTTTGATATATACATTGTAGCTTCGTCGTGTATTCTCTAACATTTTTTTATTTTTGTGTTTCGTAAATTAATGTGAAACTTGAAAAAAAATTTATCAAATATCAAGTCAATCATATTACTACTATATCAACCACAAATGAAACCAACAAATACATTACTCGCACTCCGAGTAAAAGTTCCCCAACCAGAACTTACAAAATACACTTTTCAAGACATAACATCAATATCATCAAAAGATCTACCTAATAATGGATTCGGTTTAAAAAATTATTATATTCCAAAAACCAAATTCAATCATTTCCCAATATATAAAAAAATTCAAAATACTAAAATAACAACTGAAATAAAACGTATACAAGGTGACATCCATCAATTGAAACAGGACTTGTGTGAGAAATTCCCCAATTTAAAGATCACAATGAATCAAAGTGCTGGAATTATTAATATAAAGGGTGATTTGACTAGAGAACTCACAAAACTTTTCAATAAGGAGATCCAATAGATAGAATAATCAACATGTAAATAGAGTATAATGAAGGGATCATTATTTTTTCAATAAATGAGAAATGCTAACGAAAATTTCATTACCCAACTAAACTAAACTTCCATTTTCTGATGAAGGAGTATTGAATTCTGATCCACCACTGAAAGCTACTTGTCTTATAGATACAATCCATGGATCATTTAATAACTCAACAGCACTTGGTCTCTTAGTAGGATCATGTTCAAGACATCTTGATACAAATCTTCTACCATCTTCACTTAATTGTTCAGGCGATGGTAATTGTGGTTTATGACCCGCAGCAATATGATACATAATGGCCCATTCATTATCTAAATTAGCCCATGGTCTTCTACCTGTAGCCATTTCCAAGACACAACAACCTAAAGACCAAATATCAACTACTCCACTTCTATCTGATGAAGAACCAGTTATAACTTCTGGTGACATATACATTGGAGTTCCAGTCATTGAATTTATATTTTCTTGATTACCTGATTCTGGTCTAATTGATTTAGTTGCTACTCTTGTTCTACCACTATTTGCAATAACTTTAGCAGCTCCGAAATCAACAAATTTAATAACTCCATTATGATCTAACAAGATATTCTCTGGTTTTATATCTCTATGAACAACTCCCGATTGATGTAAATAAGCTAAACCTTCCAACATTTGTAAAGTATAAACTTGTACAACCATTTCATCTTCAATACGACCATGAGTTAATAATCCTGATAATGAACCACCTTCACAAAATTCCATGAAAATATAAACTTTATCACGATGAACCTCAACACCGAAATATTGTACAACATTGGGGTGGTTTAACATTTCAAGAACTGTCATTTCTTCTTTGATTTGTGGGACTATACTTTTAATGGACTGACTATCATGAAATCTAATTTCTTTTACTGCCATTATACCACCAGTGTCCAAATTAACTGCACAAAATACTTGACCAAAAGTACCACCACCAATAAATTTTCCCTTTTGCCATCTGATAGAGACACTTGAAAATGAAGAAGCCAACAAAGTGACAAATTGATATTCCAGATCACTTTTGTCAATAACTTTACCAATGGATTGATATTCAAGTGATAATTCTTTTCTATAATCTTCAATTTCTGCAATTTGTTGCATAAGTTCTTCATGATGAATTTTGTAAGAGTATTCATCATTTTGTGAATTTGCAATATTTTGTCTTTGTGATGACCATTTTAATAATCTATTCTTTTCAGCTTCACTTGATCTTGCACCCATAATATCAAAATGGGAAATCAATAGTGACATACATCTTGCAACCTTGACTTTTAATTTACTGAATTGCTCATCATTTAATAGCAAGATGTTGAAACCACGAGTCATATCCATGGCAAATTCTAATGCTAAGACACACCATCTAAAAGTTTTTCTATCAGTTGGTACACAATCATCACAAATGAAACTTACCCAATCAATTGCTAATTGTATTAATTTCATTATAATTGCTGATTTTCGTGATGCATCTAAATTTCTAGCAGCGTTTTTACCATAATCACGAGCAAAAACAAAATAATTATTAATAACAGCTTGATAATCACCTCTAATTTTAAATTGTCTGAAATTGTCCAATGCTATTTTAACTGATTCTAGGACAGATAAACTCATACGGAAAAAGGCTTTGTTGGTTTTAGTTAATTCTTGATGAACCACAGCTAATGAACATCTTTGTTCAATTGGTTTTGTACCTCCAGACATTATGATATCACCTACTATATCTAAGAATTTATCTCTGATAACATGCAAATCAAAATGTTGAACTTTTGAGATGACTAGCAATTGACCATTTTTTAAGTCTGTGATTGGTACAGAATCAACATTCACATTAACAACAGCACCTTCCCAAACTATCGGTTTCATTGGACATAAGGCTGCAACATAAGCATGTTTGTAAAGATCGTCTTCTGGTTCCTCCTTTAGTAAATCATTATTTGAATCTTGTAGTAGTTGTAACAATTCTGAGAAATTTGATTCTTTGGTACTTGGATCCAAAGCAACATATGAACCATTAATGATTTTTAAAATTTCTGTTTCATTACCCATTAATTCTGGACTTGCAAAAAAATAAGTACCTTGGGTTTCAACGGTATTTGTATATACCAAAAAATGATTTGTTGATCTTAATACATCCAACAATTGTTTTGTGTTATTTTGATGTTGTTGTGAGGGTACCTCAAATACTAAAGAATTAGTGAAGGATCTAGATATGTCACCTGTAAATCTCGCCAATTTACGACGTATTTGACCAAAATTATCTAAAGTTGTGCTATACCATCTTATTAAATCTTGAGAGCCATCATTATGAGCTGGAAACCTTATAGAATGATTGAAGTAAGCTAAAAGACGTTGATTCAATCTCAGTGTTAACATAGCAATTTCTTCTGCGACTACTGCACAACCTCCGTCAATATAATTTCCGAGTGATTGTAAAAAACCCCACGCTTCCTCTAATTCTTCCGGTTCTTTAAAAGTCCTGAAATTTGTTTGAGATCTTGAACTATCAAGTAATTTTTTGTTAAATAAAGCCAAAAAATATCGTATACACCTCAAAATAACACTATCGAAATCTGAAACCTCAGTGTCAAATAGATCACTCAATAACCAATTTTTATCAGGATCAGGCTGTTTATATTCTTGAATACCCAGTTTCACTTCTAAGGCAATAGTTATATACGATTGAAAATCATCAAGCATTTGATCAATCATCATCATTGTTGGATTCTGTAATTTCATTGCATAACTTAAACGAACTATAATAATTTCTTTAATTAATTTCATTGGAATAATACAAATTTGAATTAAATCGTGAAGGTAATCTGGTAATTTCATAATTTCAAACATATGACCTAATCTGATGTGAGTTTCCTTAGATTTTATCATCCATGGAGAAATTGGTCTGAAAATTCTTTTTTTGAAAATTGTATGTACATCTTTTTCTTTCATTAGTCTTTCAGCTAATGATTTGTTATCCTCATCAAATATCTTTTTCACTATTTTACTATTTGAGGTGGATGTTGCACTTGAGGGAACTTCAACGGGGGATTTGGTAATATCTAATTCATCATTACCAATCCACAACCTCAAAGCTTGGGTCTCTCTATTTATGGCGTCAGTAATAGTAAGCCATGCAGTTAAAGCATCAATTCTATTTTGAAACTCAACACTCCGACACGCTGGTTTATCTGTACGCATATCTTCCAAATTTCTCCATAAATTACAAGCTTCATCATATCTGTTTAGTATTAATTCAACTTGTTCTCGTATTGGATTACCCACAGTATCATCATAACTCACTTCAAATTGTAGAATATCTTCAATTAATTGTTCAACTAATGTTCTTCTATATGCAACAATTTTCCTTTGATCATCTTCCGTTCTATTAAATATTTTAGCTCGTATACCAAACCATATATTTTCTTTAAATGTCGCGTGTAAATAACTTTCTAAAGGATTATCTGGATTATGATTATTTATTATTTTCGTCTTTTCTGATCTAACAACATCACCTGTCAACACTGTAGTTAACATAGATTGCCAATCCAATCTTTCAATAACAGCAGGATCATCCGAATCTTCAGTAGGTACATTTGCAATCTTTTTTAGGTTTACATTTGCATTCTTCATTAACGAAAGTGCCATACTATAATCAATTTGATATTTATCATCGTCTATAGCAGCTAATAAATTTGCATTGTCTCCATCGTTATAAAACATGTCATAATCTTCATCTTCATCTTCTTCAAACTCTATGTTCTGATCTTCCTCATCATCTGCACCTGTTATACCCTTAGTGTAATAATCATCAACTAATTGATTTTTGAGTTTTCTTAGATATGATTTTTCTTGAGCTGCATATTGTGAATTTTGTTGATGTTGTTGTTGTATTTGTTGATTATGTTGCAATGTAGCATTTAATGATCGAGATCTTGTTCGTAGTATAGATCCACTTGCAGATCTGCTAATTGGTGGTCGAGATTGATGTTGTGGATTGTTTGAGTTAGTAGGATACGATACTTTACCTGGGGTTCCTAAAGGTTGTTGTCCATTATTACTGCCATTACTTAGCGTTCTTTTGGCATGTTGTTGTGAACTAAGTAAAGGGATACCACTATTAGTCGATTGAGATTTTAATAAAGCTGGTGGTTGCCTTGCTGATGCCGATGAAGATTGTGATGTTGTTGAAGCTTGTGAGTTTTTCCTTTTACTGCTTGTTGATGAACTACTTCCATGTCTTGAACTAGAAGGTGTGTTCGGTTGAAAAAATGATAGTGATGGGATTTTACCTTGTAATTGTTGATTTTGTAATTGTTGTTGTTGTAAATGTTCTGCAGTTAATTCTGCAACTCCTTCACTTAAAATTGGACTATCACGCTTATTATCTGGCATTTTAAAGAACTTATATAGTCATATATGAATTAATGAATAGTAAGGATCGATTGATGACTTATTTGTAGTGGTATTATATGATAAGATCTGAAAATATGATTAAAAAGGTACGATAACTATGAAATAAATTTATTGTGAGGAATTTTTTTTTGGTTGTGAAAATCAAATCCTTGCTAACATTACATTACCACCAAAAGATTGACAACTAATAGAGCAGAGCCGTACAACTATGATCGAGGTTCAAGCTAATGATAGATTAGGTAAAAAGATAAAAGTCAAATGTTTACCGACAGATACAATTGAAGATTTGAAGAAAGTATTATCATTACAAATAGGTACACCATATGATAAAATCATACTAAAGAAAGGTCATCAAATATATAAAGATCATATATCACTAGATGATTATGAGATACACGATGGATTTAATTTTGAGTTATATTATGGTTAGAGAGTTATAATAATAAATTGAAATAAATTAAATATTAAATTGAGATATATAATACAAAATCATAAAATTTATAAGTAATACAGTAGTTGAAAGAATATCATTAACTCATGAAAGCAAGATTTATAAAAAATATTCGACATGTTTACGTTTTGGACGTTCTTGAAAATATCCTGCAAAAAAATCAGTTTCAATATTACCATTAATTGAAATATCAGAAAAATTAATTCCATTAACACTTTTACCATTTGATGTATCTTCATCATTTTCTTTTGATGCTTCAAATATATTAAAAAATTGTCCAGGTAAAACTCCTTGTTCAATTTGTGATTTAGTTCTATAATCGATTGAATTTTCTTTGGTGCTGGATTTGGTGCCGTTAGCTTCATAATTTGTATATAGTATTTCCAATACACTAGCTTTATTACCACATCTATAACAATAATTTGGAGCTGACCAAACAGTTAAACATTTCCCATTCCAATAACTTGTATAACCTTCATTACATAATTGATGGGCTCTAATCATTTGAACTAAGTTATTTTCTTTACAAAATTTATTCATTATATCACTACCAAAAAGGTAACCAGCACCTCTTGGACTTAATTTAAAATCTGATATTTCAACATCTGGGTCAGACCATACTAAATCTGCCATAATTCCATCATGAGGAATTTCTCTAAATCTATCTATTGCTCTTATTTGATCTAGTTGTTGACAACTTGGTGATAAGCCACCATGACATGCAAATATGGTACCATCTATTGTAGCACCTAAAGGTAAATAATCAAATAAATCTGTTATATATGACCATACATCAGCTGATCCATTATATTTATTTAAAACTTCGGTATAAAAACCATAATTTGTAGTAATGGTCCTTGATTCATGATTACCTCTTATTAAATTAATTCTATTAGGATATCGTAGTTTTAAGACTAATAATAATGATATTGTTTCAACTGAATAATAACCTCTATCAACATAATCTCCTAAAAATAAATAATTTGTATGTGGAGGTGATCCTCCTATTTGAAAAATTTCTAATAAGTCATGATATTGACCGTGAATATCTCCAACAACTGAAATTGGGGATTGTAATGATATGATATTAGGAACTGATAATAATTCTGTTTTTAGCATGTGACATAATTGTTGAATAGTCTCTGGTGGTAGTATTTTTGGTGGTTTATGTTCTAATAATTGTTCTAGACAATAGTCTAGATCTGATATGGGGATATTGAAAGGTATTGTCATAAATCATTCAAATATTGGGCGGTGGAGGTGATAATAAGAGTTGATGATATTGTTGTTTTTGAGGAAAAGAATTTTGCGGAAGCTGATTTTTTTAGGTGAATCAAGTTTTGTTGGGAACCAAGACAGGGAAAGTTCTTTTGGTGATACTAGTTGTCGTTTTGATTTCGTCTTGATCTACTGTTATATGGATATTGTTGAATACTTTTCAAAATTAATTTCTTTTTCGAAAGACGTTATTTTTTACTTTTTTAAGGTTTAAGATTTTATAAATTTCTTTCACTTTTCTCTCTTAAAAATTTGAGACAATAATAAAATAATTTTTTATCAGAGTTAAAGATAACAATTAATTACTTAAGTGGTAATAGGTTATCTTAAGAGGTAAGTTATAAAGTACTTTTCTAATTTATAAATTCTATAAATTTTTATTTATACAATGTTCTAAAATATTTAAACCTTCATCAATAACTTCATTTGGTATGTTTAATGCTGGGACTAATCTAATAGTATTCATACCTGCAGTTATTACCAAAAGACCATTTTCTCTACAACAAACAACTATTTTATTTATTTCAACATTTTCTTTAAATTGTAAACCTAATAATAAACCTTTACCTTTGACTTTCAAAATTTTTTCAGGATGTGTTTCAGCTATTTTATTTAATTTTTTAAGAAATCTGTCTGATTTTTCATTTACTTTATTTAAAAATTCTTCATTTGCAATTTCATCAACTACATATGATCCAATTCTTGCACCTAAAGGATTACCACCATAAGTAGTTCCATGATCCCCAACAGATAAAACGTTTTCAACTTTTTCAGTAATCATTGTAGCTCCAATAGGAAATCCATTACCTAATGCTTTAGCCATTGTTACAATATCTGGATGAGCTTCTTTTGGTAAATGAGAATGAGCCCATAATTTTCCAGATCTACCTAACCCACATTGGATTTCGTCATATATCAATAATACATTATTTTCATCACATAATTTTCTTAATTCTATCAAAAAGGATTCATCAATTGTATTTACACCTCCTTCACCTTGTATTGGTTCTATTATAACAGCACAAGTTTTATCTTTTGAAATTAAATTTTTAACGCTTTCTATATCATTTGGTTTTGCAATATTAACACCTGGGATTAAAGGAGCAAAAGGTGCTTGATATTTTGGATTTGGAGTTATTGACAAAGCACCCATTGATCTACCATGAAATGAATTTTCAAAAGTTATAAATTCAGTTTTAGAATCACCACCATGAGATTTACCATATTTTCTTGCAAATTTCATAGCTGCTTCATTTGCTTCAGTTCCTGAATTACATAAAAACACTCTTGATGCATCATGTAATCCATCAAATTCTTTTGTTTTGTTGACTAATTTATTTGCTAATTCTCCAGCTGGTAAATTATAATATAAGTTTGAACAATGTAATAGCTTGGTGGATTGATCTTGTAATATTTCAGTTATGGCTTCATTTGAATGTCCTAGACATGTTACCGCTATACCTGCTGTGAAATCGATATATTTACGATCCTCTAAATCATATATGTATGAACCTTTACCATGAGTTAAAACTAGCTTAGGACGTGCATATGTTGTTACCGTATATGGTTCAGAAACTGTATTAACAAACTGTCCTGTATGTGAGTCATCATTTGCATCTGGTATATTTTCAAATTTTTTGATTGAAGTGGATGAATAGAATTTAAATGATGTGTTGAGAGCGTGTTGAGGCTTTATACACCTTAAAGTATTTTTTATCGTTACTGATCTTAACATCGTGAGAATATGTATGAATCTAAGGGTATTTTAATTCTTATTTGGTTGGTTAAAGTTAAAGAAGAAATTGAAAAATTATTTGAAAATTCTTTACATCTCGCGGTTAAGAAATTTGACTCAATAAAATTACTTAATTTAGATTTTGTACCACTAGATATCATTTCAGGTTAATCAATAAGTATTTAAAAAATCCAACTTCGACGACATAATCTACAGAACAGATCGAGGGAGGGAATTAGACTGGCTTAAATATGATTAACATGAATAACCACACCACGTATTTACATAAAAACTCCCAAGACCAAAACACTCCAAATTTAATTAAATTTCAGAAATGTTGTTTTTTAGTAGGTACTAATTGTACAATTAGCATTCTACAACTTTCTTTCAATAAGCAAACTAAATTTTGACAACATAAAATCTCTGATATTTCAGTCACTAAAAGTGAACTACATAGTATATAGAAAGTTTAAATATACATGTCGAAATCAAAAAGAAAAAAAAAAGATAAAAAAAAAGGTTTATTTAAATTCTATTTATATCAATTGTACAATTGCATCTTGAATTTGAATTATCTAATTGTTGAACTTCATTTTCAATGATTCTATTGACTTCAAATCTCATTCTTATTTCTTCATCTGAATCAGCACCTTTCATTTGTAGACTAACTCCAATGACATATAATTTATAATTGAACTTTGTTATAAATAATTTCTCAATTGTAAAATTTTGTTTGAAAAATTCTAATGATAATATTTGTTGATTAATTTTGGATATTAATAAGTCATATTGATAATCTGAAAATGGGAATGAACAAAGTAAAATTCCACCTAGTGATTTAACTAAATTCCAACCATTATATAAAATTAGACAAGCTACTAAACTTGTTGCACATTTGTTTATATCATATGCCAAATTTTTCACAAAGCTTTCGGGAATTAATGGTACAATCATTAAAAATATGACATAAGTAATTGTGATTAAATGTGTAGGGTAATTTTTCCATATTTTGATAAATTTTAGTAGTTGTGAACTTTTCTTTTCAACTGGACTAAAAGGGTTTGCAGTTCTTTCAGTTTTTGATGTTAGTAATTCATTGATTTTATCATACGCTAAAATTAAATTTGACGAGATTAATGAAACTGCCAAAGTAATCATTAAAATTGATTGGTAAGCTATCCAATTTTTGCTTGACCCATCCAGTTCATCATGAATATGATGTGATAAATGTTCATGATCTTGATGATCATCATGAGACACTACGGACAAAACAAATTCTTCAATAAAATGACTAAACAAATCAAAACTTAACATCACTAAAGAAGCACTTAACGCAAAACTTACTAAAACTTCAATACGTTCTAAACCAAAAGGATAAGCAATCGATGAATTATTCCATACTTCAAAATTAGACATTATATCAACCAAAGCTATAAAAAATGAACCTAATGCATCATAAAATACTAAATGAGCAACTGTTGATAATGAACTTATTTTGAATTTAAATCCGACAACAAATACTAATATTGATAATGCTACATGGAAACTAGCCCATATTAGTCTAAATTTTTGATGTTTTGTTATTGATGACAATGCTTCTTTATAATTTGGTATAGGATACAGGTCAGGTATAGATTTTAATTGATTATCGGTTATACTTATTGGTGGTGGTTCTTGAAATAAATTCATTGAAACTGATGAATGTTTGTACTTATGACCTTTTCTATGAGCTGGTTTCACTTGTAATGAATGATTTGATCCATTATTGTTCATGAACATTTCTTGTGATTGGAAATTAAAAGGGTTTGATATTTTTTTAGGTGATGATGATCTTCTGACTGGTGATTTGGATCTGTAATTTTTATTTAGTCTTACTGGTGATGTGGACCTTGATGGCGATGGTGATCTGTTAGTACTTGTATAATTTAGTACCGAGTCCATGGTTACTGAATTTCTTGATCTTGCTGTATTATTGAAATTAAACACTTTATTTTCTGTTCCATCTTCTGAAATAGAATTAAAAGAGTCCATTAAGAATGCTGACTTGGGTCTTGTCCTGGTAGGTAGAGTACCCCCAAATTGAGAATTATTTGGTGCTGATGATGGTGGTGCTAGTATTGGTGAGTTTGTTAATGACGAATTTGAATATCTTCTTGGAGTTGGTGGGCTCATTGGAGTATTCGAAAATTGAAATACATTTTGATTGAAGCTGTGTTTATCAATATTTGGTGTTGTAGTTGTACCATCTCCTAGAGAATCTGTTGAGAAATTAGCACTAGATAAAAAACTCAAATCTTTGCGGTTTGATGATGTTTCATTTTGATTATTTGATGTTTCAATATTATCATCTTCAATTATTATGGGAATAGATTGTTTAAAAATGTCTGAGTTATCATCCAGAATCTCCAGACTATTCCGTAGATTATTCATTTAAATTGATTTCATATATGCTATGGTGGTTATGCAAAACGCGTTTGATATCTTGAACTAAAAAATACTTCAATCTGAATATTACGCAAAAAGAGTAGTATTTGGTAGCTTTTGACAGCATAAATGAAACATTGAGTAAGAATAAACAATTCCTTTAAAGTGATTAGGATTGAAAATACTCGTGATCAAGATATTATACTCCAATTATCAGTTCAAGTCTCCGCAAAGTTGTATTTCATTTATTATTGAAATAGTATTTATAGATCTATTAGTAGTGTACAATAGACAAAAATAGTTCATGACAATGTAGAAAAGTCACGACAACTAAAAGAAACCGACATAGCTCACAAATTTTTAAATTTCAAAACGAAATCAAGAATTAATTTAAGATCTCGCTAAACCTTAAAAACAAGAAAGCAATAATGTTGTTTTTGTTCAATAGTTATAGTAATAATTGTGCTTTCGCAATCAACTTTAATGAAATTATTGTGCAAAATATTCTTAGTGGATAGTAACAAAATCAAATTTTCACAATTTGCCTTAAGCGACGAACAATATATTCTACAAAATGGCTTAGACGGACGGAAATTATAGAATTTGTGTTACTTTTGTACCATTTTGTAAAAGCGGGTTGGAAAGCGGTGGAAGTTATTAAAAATTTAAAATATCCGACGAACCTTTTAATTAAATTTTAATGCTTAACAACCAAATCTTTACCTCAATATTTAAGTTGTAAAAATAATAATAATATCAGGCTTTTCATGTGATTAAATAATTTTGAAGAAAGGGGATTAACGAGATCTAAATTGATCGAATTTCTTCCAAATTGGACAAAAAATTTGACTAGAATGAAAAGTGCGTAAATCATTTTAATCTCCTTATCTTATCCATGAGAAAAGATTGAACAAAATGTTAAATTCAACAAAATTTAGTCTTGAAACTGGAGTAAATATCCAATTCTCCAAATAAAATCTGATTTTTATTAATTTAAGCAAAAACCAAAACAATTTATTGTAGAGTAAGAAGAGTAAAAAATTACGTCGAAAATCTTGACAAATAACATACTTACATTGCAGCAAATTGTACCTAAGTTTGTACTGTTGAAGAAAAAAAGAAATTAGTCCTTCATAATACTTGCTTCTTAAATTCCCAATGAACTCCATTTAATAATATAATGTTAGTGAAAAGGGTAGGTCAGGCTTGTTTAGGTAAATTACTGATAAATACTAGAAATTTGTCGAACAATAAAGAACAAATTAAAAAATTATTGTAATAATCATCCAAGTATCCGCTCATAACAATTTGCAAACATTATTGAACGATTATTTTTGTTTTTGTTTCCTATAAAATCTATTGAAAATTAAAAGCGGAATACATTTTAAAATAAATTTTAATTTGTTTCACAATTCATATTTTTTTCTTGTCTTAAAAATAATCTTATTTATATACAGTACCATAATAATAATAAATATTACTGTAGATCTTAATTTTTTTTTTATGTAATAATTATTAAATTCAATTTATGTATTTTAGCATTTAATATTTACTAAAATTTACTAAATGTATTCTGATTCTACTAAATTGTTCTCTTGATTTTGTTACTATATTACTAAATAGATATTGAATGAGCAATCGAGTGCTTTATTGATGAGAAAGATAATCAATAAGTTTTTTCTCTTTGTTTCTCAAATTATTTTCCAACATTTTTGATGTCAAAATATTATATTTCATTTTTTTGTTTTATTTTATAAATATTATATTATTTTAATTGAAACAAACGTTTGCTATGCATAATGTATAGGTAGGAAATTTCAAAAGGGTCACATGTTTACTCAAATGGGTTGAGATATTTTATCAAAATATTCGCTATTTAATAAAAATTTCTTGGAGAATCTATTTTTAGATACAAATATAGAAATACATCAAATTTGAATTTGAGTAGTTAACAAGTTCAGTGATTGAACTATTAACTTTAGAGTTAATCTCAAGGTACAATGTCAATTCACTTACCTTACATATATTTAAGTTCATGAACGATACAATAATACAATACCTGCATTTTTCTTCTGCAAATTTCTTAATTTACTACTCTCATAATCTTTATTTTATTACGAAGTTGACAGAGAAAACCGAAGTAAAAAAAGAAAAGAAACTAGATAAAAATTATTTAATCCAGTTTGCCTCGAGAATATTTGGAATGAAAGAGAGATAATTCAATGCGTAGCATTTTATAAATATGCACGAAAAATTTTATGTAGTTGAGTGATGGCATAAAAACTAAATAATAAATGAATTAACAGCTTAATAGCAAGTTAAAAATAAAAAAATGTTTTATGAAATACTTGTATAATATTTCAAAATGAAAATAACTTCTTATTAAAATTAAAATCAGAATTTTTTAAAGCTTTTTTCATGAGGAGTTGTTTCAGTTCCAGATAATTATTTGGAAGTAGATCAAAAGGTAAGTTTTTTATATCAATAGTTCACTACTATCTTGCTTAATTTATTTCAATAAATTAGACCCCTTCTTTTTTTCTCAATTTATTAAAAAGATTTTATTGATCAACTAAAAAAGTTTAATTTTTCTTAGCTACACAAAAGCGCAACTTAAAAAAAATCTATTTTATATAGTACTAAATTATTTATTAACTACCGAGTTTTTATTCACCTATTTGCATATGGAAAATTGAAATTGAAAACCCATTGGCACCAAACAAAATTTCATTTAATAAACAAACTCTAATGTCCGATTGTGCCAAATACATTTGGATACATTTGGGGAATTAAGTAGAAGGAAGTGGTACAAAAATTGATCAATCTTAGTACAAAAGGAAAAGATCTATTAAAAAATTTAAGTATTTAATCTAATTTGATAATATTAAAAACAATAATATTGAATTTTGTGATTAACTACAAAATATTTCATATGTTCAATTAGTAATTTATTAGTTAGTGGGGGTTGTAATTATGCTAGTATTAGTTTGAGTAACACTTTTTATTGAGTTTGTTTTGATATTTCTTATTGAAGAAAAGGCATTAAAACGGAGATATCACTTTGAAATTTTTTTTCGGTTATTAAGAGTATTGTTCATGAAGCTCTCTGATTTTTGTTCTTATTTGACTTATACTTCCCTAAAATAATATGCCAAATTGAAATTGAAAAAAAACGAGCTAGTGAGTGATTTTACAGAAGACAGCGTTTACAATTTTGCATAAATTAGTAATTATTAAATTGACTGAACTCATGTTAATGTATATTAGTTTAATCAATAAAAAGATCTTTTATCTCATTAAATTACTATCTTACACAAAACCACTACCAAAAAAAAAAAAACACTGCAATAAAAGGATTTGCAAATTCTATTTTTGCCGTATCTACAGTTTTTTATTGCTTATTTGTACTTTATATTACTGCTACTTTGTTTATTTAGCTTATTTTCTATTGTTTATTATTTACTATTTACTTAATTAATTTGTTATTGTTACTCTATTTAGGTTTTTCATTAAGTAAACTAAATTTAAGTATTTTTTTTCTTTTTTTTCAAACAAAATTTTTTTTCTAATTTTGCAATCAACTGAAAATATAAATATCACAAATAATTCCGATTTTTATATTCTTCTTCTTTTTCTCTTTTTTTCTTAATTAAGTTCATTAAACTCATTCATTCGCTTAATTATTACAATGCAATTCTCAAAAGTCGCTTTATTATCAGCTGTTTCAGGTTCAGCTTTAGCTTCATGGTCAAATAGTACCGTAACAGATATCTCAACCAAAATTATAACCATCACATCTTGCTCATTAAATTCTTGCGTTGAAAAAACAATCGAAACCGGAGTCACTACCGTCACTGAAGTTGATACTACTTACACCACTTACTGTCCATTACCAACTACTGAAGCTCCAGTCCCAGCATCAACTGTCAAAGAAATTGAAACCGTCACTGCTACAATTACTAGCTGCTCAGAAGATAAATGCACAACCAAAGAGGTTCTTACTGGATTAACCACTTTGACAGATGTTCATACTACCTACACTACTTACTGTCCATTACCATCAACTGAAGCTGGTAAACCAGCTGTTTCACCAGAAACTCATGCTCCAGCTCCAGCTACCACTGTTGCCGCTGAATCATCACCAGCTGCTTCTGAAACCACTGTTGTTTCAAAATCAACCGTTGCTGCTGAATCATCTGCTGCTCCATCACCAGCTCCAACTGTTGTTGAAGGTTCAGCTGCTAAAGCTGTCCCAGCCTTAGCCGGTTTATTAGCTTTAGGTGCTTTCATTTAAATTTAAAATAAATTAATAAATAATTTGTTTTATTTAATTTTTAAAAATTTAATATTTATTGTTTTTATTGTTGCATCTTAATTTTTAATAAATAATTCTTAATTCAATTTACAAGATTTATTTGTGAATATTTAATTCGGTTTTCTGTGAATCAACAAGGAAGGAAAAGGAGGAACTTTTTTATATTTTTTTTTGGTTTATTATTATTATAAAAAATAATGGTGAATAATTTTAGCTGATACAACTTTTAAATGGGGTATTGGTATGAAATGGTTTTCTGTATGATATAATGCTACTATATTTTTTGTTAGATTATTTTCATTTTAATTGCTTTATCTTTGAAAGTTCAATTGGTATAAATTTAATACATTAATTTTGTTTTCGTTAATAGTTGGAACTTGTAGATTTTGAATAACTCTTGTGGAGGAAGTTTTTTTAAATTAAATACCCCTTAAATTGGATCAGTTCCAGAGTTTCTTATATACAGGGATTAATTTGCACAAACCTTGATCGGAAAGTGTCAGTAAAGTGTTATTACCCAGGGCAAATAAATGTACTGATGCTCTCGTATTTTGAATGGGATAAAGTGTAGTTTAAAGAATTGAAAATCAATTTTCGAATAACTTTTTGTCAAAATGACATCAATACATTATATATTACAATTAATTTTACAAATAAATATCATCATTTAAATCATGAATAGGCAATTCTTGCTTTACATTTACATCCTTCATTTCCTCTTCTCTAGTATCATCATCATCGTTGATCAATTTCTTTATGTTTAAATCCAATTTATCTATATTTAATTCATTTACACCATAGATTTTTATATTTTTTAGATTTACATTTGTTGAAAATTTGAAATATAAATCCTTACCAAATATCTGATAATTTAAAAATCTTAGTGGTAATTTTATATGATTTATTCCTGGTTTCAAAGTTGATTCTTTTATGAATTTAAACTTTGATGTATTTATATTTGTTGAATTTATAATTGGATATTTCAAGTTATCAAAATCTGTCTTGGTTTTTGGTTTAAATCCAAACTCACAATTCAATTTTGAATTATCACTAGATTTTAGTTCTATTACTATATCTGTAGGTATAATAGATTTACTGAGTCTGATCCCAATTTCATCACCACCTTTCCATGTAATGTCATCATCTATTATAACATGATTTGCATTATCTTCTTGATTTACATTTGAACTGAATAAATCTAACCAACCTAAAAACATTTTCTTGACTATATCAGATTTATTTTTCGTCGATGTTAAAAATCCTAAAATTCTTGCTCCATTATTAAAATCTGCATAGTTTATATAATTTGAATTTTGCAAAATGGATTCAATTATTGTATTTAATATTATAGGATTTTTAGTTGAAATAGTATCATTGAATAAATTTAAATCACTGAGTTTAGATTCTAACTTTGATTCAATTTCTGATTTTACCGATTCAACTGATTTTGTAATTAGATCATTTATACTATCTAAATTAGGATTTATTGGTGATTCAATCTGTTCATTTGACTTCTGGTAATTCTCCATAAACTGATATAAATATTGATGAAATTCTGGAGATACTTGTAATTGACCATGTTTTAGACTAACTGGAATTAATTCAGCTGAATTTGATCCAGATTTTATTTTCTCTATACTTGTCTCTAATTTTGAAAATTTTGATTCAATTTCAAAATTTTGATTATTTAATAAATCTTCGAGATAATTGAGTCTAGTTGATATTTTCCTTTTCTCCAATAAGTTGAAGTTGAAAAGTTGTGACCCATCTTTAATAAAAAAGAAAGTAATTGTTAACAGAAATGTAATGATAAAAATTAAATTAAATCTTAGTAAAAGTGATTTTGTAAATTCATAATTGCTTTTTGATGTATTTGTTGGCCTTAAAGACTCCTGTTTTGCGTTATTAATTTGTTCAAAAACAGTAGGAGTTTCCAATTCTTCACCATCTTCTTGATCATAAAATTTTGGCTCTTTTCCAAAATTGTGTCCCTCATGATCTTCATCATCGTCAAATTCTTCATCTTCACTGAACTCACCATTGAATGTTTCATCTCCATCACTAAATATATAATCTTTATCATATTCTTCCACATAATTGTCAGTATTACTATAATCAAAATTTGAATTTAAATATTTCAAGTAAGATTTATTTAAATCTATTTCATCAATTTCTTTCTCCAAATCATTATTATCTATATTATTTATAGTCATTGATATTTCATTTTCTATATCTGATTTATTTCGAAAATTAAGATCTTTATATGGTGAATGTAGTGTTGTACGATTTTGTGATATCCCGTTGTTTTGATAATTAGTAAAATGATCTGGTGATCGTAGTGGATTTGATTTACCAACTATTCTTCTTATATTAATTGAATTTTCATCATCTGAATTTCCGGTATACCTGGGTATCATTGGGAATCCCAGAGGTTTTTTAAAAGTTGACATTGTTCAGAACTGATTTATTTAATTACGTTTTCGTGTCAAAAAAAATCTTAATGTCCTTTATTTTTTTTTTTTTCAAAACGCGTTTTTTAAAATTAATCAATGTAGAATCACTTTACAAACTAATGAATCCTGAAATTTGATTGATCAAGCTCTAGTATTTCTCACAGGATAACTCAATACGACAGACTGACTAAAGCCTGTTAGATTAGATAATAGGATTAGCGAGTTCGCCCTTGATAAGCCAGATTGAAGCATACAATAAATTACTTCACATCCACAATTTGTTTAGCTGACGTGAAAATTTACTTTCTAATTAGAATTAATCTTCGCTCTCAATGATTTTCGTTAATCAGGTTTATATGAAAGCAAAGTAGTAGTTTTGCTGAAAAGAGTCTCTTATAATTAAAAAATTAGAAAATTTCAAAAATAAAAAAAGTAAAGTTTCAGCTACTTAAGAACAAAACGGAATTAAAACTTGGTCATATATAAAGCATGACTAACTATTAATGGTTCAAAAGTCTAGCCAATCACTTTTCCTGAGATGAATTTCAAGAAACAGCGTTTATTAAGAGATACATCAACTTATTGACAAAAGATTTTAAATTTGGTTTGCGTCAAATTTACTGATCAATTACCTTTTGTGAGATTTACAACGATAAATCAGGTTCTCAGAAGATCCAAGAAAGATTTGAATCTTCATCTCCTAAAATTTGAGCTAGTGGCCGTAATTAGAAATTACAAGTGAATTGGCTATCATCTTCTTCTTCAGAAACTTCGAAATTTGTTGTTATAATATTGTTTCCTAGAATTTGATATTCAAAATTTTTATACGAATCATTTTGATAATTCAATTTATAACTTCTTGATAGTGACTACCACATACAATTAGTTGCTGATGTGCAATGAGTGGAAGGAAATGAGCTTTCGCAAGATTTGCAGTAGTGGACGATTGTGAGGATTTTGACCGAAACATCTTTTAAACCATTTCTGAAATGATTATATGTAATATTCTTGGTGGAACCTTACTGAACCAATTGAGATTATAGAATAAACAATAGGTGTTGAGTCCATAATGGCCAAGTTTAAGGTATATTCCATCGATCGTCATATATTTCATATTTGTCGCTATTGCAGATTTTAAAAACCTCGTAAAATTGTGGCTAGTGCATGTAAAGGGAGAAAAATTCTAAAAATAAGAGGAAAATTCTTAGTTATTACAAAAAAAGTTTCAACCTTGTATTTATTCACTCGTAATATATTTATATAAACAATTTATAATTTCTTTAATAAATTTTCAGCACTTGAAATTTCGGTGAAATTACCTTCACTTTCGTTTCCTAAGTATTTAATAATTCCATTTTCAACAATTGCTGCATATCTTTGTAATCTTAATCCCATACCAGCTGAGCTCAAATCCATGACTGAATCTTCACTCAATTCTTTTGAAAGCTTACCTTCTGGGTCAGTTGCAAATATTACATAGTTGTCTTCATCATCAACACCTGCATCTTTGAATAATGCTTTTCCAAATGCTGCATTAACAAATGGATCGTTAACAGACAAAAATATGATATTCTTAACGCCTTTATCTTTAAATTGCTTGATATGCTTAATATAATCAGGTAAGTGACTGGCCAGGCATACTTTTGTAAAAGCACCAGGGTATCCGCTAATAACAACTGTTGAGTCTTTAAATTCAGATTTTAAATCTAATGTTTTTGGTTCACCCGCTTGTAAAATTTTCAAGTGATTTTTATCAACAGGTACATATTTCAATGGAATATTTGTAGGGAATTGATCGTTTACTGACATCTTATATATATGATTATGTTGGCTTTATGAAGATTCTCGACTGAACAAAATTATAAAAGAAATGGTATTTTGAAAGAATTATGACCTATTTATATTCTTTGGTGAAATAGTTTTAATTACAAATTATAACGTGGGTTCAGGGGTGAAAATATAAGTATAATAGTTATTAGCTTATTTAATCATAGAATTAATCATATAAATTTAAAAGGGGAAAATTCAAATTATTTAGTCTGTACAATTTAAGAGCAATTCTAAAAACTTCTTTCCAGTTAAGTTGCAAAACCCCACTAAATCCCTATTGGATAAATAAAAAATCGCACCGATCAAACAGTATTAGTTGTTTCCGTTCCGCGATTCACAATTAATGCAATGTGTCAAAATAGTACTAGACGTGGTATTGTTTGTTGAAAAATTGGTAGTATGACTTAATTAATAACAAGTTGTTGTACAATTGCAATTGGCACTAGAAATTGACAAAATAATACATCATTTTGACAAACTTGAAATTACTTTCGGACTTTCAACGAGACAATAGTTTTAGTCGTTTATAACTCAGGATTACAATGATCCGTTGAAATGTCGATTTAATTCTAAATTTGACCGTCAACAAACTTTAATTACTTTACCTTATTTTAAAACACCAATTACATAACCGTACAGTATAAATTAAAGTGACTGGCTTTCGCTTGTTCGCTCGACATTCTTACCCTTTATTACCTTTAAATTGGCATTTGCATAATTTGACGAGCTCCCCCATTTTAAATACAACAAAAACCATGTAGTTGTCTTTGTTTGAAAATCCAAGTCCCTTTTAATTTCCTATTGCATATAGAAAAAAAATTACAAATACTACAATCAGAATTGAACAGTAAGGAATATGTACATTTAGCTGAATAGTTTACTTATCACATTTCCAATGATTGCAAATAGATAAGCCCCAACCAATAAAGTAATTGGCCATTGTTGCCATGGTCTATCCCAATCCAATGGGATTGGAATTACACCTAACCAACAACCAGCTAAAGTCATTAAAACTTGAGATAAGATTGGATGACTAAAAATCGTATAATATACATGTTCTTCATCAAATAATTTTTTAGATTGATTAAAATTTAATGAATATAATATTAATAAAGGATTGAAAATCAATTGTGATAAATGTAATGATAATGTAAAAGTTTTTAATGAATATTTATAAACTGGAGCTCCCATTAATATTATGATAAAAAACATTGGTATTGATAATAGTAAACTAACCAAAATACTAGATACCACAAGCAAAGGTTTATTATCATTTTTGGATTTCTTAACAACATTAGTAGCCAATATATAATTGTAAATAGCATGTATTGGTAAGCTTGTTAAAAACGTTTTAAACATCACTCCTTCAACATCTTCCGTAATTCCATAATAAAACATAACCCAAATTATAAGTATATTTTGTATAGGTATTGTTATAATTGAATTTTTTAAACGTGGAACAACTGCTGTGGTTTCTGTATTTTGTTGATGTGATTGATGTGGTGAGACTCCATTGACGTCTTGTCTGAATGATACAGTCTTCTTCATCGGTTTCGGTCTATCATATTCTTTTTCTAATTGTATAGATCCTCTTTTCATTCTTGAATTGGTAAGTAACTGATTTAAAGTTGATAATTATTTTTTAACTTGATTTCAATTTACGAGATTTCATTAAAAATCAAATACGATTTGAAATTTTGATTTTATTAATTTTACAACCAAATATAAATTCATCCTAAAATGGATGCCTATCAAGAATTCATAGATCCTTCGAGGATAACGAGTTGTATAGGTTGTAATTTTATATCACCTACAACCAAGAATTTAATACTCGCAAAGGGATCTATACTCCAAATATTTGAAACGATCTTATTAAAACAATCTACAACCAACAAACCACAATATAGACTAAAATTGATTGAACAATTTAAATTACAAGGAACTATAACTGATCTTAAATCTATAAGAACATCAGAATCACCAGACTTAGATTATGTTTTGGTATCAACCAAATATGCCAAATATTCAATAATTAAATGGAATCATCAAGCACATTCTATATCAACCGTGTCACTACATTATTATGAAAATTGTATTCAAAATTCAACATTTGAAGAATTAGGAATATCAGAGTTAATCTTGGAACCTACTTATAATTCAGTTTCATGTCTTCGATATAAAAATTTGCTATGCTTTTTACCATTTGAAGGTATAGATAATGAAGACTATGATGATGATGATGATGACGATATTGAAGAAGACGAAGATGAACCAAAAACTAATGGGAATTCAAAAGAGGAGATCAATCAATTTTACGATGCGAGTTTCATACTAGATGCCCTGAATTTAGATTCTTCTATTGATACAGTAGTGGACATGCAATTCTTACATAATTATCGAGATCCTACTATAGCAATACTATCACAAAGGACACATGCGTGGGCGGGAAATTTAATGAAAACAAAGGATAACATCCAATTAACATTATTGACTTTAGATTTAGAATCAAAATCAACTTTGCCAGTTTTCAAAATAGATAATTTACCATATGATGTTGATAGAATAATATCATTACCACAACCATTGAATGGATGTTTATTAATTGGGTGTAATGAAATATTACATGTTGATAATAGTGGATTAGTAAAACGTATTGCAGTAAACCAATTCACATCTTTAATTACATCATCTACTAAAAATTATCAAGATCAATCAACTTTAAACTTAAAATTGGAAGATTGTTGTGTTGTACCAATCCCCGATGATCATAGAGTTTTGTTGGTGACAAATCACGGAGACTTTTATTTTATAAATTTTGAATTAGATGGTAAATCAATAAAAAAAGTGTTTTTGGAGCCTGTTGATAAAAAGATGTATAACAACATTAAGCTAACATACCCAGGTGAGGTCGCTTCTTTGGACAAAAATCTATTATTTTTTGCAAATATGAATGGTGATAGTCCCTTGGTTCAAGTAAAGTACAAAAACTCTTTAAAAGTGATCGAAACCGAGGAGGAAGAAGAAGAGGAACCGAAAGAAGATTCTGATGACGATGATTTATATAAAGAGGAAGAAGAAGAAGAGCAACAAAAAGTACTTAGAAAGTCCCATATTGAATTTGTCATTCAAGATAAATTGGTGAATAATAGTCCAATTTCGTCCTTCACATTGGGGTTATGTTCTCGAGAGAAATTTAAATGCAATTTACCTAATCCAAGTTATAACGAAGTACTGATTATAAGTAATTCCGGATCTCATGATCAAGGTAAATTAAATATTATAACGCCAACTATACAATTAGACATCTCATCTTCATTATCGTTTTCACAAGTCAACCGTATGTGGAATTTAAATCAGAAATTTTTAATTACTTCAGATGACATAAATGCAAAATCTGAAATTTTTCAAATTGAAAAACTGTATACTAGAATGAAATCAAAAGATTTTATAAATGATGAATTAACAATCAATGTTCATGAATTAAATAATGGGAAATTTATTTTACAAATCACACCAAAACAGATATTGTTATTTGATTCTAAATTTAAAGTAAGATTGAATTTAAATGAGGAAATCAAAAATGATGAAATTTTGAGTAGTACATTACGTGATGAATTATTAATGATTTTTTTGGCAAGTGGTGATGTTATGATTTTTTCCATAAATACTTACAACGAATCATATTCCAAAATTAGTATTCCCAAATTATTAGAGGATACAATTATCACCACAGGTTATATCACAAGCTCTCATTTATTAAATGCTGTACTGAAAAATGTTGAGCTTCTAACAAATTCAAGGAAAAGAAGATATAATTCAATTACCACCATCACTCAAAAAGCAGAACCACCTAAATCTCAAAAGCAAAAAATCTTTATCTTAGTTACTGGTGATAATAGAATAGTTGCATTTAATAGACATCATAATGAAAAATGCTTTCAATTAAATGATGTTTCAAAATTCAGTGATCATTTGGAATTGAGTTTCTTTGATATAAATCAAGCACCGCCAGATCCATTTATCAAACAAGTTATACTAAATGATCTTGGAGATAATGATCACAAAGAAGAATATTTAACAATACTTACAATTGGTGGTGAGGTATTTTTGTACAAGTTGTTTTTTGATGGTGAGAATTATGTATTTAAAAAGGAAAAAGATTTAAAAATCACTGGTGCTCCTGAAAACGCATTCAATGCTGGGACAATGATTGAAAGAAGACTTGTTTATTTCCCAAATTTAAATGGCTTTACATGTATATTCGTTACCGGGCTAATACCATTTCTTGTGATGAAAAATTGTCACTCCATACCGAGAATCTTCCAAGTTTCCAAAATCCCAGCTGTATCAATTTCCGCATTTTCTGATTCCAAAATCAAAAATGGGTTGATCTTTTTAGATGATAAACAAAATGCTAGAATTTGTCAATTGTCGTTGGATTATAATTATGAATTCAACCTACCAATTAAACATGTACATATGGGAGAGCTGATCAAATCTGTTACATATCATGAGCAATCAGATATGTATATTGTTTCTACATTTAAAGAAATACCATATGATTGTATCGATGAAGAAGGTAAAACTATAGTTGGTGCTTATAAAGACAAACCTTCTGCCACTTCGTTTAAAGGATCAATAAAATTAGTTTCCCCATATAATTGGACCGTAATTGATACGATTGAATTGCAAGATAATGAAGTTGGAATGACTGTACAATCAATGATTTTAGATGTTGGATCATCAGTTAAAAAAATTAAATCTAAAAAGGAGTATATTGTAATAGGTACTGGGAAATTAAGAATGGAAGATTTAGCTGCAAATGGTTCTTTTAAGATTTATGAAATTATTGATATTATACCTGAGCCTGGTAAACCGGAAACAAACCACAAATTTAAAGAAATTTTTCAAGAAGATACAAGAGGTGCTGTAACCAATATATGTGATTTAAGTGGAAGATTCTTAGTCGCACAAGGTCAAAAGATTATTGTACGTGATTTACAAGATGATGGTGTAGTCCCAGTTGCATTTTTAGATACTCCGGTATATGTTTCGGAAGCTAAAAGTTTTGGTAATTTATTAATGTTGGGAGATCCTTTGAAAAGTGTTTGGTTGGTGGGATTTGAAGCAGAACCTTTTAGAATGGTCATGTTGGGTAAAGATACTCAACATTTGAATGTAGAAAGTGCTGATTTTATTGTAAACGATGAAGAAATTTACATTTTGGTTGCTGATAATAATAATGTATTGCATTTAATACAATATGATCCTGATGATCCTTCATCAATCAATGGTACAATCTTGTTGAATAAAGCATCATTTGAAATTAGCTCAACATCGACATGTATGAGATCAATTCCAAAGGGAGATTCTGGAAATTATCAAATTTTGGGTTCAACCTTAGATGGATCTTTTTATAATGTTTTCGCATTAAATGAATCCACATATAGAAGAATGTATATATTACAACAACAATTACTGGATAAAGAGTACCACTTTTGTGGGTTAAATCCAAGATTACATAGATTTGGATCTTTGGTTATGAAAGATAATGAAATGAATAGTAGACCAATTTTAGATTATAGCTTGATAAAAGATTTTACCAAATTAAATCTTGATAGACAAAAGAATTTGGCTACAAAAATTAATGTTAAAGGTTCAACTCAAGAAATTTGGAAAGATATCATCGAGTTAGAATATTCTTTAGAGGATTTATAGGTCAATAAAAGTTTTGATTTTATCTACGATATTAGTTCACTCTATCTTTATATTATATAATATTACAAATTAAAATACACATTAAATATTGAATACCGAAAAATTGTCTTTATGTTTATCATATGAATAATAAGAATGAAATCAAAGCTGCCATAAACCCACCAGCACCAAAAGTTCCAGCAAGAGCAACACCACCCTCATAAGTAGTTATACTATAAGAATCAACAGTATTTGAGCTTGATTGAACTTGTGAAGTTTCTTGAGAAACTTGTTCTATAGTTGGAGTTTGAGTCACTATATTATCAGTAATAACATTAATTGTGACTGGAACTTTAGATTCTACGGCAATTGTATTTTTTACTGTTTCTTGTGGCTCTGATTTAATTGAAGCTGCAGAAGGTTGTGAACTTTTTACTGTTTCTTGTGGTTTTAGTTCAAGTGAAGCTGAAGATGATGATTGTGGAATTTCACTAATTGGGCAATAAGTTGTATAAACTGTATTGATGTTACTAATAATCTTAACACCTGTGGTTTCTTTTGATACTTCAGAACATTTGTTCTCACTACATGATGTGACTGTGATAATTTTAGTAGAATATTCAGTATGATCTGATCCTGCTCCGTTAGTTGATGATAAAGGTACTGGTGCAACTGATGAAGATTCTTGTGAAGGTAATGGACAATAAGTTGTGTAAACAGTATTATCTGAAGAATAAACTTTATAACCTGTTGTTTTTTCTGCAATTGAACATGAACCTTGTGAGCATGTAGTAATTGTTAATAATGTTGATTTAACGTCTGTTACTGTTGAATCAATTCCATTAGCTGATAAAGTAACCGATTTAGCTGGTCCTGCAATACTGCTTGGAGATGAATCTTTAGTAGATGCTGATTTAGCTGGTGCTACGACAGTGCTTGAAAATGATTCTTTAGCAGATGGTGAAACCTTTATTGAACCTTTAATTGTAGTTAAAGTTGAAGTTGAAGTAGCAATTATTGGTGAAGAATAAGTAACCAGACCTGGATTGGCGGCTGCTGATGATGTTGGAGTTGCTGACTCGATGGTTGATTCAACAGGTACCAAAGTTGTGACAACAGTTAAAATACCATTTATAGTGGTTGTATAAGTTGTTAATTTTTCTAAATCAGTAGTGACATAACAATGTCCGTTTGAATCACATGTGGTATAAGTAACTTGAGATAAATCTGTTTCATAGTCTGTTTCATATTCATAAGACGTTTGATGTTTTTTAGAACTTGAACTATAAAATGTAGTTTGCTCTGAGCCTGCTTGAATAGATGATGTTGAACTATTACCATAAAATACTGAAGACAGTTTTGGTAATACTGGAATATTTGAAGCTGTGGAAGAACATGATGAATAAGTTGATATAGTGGTTGACCTTATTGTTGCAACCTCTGATAATGCAAAAGTAGTTGATATTAAAACACTTAATGAAAAAATTCCTTTCATTTTGTAAAAGTTTGTTTGAACGTTTGATGAACCAAAAAAAGAAAGTGAAAAATAATTGTTATTTCTAGAATCTAGGACATGTAGGTATTTATAATTTGATTGTCATAAGATAACAATAGAAGGTTTGTCACATATTTTCAAAAACCAGCTTAATAGCAACAATCAAAGTTTGTGCTTGCTTATGTCTAAATCAAGATCTAAAATTGACGTGTGATTCGCGTGTGGATCATGTTATAATAAAGTTTAAAATTTAAAATGAAATTTTGAAACATGGCTGGTATGCGATCTGTTTTGATTGCAAAAACTCAAACTGGCTGGAACAACCAGATTTGGTAATATGCGCGGCTTCGGAAAAATTAAATTAAGAAAGAAAAAAATTAAAAAAATAAAAATTATACCGAGATACGTCAAACATAATAGAATAGAAGCTTAGAGCATTACGAATTACGACCATCTTGCTATCCAAATGACAATCAAACTGCGATAAAAATATACGAATCCAGAGATTTACATTGTATTTTGTTGCATGATACTCATTTCGTATTCCCCCACTTTTATAATTACATCACTAAATCTAAATTTTAAGCATAACAATTGCAAGTCATGAGACTAAATGCCTTACTTTTCACATTTACTATATTCATACTAAAATTTGTCTGCTCCACTATACCCCAAAGAGAATATATCAAGGAATTTGATGATTCAATAATACAACAAACATTGGAGAAACTGGTTTTTTCGCTAATATATTTTTATTCAGATTCTTGTAAATTTTGTCAGCAATTTGATCCAATTTTTGAAAATTTAAGTGTTTTATACAACCATAATAGCAAGTCAAGTTCCAGATTTCAAATTTTGAAAACCAATGCTAGAAGCAATAAAAAATTAAGTCAGTTATTCAAAATCCAACACTACCCATCTATAAAATTATTGGATTATTCAACCAAAAAAATCGAATCATTTGAATACAATCGAGAATTACAAACCTTGATTACCTATATCGAACATCATGTATCAATACAGCCAAATTTTGATAATTTCGAATCAAAATTACAAAAATTTAATGACTTGAGTACAACACTTATTAAAGCCAATGATCAATTAATAATATTTACAACTTCTTTCCTAAGTGACTGGAAAGACATACAATATCCAGCACATTTCATACAAAATTTAGCATTGATTTATCCACACCTTGACATAACAGTAATATATTCTGACGAATTAGAAGATTCTTCAATTTTACAATATTTTGATGTTAGCAATTTTCCAAGTGCTGTTTATTCGAGAAATGGACTGTTTCAAACTTTAAATACAAATTCACAAAACTACATGAAAAATAATGAATTAAATGAAGCTCAATTGAAAAAATTTATTGATACTATAAATGATTCTGAAAACGTTTGGTTTGATGAAAAATTTATGAAAAATGCCAAAGAAAAAGATAATAAAGTACAACAAGTATCGGGATTAAGTAAACTACAAGGTCTAAATAATGAAGTTATAGATAATGAAGAAGATGATGATATATTAGAACATATAGAATTATAGCTCAAATTAAGCAGTTGTGGTAAATTATATACCAATCCTGTATATAAAACTATTTTTGGAAAATTGACGTGTTGAAAATTAAAGTTTCAATTTCTCGTTATATTTTTTAATTTTTTATTAAAGATAGTGTTTGTATTTATTCAACAACTAATCAATTATTCATATATTCATCAATTGATTCAATATCTAAATCAACTTGTCTAACAATTACTATTTAAAAATAAACTGACAACTCCAAGATGAATATTTTTAGATTCTTTGGTGATCTTTCACATTTAGCTAGTATATTTATACTATTATATGCAATTGAAACAAATAGATCAATAAATGGTATATCATTAAAAACTCAAGCATTATATGTTGTTGTATTTATAACAAGATATCTTAATTTATTTACAAAATTTTATTCATTATATAATACTTTACTCAAGATTATTTTCATAACAAGTTCGATTTATACTGTTTATGTAATGATTTATAAATATCAAAAATCTATTACAAATCATGTTGATACTTTCCCGGTTAGATATTTGGTAGGTGGAGCACTTATTGCAAGTTTAATTTTTACACATAAATATACACCAGGTGAAATAATATGGAGTTTTAGTTTATGGCTTGAAGCAGTTGCTATATTACCACAATTATATATTTTACAAAGAACGGGTGAAGCAGAAAATATCACTACTCATTATATTTTTGCCTTGGGGTTATACAGAGCTTTATATATTCCAAATTGGATTTATAGATATTTTGCTGAAGGTCATTTAGATTATGTTTCAATTTTATCAGGACTTTTACAAACTGCTGTTTATTCAGATTTTTTTTATATTTATTATAATAAAGTATTAAAAGGAAAAAAATTTGAATTACCGGTATAGTATTAGTTTATAGGTGAATATATATATACAACATGTATTTCAATTCTAATCTCTTTTCAATGGATAATATTCTGTTCTTACTCCATCTTTTGTTACAATCATTATTTCTAAACCATCACCAACATATATATGTCTTTCACCAGCTGATGTGAATGCATCTCTTACCAACTGTATTACTTCTTCCAAAGGTAAATCATGTACTTTTACTCTTTCTTTACCATCAGTACCAGGTACAAATTGATTCTTAAAATTAACTTGATTATCCAAAAATGGCATAATTAAACTAGCTGCTGCACCACCAGCTCTACATTTTTCTCTTTCATAACTTCCAACTGGATCATAAGAATATACTGCACCTTTACCTTCATCATCTAAACCAGCAATTAATGTACTTACATAAAATGGGAAAAATCTTTTACCATACAACAAATGTTGAATATATCTTGCAGCACTTTTAATTTCTAATTTTCTATTTTCATTATCAAATTTATACCATATAAAAGATTGTTTAAATTTATCAATTAATGCAACTCCATCAGCTGCAAAACCATTTGCAGTCATTAATATATTATCACCAACATTATGTATTTTAGGTTCATATCTTGATTGTATGGAATATCCTTCAACTTGTCTTGTATCTCCTGCTAATACCGCAAAATCAGCTCCCGCAATTCCCAACACTGTTCCACCATTATCTGAATACGGATTAAATCTATGTTCTATTGGTACTGTATTTATTTCTGCTGAATACTCAGATGCAACTGTCGTTTGTCCAGACATTGTTTTTGGTGTGTTATGTTATTATTTATTTGGTTCAATTGGTAAAATTAATGGTAATTGTTGTGAAGTCTATGTTGATAAATGCTTGATGTCTCTTGGTGAAACATTAACAGTTCGCCACTTTGAAAATCAGATATCAGAAAAATTCAGGGCTACCAAGAATCTGCGATATTTTTAGTAGTGCGCGCGTTTAACGACTATAACAATAATTTTTACAATTTCTTTATAGACTTTACAATTATCAATTTATCACAATAAGCAAAGCATTGTATCTATGAAAATCTCTACTAAAAAGCAAAATATTCCTTAAATCTTGTATCATATATCAATAATAGTATCTTCTTCAATTATTGAATTTCTATAATCATCTTTTAAATGATTTCTCAAAATGGATAACCACACTCCCATTGTTGCACAACTTTTAACATTTAAATTTCCTCTACTTACTATATTATCATGACTATTGAATACATCAAGGTATACTGGTAACTTAATCCAATCTATTTGATTTAATGAATTCATAATAAATGTTCTTTCTTTACCTAATTCTAATTCAAATTCTGGTTCAAATAATTTGAAATTATCATAATCTTTTAGTCTTGTTATATGTTCATTAATTATTTTATCATTTAATTCAAAATCTATATCAATTAAAGTAACTGTTACAGTTTTATCATTTGATTTTACGTCTTTCTTTTGTTGATCTATAGATGTATCACCAACTTCGAACTCACCTTTTTCATAATCTTGTTTACCTTTAACTTTCACATTTCCATTAATTATTTCATCTTCTTCATCATCATCATAGTCTTCATCTGCGCTTGAATATCTTCTTGTTCTGCCCATAAATCTTTCTTCCGCATAAAGCATTTGATCCATTGCATTTTCAGTAATATGAGAAGTATCACCTTTAAAACTTTCATGTTTTGATAAATGTTTTCTTTTTGCTCTTTGTTGTTCACTAGCTTTTGCATCTTCTGGATCTATATGTTGATTTGGTAATTTATTATAGACGTATGACATAACTTTTGACCAATGGTCTGTGATATTTGGAATACTATGAATTTTAACTTTTATGTAGCTGTAAATTGAAACTACTATACTGGTTGTAAATACAAATGGTATCCAAAGTGGTAGTAAAAAACATGCTAACATAATAATGATTAAAATTTTAGCAAATTTATTTCGTATAATAAATGGAGTTTCTTCTTGATGATTCCCATTAAAATTTTTAGAGTCTTCCGGTCCTACTAAATGGGATCTTGTTAAATCAACAACTTTTGGTCGAACTAATTTATTTTTAATTCTTGATTGTGGTAAATCTTTTAAATATTTAACTTTTATTTTATCTAATTGATCAAATGGTGAATACGAGGTAATGTATGATGTAAAAAACGCAACAGTTCTATCATTTTTGATATTTGCTAATAATATATGTTTTTCAAATTTTAAAAGACCTTGAAAATATTTATCTTTTGGATCTGCTAAATCAATTAAAATTTTATCATAATCTGTTATAAATAATTGACCACCAGTTTTACCAAATAAATAAGGTCCAACATTATTTGCAATATGATCGAAGATATTATTTTTAAAAAAATGTACTCCTAAATGTGGTGTTGCAAACGTTGAAAAAAACACTGGCTTTATAATATCGAAAAAATTCAACTCATTTAATAAACCAATAACATATCTTGATAATAATCCACCTAATGAATAACCAACAAAACTTATTTTGGTGACTTTTAAATTATTTTTATCTTTTAATGATTCAATTTCATAAAATATTTCTGTTATGATTTTTCTCGAATTTAAATCTAATCCATCATAAGTTTTCCAAAATCTAAAACTAACAGGTTTTAAAGTTGTAATTACATCATTTGATACTAAATCTTTCTCATTTATTGATTTTGTTAATGAATTTGTTATAAATTTTTCTATATGATTCATATGATTTGGTGAACCGAATAATCCATGTATTAATACAAACAAATGTGCTGATTTCTCTTCATTTTTTGATGCAATTGATGTTGTAGAAGACATGTTGCTAGAATTGGTTGTAAATGATTGAATTAAAAATGTTGCCAAAAATGGATATCGATAAAGTTATCAACTCAATTTATGAAAAGTAAATATGAATATATATGAATATTTATTAATTAATTGTATATATTAATTGATTATAAGTTTATCAAATATAATGTTGTAAAAAATGAATGATTGAATATATTAAATTATATTGTTATGTTTAATTTGAAACGTTCTTAACCAAAACTAAAAAAAAGAAAGAAACTAACAGATCTGAATATATAAATTAATATGCTTATGATAATTTATCTTTTTTTTGTATTTTTTCCATTGAATTTTGCAACCAACTGATAAGAAGAAAGAAAAAATAAAAAAGTTGTACAATTATAATAAATTATTATATTTAAATAGTTTTAGATTATCAAATCATTAAATTAACGTCAAAGTTGATAAGATTAATTAATTAAGTATTACTTCGTAATTAGTTATATATTAATAATTAACAAATTTTATATATAATATCCTGCAAAACACCTTATCAATTTTCTTAATTTCTGTCTTTGTGATTGGTGATAGATCCATTTACTTTTTGATAGATATTCAGTTTCTTTAATGAAATATATTTTTAAATAAACCGGGATAGAAGAACTACAAACTTCGTTTTGGACAACTTATTTACAAATAATCACTTACTTCGAGTGATCATTTCAACCATAAATTTTTATGTTTAAGTTTCTATTAATAGATTTTAAAACATTTCATAGGCTTTAAATTTACGAGCAATTTTGTTCATGTGATTGTTCACGTGACTATAATCTAATAGTATAGTAAAGAAATTCTTCAGTTACCTTGAGAGATAATACAAGATCGAATCATCATTACTACAAGTTCGTCTATAGATTAAGCTACCTTACAATGGCATTTTGGAATACATCACTGTCACAATCTTCATCAACTGATCCAACACAATCAGCAATCACCCAAAGAGCGTCTCCAGAATCAACAAAATTGAGACTTGAAATTCAAAATCAAATAAGTCAAGAATTAGCAACAGTTAATGCTACAGAATTAGTAAGAACAATAACTGAAAATTGTTTTGATAAATGTATTATTGGTATACCTAAGAATGTTTTAGATGCACAAGATAACATATGTATAAATCAATGTAGAGAAAAATATATGAGGTCATGGAATGTCATATCAAGAGCTTATATTACAAGAATTCAAGAACTGCTGGGCCATTTTTAATCAAAGTTTAAGGAAAAAGAATATGTGAATAAATTTGACGTATCATGTATATATTTTAATGTATTATATTATTAACACTTACACCTTTTTACAATTGTCCTGCCCATTCTGCTGGCATAACTCTATATACATATAATTCACCTTCTACTAAATTCTTCAAAATATATTCACCATCAACGACTTTTCTAACGCCATTAACATTTTGTTCAAGGACTTTTATTTTATCACCATCAGTTCCAACAACTATACTTGTATGATCAGGCATACCAACAGTCTGACTTGAACCATTTACAGGATTAAAAAATCTACAAGATTTAAATTGTAAAATATCACCTATTCTAACATCATCTAATTGTTGTGAACCATTTAAAAATTGATAATTTTTGCCAATTTGTAAAATTGGATAACCATGAGTATAATAAGTTGAAACGAATGCATGATTCCCACAACCCTTTTGTAATGCATATTTAGCTAGATCCCAACATTCTCCATTACCTACTTGTTGACCTTTATGATGTTCACTCCATCCTGCTATATAATAACCAAATTTTTCACTATTTGTCACAAGCTCTGATTTTGTTGGTATTTGTAATAATGGAGATGGTACAAATTTATCTATGGTAACTTTGACACCTGAAACATTATTTGATTCCCATTCAAATTTATATGAAATTATTGATAGATCTTTTAATCGTAAAGTAATTATTCTATTATTTTTTGTAGTGAACCCATGATTCGAATACAGGAAATTTGTTTGGAAATTAAGTCCTTGTAATGATTTTGGTAATTGTAAATTATTTGTATTTGCGAACCATTGAGTTTGTAATTCTAAATCTAATTGTGGTGGTTCAGTTGATTGTTGAGGTTGTGGATGAGGTTGTGGATGAGGTTGCGGAATTGCAGCTGCTTGTCTCTTGTAAGTTCTTGGTTTAGGTGCTGGTGGTGGAGTTGATTGTTCTGGAGAAATTGATCTAACTCTTGGAGAAGGAACAGGTGGTAAATTTGAAATTATAGGCTTTGCTGCAATTTCAGGTTTTGGTTTTGGTTTTGGTGCAATTGTTGGTTTAGCTTTTATACTAGGTGGCGCTGCTTGTTCTTCATTTGATTCTTCTATAGTATTGTTCTTTTTCATGTTCATTTTCTTAAACATATTTTCTAACTCATTCAGTACATCGGAACCATTATTGCTTGTTGAAGTATCTAATTCAGGTTTTGGTTTTTTGACTGGTTTTGGTGGTGGTTTTTTCTTCTGTAAAACTTCACTTGATTCAACCAGTTTTCTTGAAGGCATTGGTGGTGGAGTGGATTTAAGCTCTTGAGTTCTTCTTGTTGGCATTGGTGGAGATATTACAGAGTCATCTTCAACTTCTTCTTCATAGGTCGGTTTTCTAGATATAACCGGTTTCTCTTTCTTTAATGGTTTTTCTACCTTCTCTTGGTTTCCTCTATAAATTTGTGGTGGTGGCGGAAACGAATTCAAATTCAATGGTTGAGTGGTAGCTCCTTGATTTATCGAGTTGCTACTCATTGAGCTTGTAACACTATTAACACTTGATCTTGATGGTAAAGGTGGTTGTGGGTTATTTGACGCTGAAAGTGGTACGTTTATACTACTTTGACTTCCTCTCAGTGGTGCAGGAGTAGTGTATATTTTATTTGAAGATCTTTGTGGAGTTGGAGGTGCAGCATTACCTCTTACTGGAGGTGGAGCAAAGGATTTTGGATCTGGTAAAGGTCTTACTGGTTTATGTTGCTCGACAGGAGGTTCATATTGTTGAGTGGAATAAGATTGATTTTGCTGTTGTGTAGGATTATAAACTGGTGGATTGGTAGTTTGTGGAGTTTGTTGAGGAGATGAAACAGATTGACGAGGGCCTAATGGTGGCGGTTGTTGTTGTTGTTGCTGAAATGATTGAATTTGTTGAGCTGGGGTATAAGCATTTGTAGTTGGTTGAGTATTAGTATTTTGAGCTCCATAATGATGTTGTGCGTGATCTTCAGTCAGATAGACTGGAGGTGGATGATTTTGATTTATTTCGTGAGCCAATTGTTGTTGATTTTGTTGATAAGTTTGTTGTGGTTGCTGTTGGTTTTGTTGTGGTTGCTGTTGATAATTTTGTTGTGGTTGTTGATAGCTTTGATTTGGTTGGGAGTATTGAGGAGTCAGTTGATTTGGATTATACGTTGGTGGCCCTTGATTAGATTGCTGTGAATATTGTTGAGGCTGTTGCGTTTGAGCTTGGGGCTGACTATATTGTTGTTGGGGCTCGTATTGTGCTTGCGGTTGTTGTTGCCCGTATTGTGCTTGTTGGTACTGTTGTTGCTGTTGAGGTTGTTGATATTGCTGTTGAGGTTGTTGATATTGCTGTTGGGGCTGTTGATATTGCTGTTGAGGTTGTTGATATTGCTGTTGAGGCTGTTGATATTGCTGTTGAGGTTGTGATTGATAATTACTAGTTGATTGAGGAGAAGCATATTTTCCTTCTTTTGTACTATAAACCCCTACATTTCTCTTTGGTGGTGGTTGGAAAGATTGCAATGATTCTCTTGTAGGTAATGGTCTAGCTACGTAAGAAGAAGATTCTGTCTGTTGTTCGGGATTTACTTCTTTATTATCTTTATCTTTAATTGGATCAACGTATTCTGTACCGTTTCTTTTTGCTTCGCTCTTTTTATATGTTCTATAACCTGCTTGTCCTAATGCTTTTGAACCTTTACCAATTCCCTTTATAGTCGCTATTCCCACTGCTTTAAATTGATCACTAGACATTTTTGCCTCAATTGGAAATTAAAGTAGTTTAGAAAATTGGTTGTAAAATAAGTATGGAGTTTGAAAATTAAAATTTAGTTACGCTGTTTTTGCCAAATTATATTACACAAAATTAGTTACACTAATTATTCTAAAGAATTGAAACTGTATACATTTTTCTGATGTCTAACTTATAAATAAAACTAACAAATAACTAAAAACAGAACCAGCCATTAATCCAAAACTCAAAAAAACAGTCGTAAATCCACCAGCTGCTTCTTTTTCATCATCATTATCACAAAATTTACCAACAATCATAAATGATGAAGTACATAATTGACCATTAGATATTCCAAATAATAATTGTAATAAGATATACCAAATATCTGAGTTTATGAGAGGTATTGAAACTCCTGGTTTAGTGTTGCATGTTAAAAATAATGGGATGAAAACTAATCTTGATATAGAATAAATTATTAAAACTTTTGGATTTGTAATTAACATTTTTAATTTTGGGTATCCACATAATACTCTACCTAATAAATCCCCAAGATTCCAAATAAGATAAATGAAAGGAATATAAATTTGTTTATTGAAAAATTTATAACTTGATTGATCGCTAGTTGATTCCACTACAGATGCAAAAACTGGGAATGCTAAAGTTATTGAAAATGTTAAGAATATAGTCATTACAATGAGACTTAATTTTGACCATAATTGTGAAAATGGAACAAATTGCTTTTGAGTTACTGGTTCTTCTTCTTCTTCTAATTCTTGTTCTACTTCAGTAGTACCATGTTCTTCTTCAATTAATTCATCTAATCTTTCGTAGACCGTATGTTCCTTATACTTGTTCACCAAATATAACAAGCTAATAGATAAGATACAAACTAAACTTGCAGTAATGTAATAAATAAAAACACCAAAATCTTTTTCAACCTTATGTTCTTTCAAAGTCTTATCACCAACAGCCAAAATTGAAAAAATTAAAGCTAAGGAAGGTAACACTCCAGCAACTGCTTGACCAACCATTACAGAATTTGCATAAATACTACCCATAACATTAACTATAGCCATTGTACCATTTTGTGCAAAACAAGTAGCAGCAGCTGATAACAATACCATAATCATTAAAATTGCAAAAAATAATTTATCATTCATATCTATGAAAATTTGAGTTATACATGTAATAGCCATGAATACAAAAATAACTATAGTCATATTGAAACCAAACTTGACTCTATTTTTATAGTTTACACCAGTTTGTTGTTGTGATAATACATAGTTGAAAATTGCTGAAGTGATAGTAGATACTGACATCATAGTTGAACTATAAATTTTAATTAATGACGGTGAGTTGATAAATCTTGTACCATAATACGCTGAGGCTGACAAGAAACAATTCCATGGCCATAACAAAGCTATTCCAATTATTAAAAATGTAAAGTATTTAAGTTGTGATAATCTAATTTCTATTAGTGATGATAGTTTGAGCACTATTGGATCATTGTGTTGCGTAGCTGCATCATTGAACATACTAGGTTAAATTGAATGAATAGTTGTTTCGATTAATGTCTTTTGTATTGTTGCATAGGTATATTGTAACATATTTAAATTTAAGAAATGGTTATTTAACGACGTTTTTTTATTTCGCGTAATCTATAATTCGAAGACACAAAATCATCAACTGATAAGAGAGGGACACAAAGCTTATAGATAAGTGTAAAACTAATACATTTATCGTCTATAAATTGAACACTTACACCATTAAGACCGTCGTTTAGGTGTCTCCACAAACTTTATCTTTGGATCTTGTTTGAACTTTGTAAAATCACTACAACTATCATTATCATTATGATCACTATCTTTTCTATGATCAATATTTTCATCTAATAATTTTAAATCTTGACTTTCTGCGTCAACCATTTCTTGTAAAGTTTCTTCAATTTTAAAATAAACTCTCAAAAGTAAATAGTTGGGTTCTTTTAATGGTAATCTTAGTGGACTCCAATCACCTAACCAGAAACCATCGTATAATTTATCTTCTTCTGGTTCTTCCGGTACATCTTTTAGGTCTAGTGCTTTCATAAGTTCTTTCCACTGTCTGTGAGTATACTTTTTCTTTGGGTTTGATACAGTATCAGCCATTAAAGGTCGTAGCCTATTCATGTATTTTAACAAAATTTTATGATCACGTCTTCTTTTTACTAATTTCCTTTTAATCATATTTGAAACCGATACTCCAGATGCATATGATTCATCATCTGATGGGTCTCTTGATTCAAAACTATTTTTAGAATTTCCAGTTAAATCTTCTTCAATACTATTAATACTAATTTGTTCATTTTCATCTTCTAAACTTTCTCTTCTTGCAATTTCTCTCTCTAAATCCAATGATTCAATATCTAAATCTTCTCTAACTTCGTCCAGTATTAGATTTGAACTTAAAGTCAATTCATCATCTTGAGTTTCTTCCATTTCCTTCTTGAGTTTCTTTTTAGCTTCATAATTTGCATCAGGTTGGAAAATCCATTTACTAAACCATTCACTTAACTCATTGAAAATTTCATATAACAAATCACCAACGTTTGATACTAAAATTGTCATCAAAGGAACAGCTCCACATGCCCAAGAAACAAAAAACAGCCTACCTAATCCAGTTTTGGGAGCAAAGTCTCCATATCCTATAGTTAATAAACAAAGAAAACAAAAATAAATTGAATGGAAATATGTCCAACCTTCAATATAATGGAATACTAAACCTCCAACTAACCAGAAAGCCATAAACAAAGCTATTGTCATAGCTAACGACGAGTTTATATGTCTTTGTTTAACTTTTTTACGAATTAATCTCATTTCACGAAATGATTCCTCTGGTGTAATTTCTTTATGCTCTTTCTTAAACTTTTCAACTAGTTTTCTCCTGGCAATTTCGATATCATTCCAGAATATAGCAGGTGATGCCGATGATAATATAACTGATCTTAATGTAGCAATAATTAAACCCATGATCAAAACACCCCCTAATGAAAACACCAACACAACAACTTTAGCTCCAGAACTTACTGGTGTAATATCACCTAAACCAATGGTTAGAAATGAGACAATACAGTAATATAATGAAGACCCATACGTCAACTCTTTAATCAAATGTTCCATTGCTACTGCACCACATATAGTCCAAATTGCAAACAATATAGTAAACAACATTAAAGTCCTTTGTTTTTGATCTAAATTAAATGTAGGTGGGTATTTGTTCAATCTATAACCCATAAAATTTATCAACAATATAACAGTACATGAAAAATAATAACCTGCAGTAAAACAAGCAAACCAGAAACCTTCAGAAGGTATCAAATCAGGTATATCATTCATTGTATCATATTTTGTAATTAATAAAGCTGCAACTAACATAATGGAAGCACAAAACCACGAAAATATTGAAACACATTGAGTTATTAAATATTTAACAGATCTTGAAAAATTCATTAATAATGATATATTACCAATTATACCTAAAACTAAAGATAAAACATTTAAAACAAGAACGTCATTGGGGTCAGGTAATAATTTACCAGTAAATTTATCCATTCTCCAATGTTGAATTAATGCTATTATGGAAACCATATTAGCTAAAGGTCCTAAACAAGCAGCAATTAATGGGAAATAAGAAGATATTAAAAACCACATTACAAAATGTTTTTCACCAGGTCTAACATTTAAATTTAATACTGCTTCAATAGGAACATTCAATGCATTTTTCAAAGCAACTGGTGCAATTCTTGGCTTATTTTTGTTATTTTTTAGTTTATTATCATTATTGAAAGATTTTATTGAAGGTGATTTATGGTACTTGTTAATTAATAAAGGATTTAATATATCTTGATAATCATTTAAATTTTGAAAAGTTGATCTTCTTTGATCTATTGGATCTGGGCGTAAAGTTGTCTTGGCTCTCTTGAGTGCATTTTTAAATTCTAATGATAAATCAGTATTCGTCCTTTGAAACATTAGCAAGTTGTTAGTTTAGTAGATCTAAATTAGTTAGTCGCCATGGCTTTTGATTATACACTTGTTTTGTAGATAAAAGTATGTAAATGTCTTGCTGTATTTAGTTCATCTGTTTATAATCTTCAGAATTTCATTCGGATTTAAGTAGAAATATTATTATTCTTTCTTTCGTAAATTAACCCTTTAAAATAAAATAAAATCCTGTTTTAAAAAGTCTTCAATTTTGAAACATGTGGGATGAATAAATTACTACAACTTGATGATTTTAAAAAATAAACCCTTTATTATACAAATTACAAAATAGAAGAACTGAACTATATAAATCCATATACAAAACACAATGTGAAATTTCAAAGAATATCCATACCTAATATTCTCCTTAATTTAAATGGATTTATTGGATTCAAAACTTCAACAGCTACATTACAATTCAACAAGATATATTCTCTTATATCATTTAGTGATCTTTCACTATGGTTCTTTTTAATCCTTTTAGGTTGTTGTTGTTGTTGATGATCTTCAGATTTATCATTGTTGATGAATTTAAAATTTGCGAAATTTTTTGAGGTATCTTTTGTGAAACTTCCGTCTTCATTGTACAAGTAATCATCCTCTGGTACATATTCATCTGAAATTTCTTCTTCAATTTTTAGAATTTGACCATTAGATTCCATTACGTATTGTAAATTTGAAATTTTATTTTGATTGTCATTTTCAATTTCTTTTATTGATTGACGTTGTGATATGATTTGATATTCTAATAATCCATCTAAATATTTATCTATTATTGATGGAGTTTTACATATGGATGATTCATGATTTAAACTTGGGAATTTGATGAATAGTGATAATTTATTGTCATTCACTGTTAATTTATTTATATTTTTGATTATTGTTGATGAAATCATTTCTGTTATTATATCAAGATTTTTTTTGTAAACGTTATCTTTGTTGGTTGCTGTAAATAATGGATCTTTAAAGTAAAGTGAATCAATGTCTTTTGTTGATATAGCTATTGCATTTAAATTTTTTTCATTATTAATATAGTTTAATATATTCTTAGTCAATTTATCATTATTGGTAGTATCATCATTTGGACCAACAACCACCAAATCTATTTTGAAATCTGGATAATATTTTGGTATGATTAAATTAAGTGCTATATTTATAATTGATTCTGAATTTGAATTAATATACCACGCGTTTAAATTTTTTGCATCTTGACCATATTGATTATTTAATATTGGTTTGTCAAAATTTTGAAAATTATAATCATCATCTTGCAAATCAGCTTCCGGTTTTTTTAATACAACTTGTTTTGCACCACGTTTTGTATTTTTATTCTTGTCAATTTTCAACGAGCCATAATGATTAATATGATTCAAATGATTGAATTCACCACCATTTTTTATTGATCTTGAACCAATTTTGAAGTTTTCTGGAATTTCTAGATTTAAATTTTGTTGATATAATGATGAAATTAATATAACTTTATGACCTTGATTATCTAAATATTGTTGCAAGTAACGTATTTTATTTGAACACCAATTATTAGTTGATGTTAATAATATATTCAATGCTAATGATGTAGATATTAATGTTATTATAACCGTGATGATCTTCATCTTTGAAAGCGATTATGTTCTATTTATTATATTAAAGTCATATATAATATGCCATTTGCTTCTAATGTGGTGAAATTATCTGATATAAAATTTTGATGTATTATATTTTCAAACAAGAATACAAAGATATTAAATAAACAAAAACGTTATTTAATGTAAGGGGATAATGTTGTATTTACGGAACAATTAAGAAAATTTTAAAAAAATAAATTGTAAAATTAAAAAAAATTCTGAAAAAGTTAAATGATAAAATTATAATGGAATTTGTTTCATATTTATAATAGAATTAAGAAACAATAAGAATCAAAATGTATTTCGAGAATTTAAATTTAAATTGGTTTGGTTACAATTTTTTAGTTTATATTAAAATTAATAATTGGCTGCAAAATTTATTAAAAATAATTTTTACTTTAAATAATAAAATTTTTACGAACACAAAAAAAAATTCAAAACGTGGGATAAAACAATAGACTGTTAGAATAAAACTTATACAATATAAAGTTTAAATTGAATTGAATAGATGAGATTCAAGATATCAAAAGCTTGTCAAAGCAACTTGACAACAATCACACGATAATTGAACTGGCAAATCATCAATCTAACCTATCAATCAATCAATCAAATCATTTTAAATGGTTAATTTTATTTGACTTCACTAAAAAAAAGTTATTTTTAGTAATAAAATTCTAATTTTAGTATGGCTTATAATAAATTAAAAGATGGCTTTAAACATCTCGAAATTTTATATTTGATTTCTATTAATAGAATATTGTAGATAAAGTTGATAATTGTCGTTTAGGAGTAGATGATTAGCAATGTAGATCAACATCAAAAGGATAATTATAATACATACCTCACTTCAGTTGTCCATTTATCTTCTGTTATAAATTTCTTAATGGAAAAATTCCAAATGGTTATATTTTACATTTTCAAATTTTGAGAAAAATTAAAATTTTCCATGAATTACAAATCAAAATAAAGTTTCAAACCGCCTTGAGTTTTGATCTTCTCCAGTACATACTTTGTTTTATTCGGTCTGAAGGTTATAAAGTAGTAAAATAATCTAATTTTAGAAACTGTGATTCTTTCTAAGAGAATAATCAATCGTTTCTCGTTTAATTTACACTATAAATAGTAGAAAAATAACTGATTATTTTTGACTTAATATTTGAAAGCCTTGTTTAATTTTACATATTACTCCTATAACGTATTGGAGAAAATGCGTTGATATTAAAAAAAAGGTATTAATTGAAAGTAAAGTCTATAAAATATATTTTTTAGTAAAAAAAACTGTGTAATAAATAAATAATCAAATATTAATTAAGTCAATAATTAATTTTTGATCATCATCATTTAAATTACCAAATAATATTTGAAATTGTGATAAATCATTTTCTTGTAAATTTTTTAAAAAAATTTTAAAAATTTCAAATGGATTTATTTCATCTAATGGAGTAGTTTGTAAAGGATCTTCATGAACTGTTTCATCAGATTGATCAAAAAATCCAGAATTTTGTAATTTTGAATCTTCTGAATTTAAAAATTCTATATATTGTCGTGTTGCTTCATCATCTGATGTTGATGTTTCTTGAGTTGTTGCTTCAAATTCATCTTCCCAATTTCCATCTTCCTCTTCTTCTTCATCATCATCATTTCCTCCTATTCTACTTAATATTTCTTCATTAAATTCAAAATTAGGATTACTGTTTATTTCATCTATGTTTTTTCTTTTCTTATCTAATTCGGGTATTGCTATTGATAATTTCTTTAATAATGTAACGTATTTATCCGATAATGATTCAAATATTTGTTGATCTAAATTTGGAACTTTTGATAAACTAACTAATGCCAATAACGATAATTTTAAATCATATACTCTTTCTAATTGTGGAATTAATTCAAACCAATTTGTTAAAAATTTGACCAAAAAATTTGAATTATTTAATATTGAAATTGTAGTTTCATTACAATATATGATCGATGCAATTATAACATTATATGAGTCTATGGTGTAAGAACTCGTTAATTTTCTCTTGTCATTCTTTGAATCATTTGATAAAACAATTTCTAAAAATTTTGATATAAGTGGTTCTGATTTATTTTCTAGACACAAAATCAAAGTTTGTGCATATTCATAAGCTAAAATTAAATCTACAATTCCTAAATCATCACCTGAGTCAGCGGTTATTAATTGAAAAATTATAACCATTGATTCAATCAAATTTTCATCGTTTTGTAATTGTGATTTACCATAAATTAAATAATTTTGTAAAGATGGCATTAATTCTTCAACATACATTAATGCAGTACCATTTTGAAAATTATTAAACAACAACTTAAAGTTGTTCCACATTATTGGACTTATTGATCTTACCAAAAAAGTAGAATTTTCAATCAATTCACCAATTTCTGCATAAAATTCATCCATTTCATTCATAAATACATATTCAATAGCTGGTGAAAAAATTTCTTCTAACTTATTACAAATCTCTTGTGAATTTTCGAATGATAACAAAACGGTAATCATTGTATTTAAAAACCCAAGAGCTGCCATTTGTTTATCGCCTTGATCATCATAATTCGAATCAAATTCATCTATATCTACTTGTGATGCTTCATTTAATTCAACTGCTAATTTCATATATTGTTGGACTAATTTACTCATTAAATCAACCCCAAATGGTTGTAATTGCTCTGAAAAATTCTCAACACACTCTTGCATAACCACTGAGATTGCATCATTATCTATTTCATTTGATAATTCTAGAAGTTTGGACATAGTAGGCAAAATAATCGTTGATAAAACTTGTTTAAATTCTTCATTTGTAACAAATGCCTGAATTGATAATGCACTATTGAATTGTACTGGTAACGAAACCTCAGGATTATCGAAATTTTTCAATATTCCATGTATTAAATTTGATAAGACTTCTTTATTTTGAAATTCAGTATCTGCAAATTGTGAACAAACTTCAATTGTTCTTGCTTTTAAAAATTCATATTTTGAATTTAAATTAGGAATAACTAATGATGATAATATTGGTTCTATAGTTTCGTCTTTTGGTAAATAACCAGATATACTAGCCAAAATTCTTAATAAACCTTCTTTCTTCTTAGCAACTTCTAAAGTTTCTTCTTGTTGTTGTAAACTTGTTAATTCTTGATGTATTAAATTTGTAATTGGACTTAAACATGTCTTTTTTCTCTTGTATAGAGCGGTTGCAATAAATCCTAATGCAGCAGATTCGGGATTATCATATTCACCAGTCTGATCAAAACATAAATTTATATATTCTTGAGGATCTTCTTCATAAATTTCTAAAACATGATCAGTAGGGCATATAATTGGATAAACCAAATGAGTTGTAATTGTTTCAAAATATGGTTTTATAATCGTCCAAGTTGGTTTTTCAACTATACAATGACTTAAAAATTCTAATAATTGATATAATGAAGTAATACATAACCATCTTTTACCATGACAATATTCTTCAATTATAGTTAAAAATTGTTGAATGAAATGTGGTATAAATTCAGATATGAATAATTGATGAAATTCTTTATATGAAACTTTTTTACTTAAAGTGTTTGATGAGGCATATCGTATAAATAATCTCAAAATATTTGCAATTGCCCATTTATAACATTTGGAAATTTGATAAAAAGATTTTTCTTGTTCACTTAATGAATCATTCAATACATAAGATGGAGGTTTGATATTGATTATTGATGCATGAAATTCACCCCATTGGAAAACTTGATCTTTTGATCTTAAAGGTTCTGGTAAATCAAAATAAGTGACATATTTATAAGATTTTAAAATTAATTTTATAATTTCTGCTTGAATTTCAGTAATTTCTGTACCTTGGTCAACATTGCTAATAATACCTTTCCCAATATTCAAGATATACGGAAATGCTTGATTTATAATTGGATATAACTTGATTTCTCTTGATTGATTATCTGACCATTTAAATTTTCTTGCAATTTCTTTAAAACAAAGCATTGCAGTATATAAATTTTGTTCAGAATTTTGCAGTTGAGTTAATAATTCACCAATTTGATCTAAAAGTGAATTCCAATTATCAAATTCTAATGCAATTAATAATCTTAATACTGGAACTAATTGCTGTTTAATATTATAATCACAAATTAATATAACTGATAGTATTTTATCCTTGATAATAATTCTTTCATCTTGATTAATTTTAAATTGAATTCCACTATCTTTATTATTCCAATATTTTATAATTCTATTTTTAAAATAAACAGCTATTGCCTTTTTTATATCAATTGGAGTTGATGATTCAGATAAAAGATTTAAACAACATTGTAAAAAACCTTGTTGTGATGATAATTCTTTTAGTTTTTTTTCACTATGATTTCTTAATTCTAGATTAGCTTGTAGAGTTCCAGCAAAACACTCGAGGATTAATTGAGAATCCATTTATAATTTAGTGTTTTATTAATCTTGAATATTCAAATTGATCCAAATTTTATTATTGTATATAAATTCCTATACTCTAAATTCAATAAATTCCTCTCTCTCTCTCTCTCCCTTTTTAATAATGCTCTTCCCTAATTAATAGTTTAGAAGAAAAAAAATTTATAATTGTGTTTATAAATTAATTATTCCATAATATTAAAAAAGAGAGAGAAAAAAATTTTGTGCCTATTCTCTAAAATAATTTAGCGAGAATTTAGTACTAAACTTTAGACAAAGGGTCGACCGGTACTAAATTATTTGGCTAGTAAAGTAACAATACTGATTTAATACAAATTTATCAATTTATATTGAATTATTTAATTAACTATTTTATCATAATCAGTTTAAAGTTCTATCATAACTGATGTGGTACGGAGTCACATAAAGTAACAATTGAATTTTTGATGTTGAATTGTTGAACCAATAAAAAATGTTTGGTTCTATAATTTACCCGATTCTATATTTCATCGATGTCTCAAATGCAAAATGACTTAAAACAAAAGAAGGTTTAAATATTTTATGTACGACTCATAAATTTTAAGATCTGAAATTAACAGGACGAAATACATTAATTCTCTGATAAACTAGTCTATAATATAGAAATTTAAAAAGTTATTGTCAATTCAGTTCAAGCAAATAATCTAAACATAATACGACTAGAGTACAATCAAGATTTTTCACGGAATAGAACAAAATTGATTTTTATTGAGTAATCAATCATCTACTTAATTCACTTCTCCACACCTCTTTATTTTCTCAAGTAAGTTATATGTTGTACTTTTACGAACCATTTACTCTGACTTAAAATTGATAAAAAATAATTGAGTAATTGAAGTAATATCCTTATTAGGTTTATAGAACGTTTCATTATTTTTTTTAATTAAAGTTTTAAAATTTTAAAAAATAATAAGTTGATGAAAAAAAAAGCTCATGTACAATGTATAAATTCTCAGGATAGAATACCCACGCTAGTAGCGAATTCCAATGACTTCAATTATGATTCCATGTTTTGTTAAGGTCTTATTGTAGAAAGTCCTAATAGTCACTTTGAAAAGAATAATAAAATTCCAAGATCGTCAAAATATTGAACATATTAATTTATGCAAAATGGATTAACTTCATTGACATATACTGTTTAAATCTTTGGTTGTCATTAATACAACATTTCTTGTTAATTTAAGTTGTAATTATAATGTATCATAAATTTCTTTTTAATTAAGTACCCTTTTTTTTTGACAGAATGAGTTGAATTTTACGAACATGTTGCATCACTGAAAAAGTATTAATATAGACATTTATAATATTTTATTTTTTAAAAGAGATAAACCTAGTTACACTTTAAACCTTATTCTCACCTTGTTAAATACTCTTATAAAAAGTAGTTGTATTAAGACTTATTTTATCATTATCACTCCTAATTTGGTAGTTCTACTCGACCTTGTATTAAGATATAATTTATGGTCTGATTTTATTATCTTCGTTGCAAAAACGAATTGCAGCTCAAAGAACATCTACAATTTTTTAGTGTAGAGTTATATTCTTTCATATCAAGCTTTAAGTTTAAAGTTGAAAAGAAGTAGGCAGTTTAAAGTTTGAGTGGTACAATTGACTTTTAACTTTAATTCAAACGAAAAACATCATCTTGAAAATCGAAGTCTTTTCCTGTTAAATTGAATATTGCTTTTGTATTCAACGTATTTTGTGATAATTATAGGTTCTAATAGTATGCTTATTGTTGTTGATCTAAAAAACTTATATCTCCAACACTCAATGTTTCTAAATTAATTAAATTAATAATATTCTCGCTCGTAAACTTGAAACAAATAAATAAAAATAAAAAAAATTTACTTCAATTGTTGCAAACAAAACAATAACTAAACTTTACTCTACAACAATTGTTCTACTATTGATAAGTAATTAACTTGACTCTAGAGACATGTTCTCGTTTTAAAACGCAAGCTTTTACACAACTCCAGCACTGAGCTGAATTAACTTATATTTGAATCTCAGGTAGCAAAAGAATTATATTTTCAAATTTATTTAAAACGCTAAGAAAACTATAAATGCAAAAGAACAATTTTTAAAAAGTTAAGTTCCTGAGGCAAAATGTAATTGAGTTAGTCTGAGTTGCATGTATGGCCACTAATTAAATGTTTGATAATGAAACTAAAACACAGAGACTTTCTTGACAACAAATAGTGCAATTGAAATCTATGTTGCAAAATAATTATTGCTAATACCAAAGCTCTTTGAGTATTTCGTAAAAGTCTAAATGACCAAATCAGGAATACAATAATTTCATGAAGAAAGCTTAATTTGAGCTTCAAACTTTAATAATGAAAGTTATAAAAAAAATGCCGTACCTCTAAGTAGATACAAGTTTGTTATTTCAAATTGTTACAAGTTTGGTATACAAATTTAAAGTTATAAAATATTATATAAATTTTGTTTTTCTCAATTTGGTAATTTGAAGACAAAAAAATATGGGTGCAAAAAATTAAAAGTGTGAACCAATTTACTTTAAAATTTTGAATATACCAGGTATATATAGATCAACATGTTCTTCAAATTTAATTTTGAAAACAGTTTCAGCAAAAACTTTAAATTTAGTCACTCGTTTACAAACATAAAAACTACTTAAGTCAATAATGGTTAAAGCTAGTTTGTTAGCAGTAGCTTTTGCTATTTTGCAATTTACTGAAGCAACTGTCAAGAAAACAACTACAACTTCAAAAAAGACAACTACAACTTCAACAAAGGCTGCTTCAACTCATGCAGCTGTTGCAACAGCAATTGAAAAGGATTATTATGATTTTACAAAAGATATTTCGTTAGCTATTGATTATTATGACTGTGCTGGTAAACTTATAACTTATGAAGCATTTACAATTGATGAAATTGAAAAATCATTAACATCAACAGGACAAACTACAACAGAATCAACAAAAGATACTGATACAAAAGTTGATGATAAATCCACCAAAACACATCGTAAAAGAGCAACCAAGTATGTTCCAAGTGTTGACTTCAAGGTTTCAAAAGTTGAAAAAGTGGATGCAAAAAATTGGAAAATTGATTATAAATTAAATACACTTAAGGATGCTTCTAAAATGGTTGAATTTTTAGCATCAACAGATTTAACAGTAGAAGCTAAATCATGTGGTTCATCAATTCTTGGAGATGTAATACAATTATTTGGTAAAAATTCAAAATCTACTTATAAAAATGCTTTTAACATGGATGGTACTATTATAGTTAATCCTTCAATTCATGGAGATTATTATTGTTTACCTGATGATTTCGGATTTGAATATAAAATTTCAAGTTTTTCACTGTTATGGCCACAAATTTTTACAAATCAATATAAATATACTGTTGATAAAAAACATGAAAAACTTACAAAAACTGGTAAAAGATCAATTGAAGAAAATACTAAGTTAAATAAAAGAACTATAGTACCAAATGTTTATAATGAAATTATTGTTGATTGGGCCGAATGGACTGGTTTTTACACTAGTAATTTAGAAATTAATAATTATTGTTGGAAAATTCCGGTTTGTGAGGAAATTAAAGCAGAGTCAAGTACAAGTCAAGTTAAAACAACTGAAGCTAAAACAACTGAAGCTAAAACAACTGAAGCTAAAACAACTGAAGCTAAAACAACTGAGGTTAAAACTACTGAAGCTAAAACAACTGAAGCTAAAACAACTGAAGCTAAAACAACTGAAGCTAAAACAACTGAAGCTAAAACAACTGAAGCTAAAACAACTGAATCCAAATCTACTACCTCATCATACATAATTGAACCAACTACCGTTGTCAAAGACAAAGATTACTATGATTACACAAAACAATATTCATTAAATGTTGATTATTACGACTGTTATGGTAATGTTGTTTCTTATGAAGCATTTTCATTAGATGAAATTGAAAAAGCAGTCAAATCTACAGAGGAAATTACAAAAGAAGTTGAATCAAAAGTTGATGATAAATCAACAAAAGATCATCATAAAAGAACAACCATTAAAACTTCTGAATTACAAATAAACGATGTTAAATATGTTCCATCTGTTGATTTCAAAGTTTCAAAAGTAGAAAAAATTGATTCCAAAAATTGGAAAGTCGATTTCCAATTAGCTTCACTCAAAGATCCATTTAGAATGAAAGATGTTTTAGGATCTTCTGACTTAAGTATTGAAGCTAAATCATGTGGTTCATCAATTCAAGGTGATACTGTTCAATTATTTGGTCATAAGTCAGCACATACATTTGATACTGCTTTTAGTATTGACGCTACAATTTTAGTTAATCCATCAGTTCATGGTGAATACTATTGTTTACCTGATGACTTTGGTATTGAATATAAAATCATGAGTTATTCACTTTTATGGCCACAAGTGTTTTTGAAAGATTTTAAATATACTGTTGATAAAGATTATAGTAAGCTTTTGAAAAATGGTAAAAGAACTGTTAAAACAACAACAACAAAAGAAGAAACCAAAGAAGAAACCAAAGAAGAAACCAAAGAAGACAGTAAAGAGATTATAACTACTGGTGTTACTAATATTGTCATTGTTGATTTAGCTGATTGGGAAGGATATTATACTGATAGCTTGCAAATCAATAATTATTGTTGGAAAGTGCCAGTATGTGAAGAAATTAAAGAAGAAACAGCAAGTTATTCATCAACTGAAATTGAAACTAAACATAAGACTACTAAGTTTGAAACTACTTCAACGACAGAGACTTCTACTACCCCAGAACCAATCACCACTGATAACTCCACAACTCCAGAATCAACTACAAGTGAATATTCTACTACACTGGAACCAATAACAAGTGAAGATTCTTTAACAACTCCTGAACCAATCACTAGTCAAGAAACAGTCTATGAGGAGGAAGAATGTACATCTGAAGAAGAGTCCACAAGTATTGAAGCTTTACCAACAACATATACAACCGAAGAAGTTGAATCTACAAGTGAGATAATAATATACACAACAGAAGAGCTCAAGTCTACAAGTGAAAAAATAGTATATACAACTGAAGAAGTAGATTTTACCACAGAAGAAGAATCCACTAATATTGAAGTTGTACCAACTACATATACAACTGAAGAGGTAAAATCTACAAGTGAAGAAATAATATATACAACTGAGGAAGTAAATTCTACAACTGAAGAAATAATTTATACAACTGAAGAAGTAGAATGTACAACCGAAGAAGAATCCACAAGTATTGAAGCTTTACCAACTACATATACAACTGAAGAAATAAAATCCACGAGTGAAGAAATAATATATACAACAGAAGAAGTGAATTCTACAAGTGAAGTAATAATTTATACAACTGAAGAAGAATCCACAAGTATTGAAGTTGTACCAACTACATACACAACTGAAGAGGTGAAATCTACAAGTGAAGAAGTAATATATACAACTGAAGAAGTAGAATGTACAACTGAAGAAGAATCCACAAGTATTGAAGCTTTACCAACTACATATACAACTGAAGAGGTAAAATCTACAAGTGAAGAAGTAATATATACAACAGAAGAAGTGATTTCCACAAGTGAAGAAATAATATATACAACTGAAGAAGTGAATTCTACAAGTGAAGAAATAATTTGTACAACTGAAGAAGAATCCACTAGTATTGAAGCTTTACCAACTACATATACAACTGAAGAGGTAAAATCTACAAGTGAGGAAATAATTTATACAACTGAAGAAATAGAATGTACAACTGAAGAAGAATCCACAAATATTGAACTTGTACCAACTACATATACAACTGAAGAAGTAAAATCTACAACTGAAGGAGTAATATATACAACAGAAGAAGTGAATTCTACAACTGAAGAAATAATTTATACAACTGAAGAAGAATCCACTAGTATTGAAGCTTTACCAACTACATATACAACTGAAGAGGTAAAATCTACAAGTGAGGAAATAATTTATACAACTGAAGAAATAGAATGTACAACCGAGGAAGAGTTCACTAGTATTGAAGCTTTACCAACTACATATACAACTGAAGAGGTGAAATCTACAAGTGAAGAAGTAATATATACAACTGAAGAAGTAGAATGTACAACTGAAGAAGAATCCACAAGTATTGAAGCTTTACCAACTACATATACAACTGAAGAGGTAAAATCTACAAGTGAAGAAGTAATATATACAACAGAAGAAGTGAATTCTACAAGTGAAGAAATAATTTATACAACTGAAGAAGTAGAATGTACAACCGAAGAAGAATCCACAAGTATTGAAGCTTTACCAACTACATATACAACTGAAGAAGTAAAATCCACGAGTGAAGAAGTAATATATACAACTGAAGAAATAAAATATACAACTGAAGAAGTAAAGTCTACAAGTGAAGAATTAGTCATTCCTACTATAACAACAACCCCAGAATTATTAACCACTGAGGCTTATGAAGAATTGGAATGTCCAACAGAGGAAGAGTCAACATTTACTACAGAATTTTTAGAAAGTATTCACGTTGCAGAGGAAACAAGCACAGAAGAAGAAATTATTACTACAACCGAAGAAGTCTTTACAACACCAGAACCAACAGTTCCAGAAATACCATTTACCACCGAAGAAGCAATCAAAACTGAGGAACCAATTGATATTTACATACCAGAGGTATCTGAAACTACTGAAGAAAGTATCTCAAGTATTAAAACTACTTCATTATCTACATCTAAAGAACCAGCTGTCACAACTTATGTTCAATCAAGTACTAAAGACGTTGAAGAACAAATCATTGAATCAGAAATAATAGAAATTTTTAGTTTATTTGAATCCATTATTGAAGCTACAACTACTATTGAAATTAAATCAGAGATTACTAGTGAAGTTGGTCATGTTGAAGCATCTATTGTTCCAGAGACTTACTCATATTCAATTGGTGAACCCACCTTCACATCATTTACCACTACGGTTATTGAAACAAAAACATCAACATCGCTTGAAGCTGAAGTTGTAAAAGAAACAATAACAACAATTGAAGAAGGTACAAGTTATACCACTATAACAATCACTAGCTATTCGACAATATCTGAAGCTATTAAATCAACAGCAATTGGTACTACCACTTTGTTTGAAGTTTATGAAACACAATATGTCGATAATGAGGATGATGAAGAAGATGAAGATGAAGAAGATTATGAATGTGATACATCTGTTAATGAGATAAATGAAGAAGGAGTAGTCTCACAATACATTAGTGTCGAAACTATAGTCGATGAAGATTTAACAACAACAATAACAAAAACAATTGATGTCACAGTCACTTCATATCCTGCATCAACTACACTCGTTCCAACTACAGTTGTTGCTGTAACAGAACCAGAAGCTCAATCTTATGCTAGTTCAAGTGCTGAAACTGTATCAGTTCCTATTGAAAGTGAATATACCGGTTCAGCAAATAAATTAAATAATCAATTATTTGCATTCATTGCTATGTCTTTAGCTTTATTCATTTAATTCAAGTGATGAAATAATAAATTAAATAGATTAGTCCTTGAGAAACCAGCTATCAATTTAATTGTTAATAAGCATTAGATTTTATTTGTTTAATTTAATATAAAAGTTTATATGATTTATCGGTTATGTATATTTTCATTTGTAGATTAATTTTTATTTTGTTTGTGGCGGTACATGTACAAAATCATCTTATCCGTTTTACCGCTTTGGTTCAAGGATAAATTATATTCTATGTTATGGAAATTTAATTTGACAAGCCTATATTGATTTAATATCAAGTTACTGGCAGTGTTTTCTATTCAAACTCAAATTATTTCAAATTAACCTAATATTTTCAATTATATTAACAAATTACGCCCTAGACTAGATGTATTAAATCTAATGTGAAATGTACTAAAACTTAAATACAATTAAGAACAATAGAAAAGACCCAAAAATATTTGAATTTACGAGAATTTTTTTCTGACTATGAAGTCTATTATTGAGTACATCCATACACACATATTTAGCCTTTATGGTTTTCATAAAAATAGATTATACAAACATCGTCATAATAATCAATCCGTTGAAATTTTCAATTAAGTTTTCGGTATTCGCCTTAAGTAATGACATTTTAACAGAGCCTTTAGCGTTCTTCAATAGATAATTCAATCAATATAATGTGTTATAAATGTATTTCTCGATTGCATTATTTTAGCGCGAATTGTCAACTTAATATTTTTTAAATACTTTTCATAATGTAACTAAAAAATTCGACATCCGTACTGCAAATGGCAACAGCCTAAGAATTGTTAGTTATGGTTTTGATTCTTGTGGTTAAGTCTAAAAAAGTGTAAAAGACAAAAAGGAGACTCAACATGTTCCGTAATTTGAAAGGAGGCTTTACAATGTTATAGTTCCGTAAGTGGTTTGATTTTTCGATTGAACAAAGTCTTGCTAAGTAATTTCAAATTTTTCATTGATTTTTTGATTGAACAAAGTCTTGATAAGTAATTTCAATTTTTTCACTAAAATTTTTTAGCCAAGATATAGAACAAAAAGATCGGTCTGAAGGATATCGATTTAGTCTTACAACGCTTTTCAATCAATGGACCATATATTTTTGTACGTCAAAATTACATTACAATTACATGATAGATGATAGACCTTTTTATATCAATCTTGCATCTAAAAATCGATAATCCTTCCATTTAGGTGATATTCAACACTGCAAATCTTGTTGCCAAAAGTTAGGTTCAAATTTTATGAAAGTTGAAAAAAAATTTCAGTTTCGAGTATTTCATATGTACAAAGGATAAATTTACTAAAATTCAAATTAACTAAAATAATTATTTAATTTAAATAGCCTTGATAAATTTTAGTTACTCTACCGTTCAATTGGTTGTATTACATTTTCTTCTATATTATTAGATATTTCTTCCTTAACCATTTCCTATTTGAGGTTTTAATTGCTAAAAGAAATGAACCTTGATTGATAAGAAAAAAAACAATAATGCCGTTTCATGTTTCCATTTGAATTAGACTAAGAATTTATGATTAAATGAAAGGGGGTCTCAACTCAGTTAGCTTTTCGGTAATCATATAAAGACTTCTAAATTAACTTATACAGGTTAAGCTTTTAATCAATATTGAATAAGAGAGATTAACTTTGATCTACAATGTGTTTGGTCTGAAATTAAATTTAGTTTATTGTTTTCTAAATCGAAAGAATCATAGTAGAAATCCCGGTGGGGCATTTCCAACTTATTAAGACGGGAAGCAAGCAAGTAAGTCACCTATCCATAAGAGTGAAGGAATTCAGCTACAGATACGACGATTAATAGATGAAAAGTGAAAAAAAAAAAAATTCAACTTATCGTTGCTGCATAATTTTAAGGCAAAAATCATCACGATATTTGAACCCTTTGGTCAAATATTTAATTATCATGAAACCATGAGGCTCAAATTATTAATTTATCAATAGTGGAGCAAAAAACCGAAAAAAAAATTAGGAAATTTGACAGCTTTAAGCAATTTAACAGATACTTCATCCAGATTAATTTCAATTTTATATCATGTACTATTTATGATATCATAACCATTTAAACATTCACTTAATTTATTCGTCCAACAATTTGACTGAATAACATACCAACAAATAAATGTTCTGATGTTGATGCTTAAATCTATAGCTTTATTGTATGAAAGGGAATCTATTAAAAAGCCATCCAACATTTTGCCAAAGGTAACACAAGGTTCAAATGAAGTAACTATTTAAAATTGTTATATTTAAAGTATTGTGTAAAAGCATCTTGAACATCTGCGACTTGGCTAAAACTAAATTTTACTAATTCTTTGTGATAATTAACTTGAACTGGCAAACTTAAAGTAACACTACTTATTATTTTTCCGGACTTTTAATCAATGCATTACTAAACATTAGTAAATTTCGAATAGTAAAAATATTTTTGTAATACCCTATAACTAAGATCACAAATTAAATCAAATAGAAGTCACAATTTAGTTTATCAACTCTCAGACCTTGATGATTTTTATTCAATTGATGATTTTTATTCAATTGAAAATCAAGGCATTTATTTTCAATCAAGTACAGTTTTACGGTATATGATGATAGGTCACCTACAAGTGACTAATTGTACTAAAAAGTGTTACATTTTTTCGGGTAATAATTGGTTCGTGGAAAAATTAAAATTATAAAAATACAAGAAAAATAAAGTTAATTAGTTCATATTAACATTCATCATCACATCCTGCATATACACAAAATTTTTGAAAACCAATCACTTGAAAATGTGGTCTGTTAAAATATATCTGGTTAATGCATAGTAATTTAACCTCCTCACTGGTTGGCATCTCACGCAAACTTTTATTTATATGAGAGCTCTGTCAATGGAATAAGAAACTAGTCAATCTTTTCCAATATTTTTATTATGATTCATAATTTTACTGAAAATTGTGATCCCTTTGTTATTGAAAGCAGAGAAGAAAAAAATAATTAAAGTTTAAAAATAATGTTATTTACGAGATTTACGAAAAAATATGATTTGCTATCAGATTAATCAATTATTATATCAATAAGTATTGCACATCATAAGGCTTTACACTGAATAACAAACCAAATGTATATAAGTTTTGAGGATAGAAATATTTTAATTTTAAAATCAACTACGCCTGTACGCTCTCTACTTATCACTATTATCTAAAAATTGGTTTTCTCTCACTACGATATTTATTAGATTAAATACATCTCCTATTTTGGTTTGTTTAAATTTTCACTAAAGAGCACAAAATAAAAAAACTTTTTCCACAACTTTTAATACAATTGTACTCTGGCTTTGTGTATAAAAAGTACCCTGTTACCAAAATAAGGCTCATAATTATTTTAGAATTCATGAACAGTACTTTTGTATAAAATAAGTACTTTTTAATTTGATAATTGTTGTTCATAATTTCCCAATATCAAAGATAATGTAGACGCTTAATTCAAGTACGACACTATTTATTAATAGTATTCCTACAAACTTTTAGTAGATAGTTTAAATAATAGAGTCCCAGACTAAAATTTCCAGAAAATTTTTAAAAAAATTTAGGCTAAATCTTTAATAATGATCCACTTGCTCTGTACAAGTCTGAAAAACTCTTGTACTTGTGAATTATTGTTTTTATGAAATTTAAGTGTGATTTTTATCTGATGTTCTATACATAGAAAACTTATGCTAAATATCTTTACTTTTCTTTTTAGAAATGAATGATGTTAAAAATGCTAATAATTGGTAAATTCCAAAATTTGAGGAGTAAGATGTACTAAATTAATTTGATGCTATTGGAAAAGAAATTTATCATTTTAATGAAATAAATAAAAAATATTAATAAAACACAAAACCCTTTTTTTTTTTTAAACTTTTGAACTAAAAAAAAAATAAAAAATAAATTTACGATATTTAGTAAAAAATAATTTAAATTTCTGAACATAAAAAAGTTACAAAAGAACTAATACTATATATTTCTAATTTTATTTGTCATTTGAAGTGATTCTCCTAATTATTTAACAACATAAATGAATGCAGATAGCATTATTCTATTCAGTGGCATGACTAAAACTTAAATTCTAGGGACTTGAATTATAATAATCCTTAACTCTTAATTTTTTTTTCGATTAATTTTGACATAATCTTAAGTCATAATAACTATTACATAAACTAATTTATTTATATATAAGCAATGGAATAAGTTAATGAAAATATACTTAATATCTCATTTTCAATATTGTTCCAATTCTTGTTACATCTATTCATTTCAACTCGTTTTACCAATTACTTTTAGTTCATTTCTTCTATTTGATATTATTACTTAACTATTATTACACAAACTTACTATTCGGTTTCTTGATAGAATTTTTATTTCCTGCATAAAAAAATGAATTATAATAAAAGTTTATTTACGACAATAATATATTTTTATTTCTTACTACTACTACTACTGATTAAGAAAGTTAAAGCTTCATCAACTTATTATGACTATACTCAAAATTTGGGATTAACAACTGTACCGTTGACTTGTAATGGACAATCTCAAGATTATATAATAACAAAATATGGTAATCAAGGTAATGGTGGTGGGGGAGGAGGACTTTTTCAAGATCCATATCCATCAACTATATTTAATGTTCAAAGTGTAACAAATGTTGGTAATGGAAATTTCAAAATTACTTTCTCATTTGAAATGAATGGTGATTATAGCGCATTAGTTAATGTATTTGGAGGTACCAGTATTTTAACAACTGTAAATAATCTAAATTCAAATTTACAATCAACAATTACAATAAATGGTTATAATGCTCCAAATATTTATGGATCAAATTATAAATTTTCTTCGACTGTCTTGGTTTCAGCATCTCAACATAATGGAATGTATTGTTTACCTGATAATTTCAATATTTTTTATCAATCAACAGGTTTGTTAGGTTTTTATCAAAAAAGTTATACTTATACAGTGAATCAATATTTTAATAATCCTACAACATCAAATAGTATTATGCCAAATTTTTGTTGGATTAATCCTCAATGTTCAGTAACAAGCACTCAATTTTGGACAAATTCATTTACTTCAACTCAAACAAATACCAATGGTATAAGTTCAACAAATTCAGTTATTGTATATGTTCCTTCAAATACTGCAACAACTTATACTACAAATTGGGGTAATTCTTATACTTCAACCACAAAACAAGTCAATACACCAGGTGGAACAGATACAGTGATTGTGAATTACCCTAATAACCCAACCACAACCACAACTCAATATTATAGTGGAGCAACAATTTTAACTACAACAATTACAAACGGATATGGTGGAACTGATAGCGTAATAGTAAACTATCCTACAAATCCCACCAAGACCACAACTCAGTTTTACGGTGGTTCACTTACCTTAACTACTACAACTAAAAATAGCTATGGAGGTACAGATTCGGTTATTGTTAATTACCCTTCAAACCCAACGAAAACTACAACTCAATTTTATAGTGGTTCAGTTATTTTGACTAGTACTACTAAAAACGGCTATGGAGGAACAGATTCAGTTATTGTTAATTACCCATCGAATCCAACTTCAACAACAACTCAATTCTATAGCGGTTCAACTATATCAACTACTACTACCAAGAACAGTTATGGAGGTACAGATTCAGTTATTGTTAATTACCCATCGAATCCAACTTCAACCACGACTCAATTCTATAGCGGTTCAACTATATTAACTACTACTACCAAGAACAGTTATGGAGGAACAGATTCAGTTATTGTCAATTACCCATCAAATCCTACTTCAACAACAACACAATTCTATAGCGGTTCGACTACTTTAACTACTACCACCAAAAATAGCTATGGAGGAACAGATTCAGTTATAGTAAACTACCCATCGAATCCTACTTCAACCACAACCCAATTTTATAGTGGTTCAGTTATATTGACTACTACTACCAAGAACAGTTTTGGAGGAACAGATTCAATTATAGTTAATTATCCATCAAATCCTACTTCAACTACAACTCAATTTTATAGTGGTTCAACCATCTTAACTACTACTACCAAGAACAGCTACGGGGGAACAGATTCAGTTATAGTAAACTACCCATCGAATCCTACTAGCTCACTTACTTTATTTTATTCAGGTTTAGTCACCACAACTACGACAATCAAAGGTACATATGGTGGGACTGATTCAGTTATAGTAAATTACCCATCCAATCCCACAAATAGTTTTACCACATTTTACTCGGGAACCATATTGACAACTACTACTGCCAAAAACAGCTATGGAGGTACAGATTCAGTTATTGTTAATTACCCATCGAATCCTACTTCAACAACAACCCAGTTTTATAGTGGTTCAACCATCTTAACTACTACTACCAAGAACAGCTATGGAGGAACAGATTCAGTTATTGTTAATTACCCATCGAATCCTACTTCAACCACAACTCAGTTTTATAGCGGTTCAACTATATTAACTACTACTACCAAAACCAGCTATGGGGGAACCGATTCAATTATTGTTAATTATCCATCGAATCCTACTTCAACCACAACCCAATTTTATAGTGGTTCAGTTATATTGACTACTACTACCAAGAACAGTTTTGGAGGAACAGATTCAGTTATAGTTAATTACCCTTCAAACCCAACGAAAACTACAACTCAATTTTATAGTGGTTCAACCATTTTAACTACCACTACCAAAAATAGCTATGGAGGTACAGATTCAATTATTGTTAATTATCCATCGAATCCTACTTCAACTACAACGCAATTCTATAGCGGCTCGACTATTCTAACTACTACTACCAAAAACAGTTTTGGAGGTACAGATTCAGTGATAGTAAACTACCCATCGAATCCTACTTCAACCACAACCCAGTTTTATAGTGGTTCAACCATTTTAACTACTACTACCAAGAACAGTTATGGGGGAACAGATTCGGTTATTGTCAATTACCCATCGAATCCTACTTCAACCACAACCCAGTTTTATAGCGGTTCAACTATATTAACTACTACTACCAAGAACAGTTTTGGAGGAACAGATTCAGTTATAATTAATTACCCATCGAATCCTACCAGTTCACTTACTTTATTTTACTCAGGATTGGTCACTACAACTACGACAATCAAAGGTACATATGGTGGGACTGACTCAGTTATAGTAAATTACCCATCCAATCCCACAAATAGTTTTACTACATTTTACTCGGGAACCATATTGACAACTACTACTGCCAAAAACAGCTACGGAGGAACAGACTCAGTTATCGTTGAATACCCAGTCAACCCTACTACTACTATTTCAACTTTCTACAGTGGTCCATCTTTGACTACAACAACAGTCAAAAATGGTGTAGGTAGTACAGATTCAGTTATTGTTGAATACCCAGTCAACCCTACTACTACTGTCTCAACTTTCTACAGTGGTCCTTCATTAACTACAACAACAGTCAAAAACGGTGTAGGTAGTACAGATTCAGTTATTGTTGAATACCCAGTCAACCCTACAACTACTATCTCAACTTTCTACAGTGGTCCTTCATTAACTACAACAACAGTCAAAAATGGTGTAGGTAGTACAGATTCAGTTATTGTTGAATACCCAATCAACCCTACTACTACTATCTCAACTTTCTACAATGGTCCTTCATTAACTACAACAACAGTCAAAAATGGTGTAGGTAGTACAGATTCAGTTATTGTTGAATACCCAGTCAACCCTACTACTACTATTTCAACTTTCTACAGTGGTCCTTCATTAACTACAACAACAGTCAAAAATGGTGTAGGTAGCACAGACTCAGTGATCGTGGAATATCCATACAACCCTACATCAACTGTCACCAAATTCTACAATGGTTCATCAATAATTACTACCACTATCAAGAATGGAGTAGGTAGTACTGATTCTGTTATTGTGGAATACCCATCCAATCCTACAATCACCACCACAGTATTCTGGGCTGGATCTATGGAAAGTGTCACGCGTGAGTTTAATCAACCAGGTGGTACCGATATTATTGAAATATTGATGCCTTCAAATCCTACCGAAACTACAACAGAATTTTGGACAGGTAACTATCAATATACCTCGACGCAACTGAATATACCAGGTGAAACGGATAATGTTATTGTATTTGACACTGCTAATCCAACTGAAACTACAACGAAATTTTGGACTGGTTCTTTTGCTAGTACTGCTACATATACCAAAGCTCCAGGTCAAACTGACACCGTTGAAGTTTTTGACACAGCGAATCCTACTGTTTATACGACAATATTCTGGAATGGGGAATCTGAATCAACTACAACTATGACCAATGCACCTGGCGGAACCGATACAATAGAAATATTGGCAGTTCATAACCCAACAGTTATAATTACTCAATTTTGGATTGGGTCAATTACATCAACTTCAGAACAAACCAATACCCCTGGGGCTACTGATTACGTATTCGTTTTAGAGCCGTTTAATCCTACAGTCACAACAACTGAATTCTGGTCAGGGGACTATGTCACCACATCTACTGAAATAAATGGACCAGGAAGTACCGATATCGTTCATGTTTTAGACCCTCACAATCCAACAGTCACCACAACCGAGTTCTGGACAGGTTTAGAAGCTACTCAATCAATAGTTACTCAATCACCAGGTGGAACTGACAGTGTTATAGTTTTGAAACCTCACAATCCTACATTTACTACTACAGAATTTTGGAATGAGACTTATATTTCCACTTCAACTGAAACCAATGGACCAGGAAGTACCGATATCGTTCATGTTTTAGACCCTCACAATCCAACAGTCACCACAACCGAGTTCTGGACAGGTTTAGAAGCTACTCAATCAATAGTTACTCAATCACCAGGTGGAACTGACAGTGTCATAGTTTTCAAACCCCACAATCCTACATTTACCACTACAGAATTTTGGAATGAGACTTTCATTTCCACCTCAACTGAAATTAATGGGCCAGATAGTTCAGACATAGTCCACGTTTTAGATCCTCACAATCCTACATTTACTACCGCAGAGTTCTGGACAGGAATTAGCGCTACTCGATCATCAATAACAAATGGACCTGGGGGAACTGATACAGTATTGCTTTTGTACCCATCCAACCCAACAATTACTTCAACTGAGTTCTGGAACCAAAATTACACAACAACTTCCACTATAATCAATAACCCACAAGGAACTGACTATGTAGTAGTTAAGGACCCAGATAACCCAACTATAAGTATTACTCAAACATGGACAAATAAATATAGCTCAACCATCACTAGCACTAATGGACCCGGCAAGACTGATACCATTTATATCGAAGTCCCACCTATATCCAGTCAATTCACAATTACCAGTAGTTTGACATCCAGCTCCTCAGATCATAACTCAAGTATTCAAACATCATTAAGCAGCTTAGAATATAGTTCAAGTTATGAAGCTCCATCAAGTTCATATTATAGGTCAAGTTATGAACCATCGTCAAGCAGCTTACAATATAGTTCAAGTTATGAGGTTCCATCAAGTTCATATTATAGCTCAAGTGTTGAAGCATCGTTTAGCAGCTCAGACTACGGTTCAACTTTTGAAAGTCCATCAAGTTCATATTATAGCTCAAGTATTGAAGCATCTTTTAGTAGCTCAGACTACAGTTCAAGTTATGAATCATCATCAAGCAGCTCAGAATATACTTCAAGTTATGAAGCTCCAACAAGTTCAGATGATAGCTCAAGTATTGAAGCATCATCAAGCAGCTTAGAATATAGTTCAACTTCTGAGGTTCCAACAAGTTTATATTATAGCTCAAGTATTGAAGCATCTTTTAGTAGCTCAGACTATAGTTCAACTTATGAAATTCCATCAAGTTCAGATTCTAGCTCAAGTTATCAATCATCATCAAGCAGCTTAGACTATAGTTCAAGTTATGAAGCTCCATCAAGTTCATATTATAGCTCAAGTGTTGAAGCATCATTAAGCAGCTCAGACTATACTTTCACTTATGAGGTTCCAACAAGTTTAGATTATAGTTCAGATTCTAGTTCAGATTTTAGTTCAAGTTATCAATCATCGTCAAGCAGCTCAGACTATAGTTCAACTTATGAAATTCCATCAAGTTCAGATTCTAGCTCAAGTTATCAATCATCATTAAGCAGCTTAGAATATAGTTCAAGTTATGAAGCTCCATCAAGTTCATATTATAGCTCAAGTATTGAAGCATCATCAAGCAGCTTAGAATATAGTTCAACTTCTGAGGTTCCAACAAGTTTATATTATAGCTCAAGTATTGAAGCATCTTTTAGTAGCTCAGACTACAGTTCAAGTTATCAATCATCATCAAGCAGCTCAGAATATAGTTCAAGTTATGAAGCTCCAACAAGTTCATATTATAGCTCAAGTTATGAATCATCATCAAGCAGCTCAGAATATAGTTCAAGTTATGAAGCTCCAACAAGTTCATATTATAGCTCAAGTTATGAATTATCATCAAGCAGCTTAGACTATAGTGCAACTTCCGACGTTCCATCAAGTTCATATTATAGCTCAAGTATTGAAGCATCATTTAGTAGCTCAGACTATAGTTCAACTTATGAAGTTCCATCAAGTTCAGATTATAGCTCAAGTGTTCAAACATTATTAAGCAGCTCAGACTACAGTTCAGCTTATGAAGTCCCAACAAGTTCAGATTTAAGTTCAAGTTATCAATCATCATCAAGTAGCTTAGGAGATAATTCTGCTTATCAATCATTTTCAAGTTCTACAGACGGCACCTCCAATTTTATAACATCATCAATTCCCACAGATTTTTCTTCAGACAACAAATGTTCAACTATAATTTACAGTTCTGGTAATGATTTGTCATCAAGCTTTGAAGATTCTAGCACAAGCTATTACTATGAAGTTTCAAGTTATAGCTCGGCTGTTGATGCTGCTTCCACATCATTCGAATTTATATCATCAAGTGTGCCAACTCAAACCTCAAGTTCCGTTAGCAACTTACCATCTAATGGCTCAAGTGCTAATTTAAACTCTACCATAAGTAGCACTGGATTTGTTTATTACAGTTCCACGACTTCAAGTTTCAGTCCAAGTTCAAGTGTTACCCCAAGTTACAATTCAGCAGTTGATGCAGACTCCACCGTTTACAATAATCCATCAAGTTTCACTATTTCATCAGATATTCCTATTGAGTCGTCGTTCTATGGATCTACAGTAAGTTCTCCAAGCACGTCCAGTTTTGTTAGTGAGTTAGATTTTTCATCAGAGAGCCAAACAGTACTCAGCACAAGCTTGTTTCCTATAATATCAATATCGTCGTTATCAGTTAGTTTGCAGCCATCTTATAGTGAACAACGTGGCTGGAACATGTCCATTACACTATCGAGTTCTATCACCTCATTATTTTCTGGAATGACATCACTTGCTGCTGAACCTTCAGAATTTACCTCCGATAATTCTCAAGAAAGTATCTTGACAACACAATCAAGTGCAAGCTTCAGCCTGGTTTCTGGATCAATTTTGTCTTCAACAAGCCAACAACATTTTACCATTTCATCACAATCTGTTGAACAATCTACAACACAACAAACCCTCAACAATCCAACCACTTCTAGTGAGTCAAGCTCAAATACTATCTTATCATCATCATCATCATCGATAATCATATCCACAGAATCTTCGAGTTTGGAATCAAGTGCATTATCATTAACTTCGTCAAGTGCAGTTTTTAATCCATCATCGTTTGTGAGTACCTCATCAGAAAAACCTGATTCAAGTATTTCTTATCCTACATCAGTGGATGCTACACCATACGTCACTTACGATACCACAGAGATAGACACAATTAAATCATCATCACCAATAAAATCTACTACATCTTTCATATCATCTTCGGAAATTTCATCATCATATACCACAACCTTATCATCATCAACAAATTTATCTTTTCCATCATCACCTTCATCAAGTCAGGAATCTTCGACATTTAAATCATCAGTTTCATCTGAATCATCACCTATAGTAACAATCACATCAATAACTACCACTAAAAAATCATCACAATCGTCTAATCCAGAATTCACTGAAACTTCCAGCCCAGCTGACAAATCTATTGAAGCAAGTACTTTAAACACACCATCTTCAACATCATTGACTTCAACATCCCGATCATCTAAAGCTAATTTATCAAATTCAACAACTAAACCATCATCAACAACTCAAAATGGTTCAATCAAACCTGATATAAGTAGTTCAATCTTTCCAACATCAGTTGATGCATCTCCATATGTCACTTATGAAACACCAGATACCACTGAAATCAATCCTTCAAGTTCTAACTCAATTTCAAGTAAATCAAAAGCAAGTTTGAACCCAACTTTAACTGGAGACGAAACAAGTACATTAGTTACCCCATCTTCAACATCATTGAATTCAACATCCCAATCATTTAAAACTAGTTCATCAAATTTAACAACTAAATCATCATCAACAACTCAAAATGGTTCAATCAAACCTGATTTGAGTAGTACAATCTTTCCAACATCAGTTGATGCATCTCCATATGTCACTTACGAAACACCAGATACTACTGAAATCAATCCTTCAAGTTCTAACTCAATTTCAAGTAAATTAGAAGCAAGTTCAAACCCAACTTTAACTGGAGACAACCCAAGTGCAACCTCAAATTCGAATCAAGCATTTAAGACAAGCATAATAATGGAGACAACATATACTACCACTACTCTTGATGATAAAGTGCAACCAACATCATTGTCAACAAACATACCGGTATCATCATCGTCGACTGCAAATGAAGAGGTCAAATCAGCAGATAAGAGTTCAAATTCGTCAAAAAATTTACCTACATCAACAGCTCAACAAAATCAAGGGGTTTCTCAAGCTTCCAGCTCATCATTGATCAATGTTAATGGCATTTCTTCAACCACTGGAAGCTCACTAGATTTAACTGAAGCTACCTTAAATCCATCATCAAAGAGTTCCAATTTAGACACCAATACTAATTCAAAAACGTTGGAGAATTCGTCTAGACCTTCAAAATCACTTGCAAGCATTGGAAGCTCACAAACCTCACTAGAATCTGCATCACTATATTCACAACCAACGTTATATCACTCAGGTAAATCAAGTACATCTCCATCAAAATTTTCCACATTATTATCATCAACAACATCTTCATCAAAACCTATCCAACAAACAGCTTCAACTCAATACTTATATACATCATCATCAAGCAATCCAATACCTACATCACCAGCAATTACTCAAATAGTTGAAGGTAATTCAAATAAAAATTATTTCCCAAAACTAGGAGGAATTTTTGCATTACTTTTATTATTCATCATTTAATTTAAATTTATATCAATCGTTATTTCAGTTCATTTATTTAAAAATCGTTACATTTTCGGTAATAACTCAGCTACTATAGTTAGTGTAGAGTTATTTAAACATTTTTTAGTTCATTTATTTACATGTATATTATAACATATTCGCTTTAAAAAACTAAAATTATTGTAAAAACTTTATATATTCTCGTCATTTATGTTTCCTTCTTTCGAGTTTGATGATGGCTCTCTTGTATTCTTAGTTCTTGGCCATAATGAAGGTAATCTTACAACTTGAAATCTTGGCTCGACACATCTTTCAACAAACCATGTTTTTAATCTATTTTCAATTAATGATGAAATTTTAGGAACATCTTGTAATTTTGCTCTTGATCCAATAAGTGATTTAACAACAAATTCTAATCTATAATCAGGAGAAAATGAAAACATTAATGCTGTGCCTGCACCATTATTATTTTCATTTGAATCATCATTTTTTGATCCAATTTGTTTCGGAGTTGTTGTTTTAGAATCCATAAATTCTTGATCATTTGTATTTACTAAAGAAACGGTTAGACAACCTGAAAATCGAACTATTGAAACGGTCAAACTAACAGGTAAAATAGCAGTTAATGGTCTTGGATGATTTAATAATAACCTAGTTTCAATTCCTAAGGTCAAAGTATCGGATAAATCAACATCTATTTTAGCTTCTAATCTACCAATGTTTTTTTCATTTTGTTTAATTCTGCAATTCGAAAATATTGGAAAATCATCACCTACATCAATTTCTGTTAAATTAATTTTGTCCATAAATTCTGGCATATCTGTTTGTAACAAAAAATCATTTAATGAATGGTAAATATTATCCGATAATAAAGCTTCTGTTCTTAGATGTGATATTGTTTGAGCAATTAATACATTAAACCAATCCAATGATTCTGATGGATGATTATTTACATCATAATAAGTCTTTTCTAAAATTGAAGAAACTTTTGCTTTATTATTTAAAATTTTTTCATCTTCAACTAAATCATCAACTTCTTTTGAATTTAAATATGAATTTTTGGGGGTTTTAGTTGTTTGATTTTTGTCTCTTTTCACTATTACTCCTGAAGCATCTCGTAGGATTGCTTTTGATGGTAACGTTGAAGAATCGGCAAATACAAAAAATTTTATAAAAATGATAATTATTAGTATGACACTTAATTGACCCACTATTAAACCTTGTGTAAAACTCCAATGATTGTTTTGTTGTACTTCTGTGGTTGGTGTTTGTCTTGTAGATTGTAAATTTTGTTGTTGTTGTTGTTCTTGCAAATATAAATCACGTTGACTACTGAAAAATTCTTGTTGAGATCTTAATTGTTCTTGCAATTGATGTAGTAGTTCTACTTGTGAATTTGTGTTGATGTGTGATATCTCCGAGGTCGTTACTTCTAATGATAAATCAGACATCTTTAAAATCCCATTGATAGTTAAGATTTGTATCAGAGTTTATTATAAGAGTTGTATAGGTTATCTGATAAGCTCGAACTTAAAACGCGCAAGCTTGGAAAGTACGCTCTATTCTCCAGAAAGCTGGGACGAAAGTAGTTCAAAAATTATCAATTATTTTTTAATTTTTGTGAGGTCAAATCAATGTTAGCATCATCCGACTCTACAAGAAGAAGTGAATGTATTTTGTATGGGCATTTTGTTTAAAGAGTATACGGATGTCAAAATTATAAGTGATATGATTTCAAAATCTTGTGTTCCCAAAAATGTGTGAAAAAAGCATTACAACTCTCGTTTCGGTTATGTGATACTTTTTTAGTCCATTTAAGAAGTTGAGAAAAACTGATTAAATTGATTGTTTTGTTAAATTACTCGATAAGTCTCTATTACTTGAAAAATTTTGTCCTAACTAATTACATTCAGAATTTTATGAAAATACGATCAATTTGGTTTGTTTGGTTCTAGAGACAGGTCTTACAAAAAAAAGAATTTTAGAGAATCCGAGTTGTGTATCGGGGTCGCATTGTTGGGGAATTTTTGAGTTTTCAAATTTTTGCCCATATTTTCAATATCATCTGTTTTAATGAAGGATTTGTACCGTCAGATACCTAGAGAAATTTCGAATGTAATTTATATGAGCATTTTTTTTTGTCAGGAATATGGGTCTTGAGAGATTTGGGTTTTAATGCTAATTTGTACAAATTTTGTACTGTAAATTTTGTAGTAAAGAATAAAAAAACTTTATCCTAAAATCTCAATACAACTTTCCCGAACCACCAAATTTTTACATAGTAAAGAAAAACCATGCACTTTATCTTTATTATCATCATTTTAATTATCTTACAAAAAAAATAAAATACCCGACTCTTAACGGTCACTAGCATATCTAAGTAGCTCAAACCTGGTATCTGCAAATAATGTTTCTGAGTTTTACATGTCTGGGAAGTTTTCTGAATAGATGTTGATTTTCAAGCTCAAAATTTTTCATTTTCCAGGAGTGATAGTTTTATCAATATCAATGTATTACTTGTAAGAAAGTGAATGTAAATTGTATGAGGCTTGAAACCTCAGCTTTCGAGTTGAAGGGAGCAAAAGGTGTTTAAAATGAAGATCTTGATTCAAATCTTGTTATAAATAATACGCGCGCTAAATTTAGAACACACTTTGAAACACACTGAAACATTTCCAATATACTTTTCAAAATTAAATACAAAAGAAAAAAACTACTTAAACTAAAATATTATACAACTTTTTTTAACCTATAAATAAATCATTTAGGAATTCCTGTTTTTTTTTTCGGAGTCTTTACAGGTGTTGAATTTTTTAATGGAGTTGAATTTTTACTTAATGGAGTTAATGATTTAACAGGTGTAGCAGATTTTAATAAATTAACAGAACCACTTGAACTACTCCTTCTTCTTGACCTTTTAGAAGGTCTTATCTCTATAGGCTTTATATCTTCATCTTCATCTTCATCAAATGTTTCATCATCATCTTCTTCTTCATTACTATCATTATTACTATGAATCCAAGAATATATAGCTTTTCCTGCATTATTTAATTCTTTATTTGCATTACCAACATATTTTGCAGCAAATTCAGCTAATGGACTTTTAGATGATATTGAATCTTCATCATCACTAAATGAATGATTTGAATTTGTACCATTTCTATTATTTCTAATATTTCCATTATTATTTCCATTATTATTTCCATTATTTAATAATTTTTGATTTTGAATTTGATTTTCCAAGTATTGTTGAACATCAAATTTTTTACCTCTCATAAATTCTCTAATTTCAAAATATAAATCTCTACTAACATTATTTAAATTAATTTTATTTTTCATCCAATAAGTTCTAAAATCATTTATATGTTTTTTAAATTCCAATTCATTTTTTTTAAGCCAACTTACATTTAATTCTTTTCTTGTTGCACCTCTTGCAAAATTTCTCATTAAATATTTATCATAATCTCTAATTATTTTAGTAATTATATCTGATGTTGAAATACCATCAGTTCTTTGAGTAGTTAAAAATTTACCTTCTTCTTTTATTGGTTTATAAATATCATCACTATCAGTACTTGCATAAGGTAAATCATCATGTGCAACATAATCTATATTATGTTCTTTTAAAAATTCAGGAGTAACACACCAAGGAGCATTTGGTATAACTTCATCAACCCATTTACAATGCATTAAAGTTTCACATCTTTGTTCATCAGTTAAAACAGTTAAACCTTTTCTTTTATGAGTTTCAATATCAGATGGTATACCACAAACTAATTGTACATTATCAAATGATTTTTTAGCTTGTTCCAATTGTTTCATATGACCTAAATGAAATAAATCAAATACACCATCTGCATAAATTCTAATTGGTTTATCTTTTGGTGGTAAATTAAATTTAAAACCTCTTGGTCTAAATTTTCTTAATTCAATTGGTAATTCAGAATCTAATTTTTTTTCATTTTCTTCAAATTCTTCTTGTTCTTTAGTTTTAATTTTTCTTTTCTTTAGTTGTTGTTCTTTTTCTTCAAGATCTAATTTATTATCAACTGCACCTTGAGTTATTGATTTTTTGATTTGGTTTTTATCATCTTTTTTATCATTTGAAATTATAGAATCATTATCTTCTCTTTTTCTTTTTCTTTTAAAAATTGATGATATTGAATCAATTGATAAAGTTCTTGCTAATGGTGAATCTTTATTTAATTCTTTTTCAAGAGTTCTTCTTCTACTTAATTTAGCCATTGAATTGTGTTGATTATATAATTAATTGATCTAATTTGAAAAATGATAGTATTTGAGATGATAAAATCTCCACTAATTAGTAGTTATATAATGTATAATTAATTTGGATAATTCAAACTTTGATTTGATTCAAATTTGTATAATTGCTAAGCGAGTATACTTAAATTACTTATTTAATACAACATTAAATAATTTATTATTATTACATATGATTTTATTTTTTTACTCGAATACTAACACGTTTAATTAAGACGATAATAATAAGGAGAGAAGAATAACAAAAAAAGATAACATCAAGCGAGAAATTACAACGAGGAAACTAACTGTATAGGTCGAAGTCTTGTATTAGAAATTTATTATAAATTGATTAAGATTTGTAATAAAAGATCTTAATCACAAAATCTTAATCTACTCTATAAAAAATATCTTGGAGTGTAATTATTAAAGAAAAGAATATTTGCAACCACATTCTATTAATATTTAATTTTCAATCATAAATTTAATTCCCATTCCAATCAGTTACTGTTTGCATACTCTATTACTTATCCACATTTAATTAATTCTTTATATTATTCATGTCAAGAATTCATTCAATATCAGATTTAAAATATATAAAACCACAAACTTTATATCAATGGATAACAAATAAATCATCACCACCAAATGGAAATGGAAAATTTGCAATAATAGATGTAAGAGATTCAGATTATGTAGGTGGTCATATAAAGGGAAGTTGGCATTATCCATCATCAAATTTCCAAAATTCATTAGAAGATTTACAAAACAAATTATATGAAAATGATATAAATAATGTAATTTTCCATTGTATGTTATCACAATCAAGAGGTCCTTCATCAACTTTAAAATTTTTAAGATCAATTGATTCAATTAAAAATTCTAAATTAAAAGAATTTTTAGAAAAAAAATTAAATATTTATGTACTAAGAGGTGGATTTTCTCATTGGCAAAGTGAATTTGGTAATGATTCAAATGTTACTGAACTGTATGATGAAGATATTTATAGATTTGGTATACCATCACCATAAGTAATAATTAAATATTTAGATTAAGAAATGAAGTATAAAAGGAATTTTTGGGTTAAGTTTGTAATATTAGAATTAATGTATTATTAAAATTATTATATTAATTATTTTGTAGAATTTGAAAATTAATGTTGTAGCAAATTTTTACCACCATTTTTGTTATATCAATAAACTATTTATTATGATATTTTTTACAATTCTTGTCTATTAAAATTATTATTAAAATTTTTAAATTATCAAATTAAACTATCAGTATTTGGATTAAATACTTATCGTGCAAATGGATTAGTTGATTGAGGTTTTAATGGTTGTGGAATAACCCCAGGATATGATTGTTGTTGTTGTTGAGGTTGTGGTTGTTGTCCAGTTGACATTCTTGAAAATGGATTTGTATTTGATCTTTGTATACTTGATGTCAGTTGTTGTTGAAATATTGATGGTTGCCAAGATGAAGTTTGTTGATGTTGTTGCCAATTTTGAGTTGGTTGATGAAGTTGTTGTTGTACTTGTTGTGGTTGTTGATTTTGTAATGCAAATGGATTTGTATTTTGACGTTGTATTGGTTGAGTATTAGTTTGTTGTGGTTGTGGTTGTTGTTGTTGTTGAGGAAATTGTTGAGGAAATTGTTGAGTTTGTTGTTGTTGTAAAAATGGATTAGTAGTTTGATGTTGCAATGGTTGTGGTCCATATCCACCGAATCCATTACCTGTATATGAAGTTTGTAATGTTGGTTGAGATTGTAATGGTTGACCTTGTATTATAGATTGTAAATTACCTGATGATTGATAACTAGGGAATGGATTGTGTTGTTGCGCTTGTTGCTGTTGAGCTTGTTGTTGAGCTTGTAATTGTGCTTGCTGTTGGGCTTGTAGTTGAGCTTGTTGCTGGGCTTCATGTTGTGCCTGTAATTGTTGTTGCATTTGAGCTTCTTGTTGTTGTTGTAATTGAAACGCTTGTTGTTGTTGTTGCTGTTGCTGCTGCTGCTGCTGCTGCTGTTGTTGTTGTTGTTGTTGTTGCAATTGAAATGGATCTTGATTTTGTACATAACTTTGAGCTTGACCTGGAACAAACATATTATTCCATGGATTATAAGTTTGTTGAACAATTAATGATGCATGTCTATCTACTCCATCATTTGATATATTATTGACATTATTTTGATTAGCACTTTTCGATTGAGATTCATCAATATTATTATTTGCTACTTTTTTATGATCTGTTCCATTACTACTACTTCCCTTTTCAGCTAAATATTGTCTTCTATTAATTTCAAAATTTGGATCATTTAAATATTCTTCAAGTGAACTAGTCAATGCAGTTGGTGCATGTTTTATAGTTGGGACATGTAAATTTGTTGCATATTCAAGATGTTTTGCAACTCTTAAATAATCAATAACAAATTTTGTTTGATCAACAAATTTTTTATAAATTTTTAATGATCTTTCAGAATCTGGTTTGGACATTTCAAAATAATGTTCCAATATATTAATTACTCCTTCATTTAATTCTTGAAATAATGCTAATAAATCATTTACTAATAATCTAAATGCTGTTAATACAATATCATTATTTATTTCATTTTCCATAAAATTGTTTTTTAATAAAGAATCAATTTGTTTTTGAACACTTTCTGTTTCCCTTAATAATCCTTTTTCGATGGTTAATGATCTTAATCTTCCACCTTGTTGTGATGTACTATTATTTGATCTTTCATCCCTTACATAATCTATACCAGTTGCATCAAATTGTTTTACTCTTGTACTTAAATATTTTGAATATTTCATTATAAATCTTGCATCTTGATTAAAACTTCCACTATTTGCTGCTAAATTACTCAGTGATAAATTTAACATTGAAGTTCCATTATCTGCTAAATAATTTAGTGTAACATCTTTATCACCTTCTCTAATCATTAAATGAATTACAATTAATGATTTATAAACAACTGACCAAGAACTATCACGTAGTCTTTGCTGTAAAGTTCTCATTATAGTATGAAAGTTATCTTTTGAAACAATTGAGTGATCTGTTGAAGTTGCCATTAATATAGGTTCAATATATTTCGGTTTAGGAGCAGCTACTTTGATTTTAGTAGCTCCTTTTACAATCTTTTCATAAGTTGTCATGCTAATTAGTTTATTCTATATTGCTGATTATTATGCTATTTTGTCAATTGACTCAATTGCGTTCTTGTGATGTATATTAATTTGTTTTATTCTGAGGTAAATGAACTCTAGACTTTATGGATCGGAATATCTGGATACTATTTGTTTTCTGATTTGAATTGTGATATCTTTGGAATAGTGTTATGTTATTTATAATGAATATAGTAATACAATTGAAATATTAATGAATTAAAGTAGGTAGGTTGAGATCAAAATAGACCAAATTGATAAATAAAAAATGATGTAACTGTTTTAATAATAACTAATTTAATTGTTAATCTTATTGAACAAAATAAATTTGTTACCGAAATATTTATACTAGGCTTTGATTTTAAAAAAACGCACTAAATTGGTAGCATGGGACCCGTTTTTTTCATTTACATTTGATTTTTACTCCTATATTAAATTAATTAACTTCATTTGTTAACAGTGTCTGTGACTTGTGTAGAAAAGCTTAATTTTGTTCATACAAATTACATTCAAAATCATTCAACTTGTAATTTGTATGTAATTTTAAAACTTCTACGTAAATTAAAATAAATTGGAGTATTTGAAAATTTCATCGTTCCAAACGACTTGAGTAAAAATTTGACCAAAAATTATTTCATTCATTTGATCTTTTCAAAAGTACAAAGATAACACATCTTTCTTGATAAACTGTTTTAATATCATTTTAAGTGTTTGGAATGTATTCTATTTGAGGCTGTCGTCATTATAAAATTGAACGTCATCCACTTTGATTTTATTTCATGGAGCACTTTACATAAGAAGTTGAAGATTTATTTCGACACTATTCTCAACAATACTTTGTGGGTAAACTAGACTTATCTTACGCAAATCAATAGTTCCAATTTATCAATCTTTTTACTGTTTTATTTGTCTGTGGAGACTATTGGTAAAAATTCTGAAACTACTGAAGTACGGATGTGTTTATTTGCAGCCAAAACTAATACATAATTTTTTGCCCTTCATTTGTATTGAGCTGTGATTACCAAAAGAACAGAAGTAATTAGCAGGGATCTAAACAGAAACTAAGCTGGACTAACGGGTTTAGCTCTTTCACTTTAAACTTCAAGAGGCGATGTAATTGCTGGCAAATAAAACAATAATTGATATTCTCTTTAATTAAAATTCTATTTTATATAATATTTATATATAATTTTTTTATTTACAAGTTGAAAAATACACTTCATTATCATTAAATTCTAACTTTTTATAACGTTATTGACGCTCAAATCACCAAATTCTCACATAATTGTAATTTATTTTGGTTTCATTCCACCTCTTTTTTCTAAAAAATCTTTTGCTTCATTAACTTTCGTTGCTAAAAATGATGAACCACCTTTATCAGGATGATTAGCCATCATTAATTTTCTATGTTGTTCTTTTAATTTCAATTTTGATAGATTTGTTTCTTTTAAATTTAGAATTTGTAATGCTTCTTTTGCTGTCATTTTTGATCCAAATCCTCCTCTATGAAATGCTTTACCATTTAAACCTGGTTTATTTGATTTAACTAATCCTGCTGCAAAATATGTTATTGTTAATGCCCCTATACCTGTTATCCATGGATGATCACCCATCCAATTTGTTGTTTTATCAAAATACCATTCTATTGATCCTTCTGCTGCTTGTTTTTTTTGTAGTTGTCCTGTATATTGATATGGCTGTTGTGATTGATGTTGATGTTGTTGTGTATTGTCTCCAGGTATTTGAAGAGTGGGTACTTCCATTGGTGCCATTCTTGATTTGAAAGTTGAATTGAAATTTGAGTGATCAAAATAATAAGACCAAAATTTTTTTAATTTACTTTGAAAAATTAAAAATATAATAATAAAATTTTTGTGTAATAAAATATTAAAAAGAGAGAGAGAAGAACAGAAGAAATTTAATTTTAATAATAATCTCATCTCTTTTGGTAATCACTTTCAATTAAGAATTATAATTATCAAGGAAGAACCATAAAGTTATATAAACAACTACTAGATTAGTATTATACCATAACAAAAAACTCAATCACACAACTACCAACCCAAATAAAAGTAAATAATCCATTCACAAATAATATACAATATCACACTATCGCACTATCACACATAAATAATGAGAATTTATCAATGTCATTTTTGTTCATCACCAGTATATCCATTACATGGTATAACATTTGTTCGTAATGATGCAAAAGAATTTAGATTTTGTCGTTCAAAATGTCATAAAGCTTTTAAACAAAGAAGAAATCCAAGAAAATTAAGATGGACAAAAGCTTTTAGAAAAGCAGCTGGAAAAGAATTAGTTGTTGATTCAACATTAACATTTGCAGCAAGAAGAAATGTACCAGTAAGATATAATAGAGATTTAGTTGCTACAACCTTAAAGGGAATGAGTAGAATTGAAGAAATAAGGCAAAGAAGAGAAAGAGCTTTCTATAAGAATAGAATGAGAGGTAATAAAGAAAGAGAATTAGCAGCTGATAGAAAATTAGTTGAAGAAAATCCAGAATTATTAAGATTAAGAGAAGTTGAATTAAGAAGAAAAGCTGAAAAATTAGCTGCTAAAGAAAATGCAATTGAAGAAGATGATGAAGAAGAAGATATTGATGTTGAAGAAACAGATGAAGAAGAAGGAGAAATAGAAGATGAAGATATGATAAGTGAAGATGAAGAAGAAGAAGAAAGTGAGAGTGAAGAAGAAGGTCAAAGAGTTAAACAAAAGGTATTATTAAAAAATAAGAGAAAGAATAAAAAATTAAACTAAAATTAAATATATTTATTCATGATAAATCAAAACCAGCTTCAGTATTTATAGCATATAATAATTTTTCTTTCATAATTTTTTTATCTTGATAATCAGGTAATTTTAATAAATTTACACAAGTAGAAGCTGTTGGTAATCTATCTTTATCTCTACCTGAATTTCGAATACCAAATTTTGGATTTAATGTACTAAAACCTAATAATGGAGCTCTACTTACTGAAGTAACAAATTTAATAAGTTTTGATTTTTCTTCAATATTTAATTCTTGAATAATTTCCCAAAATAATTTTATACTTAAATCATTTTCTAAATAACCTCCATATTCAACATTTAATTTCCAATCTGATAAATTTATTGCTTTTTCTCCACCTGATATTAACATCTGTAATTCAAAAGAATCAAACATTTTCAACCATTTTTTAGGTATCATTACAAATAAACCTTCTAAGAAATATTTGGTTTGTGGCATTAATGATTGATTTAATTTAAAGTCTGCTAATTTATGTAAATAATATTGAACATTTGCTTTGTTTACTTTAGTTTTAGAACCATTTGGTATTAATTCAAAATTATGTGTTTTGTGATCAACTTTAATGTCAACACTAAAACTTAAATCTAGATTTTCTAATTCAACATTTGACATTTTAGAAAGTTTTGTCAAATTTCTAAATAAATCTGGGTCCAAATAATTTAAATCGTTAATCGAATTTTTAAATAAATCCATACATGACTTGCTAATAAAAAATGGTGCAAATGAAACATCAACTAAAACATTTTCAAATAAACATTTACCAACACACATTCCTAAAAATCTTAAATATTCTAATTTCTTTTGTTGAATTGCCATATCTTTTTGTAATCTTAGTTTATAATAAATATCTTCATTCGGGTATACTTGATTATCAGTTGTAGTTTGAAATAATCCATTGTCAGGGTTAATCCCATCTAACAAAACACCAGTTAAAAATTCTTTTGTAATTCCTCCGCCATCAATTCCAGCTTCAGGTCCATATTCATTGAAAAATTCAACTTGGATTTTATGTTTAAATTGTTCGCCAGCTTTACCAAATGATTCAAATGCATCTTCTAATAAATTTTGTCTTCTTATTTCGGCTCCTAATCTTGATTCTTCTTGGAAAAATAAATTTGGTGTTATTTTATCTTTGTCTTTCTCTACTAACCCTTGAAAGATCATTACTCTTTCATTAAATGGGATGAAATATGGTGTATTGAATAAAATTTTGATCACTTTGGAGTATATAAGTGGTTTTTTAGATGCAGCTTGGTCATTTAAATCCTCGTCATCACTATCTGCAATATTCTCGTAATCATCAACTAAGTATTCTATCAATTTCGGAATGTTATAATTAAACAGTTCAGTTAACCAAAAATTTGTAGGTAAAAACTTTAGTCTAAGATTTTTCAAATATAATTGATCAATCAACTTGTTTGATTGCTCTTGCAATTCTTTCGTAAGTCCATTTTCGATATCTACTATATTCAAGCAAACTGATTTTAAAAATTTACACAAATCTAATATATTTGTTGCACTAAGTCCTGATTCTTCGAAAAATTCTCCATCGTTCGATATTATTAGCCAGTATGAATAAACTTCCTCAAAAAACAAGCATTCATCCCAAAACATTGGTTGGTCAAATAAAGTATAAGCTATGGTTTTAGGAATTTCATCCTCATATTGTAAAATAACCTTGAAAATGATTTCATTTGCAAAATTATCATACAAAAGTGATATATTTCGAGGATTGACACATAATTGTAAGTAAACTTGGTGTTTTAAGGAAGGCCTTAGATAGCTGATTTTGAATAAAATTATAAATGATGTTAAATTATTTTCCTCTAATTGCTGTATTACAGTTTGTAAAAAATTTGAAGTATATAATTTATCCAATGTATTTAATTCTGCCGTAGTGGCCTCAAACACCTCCTTTGATTTGGAGACCTCGATATCCTGAGATGAATCCACAATTTTTGAATTGTTATAAATTAACAAGATCAGCAAAAGATGATAGTCCTCATCGATAAACATTTCATTTCCATGTATAGTCAAAAAATTTAGTAAAATTTTGTTAAAGAAATCTCTTGGACTATTGTCTTTAAAAGTTTGAAGGCAGTCAATTGCTCGAGGATCAAAAACGTTTCTTAGTATTGTTAAGTATAAGGGATTTGGTTGAATATAACGATAATTGTAAAGTACTTGTATAAATGGTATGAAATAATCTGGATCCCCTCCATTGTCATTAATTGTGTATATGAAGTTTAAGATTTGGGTTGACTCTGAAGACGTGGCATTCAATTCGGATTCTTCTAGCAAGGAGTTGAGATTTGATAGTAGTTGAGATGTAGTAAATTGATATTTTTGGTATAAAAAACGTAAAACTTGAAATATTAGATATTTATTGTGATAACTTACTCTGTTATTTTTTATTAATGGCGTTAAATAATTCCCTAAAATATTAATAGCAGATAACGATATTTCTGGTTTAGATATATCCTCTAGTTGACTATTTAAATTGACTAAAATTGAATTTTCAATCTCCAGATTTCGAGTTGCAAACCATCTAGATAAACTTATAGAATCTAAGATAAATTGTCCCCATTCATTAGATTCATTGATTTCAAATTCATTCCATTGCCGAAGTAGATCTTTAATATCTTTTGAAATTCTCAAATAATTTGTAATATTGCGTTGTAGTATTACTGCTGATTTTTCACGATTTCTAATTTCTTGCCTTTCATTTCTTTGTAATCTAGATTGTTCTAAAAAATTTCTATTACCAAAACCTGTACTTTTGTTGTTACCTAAATTGACTGATCTCTTCTTAGTTTGACCAGAGAAGTTTAGCATGAGGTAGGAATAATTAAATGAGCGATGTTGTAATCAATTTGATTTAGTTGGTTGCAATTATTATTGTTGTAATACTACTAATTAGATCTAATCTAATAGATAATGATAGGAAGTGTAAATTGTTCAATTTTATACTGTTAAGGGGTTTCTTTATAGATTGTTTTCAAATCTTAGGTTACCTCCTAAGACACTATCAACCTCTCATTTTACTTGTAGTATTATTTCATTTCAAATTTGTTTGGAATGGAATTTACCCGAATCATTGTTGTTTAATCAAGTAATAAACTTGAATGCAAAGTTTACCAAATGATTGATATCTGAACTACTCATACTTCGTGACAATTCTGTTTAATTTAAACGCTGAATAACACGAAGCTTCCATTAAACTAGTAAGATAGCGGTTAGAGTTTCTTGTGAAATTCTTATTGTTCTTATAGATAAGTACTGCGAACATTCCTTATGTTTTACTTCTTTCCAAACTAAAGACCCCAACTTAGAAAAAGCCAAAATATTTACCATGCTCCATAAATATAAAGAGTCATTAAATTTAGTTTAAATTCAGTAAAATTGTAAACAAACTAAAAACAGAGAGAAAAAAAAATTATCACAATACTATTTGATTAGGAGGTTGAGGCTTGTAAATTACAAAAATTATAATAAAAGTCTAGGCTGTTACATACTTTGATAATTAAAATGAGTAAAACTAGTAGTTCAATTTCAACAACATTTTATTTCGAGACAAATAACCAATTGCTGAAAACAATATGGAAAAAAATCAGATCATATTTTCTATTGCTGTAGATCTCTTGAACGGGAGAAACAACAAATGTATGGGTGATTAATTATTTATAACTTATAAATTAAAAACAAGCTAGGATTTTAAAAGTTTTGTGTTGATCTTTACTTTACGAATTATAGTTCAAATTGAGTTTTTTAATTTGATGATCAATTTTGATTCAATCAAAGTTGTTTAATTACGCTTTTCCAAAATGGTTATAATTAAAAGTATTTAAGTTGTTCTCATTATCTTCATTAATCTCAATCCAAAACTTAAAAGACCCATGAATAGTCTGAATACGTTCATAAAGTTTAGTTCAATTAAAAATATAAATTTGCCATTCGGCCCCTCAACAACCCTTTTTTGATTATATATTTTGTGTACACATTTTAAATTTTTCTTTTGTTTATTTTTTCAATGTTTTAGAACCTTAATTAGGAAATTTGGATGCAAATTTACTTAAAATTATACAAATATATTTCAAAACTATAAATTGAAAAACGATGATTATCTAATTAAGAACTAGGAAAAGCATAATGTAAATTGTATTCATTATATCATTAAAAACAAATTTATTACAAAGGGTATTGTTTTAGAATAAAATTAAGGATACGACGGGGTAAAATTTTCACTTAAAAAGTAATTATTGTTCCTTTATTAATAGAAAGATTCATACAATTTATTTGTTTCGATTATGTATCAGATATTATATATTTTCTTTATCAAAATTTAAGTTTTCTTTATTATATATATCATTTTCTTCTCAACTTATTTTCAGATAATCAAAACAACTACGGATCATCGATCTACTGAACCTCAAAGATGCTTTTCAAAAAGAAAAGTAAAAACTTCAATGAATCTGCCCCAACTACTCAAACTATGAAAAAATCAAGAAGTGCAAGAAACTTAATCAATAAATTAACTAACAATAATTCAACTTCTCCTTCATCAACGACATTAAAAATTTCAACTCCCATAACTCCACCAATTTCAAATCATTGGCCATCACCCATTCCTACATCATCAAGTACAAATAATAATTTAATCAATTTAACACCGATCATTAATTATCCAACTCGACAAAAAGAAAGCAACGAAACCGAAAAATTACAAACAACTACCCCATTACATCAATTAACTTTATTAGAACAAAATCCACAATATAAATTATCACCATCAACGGTAGCTGAATTTGAAAATGAATCATTAATAGAAGTATATTCACCAAGAAAAGAAATTAATATAAACGAACAAAAAAGATTAGAATCAGCTTGTGCTCAATTAGATGCAGTAAATTTAATAGAAGAAGTAGATGTAACCATTGAAAAAGTAGAACCACGCAATATCTCATCAGAGGAATTAAACAAGGAAAAATTTTTAAGTGGGAATTTCTCAACTTCAACATCACAACAAAATTCTCCAAATAAAGAATCAGATAATTCAAAATTTTCATTAACTGAGACAAATATTCAAATATATAAAAGATCACATAATAAAAAGAACAATAATATAGCATCATCAAAAAGTAGTTTACATTTAATCAATAACAAACAATTTGAATCACCTACCAAGACTCAGAAATCATCACATTTATCAACATCATCATCTATTAAAGCTGGACTTATAGATACTAATAAAGATTATGATCAAATTTCAAAATTATATGAATTAGAAATTTTGTTATTAAAAGAAAAACATCATTATGAAATAAAACAATTACGAAGAGAAATTAAACAATTGAAAAAAAATCAAAAATCTACCACTGCAACAGATAAGATTTTATTACCACCATTTAATCCCAACTTACATAATAAAGAAGATGAAGGTAATGATTCTGAATCACTAAATTCTGTTGACGATTCAATAATGAGTTTATATCATGATAGAAAAATTTCTGAGTCTTCAACTATTGCATCGGCTACTCCAAATACCAAATAATAACGTTTATATCTATAGATTTAGTTCACTAATAATATTTTTAATATAATTTTCAATCTTTTCATCTTTATTAATTAAGCTATAAAATATTTAACTTCTCAAAGCTCTTTGATTTCATGTTCATCTGCAACTAATCCCATAACTACCAAATACATATTCAAATTATTTAATAAATTTTGTTTCTTATATAAATTAGCCGAGTCTTGATTGTCAATAGTTTTAGCTCTATTCATAACACCAAAAATTTCATCTCTAACTTCATCAACAATAATTCTTTGATGACTTAATTTACCACCTAATGATAAAGTTGCTAAAAATTGCCATATATAGTTTTCTCTAGAAGATCCATCGTCAACATCACTTGGATTTGGTGGGAAAATTGCTGCAATTCTTGATTCTAATGCTGTAAATAATTCATCATAACATGAAGTCCATTCTGATAAATCAGTTGCTGATATTTGACCTTCACCAATAATTAACTCTGCTCGTGATAATAAAGTAGTTAATATGGTTAAACCAATTTTTGTAGTTGAGACAAATGATACGTTATTATGTTCAATTAATATAACTAATAATCCAATAATTTCATTAAATTTAAAATCAACAACTGCATTCATAAACAATTTTGAAAAAGTTAAGGAATAAGATTCAACTAATTTTAACACATTTTCGGGGATTTCTTTGTTTGAATAAGTTGTATAAGATCCATTTTTAATTACAGATAAATTTTCTAAGTTTGACATAATTAATGCTGATATGGTTAATATTTGTTCTCTATTTAAGAACTTGAAAAGACGTATCAATATTTTTAACATTTTGTTATAATTCAAACACTGAATGAATGGATTAACTTCTGATTCTTCGTCACCTGAAGTTGATGCTTGCTCCAAGACTTTCATTGAATCCCATAATTTTGCAGTATCTACTGAAGATGCTGTCCTTGATTCACTTTCAACATTCATTAATTCTGATATAATATTTTCCAAAATACCAAATATATCGTTTCTTGAATACTTTCTGGTGTCTTCTTTTTTAGATTCAACTTTTGTATCATTCTTCTCTCTTTCTGCTGCTTTACTAATAATTTCTAATTGTTGTCTTGGCTTTTTACCACTTCCAAATGAAATTTTACCTAAAGCACCTTCTTTTGCATATTGAGTTAATTTCGGTCTTTCTTTCGCAACATGAACTGCTTTTTGAACTTGTTGCTGCATTCTTTGTAATGCAACATCTGCTCTCTTATAACGACCTCCTAATCTATGTCCACTATGATCTAAATAAGCTTGAGCTATAGAATTACTTTGTTGAGCTGGTGCTTGTTGTTGAACTCCATTAATAGTCTTTGGATGAATCACTTTATAAACTTGTGCATAGAAATCTTCATTATATGGGTCTTCAGTAACAATTTGTGATAATTGAAATCTTGTTACAAAATCTTTATCTTTTGGATTCATAATACCTGAATATTTCATGATTCTTGAAACTTTCTCTTGTCTTCTAGCTGCTTTTTCTTGTTGTTCTGGAGTAAGTTCTTGCAGTGGTTGACGACTGTGATTATTTTGATTGACATCTTGTTGTTGCATTTGTTGTTGTAAAAGTGCTTGTTGTTGGTGATGATGATGAGGTTGCTGTAATGCTTCTTTTCCTAATACTGGGAATTGAGATAAATCAACTTTTTGTGGTTTTTGATTTGGAATTGGAATCTTTTTAGAATCTGAAACTGGTGGTTGTTGTCTTGGTGCTTGGGTAGGAATTTGTGGTTGTTGAGGAGTTTGCTGTTGAGTTTGAGGTTGGGGTTGTTGTTGTTGAGGTGGTGGTGGCTGTTGGAACTGCTGTGGTAATTGTGGTGGAAATCCTTGCATGGGAGGAAATTGTTGATGAGGTATAGCTCCACCAGGGAATCCATATTGAGGTTGCATATATCCTCCCATCATGTACCCATTAAATTGAGGCATCATTCCTGGTGCTCCATAATGTTGTGGTGGGAACAGACCCGGTTGAGGAAATGCTTGTGGATGTTGTTGTTGTTGTTGATCAATTGCAGTCAATTGAGCTTCAATTTCTTCTAATGATAATATTTTTCTTTCAGATTGAGCTTGATAAGTACCGCTTTCTTCTTGTTGTTGTGGTATTTGTTGTTGCTTTTCATGAATTGATTTACTTGGTGCATTTGATGAACCCCATAATTCTTCCATAAACTCGTCATCATTTACAGGGTTTGATTGTGCTGCTTGAGCATAACTTTGAGATAAAGATGGGGCTGGTGTAGATTGATATTGAGGTTCTTCCTTTTTTGTTGACGGACCATGACCAAATTCGAAATCTTTTCTAATATCATTTGTACTTGCTCCAAAAGTTTCATCATTAAATGCATCTTCTTCTTCTAATTCTCCTAATCCATCATATGTATCTTCAAAATCATAAACTTTATCATCCTTTGAACCTCGTGGTGGTTGAGTAGGATCAAAACCAAAGAATGACATCTCTTTCGATAAATTAATTGATTTAATAGTAATTGATTCTATAAGTTTACTTTTATTTAAGAAAAATAATTTTTTTTCTTTTCGTCGACTGTTTAAAAAAACTCCATACAAAAATTATCAATAGTATACAGGAAGTTTTACAAAGCATAAAACTAGCATGGTTAGAATCATGGTTTCAGCTTACCAGTATAAAAAATTTTGAGAAGGTTCAATTTCGAGCCATCATACTAAAAAAATCTGAGATATGGCAACACTGTTTGCAACAACATGAAGAACAATTAGAACAAATGATAGATTTCACAGGAGAAGTTTACTGGAACTATCTTTTCATCAAAATTCAAAAAAGTTGAGTTCAAAAGAACCAATTATTCCAAGTTCATGGTCAAATCATCAAGGTAATGTTAAAACAGTACTTGAGTGGAAGAAATTTCGGAAAGTGTTAAATAACTCACAAAAAGAACCATTGGGTGGGTTGCAGGATTTACATTTGCTAGAATTGGGTTACCATAAATATGAACCATATTATGCATATCAACAAACTGGTGAAAACTGCAGATTATGTAATAAAATAAATGAAGATAATTTACAACATCACCTTTTTGAATGTTCGGAAACAAACCAATATTGGCAACAAGTAACAAGAATAGAAAGAAAGTATGATAATGTATTAGGTAATTCAAAATTGAATAAAAAAGCTATGATAGAAATCAACTTATTTGTGAGAAAAGTTTTGGGGGTAGTAAAAGCAAAACGACGACGACAGTCAGAAATAGAATTAAATTCCTCTGCTGTTGTTTAGTCTCACAAATAAGAACATGATCAATCAATAAAAACATAAGGAGAAAAATGTTTAAAATGGAAAATTAAAGGATAGAAATACAATTATAATAGAATTGCAATATTTAAAAGAGAATTAATACATAAAAAAACAATTTTGAAAAACAAAAAAGTTGGCTTTGGTTTTTGTTGAGTATGATCTATTTCAGTTGAATTAGATAGAGTCTCATCTCATTGGTATTAATCAATGGCTATAAAAGTTTTGTCCAAAGTCAATCGGAGGTGATCGTCTTCTACCTAGAGGACCTGCATACTATATATTATATAGTTTATATAATTTTAAATGTATGTCGATTTAAGAAAAAAAAAAAAACCAGCAAATACTCTAAAAAGTAAATTTTACAATCATCATTATTCAAAGTTACTTTTATCTCTATCATTATCGTTTTGCATGCATTTAGCAATCTATTTACAATTCTATACTAATTAAAAGCTTGTAATGCACTTGATAATTTTAAATTCATTTCATCCCATTCACCATCAACATCACTTAATACAGTTATTGCACCACCAGCTCCAATTCTCCAAAGATTAACGTGTTCAGAATTTTCTTTATCATCTTTGTAATGAAATACTGATCTAATTATAACACTCCAATCTGAATCATCAGTTATTGACCAATATCCCACAACACCACTATATATTCCTCTTCTTACTCCTCTTATCATATTAGGTTGCATATTTTCAATATCTTGTAACAATTCAACTGATCTTTTCTTTGGTGCACCAGTCATTGATCCTGGTGGTAACGATTTGTGTAATATATCAATTCCAAAATATTTATCATTTTTTTTAAGTTTACCTTGAATAACACTAACTAATTGGAAAACAGTTTTATACTCTTCAACTGCCATTAATTGAGTGACTTCAACATCATTAGTGAACTGAAATAAGTCATGTCGTATAAGATCAACAATCATTAAATTCTCACCCATTTCCTTCGGAGTTTTAAGTATCTTTGTAGCTTCTTCAAGAGTGGTATCATCATTGTTCTTCACTGTACCTTTGATTGGTCTTAATTGGATCAATTTATTATTGTCGTCATCTTTCCATGACAAAAACCTTTCTGGAGATGAAGATATGAGGCAACAATCATCAAAATCAACAAAACATGAAAATGGTGATGGATTTTTCTTTAAAGTTAAAACCTTATATATATCCCATGCTTTAACATATTTCGGTAATTTAATTTTGGATTGAGTTGTTAAACATAGTTCATAAGAATCTCCAGAATGTAAATAGTCTTGACACTTACTAAATTGTTGCTTGTATATCTCTTGTGATGGGTACTCAAAATCTACTGAGATTTTGTCATCTTCATTACATAAATCCTTAACACTTGATGGAATTTCTGATAAGTCAATTGGTTTCATATTCTCCAATTTTGATTTTAATTTCTCTGCCCAATCTGAGTCATCATTTACCGATAACAAAAACCACTCATTGGTGAGATGATCTCGTATTAAAACTCTCTTAATGTGAATTAATTTTATATCTGGGGTGTAGTTGTTACATATACACTCCAATTTATCAAACATTATATGTTGACCTTCTTCATATGATATCAAACCTATGTAACCACCAAAAAATGGAATCTCTCTACTGTGGTTAATACTCATTTTCTCTTTGATTGATTCTCTTGGTACATAACTCAGATACATTTTTTGAGCAATAAATTTCCAAGAATCATCATGATCTTTAACATTGAATTTTTCCTGATGACTTGATTTATATTTTGAGATATATACATGATTCATGTCATCTATGGAGTGAGTCAATACTTCACTTTCTCCTTCAATTGGAAAACCTATAATAGACCACTCACCGGGTACTGATGCAGAATTTAGTAGTACGAAATTTGTTTCATTATTATTTAGTTTAACCAAATGATCACAAACATCAACTGCTGTGATTTCTTGGGCAAATTCAAGCTTTTCGAAAATAACATTTTCTACCTCAACCGGTCTCAAGTTTTCTATTAAACTCTTTTCATGTAAAGCGTGATTATCAAACCATTGAAATTCACCATTGGCACATTGCAGTATTGTTTGTCTATGAACTGAATTAAACTTATCTGCAATATTTGTAAACTTTTGAAATAGTTCTTTACCTTTATCGGAACAAATTGATTCGGGGTGATATTGTACTCCATAAAACGGCAATGACTTGTGTCTTATAGCCATTAAAATCTTCTTTCCATTTCTTGTATCTCCAGTTGGTTCATAACAATAACCTAATGGTACTATTTCATTGTTTAATTTAGATCCATCAACAAATAACGAATGATACCTCACGCTTGGGAAATGATTATCTTCTTCAAATAACTCATTATCATTGAAAGGATATATATCATAAACTTGTCCATGTTTTACATTTTCTGCTCTTTCAACTTTATTTCCAAATTCATGACATAAACTTTGAAACCCAAGACAAATTCCTAATATTGGTACAGGATGATCATCTTTTGAATTTCTTGCTATGAGCCAACTAATAATTCCAACATCTTCTTTAATCTCAGGATGTCCAGGGCCAGGTCCAATAACTATATATGTAAAATATTTTTTAATTTGATTATAAAAAGGTTCGTATTCATTTGGTTGAAATGAATCATTATGTACTATTATAACTTCTTGATTTGTAGTATTTTTAATTAAACTAGCTAAATTATTAGTGAACGAATCATAAGAATCTATTAGTAGGATCATTTATAGTTAAATGTGAAATCTAATTAGACTCAATTGGTTGTTACTTTAGTATGGAAGTATAGTTTAGTTGCATTAAATTAACTACTTAATGAAAAGTAATAAGTAATATTGTGTAAAATTTCATACGGTTAGTAAAAAAAAAGAAAAAGTGGTACCCAAATAGTACTACCAAATTATTGTCTAAATAAAGTAATTAAAAGAGAATGAAAGAGATCTTGTTTCAAGTTACGAGAACTTTTAATAAAACAATAAGAATAATAGTTAATAGAAACAAAAAGATTAGTATTTTTATTAACTTCGAGAATTAAAATAAATTCTATAAACAGACCTTCCTCTTATTCATCTTCATCTTCATCTTCTTCATCATCTTCATCATCTTCATCACTATCACTTTCAAATTCATCAATTGAAACACCCATTTCTTTTAATTTCTTTTCATATTTTGTTTTTTTATCATCTAATTTTAGCATAATTTCAAGTAAATCATTATGTTCAGATTTACTTACTGTTGCTTTAAATTTTGTTTCAAGTTGTTTAATCTTACCCTCATTAGTTTCTTCTTTTAATTCTTTTGTTTTGATTACTTCTTGAAGACTCTTTATTTGTATTTCAGATTCATCAAAAGAGGTTTTAGAATCTTTCAACTGATCCTCTAAAATGTTAATTTTCTTTTCCAAATCTGCAATCCTACTTTCATTCTTCTTGTCACTGGTTAATTCAGTTTGTAAATTTTCTACTTCTTTTTTTGATTTTTGAACTGTGAGATCTTTCTCTTTAATTTCTGATTTAAGTTCTGCAATTTCGGATTGTAGTTCTTTGTTTTTGGAATCTAATGATACATTTAATTTAAGTTGATCTTTTAAAGTTTCAATTTCTTTCAAGTATTCTTCTGACTTGCTATCTTTTGATTTCAATTGTGCACTTAAATTGTTAATTTTTTCCTCAAATTCCTTATTTTTTGCTTCTGTTGAACTGTGTGATTTAATTTGTTCGTTTAATTTTTCAACCTCTGATTCTAACTCAGTTGTGGTAGCTTTACTGGTTTCCAAATCTTTGCTTAAGTTATCAATTTTATTTGCTAAGTCTTCCGTTTTATTGCCAGTTTGTAAATTTTCTAATTCTTTTTTTGATTTTTCAACTGTGAGATCTTTCTCTTTGATTTCTGATTTGAGTTTTGTGAGATCTGATTGTAATTCTTTGTTTTTTGAATCTAATGATACCTTCAATTTAACTTGATCTTTCAAAGTCTCAATTTCTTTCAAATATTCTTTTGACTTACTATCTTTTGATTTCAATTCGGTACTTAATTTGTTAATTTTTTCCTCAAATTCCTTGTTTTTTGATTCTGTTGAACTGTATGATTTAATTTGTTCGTTTAATTTTTCAACCTCTGATTTTAACTCAGTTGTGGTAGCTTTACTGGATTCCAAATCTTTGTTCAAATTATCAATTTTATTTTTAAGCTCTTCAGTTTTGTTGCCATCGGTAGTTTGTGACTTGATTTGGTCTTGAAGCTTTTTGTTCCTTATTACTAATTCTTCTTCTTTTGTCCTATACAGTTTTATTTCTTCTGTCAATTTCTTTATTTGTTCTTCATATTTTATTTTAGTAGATTCTAAAGTAGATTCAATAGCTTCAAATTTAGCTTTCGCTTCTTCCAAATTTTTCTCCAACTTTTTCTTATCAGATTCCATTGTGCCAAGACTAAGAAGTTGCTCTTTTATTTGTTGATCTTTCTCTTGGTGTGACTTGAGTTGTTCTTTGAGTCCCTCAATCTCTTTGTTGGCTACAGTAGATGCTGTTTCTCTTTTCTTTATTTCTTCTGTCAACTCAACACCCTTCTCCTCCAATTTTTTATTTTTCAAAACTGTTGAATCGTACACCTTGAGTTTTTCTTTGAGTTGTTCAATCTCGCTATTTAATTTTGATGATTCGGTTTTTGATGATGTTAATTCATCCTTAAATGCAATAATCTCAGCTTCTAATTTCTTCACTTCTGAAACCTTAGTACTTAATTCATCTCTTATTTTACTAAGTTGATCGTCATTTTGAGATTCACTCGAAATCAACTTTTCCCTTGTTGATTTTAATTTGGAATTTAATTTTCCAACCTCGTTTTTAAGGCTGTCTATTTGATTAGTGGACTCTTCCAATTTGCTTTCATTTGATTTTAAATCTGAAGTTAGCGTTATGATAGTCCCATCCAACTCCTTATTCTTTGATTCTAATAAACTTTTTGATTTGAGTTGTTCTTTGAAGGATTCTATTTGTTTCAAATATTTATCAATTTCTTGATTTGATTTTGTAAGTTCCAAATTTTTCTTATCTAACTCCTCTTTTGATCTGCTTGATACTTCATCTTTTGCTTTGTTAACTTGTTTTAATAAGGATTCAAGTTCTGTAATCCTCATTTTAGTAATTTCGAACTCTTTTGATATTTTTTCATTTCTTGATTTAAATTCTTTTATTTGTCTATCACTTTCTGTATTTTGCTTCTTCATATGAAATAAATCTTTTGTCATCCCATTCACACCATCTTCTAATTTCTTTTTAGCTTGTTCGGTAGTTGATAATTGAGATTCTAGTTGTTTGTTACTTGCCTCTTTTGATTCAATTTGTTTTAGAGCATTATCTAAATCTTTTCGAAGTTTGATTGATGAAGTTTCAAATTTTTCTTTTGAGGTTTTAATTGATGCTAAATCTTGTGATGTTAATTTATATTTATTATTGACTGACTCGTGAATTGTTTTTAATGCATTAAGGTTTTTCTCATAAGTTTCTAAATTATCCTGTAATTCAGTCTTAGTTTTCTCCAATTTACTTAGTTCCTTCTTCATTGTTGTTTCATTTTCCTGCGCCTTTACTTTCTCTTCATTCAACTCTTTTCTCAATTCTGAAACTTTCATATCCATTTCTTCAAAATGTTCAAATGATATTTTCCCTTTTGGCTCATTATCTGGATCATGAAATAATGCTCTTTTAATTCTAAAGAAATTCTCTTTGATCATATTAACATAAGCTGAATCAAAATATACATCAGGTAATCCACTTTCATCTTGAATTATTTCATAATTTGGAATATCTTCAAAATTTTTAAATGCTGGATTGGAACTGAACTGTTTAACTTTTAATGAATAATTATCTAAACCAAGACTTTTGACCATTAATAAATGAAGATCTTTTCTTGGAATGGGTGAATCCTTTGTTGAAAACTCATATGCAACACCTAACAATATAGCAGCCATACCATGAACTAATGAGTTTTCGTCAGATGAATTATTTGATAAAAATGCTAAAATTGACTTTACATTTGATTCATCACTTGAAAAATCATCAACTGCTTTAAAATCAGCATACAACCATACCGTTAATAGCATCAAATATCCAACTGCAATTCTTTGATCTGTTTCATTTAATGTAGTAATAAGTAACCCTGAAATTGCTTGTATAGCGCTCATTATTTCCTCACCAGCTTCCTCGTCACCCGTTTTAACTGCTCTAGCTAGTTCTTTATTTTCTGATTCATCTTCAAATGTATAGAGAAGTGTTATAGCTGCAAACCAAACCTTATAAGGATTTAATTTCAACTCTACATCGTAATCCATAACAGTCTTAAAAACATTAGCAATAGGAGTTGGATGAGTATTACCATTTACGATTGATGACTGATCATCCTTATAATCTGTTATCTGGTCATTCAAGAACGATTCCTTGGTTTCCTTATTATCTTTGAAGTATGCTTTCAAACAATACGATGCTCCAACTCTTATATTAAACTGATGAACGGAATTTATGAGTAGACACCAGTTAAGTAAAGCCATAGGAACCAGGATTGGTCGATCGTAAATTTGTATGTGATATGGTAATGATGGATCTACATATGGAACATCGATTTTTGATATTTCATGTTGAATACGTGGGTTACCACTAATAGCATCCGCAGCTGCTAATAATGCAACTAATCGTATTTCATTTTCAGTGGTTGGTAAAAATATCAATTTTAGGAGAATATAATGTATTCCTGATTGATATAAGTTGTTTTGATTTTGTACAACTAACTCATTATCCTCTGAAACTAATAATCTGCAAATTTCTAGTACAGTAATCATATTTTGTAATCTTTGTTCTGTCCATACCATTGCTATTGATCCATTAGTTGATCCATTGACTCCATTGTCATTATGTTGTTCTTCATCATCTATTGGTTCCCCCAATAATCTAGCTAGTCTTGGTACACATTGAGTTTCTAAAAAGAATTTTTGATTTGATGCATTATATTGTAATAAATTTGTAATTAAAGTTAAACAATCTTGAACTAAAATTGACCCTCGAATTCCACCTTCCTCATCAATTATATTGAAAAGGGTTTCAAATGTGTTTTCAAATGCAACTAATTTTTGAATATTGAAATTATTATTTGCAACTGCCATTAATAATAAAATAGCCTCGTTTCTGACTGGTTCATGACTATCATTTAATAAATTACATAATGTGGATATGGATGTTGGAATATTTAGTAGTGCTTCTTTCACTCTATTACCTCGACTTGATACTAAAGATTCTAGTAATTGGATAGTGTATAATCTTGAATGATAGTCATTTTCATTTAATCCTTCAATTAATAAACTCAAAATTTCTGAATCTTGTAATAATGCATCTGCTATCCATAATGACAATTGGTCCAATGTAATGTCATCCATAAGTAAAGGTGAAGGATATTTGCCATTTTGTAGTCTCAGTTGTTGAGAGATCCAACCTCTTGTTAAATCTTCGTGAGTCTCCCCTCGTATAAATAGTATAAGGAAAGTTTCTAATATTGATTTGAATATGACTAAATTTGAATTATCCTTTTTCAATGTTGATATTAAAGGTCTTAATCCATGTTCAACAACGGTTTCCCTATATTGTCTACTAAAACTCTTCAATCCTAATACAGCTGATCTTCTATCTGATACCATTGTTGCATGTTGTAAACGATTACATAATGTTGGAATTGCTTCTTCAACCAGTTGAGTTTGGGATTGACTCCCTAGAATATTATTTAGATATTCCATATAGTTATTGTAAGACTATTTTTAGAAAATTATGGATGTATGATAATGATAATGATCGGTTTCTGTATGAAAAATTGTCCTGTATATGATTTATTTTTATACGTGGAATATTTGTAAACATAAATTATTAATAATTTTTTAATTAACAAGAGTTTCGTTTCAGTTCTTTACAACTTCAACATTCATTCTCAAAGAATGAATCAAATTAATGCCATTTGATGACTCAAAATATAGCATAGACGAAGAAACAAGAAGGCTACCATCGACCCCCAATTATTTCATAAATTTACAAGATTTTGAAAAAAATTTCGAAGTTGAAGCAAATGAAACAATATTAAGTCCATGGTTAATTAGTAAGATTGGAATATTACAACTGAGATTAGATGATATTGAATATTCAAATGATACTAGAAGAAAATTTAATAAATTATCTCAAAGTCAATTATTTAACTTAGCTAATGAAATTTTTGGTTTTAATGGTTGGTCAACTTCTATTGAAGAATGTATTGTAATGGAGAAACCGACAAGAGTTGAAAAGGTTTTAGTTGAAGAACGCGTCGAAGAAAATAATAATGAAAAAGATACGACTATTAATAATGTAACAAGTAATGAGAATAATGAAACTTCACGTAATGAGCACGGTGGGTCTAATGCAGGTAAAGAAATTAATGATACAAATGATGATACAAATGATAAAATTAATGAAAATAATGATAATAATGGCGAAATTACAGAGCTTAAAAAAGTAGAAAAGATCAAAACTTACTACTCGGCAGAATCGATATGTATAATAAATTTACACTTAAAAGATGGAAGTGTAAGGAAAGGTTATGGAAATGGTCAAGCTCACAATTTACCACAAAAAAGTATGGGTTTTGCAAAATGTAAAAAAGAAGCTATAACAAATGCTATAAAAAATTCAATTTTAGGATTAAGAGATCTTTATTTTGAATATGAAGTTGGTCAATTAAATACTGAAGAATTGGGTATTGAAATTTAAATAGTAATTTATCATCTATAACATTTGTCCATTAAAAAATGTCTATTAAATTTATTATCTATTTAAAAATCCAAGATATTAAATTTCGGAAATTCATTAATTGTAGGTTTTGGAATTTCTTCAATAAGATAAATTTCTCCATTATCATCAATTCTTTCACGATCTTTTTCATTCATATTATGAATTTCATCAATATTTTCCTTTATATAATTAATTAATTCAATCCAATTTTTTTGAATTTGATAAGCTTGTTCTTTCATTTTTCTTCTAATTAATCCTTCAATTAATTTTATAGCATCTTGTTGAGTTTGATCTAATCTTTCTAATAATCTACCAACTGATTTTATAAGATATTCTTCTTCGTAAATTGTACCTTTTTTACCTTTAGCTCTTTTACGTTCTTCTCTTTTTTTGTTTTTTGATGTACGACGTGATGCTCCTGTTTTAGCAGTACCTGCTGTTTTACCTGTGTATCTTGTGAAAAATGATGGAGCAGTTGATGTTTCTGATGCTGCTACTGATACATTATCTGGTGTATCTAAATCATCCGGATTACTATAGAATGAATAAGGATCTTCTTCTTTTTTGGTTCTTAATTCTCTTAATCTTTTAACTTGAGAATTCATTTGACCTTTACAATCAGCTAATAATTCTGCAATTGTTCCAAATCCTTCATTTATTTGAACATCAACAACAGATTCTATTAACTCTCTATTTTCAGTTTTTTCAGCTAATAGTATAGCTTGATCAAACCAATATTGTTTACAATATAATCTTATAGCTTCTGATATGTTGCCCAAAAATTGATATTCAATTTCAGCTGCATCACTATATTTGTGATCAGCAACTAATAAACTTACCAAATTGTTGGCCGTGTCTGTTAATTTATCCTTAAATTCAGATTGTTCAACAATTGATAAAGCTTGTTTCCATTTTTTCGCTAATATGTAATTCTCTAAAGCTTTGTCCAATTCCCCTAAATATTCATAAGTTAATCCAGCCTCTGAAAAATTTACTGATTTTTGTAAAAATTCTGCAAATAAATTCATAATGTCATTAGTTCTATTTTTTTCATAAACGTAAATTTTTAATGCTAATTTATATAATTCATGTTTGACAACATAATTATCAAATTCTGTGTATGCATCTTCCCCTCTTTCATGTAACCAATTCAATGCTAAATCATAATTTTTCAAATAATCATCTATTAAAAATTTTCTTTTGAGTTCTGGTTGTGTATGTAAGTTTTGTAAAAATGGTAAATATTCTTTTGGATCCATTTGTGATTGTTGTGCAATTAATAAAGTTAATTTAACATCATATAATCCCAAACATGTATTATATAATTTATTGACATCTTGTAAGAAACATAAATGCTGTATGGCTGTTTCTTTTTGTTCTTCATCTTCAAATTTACTTATCATTTTTAATGCTTCTATCAAATTTGGAGGTTTTTCACATGCATATATTGTAAGTACAGTTTGCATATACTTTTTGAAATATTCTGGTTTAAGTAAAACTGTCAATATTGCTTCACAAATTCTATTAACTTTTGAATCTTGAAAATTTTTAAATACTTGTTCCTTGTTGTTATGAAATTTTTTACGGAATGCTGGTTGTAAAGTTTCACCATTCTGTTTAATTTCAGCTTGATTTATTTCAGCATCTGTTATAGTTTCTCTATATTTCGTTTTGGTGACATCTTCTTCATGTAAACAAGAAACAAATAAATCTAAATAATCAACTTTTGAAATTTGATTTATGAAAAGTTCAATATTATTGAAAAATAATTCGGTATCATAATCATGTAAAATATCCAAATCAATTCTATGAGTACGACAAGCAATAAATGCATCTTTATAGTTTTTATCTGATACAAATTTACGAATAGCTGATAAAACCATAATTCTTGGACAAATTGTTTCAAGATTCCCTCTTGGAGCTTCTAGTACTACTGAATATTTAGTAGGCATTGCATTAACTAAAAATGATCCACGTTCAATTTGCCTTACTCTTTCATCCACGATATTTTCATTTGATAAATTTTGGAAAACTTCATAATCTTCATGTGCTGAATTTAAATGTACAAAACATAATTTTGATAAAACTGTTGTAAATAATAAATGTGATTCGGTGATTAACAAAGATGTAACACCATTAACAATTGCTGTCTCGTTTCTAAATAATTTCCCACTTTTATTTATACCAAATGCTTCGAAATCATCAGTATCTTGATTGTAATTAACTTCAAATTCACGACATAAGTGAGGAAATTTAATGACTTCTCTAATATCTTGTGTTGTATCCAATTGTACTACTCTATTGTCTACTGTCTCTATAACTACTGTTTCAAAATCAGCTCTTGATTTCATTAGTACAACTTTTGGAGTAATATCAATGGAGTCATTCATTTTTGGTGATTTTATATCATCAACTTCAAATAATACAATACGTGAATACATTGGCGCATCAATAACAACTGCTATAAAAGTATCTTTTATAAATGCAATTTGTTTGGCAACTTCATCTCTTTCATTGATATAAATATCTGATGCTATATGACTCAAAACTTTTGGATGTTTGCCTTCTTTCAATTCCTTTAGCGTTAATTCACTAAGAAAAATATCATTATTACTACATAATGCAGCATATTTTTCATTGGATTTACTAACTGCAACATCATTAACATTTTCAGATAAATCTAATTCCCTCAAACTCATTGGTGGTGGTACATTAGCAATTGAAAGTGGTGTAATTTTAACTGTTGATCCATCAGTAACTAAAGTCATACCAACATCATCTCCATTATTAGTTGGACCTGTTCCAATCTTATGAGTTAAATCAACAATTTGTAAACCATTCTTGGTACCAATCATAAAATTATATGGTTTTTCTGGGTGAAACTTTGTAAATAATATATCATTTGCAAACACTTCTTGTTTTAAATACCAATGATAATTTTTAGTAGTCCATAATTGAACTCTATTATGTAATTGTAATAAAAGTATTTCACTATCTGAATTCCACGTTATATTTTGAATGACTTCCTCTTCAGGGTTTAATCTTGTATTAAATTCACCATGTCTTAACCCATTTCTTTCATAAAAAACAAGATCTAATACTTCTTCACCTTCTTCATCATCTATATGTCTTTGAGTAGATGCTATTAATGCACCTTGTGGTTTCCAGCTAAGATTCTGTTCTAATCCGTCAACTGCTTCATTTACGCTATCTAATTCTCCTTCTCTATTAAATACTCGTATAACTCTTCTATCATACATTTCCCCTGTATCTTCAACAATTACTGGTTCTTTTGTATTTACTGAAAAATATTCTGAATCTCCACGCCAACTTATTCGTACGGTATTATCATCTAAATTTGATATTATTCCCTTTTCAATTTCATTAACAGTTGGATCACGTAGTTCATTTATTTTATCATCTAATCCTGCGTTTTTCAAAGCTTCTTTTTCTCTTTCTATTTGTTTGAAACCTTTTCCCTTAAATTGAGTTTCTTTTTTACCCCATCCAACTGATACATGTTTTGAATCAGTTATTTTAATATCATTTGAATCTAGAATTTTTTCATTTATGGGTTCGAAAATTCTTGATAATAATAATAATTTATTTTCATTTGTTATTAATACTAAAGTTTCTTCATCATGAGACCATTGAGCTGCTTGTAAACCAACATCAATAGTTCCAACAATTTCTATAGTTGTATTATCATAATCTGAATTTGATTTTAAATCATAAGTTGTAGTTATAATATCACCATTACTGAAAACAAATACTAATTGAGAAGAATCCACAAAATGAATTGTATTTAATAAAGTTGAACTTATTGGAAAACTTGCTAAAACAGTAACACTACCATTTTTAGAAAATTGTTGTACTTCAATTAATTGACTTTCTTCTGATGATAATATAAAAGTAATTGCATCTGTTACTGTATCATAAACTGAATCTATAAGATGTAAATTTGGATATGTTCTTGATTCTGGAGTAATATAACCTCTATTAAGTACTACCAAATTCTTCATATCTATAGTTGATTAGTTGTTGTTGTATAATGATTTAATTTGGTTGTAAAAACCTTTTAAAAATAATTTATATAATAATAGTCAGTTTCTAAAGTATTAGTGGTGCATATAATTTTAATAATAGAACAGAAAAAAGATGAGATAAAAAAAAAAATTAAATATTTCAGACATTTTTTTATTATGCAGGAAAATTGACTGCAAAATTATTTATATTAGATATATGAAATTCAAGTTTATATTGAATAAGTTAAAATTCATTTAATGCTAATGCAATATGCTATATGCTATCGTAATTTCAATCTAGTAGTTACTTACTATGCTCCATTTTATAAGCTTCAATTGAATCTTTTATAATTAAATTTGGATATAATTGATCTTTATTTAATGGTTGTTTACTAATTGGATCAAATTTACCTTTATTTTTAATATGACGTAGTAAATGTTGTTTTTCATATGTTATACCACTTGGCGTTATTACAGGATCAGTTAAAATCTCAAATGATATTGGATCTAATAAATAATCTGGTGCTTCTTCTAACGCTTCATCATCTATAGGAACCATTGATAATGAACTTAATGATGTCGTTGAAGAATCTGATATACTTGATCTCGAGGAATTAGTTGTAGTTGATTGAATTTGATTTATCTTATAATTTAATAAATTATTATCATATAAAGAATGAATAAAATTATTTTTAAAAATATCTAATAAATTACATAATTCATCAAGATTAATTTTTAATAATTCAAATAATTTAATTTGATATTCTTTTGAATTTTCATTAATATATAATTTTTTAATTTCATTTATTTGTTTTAAATGATTTTCTTCAATTAATAATATTAGTTTATTTAGTAGTGAATTATTTTGATATTTATTTAATTGAGATTTTGTTATTTGAATATCATTAATTACATGTGGTATTAATTCTTTATAATCACCAGATATTTGTTTACCTCTTGGAGCTCTTCTTGGTTCATTGATTCCAAATACTGATCTAAAATTTGGCATTTTGATTTGTAAGGATTGAAAAAATCGAAGAAAGTAGAATATGATAATTATAAAGTTTATAATTGGTTTAAGTCTTGAGATTAAAATAATAGAGATTTATTGTTATTTATTATGCAGGTAAAACATCGATGATTTTATCATAATCATTACATACATAATCGTTTAAAATCTTACATCATTTTTTTTAAAAAAATTTTGAATAAATCTAAAGTTTACTTTTTTGATCTTTTAGAAAAATTAAGAAAATAAATTAAAAATAGGTAATATTTTATAGATCTTTAACGGTTTTGATATTATCTTTATTACATATATCATATATCATAATATGTATGGAGTATTAAATTAATGAATAATAAATGTGTCAAATTAATTTTAAATCACAAAATTGATTTTTATTTTTATTTAATTTTTTATTTTATTTAATAAAATTAAAGTTTTAAATTTAAAGATCTTAATTTGATTATGAATTATTTGATGTTGAAATTTAATATTTTATTCAAATACTTCATTCAAATTAATTAGCTGGTGAATTATAAGTTAATTATGGATCCATTTCATTAAATATTCACATTGCCAGGATCTGTAATTAGTTCTTTTTACAACAATAAGGAAAAAAAGTTATTAGTGTAATAAAGCAATTTAGAAATGATGTCATTTAATAAGGAAGTTAATGAAAATACTATTTAACTTCCCTGTTACTCCTTTCAATTAAATTGAACATATTGTCAACACTTGACAACTAGTTATGTATGCTCCAAATTTGGAAAACGTAGAATTAAGTACTAATAAAAGTGCGAGTTTGATGTTGCTTTGTTGCAATTTCATTAACTTCCTTAATAAATATATAAAGTATTGAAAAAAAAAAAACTCACGTAGAATTTCGAGGTAGATCTATAAAAACTTGTGAAGAACAAACATGAATCTTAGATTTGAGTCAAATCCCTATCCAGATTTTCGAGTCTTTAAACTTTTTTTTTTTACAAAGAGATACGAAACAGTCATTGAAATTTATTTAATAGAACGAAAATAGAATTTTTTACGAATCTCTTCAATAATGGTATCCTAGAACTTTGTGATAACCAGTTTAGTTGTATTAATATCAGATCTAACTTTTATCGTGTGCTACCATTTTTAGAGTAGTGTAAATTTTACCAATTCCAATTTCTATTTTGGTCGAATGAGAAAAACCGAACCATTGAAGCAACATCTAGATACTAAGATCTTTATAAATTATCAATATATCACAACTATCTTAGTCGTATTTCTCCAATCAATATTCAAATTCGAAGAATGTCAGAGAAAGAGGAGGCAGTGTTCCGTTCTGCGGACATGTCTTTAGTTCAGGTATATATTCCAACTGAAGTAGCAAGAGAAATTATATATAAGATTGGTTCATTAAATATTATACAATTTAGAGATTTAAATTCAAAAGTAAATGAATTTCAAAGAGCATTTGTTAAAGAATTAAGAAGATTAGATGAAGTTGAAAGACAATATAATTTATTTAAAAAAGAATTAGATTTTAGAGATATTTCAATCAAATTATTCCCATATGAATTTTCAATACCACAAGTATCAGAAATTGATGAATTAATTGAAAATTCTAAATTATTAGAAGATAGAGTTGTACAATTAAGAGATTCTGTTGATACTTTATATAATAATCAAAATAATTTAAAACAATTTAAATATACTATCTTAGCTGTTAATAAATTTTTCAATTTAACTAGTGATGGAAATATTAGAAATGAAGAAAATGCAATTTTAACTCAGTTAGGTCAATCACAACTGGGAGAAGTTAGATCTGCTTCACAATTTATATCTGGTGTTATTAATCGTGATAAAGTTGCTTTATTACAACAAATATTATGGAGAATCTTAAGAGGTAATTTATATTATCATTATGAAGAAATTAATGAAGAGATTTTTGATATAAAACATAATGCATATGTTGCAAAAAGTTCATTTATCATATTTTCTCATGGTTCAATGATTCATGATAGAATCGTCAAAATTTGTGAATCTTTAGATGCTGATATTTATGACGTTGATTCCTCGTCAACTAAAAGAGAAGAACAATTGTCTACGATAAACTCAAAAATAAATGATTTATCAACAGTATTAAGTGAATCTGAAAATGCATTGTCCTCAGAATTAATTGCTATCAGTCGTGACTTAGGTAAATGGTGGGAAATTATTGCAAGAGAAAAAGCTGTTTATAAAACAATGAATCTTAGTGATTATGATAATTCAAGAAAAACTTTAATTTGTGAAGGATGGACTCCTACAGATTCATTAGGTGATTTAACAAAAACTATTCAAGATTATGATCAAGCTCAATCAATTCCAACTATAATTAACGTATTAAGTACAAATAGAACTCCACCAACATATAATAAAACTAATAAATTTACTTATGCATTCCAGGCAATTTGTGACGCATATGGTGTTGCAAGATATAAAGAAATTAACCCAGGTTTACCAACAATCATTACTTTCCCTTTCATGTTTGCTATTATGTTTGGTGATATGGGTCATGGATTTATTGTATTTTTGGCTGCATTAGCATTAGTTTTGAATGAAAAAAAATTAAATGGAATGAAAAAAGATGAAATTTTCGATATGGCTTATACTGGTCGTTATATTTTATTATTAATGGGTATTTTTTCAATGTATACTGGGCTTATATATAATGATATTTTTTCAAGATCGATGTCATTATTTCCAAGTGGTTGGAAATGGCCAGAGCATTTCAAAATTGGTGAAACTATTCATGCAACTTCAATTGGTACATATATTTTTGGTTTAGATCCAGCATGGCATGGAACTGAAAATGCATTATTATTTTCAAATTCTTACAAAATGAAATTATCAATTTTAATGGGTTATATTCATATGACTTATTCATTTTTTTTCTCATTAGGAAATTTCATTTATTTTAATTCGTTTATTGATATTATTGGTAATTTTATTCCAGGTTTATTATTTATGCAAAGTATCTTTGGTTATTTATCATTATGTATTGTTTATAAATGGACTGTTAATTGGTTCGCAAGCGGTAGACAACCACCAGGATTATTGAATATGTTAATTTCAATGTTTTTATCACCAGGTACAGTTGCTGAACCACTTTATTCTGGTCAATCTACAATTCAAGTTTATTTATTAGTTATTGCATTAATTTGTGTTCCATGGTTATTATTAGTTAAGCCATTATATTTAAAAAGACAAATAGATAAAGAAGCTAAATCACAAAGTTATCATTCATTACCAAATGATGAAGAATCTGGAGAATCAGGTACATATGGAGATTCAAATGGTCAAGCTGAAGATGATGATGAAGAACATGAAGAACATAATTTTGGTGATATTATGATTCATCAAGTTATCCATACTATTGAATTTTGTCTTAATTGTGTAAGTCATACAGCTTCATATTTAAGATTATGGGCTTTATCATTAGCTCATGCACAATTATCAACAGTTTTATGGTCAATGACAATTGGTAATGCTTTTGGTCCAACTGGTTTTATGGGAGTATTTGCAGTTGTATTTTTATTTGCAATGTGGTTTGTATTAAGTGTTTGTATATTAGTTGTTATGGAAGGTACTTCAGCTATGTTACATTCTTTAAGATTGCATTGGGTTGAAAGTATGAGTAAATATTTCGAAGGTGGTGGATCTTTATACGAGCCATTTGGCTTTGTTGGATTATTAGATAACGTTTTCTAATTTTCTCATGGCTATATAAATAAGATAATAGATCAATAAAAGAAAAAGTACATAAAATTTAGTTAGAGTGTAGAAATTTAGAACGCGCGCGCATTTATTGTATCAATAAGTTCTTTGTATTTTTTGATACTATATAATTCAATTCTTCGAGATTCATGCACTAGCAATATTAGAACTATAAAAGGTTAGGATTAATTGTTAAAAAAGAGAATCGAAATTGGCATTAGATGAGTATAAAAATTAATAAAATATTGAAATTTTGTAAAAATTTGTTGATGAAAATGACAATACATTTTTTAAAATTTAACAAAAGTTTGTTTCAAAATCTCACCAAGTAGCTCTTACATCCGTAACTCAATATCAAAAACTCATGATTGTTTACATCCGTAATTCAATGCTTTATGTATCAAGTCAATTTTTTACAACTAGATAATAAGCATTGAAATTTAGTATTAAAGAGTCAAATAGAAATATAAAAGAATTAAACTATGCAAAAATTGATTCATTAAACTACTATAAACTTATGGAATATTTTCCTTAGTAAGATAAGCATCAAACAACAGTAAATTAATACAACCATCATTTAAACCAGAATTAGTATCTTCTAAAATTTCATAACTTCTTAATTTAAAAGGTTTTGAAATAGTTCTTAAAATTTTCATTGAATTTTGATCATCTTTTGTGTCATTAGTATTTAGAATATTACCAACAAAAGGTGAAATATCTAATGAATTATGTTTAGTTAATTGTAATTTTAATCCACGATCATTGAATATATGAGAATCTCCTCCATTTTTTAATTCATCTTCCTGTAACATATTTGATGAATATATTAAATTTTCATCTAATTCATCTGTAAAAGGATTTTCTTCATTTAATTCTGGTAATTCAAATAATTGTTGTATATGAGTTGATCTTGTAATATTTGGAGTATCCATTATTTTAAAGTCTCCTGGACTATTTTGATTAACTTGAAGTTCTTGTTCATTAATTGTATTGATTTCTTCAGTTATAGATGATTTCATTAAAAATAATAAATCATAAAATAAGATTCTAATTTTGTCATTTTGATTTAATGAATTTAATATTCCAATCAAACTTTTAATTAAAGATGACACTAGTTCATCCGAATTATTTTTAGCCATAAAAGAACATAATGTAGGTTTATGAATAATTAGAATCTTCAAAATAATTGTAATAGCTAAATTCATCGTATCACCTGTATCATTATTAATAGTACAATGTTCCAACTTGTCTAAACATTCAGCTAAATTTTGAACAAATAATCTTGATGTTTCAACAGAACCCATTGAGTAAGTTAAACATTTGGTAAAGAAAGTGTCAAATGTAGAAACAGCTTTTATTGTCTCTAAATTTTGGGTTTGAATAAAGTCCATAAATTTACTCTCAAAAATTCCTAAAATTACAACCTTTTGAGTCCAAGATACCCAATCAAATACCTCAACAAATATTGAACTCTGTCCCATATAGCTTTCACCATTGATCAACAATTTTGAAATAAACCTCTCCCATTGAGTTTCAACTTCATTCGATGACAATTCATTCAATGTGTTTGAGATATGACCTAATAAAATTTGATAAAACGTCACATTTAAACCATTAATCTCAACTAAATTGTCATCAAATTGTTCTATTGTTTCTATCGAATTATCTTCAGTTCTTTGTAGAAGAATATTTAAGATGTTGATAACCTCCTTTTGATCCAAATTTTTGAAAAATTCAAAGTATATGAAATGATCGTTGAACAGTTGACCTTGTTTTAAATAATGCAAAATACTAGTTTTGTGTCGGTTGAAAAGCTCGTGAAATTGACTCTTATTTTTCGTCAAACATTGCAGGATAGTTGTTACAAATAAATGCTTATTCTTCTCTTGAAATAAATACCTGTCTATTTTCAATAGTTGAAGTTGTGCACATGACAATTTGGAAGTTGCTGTAGCTCCTAAAAGTAAATCCAAAACTAGCTCTGGTGCTGAGCTTTCTATTTGTATAAGATTTACTAAATATTTTATGGTGGTGATATTATATATAATCAATTTACTGATCATCAAGTCTTTTTGTCCATCTGATTTTAGTATTTTCAATAAAAAATCTTTAATCAATTCCTTTGTTTTAGCAAAATCTTTAGCAAATTCACTTCTAATTAATTTGGCAATTGCCGTTTCATTTGCTTCTGATATATTTTCAACGCTATTGAACCAATAATCCAAATTTGATAATAAGTCCTCACTAGACAAATTTAGCTCCAGAACTTCTTCAGCTGTAAGAATCTTTGAGGACTCATTCTTTAATGTATCCAAAGCATTTCTAAAGTCATTTGATGTATACGTCTTTCCTTCAGTATCTTTAATTGATAAATCAACTGTGTTTATATGCATTGGTGATTCAAATGTTTCATAAGGTTTGGCCAGATAATCTGAAAACTTAGATGAATTGTTTAATTTACGTCTTTTATATTGCACACCAGTATCTTCCTTGTCAATGATAGAATCAATAAAATTCCATACCTGATGGAAATTAAGATAATTATATTCTCTACCACTTAGATCTTTGTATACTTGTATAATAAGTCTTAGTAAATTGATTGCTGTCGAGTTATTGGCATTTTCAGGAAACTGCTTGATAAGTTTAAAGTGTTTCATCACTAATCGTGAAATTAAATAAAGACCATCTAGGTATATGATAATAATTCCACTTTCGTTTCTCAAAACAGCTTGTACCACTGACTTGAAAAATACAGCAAGGTTATCAGATAATAAATAAAGTTCATAAAGTCCCAGTATTACATTTGGAGTGACGTGAATTAATTTTGAAGTAGTGTTGAATTTTGATTTTAATTCATTTGTAATCCAGTTTACTAACAAGAATTTAATTCCGACTTTTAACGAGTTTAAATGATCCTTGCATTCATCTGATAACGAATCAAATTTATTGGTAAAAATTTTGTCTAATACTTCTTTCTGTAAAAATTCCTTGGACGAATCCATTATGTTCTGAAATTTTACTGGACTTTTGGTCCATTTTTTCAAGATACTATCACATTGTTTATTATTAACCGAAGGTAAGTTCTGTAAAATTTCCAAATGACCTTGAGTAGTAACATCAGCATCCTCATTCGGATCACCTAGAAATACACCATTTGCAATGAGCTTTCTAATATATGCAGCAATAGTCATTAATCTCAACTGGTACAACTCATTTATTAAAACATTAAGTTTATGTTTGTCCACCAAATCTGAGTTAGACTCTGTAATTTGATATATTATTTCTAGTATCTCATTCCCAAACTCTGCTTTGGAAGATTTACTCAATGCATTGTCTAATAATACAAAATGCTTTTTCAAATAATTACATACAATTAAGATGTTTTCACTTGCGGGTTCACAATATCTCCAAGGTGAAACACACCAAAATAAAAGCGTTTTCAAATTTTCCTTCCAATTTTTTGAATGTGGTTTCAAGGAACAAGCAAATTCTTCATTCAATTTTAAAGAATCTAATGTATGGATTGTTTTAAGTTCATCACTCATATATTTTCTAGTATTGATGTTTTGCCCAATGTTGTTGTTTTGGTCTTCAATTTTTCTTAAATTAAGTATTAAACTCTCATTACGGTATCTTACTAACTCCAATTGACTTTGTATTTTCTCCTTCTCTGCTTCGGATATTGAACTAAAACTTTCGGTCAAGATTGTAGTTAATGAATTTTCTGTCAATTGCCAATTATTTGGTATAACAAACATATTAGTGTTGTACTTAAATAAATAGACTGTGGTATCACTTAAAAGTTTTAAAATATTAAATTTGACATCGTCGGGTATTTCCCATTGTGGATAACTAGTCAATTTGGAAATGAAAAAATAACTGAGTAAAACCAGCTCACTCAATTCTTTTGCTACAAAATCAATTTTTATTAAATCATTCCAGAACATTTTAATCAAAGTTAATGATGTTAGACGTTGTTCATAATTTAAATTGAATTTTATATGCTCCATTTTATTGAAGTCATTATCTTCGTCATCATCAGCTTTATCTTCATCAATTTTTAGTAGCTCTTTTACAACTTCTGAGTCGAGTGACAAGCCATCTTTTAAAGGTTTAATGATCAACATTAAGAATATTGTTTTATCTAACAAGCATTCCACATACAACGATTGAATATATTCCATAGTATGATTGAATTTTTTCATGCATTGTTCTTTTTTCTCTATACTATTAATTGTTGCCATCTCTTTTGATAATTTAAAAACATAATCAACCACTTGTTGGGTCCATTCTTGCAACCAATGTACTTCGAATTTTTCAGCGGAATTACCAAAATCATTAGATTGAGGAGTTCCTCCACTCATTGACATTCTTGAATGATGTTTCCTTCTTAATGCCAGTAATTCACCAAACATAACACATTTTGTAAACCAAAGGGCTCTGTTAATTGGAATATAATGTGAAATAATTGCATCAATCAATTGTTTATTCCGTATACCATGAGGAGTTTTTTCACCAATTTTTTGTAATGAAATTTGTGAATTACTTAAGTCTTTGAGCCAACTTTCTTTTTTGGAGGCTGTTAAAGTAACTCTTTGAGGTATTCTGAAATGATTTGAATCTGATCTAATTTGATTTATGGCTTCATTTCTACTCTTGTATGCATTTGCTAAGTGTTGAGACAATTCTTTAATAACATTTGTACAATTTTCAGTTGATAAAAACACAGTTGCCAGTATTAGATTTCTTGCAGAATAATATTCATTTGAGACTTGTGGTACTTCAAAATATCCTTTACTTAAATAAGTTGTATTTTCAATTTTTTTGAAATCCATTGATCTTTCATCTTTACCAGTTTGTGTATGATCTTTCCAGGGCAAAAAATCTGGATATGTTAATTCTCCATTTATGTTTTTTTGAATTTCTTCGTTAGGTGTTTTAATTTTTGGGGATAAAGAAGTTGTTGCAAAATCGTCTAGTGAATATACTGGTAAATTCGGTTTTTCCATCAGAAATTTCATATCTATTAATTCATCTTTGATTGTTGAGTTTGTGAACAGTGACCTGTTCTGTGACGATAGTAGTTTATTTCTACTTCTAGCTTTATTCGACATAATTTGATGTGAAATAGTTGTTATAGATTCATTAAAGTTAATTAAGTTGATCTCTTAATTAAAAAAAAAAGTAATACTAGACTCAATAATATTAATTAATTATATAAATTAGGTTAAAACTAAAACTTTAATAAATTTTGACACAAAATATTATACAAGATTTTTACAAAATTTTATATTAATAATGTTACAAATATTTATATTTAATGAAGTATATATAATTAATCTATAAGCTAATTACCAATCATCATCGTCATCGTCATCTTCATCATCACTTCTAGTAGCATCTTGTCTTTTTCTTAATGCATCAGCAAGAGAACCAGCTAATGTTGTTTCCTCAGTCTTTTTAGCTTTTAAAGCATCAGCTAATCCATTACCTAAAGTTCCACCATTCAGTACAGTTGAAGCTTGAGTAGAATAAGAATTATTAGCACTAGTAGCACTAATTGGATTAGAATTAGTTGAACTTGTGGCTGTGATATTAGTATTATTTGAGCTAGAAATTGATGAAGTTTCCAGTAAATAATCAATTGGTGACCAACCTTCTTGACTTTCATCCATTGTTTTAACTAAACCCCATTTTCCATTAACTTGAGTAACATAATAAGTTGTATCTTTAGTAAGGGGTAATGAACCTTGAACAGATCCATCATAATCATACATGGCTTTATAAGTTGGGAATTTTGGTTTTGATAAAGTCGGAGGAGGAGGAGGTGGAGCAGGAGCTACTTTTTTAACAGGTGGTTGTGGTGACACAGCTTTTTTGATTGGTGGTTGTGGGGCAACTTTTTTAGCTGGTCTTGATGGTGCAGCTGGTTTTTTTGGCGTAGTTGGTTGAGGTCGTTCGTGACTTATATGAGTTTTGCCTAACGCGGCTTGAGCAGCAGCAACCTGCATGTTTGGTGGAGGTGGCGGTGCTTTATGTGTTTGAGATTGATGAGTTGGCAGTTTTGGGTAAGATGGTTTTGAAGATTGTGGGTAATGATTAGTTTGTTGAGCTGGTTGTTGGTAAGATGGTTGGGCAGATTGTTGATAAGTAGGTTGAGTAGGTTGTTGATAAGTAGGTTGAACCAGATAATTAGCTGTTGGTTTAGGTTGACTATAAGTCGGAGCAGAACTTCTACCTGATCCTCTATTATAATATCTTGAATAATCAACTTTTCCTGATTTTCCTCTTGGTCTTTTTGGATTTTGACTTGTTGGTGGTAAACCTTGATTAACAGTTACAGTACCTGATTTATATAAATCATCTTTTGGTGGAACTTGAGGCCCTGAACCAATCATAAATTTGACAGTATGATATTTACCAGGTTTTTTCTGATACTTAACTGTTGGACCAATTGTAATTGATAAGCCTGGATTTAATCTTTTTAAATGAGTGACAAATTCTGTCTTCAAATCCATATTGATGAAAACATCTGGTGTTGTAGGTGTTGGTGAGGATAAACAAACTGCTACCCAATTATCTTGGTAATTTGAAAGTCCAACACTTGCAATTGATCGAATTGGAATTGTAAACTCTTTTTGTAATTGTAATCTTTTTTCAACTAAAACTTCAGCAATAACATAAAATGATGTTTTGGTTACTATAAAAATACGTGGTAATCTTTTTGATGATCTTCCAAATTTTGATAATAAAATTTCACCTTTTTCCGAAAATACAATTGGTTCATTAATTCCCACTGTATTCACAATGAATTTACCATACCCACTTCTATCACCACAGCCTAAATAATCACCCATAAAAGCACGAGAGCCCAACATTGATAATCCTCTACGTTCTTTTCTACCTTGTAATAAAGAATTACCATAATCACGTAATTGTTCAAATTGATTTCCATGAGTTTTCATTCTCCAAGCATTTTGTATAACCTTGGCCGCATCATCTTTTCTCTTGATATATCTTCTCCAAGCTCTTTGAATTCTTGCAGCCATATTATGCCAATATTTATCTCTCATATCTTCTAATGCAAATAAAGTTTCTGGAGTTTTAATAAATACTTTTGTGGTACCTAATTGGTATTCTGATGGTGGTATATGACAAGATCTTAAAATTTCTTTGACAGCGGTTAAATCATCACCTTGCCAAATATAGTCACCAGCATACCCAGTAGCAGGAGACAATAAATAAAATCTTTGAACGAATCTTTGAAATGTAGAACGATAAGCAAAACCAGCTCTTCTAATACGAACATTTTCTTTAAGACCCAAATATTTGATTTGATGTAAAACTTGTTGATTATCATAATCACGGGGTTTTTTCGTTTGATTTGGTTTAATAGTTCTAATATATGATGGAGTACATTGTGATAAAGTGTCGACTAATTCATTAGCACTTCTTTTAATTTTATCAGACATTGTTTCAGGTCTTTTTCTTGCATCAACTAAAGCAGAAAGCAATTCAGGTGGAAATAATGTTTGGTTTATAAATGAATTTGAAGAAGTTTCCAACATTTCTAAAAGATCACGCAACATTGCATCTTTATTTTTATCAGTCATACCAGCAACATCATATGTAACATCACCAGCATAATGCTTAATAATAAATTTGCCTCTACGATCTTCGAAATGACGATTACTTGCACCTACCATACTTAATCTTTGAGCAAATACTTGATCAGCTGCATCAGAATCTGCATGTGCCGTTTTAATAGAATCATTTAAAGCTGCAAATAAACCTGGTTGTGGTCTTGTGGCTTCAATTAAGTCACACACAACTTTATTATTAAAATATTCAATCGGTGTCCATTTAATTTGTTCTTGAACATATTCATCTTGTTCTGCTTTTAAAGTTAATTGAATAAAAATTTGTTGTAATTTCTCATTCACATAATTAATACAAATTTGTTCAAATGAATTATGTTCAAAAATTTCAAACCCATAAATATCAAGAATACCAATGGATTTTGATGATTGTTGACTTCCACTCAATGATTTATTGACCCTTTCCACTATCCATTCGAATAAATTATTATATATACCTTTTGCAAGGGCATCACGCACGGCTGTTGCTTGAACAATGTTTAATGGAACATGGTAAGTGGATCCTCTTTTCATACCATGAGAAGTTTCAATTGTTCTTTCAGTAATCGCCTTTTTCAAAATTTCAGCATTTACATCTAAAAGGTAAGCAACAAAATTCGTGACACTATCATCACGTATAGCTGCATTCCCACTTTCATCTTCAACAAAAGATATATTACCAATCCATAGTATCAGAGCCAACATTCTAAAAATATTGTCTTGTTCGGGCTGAGTCAATCCAATAATGTTCATTGCATTTAAAGTATCTTGAAAATCTTTACCATCATCTATTCCATCAACTGATACACATTTTGCAGCTGATGTATATATGTAAGTTTCTGGACCTTGAATTCCAAATTGTTGTTGATATTGAGGTGGACAATGTTTTGTAAACTGATAAAATATATGGAAATTTCTTTCATTTGTTATTTGTGATACTACTCTTTGTTTTTCCAATAAATAATTTGTGATGTGAGCAGCTACTGGTTGATAAGTACTTTCGTCGAATTTAATTTCAAGATATTTACCATGTCTACTTGAATTATTATTTCTTAAAGTTTTAGCACAACCAAAAGATTCCAATAATGGATTTGTTGCTAAAACCATATCTTTAATTTTTGATATATCTGTGTTTTCTTGATTTACAGATACGTTTGCAATATATTGCATAATTTGTTTTGCTGCTTCTGTTTTACCAGCTCCTGATTCTCCAGAAATAATCACACATTGATTTTCACCATAAGATTTTAAGTGATAATACATAGATTCTGCAATTGCAAATACATGAGGTGGTACTTCTAATCTATTTCTTCCTCTATATTTATTTAAATTTTCCATTGTATATATTCCCAAATCTCTAAAGGGATTGACGGAAATCAAGACATGTCCAATATATGTATATATGGTATCATTCATGAATCTTTTATATAAATTTTCATTTATTGCATCATCTGTTATTTTTGATAAAAGTGTTAAATCAGATACTCCAACTTCTTTCTTTTTAGTTATATCAAATTCTGCTTTCTTTATACCAGTTGTGCTTCCATTTACTTTCGCTGGAGCTTGTTGTTGTTTGGCCCTTGAACGACCACCTCTTTTCACAATAGCCATTAATTATTCAAGTAAATTGGATAAAATTGGTGATGGTTAAATCTATAAGCTTTAATATAGTGGTGTTCTGGTTGTTATTTAAATTGAAATAAAATTTAAAATTCTTGGAAATTTAGATTGGAAAGAAAAAGGAGTTTATCGCATTAATAAATTTTGTTACTTTAATTTTAATTTTTTTTCTTCATGGCCAATTTTTTTGTAACCGATGAAAAAATATGAAACTGAATGATTTCATCTCGAGTCATTCATTTTTAAGTACTTCGAGTTGGTGAAAGTTATGAAAACGAATTGTTGACTTTCAGCTAATTAGTCCTCCACTCACTTTTTTGAATAAACTACTTTTGAAATGATAAGTTAGAGGTCCAAATCTACAGCAATTTACAGACCTCTCCAAAAATAGATGGCAGTGCCAGATTAGAAAAAAACTTATATGATCAATAGCAAAAGTGATAATTTGCAATCAATTTTAACAAGTTGAACCTCTTGATAACCCAATTACTTTATCTATTATCAATTCTAATTCTAAATCTAATCTATACTTACTCCAAATCTAATTCTAAATCTAAATCCTTTATTAGCAAATCTTAAGTGGCTTTTTTAATCATAACCTCCAAAACTAGTGGAATCAGTTTACTGTATCACACTAATCGAACCTAAGGCAAAATCCTCAAACCATAATTAATTATTCAAGCAAATCAACTAATTGACCCAATGATTGTATATAAAACAGTGGTATCAAACTTTCATCTTTTGAATGTTCAACAACATCTTTTAAATCATTTAAAGTAGTTCCACCAGATAAAACCAATAAGGAAGATTGTCCATTCCCCAAGTTTCCATCATTACCAAATTTAATATCAGTATATAAAGTATCACCGATCATTATAGTTTTATTTCTATCGTAATGATTATCTTCTAAAATTAAATCAAGGAATTCTCCACTTGGTTTACCAACATTTATATAATCCGTTCTTTGAGATAACCAAGCAACATAATGATATACTGAGCTTTCTGCAGGTAGTGGTATTCCGTCAGGCCCTGGATAAAGTCTATCAATATTACTTGTTATAAATGGTAAAGTTTTATTATTATATAATAAGTATTGTAAAGTTGCTGATACTCTCATATAACTTTGTTCAGTACTACCGACAACTACTGCTTTAACATCAGGATCAACTCTTAATATACTTGAATCCAAATTTTTCTTATTAAGTTTTGGATCATTCACACCTAATGGAATATACCCAAGTTCTTCCATTTCTTGTTTTATTCCATTATCTGATAAACACCATATTTTGGATCCTTCAGGTATATTTAATTTTTTTAACTCTAAAGCTGCAGAGTAACTAGTAGGATAAATAGATTCTTTACTAATATTTGGTAAACCTAATCTTTCAAATTTACTTATATAATCTTGTCTTGAACTTGATGAATTATTAGTTACAAACGTATAATTTTTACCATGTTTTGTTAAATATTGTAAAAATTGTATAACTCCTGGTATTAACTTTTCATCTAACCATATAACTCCATCACAATCTAATAAAAAATTATCATATCTATCTATAATTTGATTTGCTATTTGTTTTGATGATATAAATAATGGATTATGTTTTTTTGTCATTATAGTTGGATCGAAGGTGACAAGCGATATCAATTGAGCTAGTAAGGTAGCTTGTTGTTATATTATTATAATAAACAAAACAAGATCTTATTTTATAATATTATTATATAAATTTGAGATATTATTTAAATCAATTGTTCTTTACACAAACTTAAAAGATTTTATTTACGGAACACAAAATTGGTGTTTTTTACGAAAGCCGCTGTACCTACTTAATTTTATTATACTTTTGGTATTTATCCGATACTATTAAAATACAAATTATTATTTTACTTTGCTACTTTTATTAAACTTCAAATATCTAAACAAAATAAATCAACGGTTTTACTTTTCATCAACTCTATTTATATCCAGAACGGTATCATTACCATCATCAACGCCTTTTGATGGTTTTGGTAAATATAATTCATCAAATTTTTCCATTCTTTTTTTCCACCATTTTCTACTATCTTTTCTATTAATCTCTTCTAGATATAAATCATCATCATCTTCATCATCATCTTCTTGCTGATCATTTTGCAATGATTCTTCATTATATACTTTAAAATCTCCATGTAAATCTAATTGCTTTGGAGATTTTGTCATTGTCATTTCAATTTCATTATTGTTTTTATAAATTTTATACTTACTTCCCAAATTCAAGTCTTTCAAAACAATTTCTCTTGTTCTACCCAATGATTCAATATCACCAACTCTATCTATTGTATCTTCCAATAATTGATCAAAATGTGGCTGTGATGCAATTTCATGAAATGCTCTCATCATTGGTACACTATCTGCTCTTACTCTTGATTCAGAATCTATTGTGAAAATATTTAAATTATCATATCTTTGAATATAATCATTTCTAGTTTGTATTTGTCTTGCTCTCCATAAAGGTAATTCAGGTAAATGATGATCAACATAAGGAGATTTCTGATTTGTGATAATCATATTCATTCTTTGTCTATCCATTTCAACAAATTCTCTCATCAATAACATTGCACTAGTTGAAAATTTACCACTCTCCATAACATCATCATCCATATCCATTCCTAATAAACCACATTGGTTTAAAAACCAAGTCTTTTCTCGATCAATTATTTCATGGCATGCTTTTATTATATCTTTATGTCTTGCAACTTGTGTTATATGTTGTGGTCTACCACCAATTAGATCATAAACTGCATTACATACATCAGTTGTTAATATTTCATCCTTTGGGAAAAATCTATGTCTTATAAATTTTAATGCACTTAAAGTTTCAATTCTAGAAAAATCTCTCACATTTATTAATTCCAATCTTGTACCTAATTGTTTTAATTTTTCATAAACCCAATAGTCATCAGAGTTGAAAACAACTGTTAATAATCCTGACCCACTTAGCAGTTCAGATTTTTGTTGTAGTAACTCCAATAATTTTGCTCCTTCTTCATTTTCTTTAATTAAATGGGCATTGTTTATAATCATAATCAATGGACGTTTATATTCTCCAACTCTTCTGATAGCTAGTTCTTCTAATTTACTAAAAGCTCTTTCAATATCTAATAATGCCGTTGTATCTCTTGGACCTCTTATTGAAAATAAACTACCAAGATACATTTCATTAAATGAATAATTTAAAGCTTTACCAAGTCTAAACCTAAAACTTTCTTCATCTCTTGAAGCATCCAATATAACAACATTGAATCCCTCAACTTTTTTAATAGCTTCAGTTAATAAACTCAGTTTACCAGTTCCCTTCTCACCAATAATTAAAAAATATCTACCAATAATTTTTCCAGCAATAATGTCATCAAGTAACTGTTGTTGAGGTCTTTTAACCCAATGTTCTTTAAAAATTTCTAAATCTGAATTATGATTTTGTAATTTTGAATACATTATAACTTCTGAATCTGGATCTTTTTTTTCAAATGCTTCATTCATTTGTCTTAATACATGTTCATTATAAAATATGTGATATAAATAACCTGCTAATGCTAATATACCTATGGAAGATATTGTTATACCCATTGTTTCAACACATTTCATTAAAAATGATTTAAATCTTTCAAATTTTGAGCTTTTTTCATCTTTCTTGGAGTTTTTCTGATCTTTTTTATTATTTTCTTCATCATTATTATCATCTTCTTTTATTTCCTCAACAATGTTCTCTATTATTTGATGAATATGTAATTTTGAATTTGAATTGAAGTGTCTTAATATTGAACCTTGTAGTGGTTCGGACTGAATAAAGTGATGACTATTCGGTACAATTCCCCATCTAAGTGAGCTGAACCTTAACTGATGTCGGAGTTTTACTCTACTTATCCGTATCATCTATTTGATTTCAAAGCTAAGTTCAATGTATATTACTAAACATGAAATTTTCAAATTTATATTTTAATAATTACTGTAATAATTTATGGAATTATGTCAAAATAGATTGGTAGCAATAACTTTTGTGTACATTAAGATTAAAAACATAAATTATTTCTTTTTCGTCCAGCTGGATTTAAAATAACTCTTTTCCTATCTGTGCAAATGATATTTTTCTCGTTGAAATTATTTTGCACTGATTTATATTCATGCAAAGAATTGATACAAGATTCATAATTCCAGCTCGTCAAAGTTGAATATTTTTTAGGGATCTAAGCTTGATCAAATGTCAATTCTAACTTAAATTTAGATTACAATCGAGATTTTTACAACTAAAAATTGTTGTATGAATTTATTGAATCTTTTTGGTTATCTATAAATGATAAGACTGGTTTAAGTAAAGTTTATGACAATCGATTTTGAGGGATATAAGCCAATGTCTACTTCGAATGGTGATATAAGCTTAAGGGTGGGCATTTATGACGTATTCTCCTATTGGTAGTAAATGTTGGCCAATTTTTAACATGGAAGGAGTTCTTTTAGATTGTTCGAATAATAAAAACGAAATGGCAATTAAATTGAATATTCAAGTGAATTTCTGATATTGGAACTATGTGGTCATTAACTTTTCTTTAATTTAATCAAAGGAAACTTTTCCATCAATTTCGATAAATTTGAAAATAAACATGACAAAATGAAACTATCTTTATAATATTTCATTATTAGGTTGTTATAAGCATCAAGAGAAGGGAAACATATTTTGATTATAGCATCATTACAATAGGGGTTCACTGCGTTATGATTTTTTCAGTGTTTTTACTTGAACAAGATTTTTAAATTTCGTTTTGGGGTCTTCAATGGAGATTTTTACAAATATTTTAATTTTGTAAGAATTTATTGAGATTCTTGAAGAAAACGTTTTAATTTTGATTTTTGTTTGTATATGATGGATTGTTCTATTGACGGGTACTTAACAAATAATACACTTTTTATACTAAGTCGAATCACATTTGTTATGTTCTTCGTTTATATAAACTTATTCAATTTTCCAATTAATTTTTTTCTAGCGATTAAATTGAATCCCAAAAAAATATTATAGTCCACATGGAGCATCTCCATTGATATGGTTTACTATTGTTTGTCCTTTTTTCAATGATATTTTTGTTGATGAAAGATTAATTACTCGTACACACAAACCAATGTCTTGATTAAGTCTTGAAGAGTTTTCAAACTTAAGTACACTATTCTGTTCAAGAACCATTTGTTATGTTATGTGTTTGATAGCGACTAAGAATATCAGCTATTATCACTTTAGCAGCTGGAATATAGTTATATTCTTTAGTAATTTTATTATCAATTGGATTTTAATTACAATTCTTACAACTTGTTTGTATCGAATTGATTGAGTTCATATCTGAGTAATAATATTGTTGCTATTAGAGTATTGAGAAGTGATTTCGAATTGACTTGTGGTCGATGTATACTTCCATTTGCTTTCCAATTGAATAATGTATTGTGTATTATGTATTGTTAATTTGTTTTCAGTTGTAGAAATTTGCTCTTGAAATATCCCTGTGGTCATTTAACCAAATACCACAACATGAGGTATCTCTTAAATTTTAGCATCTTCCTCGTTGGCCCAAGTCAATGCTATTTGAATATTGTAGCTACAAATTGTGATCATGTCTTGAAATTAATTCATGTCATAAAATTTAATAGGACGTCAAAAATTTTTTATAGCTTTAACAATGAAAAAAATTTAATAACTAAATCTTTTCATCCAACATGATTTATTATTTGTTTGATATGGTCATATTTGATTTTTGACTAAAAACAAATTGTTGAATAAATTGAAAGCAAATTATAGATGGTTTCTTAAACTTAGATTACAATCAAGATTTATACAACCATCAATGTTGTATAAATTTATTGAATTTAGTAAATGATTATTAATTTTTATTAATATCAATTTAAGAAAGATTTACATATGCTAGACAGTTAGTGGTGGAAGAACGATTTACATGTGTAAATTCTTGGTCACTATAACGGCTGTCATGAGCATTTGTGATGGAGTTTGAGGGACCATTAACTGTCTCAAGATTTGCTTCTTTTCCTCAGGTATTCCATGTCCTTATGTACCTACCGTATGTCCTAAAAAATTTGGGAAGCCAAAATAGTTTAAACTTGATTTAATACTACCCCTTTAATATTATAAAAATCTGCAATGTTTTCAAATATGAAATACGTGATAAATTTTGGATGCTCATACCAGAATCAAGTTAAAGATTTACGTTTGATTTATTTTGGTTGACTATTAATCCTTGCGTCATTTGGTTTGTATGTGTGAACCCATCTGGAGCTTATTATATTTTCCTGACCTCGCTTACACTTTTCGTTCTTGAGGTTTTCAATCAAGATTTTTACAAATAAATTAATTTTGTAAGAATTTATTGGGATTCTCGAAAAAAACGTTATGTTTGTTTTAATCACAAGGTTTGATTCAGGGATGATAACTTTTAGAGATTGACGCTCTGTCTTCGCAATGTTGAATTCGAGGATCACAAAATTTTTATTGCATGATATCTGTAATTCATAAAATTAAAATCACCTGCTATTATGTATTTCCAAGATTTTTGAGTTTGTTGATATTCCTTTTTGTAATGACTTTAATATTTTATTGGATTTTAATTACGATTTATACAATTTGTTTGTATTAATTGATTGAATTTATGTTTTGAAAAATAATAAAGTCTACTACAAGAAATTTTGGACCAACAAGATATTCTTCTCAATGTTGTTTAATTTTCTGTAAACTTCGATATAGTTAATTGTGTTGTGTTTTATGTATTGTGTATTATGTATTAGAGAACATAAGAAGCTGTAGAACTGGACTCTTAGGAAAAAAAAGAAATTACATTTGGATAATTATAATCATTAGTTCGTATATTCGTAAAGTCATGAAAATTTGGTAATGAACAACTTTTGACCTATAACTTACCAGTATGGTTGTTGGAAATATGTACTTGCTCCGTGTTCTTCTACTATTGTATCGTTATTCACTTCATTACACATATTGACATTTAATTTTTCTTGTCGCTGTAATTCCAATTGAGCTTGAATCATCATATTTATAGTTTTTTGGTGTACTTCTGTATGGATCTTGGTTAATTGTACTTTCTTACTTCGTATTGGTGAAGAAGGTATAAAATTGTAAGTTTGTAATGTTGATTGTATTGGTGAGGATGATAAAGTCTGTGAGTTTGTAGATGAGCATGTTGAATTTGAAGACAAATAGTTGTAATCTGTATTTTCTGAATCTAGTTGTCTTTTTCTACTCATTATATGGGTTGTGTGCTAAGTCTTGTTTGTTTTGTTGAAAGATATGATTTTGATAAATTGATTGCAAAAGGTAAATAAATAAAAAAAATAAATTTGTAACAGCATTTTCGCGTTTCACTTTCTGAATTATCATTTCAAAAATTATAATATTTTATATTATTCAGATTTACATCATCGTAGTTTCCACAAAATCAATAGATCAGTTTTGATAATTATCATCAACTACAAAAATATCATCCTCGATTTATTCCTCCAATCAGTAACATAATAACAATCGTTATGACACTTCGGAAAAAAATTCAGGGAAAACATATTAAACACAGTCCAAATATAAAACTACAAACAGAAACACAGTTCAATTCAACATTCTTGGTAAAATCATCAACTCCATACATATCAGCCCTTAAAAAGATAAGTAAAATGTTATCAAAATTCGAAAAATCCAAAAACTTAAATAATTTAAATTCATCAAACTATAATAAAAAATATCAAAATGAGAATTATAAAAAAGTCAAATATATTACTGTGAAAGGAATGGGCAAAACTATAGAAAAAACATTGAAAATAGCAATGAATTATCAAAATGATCAAAATTATAAAGTTGATATTTTAACTGGTTCAGTACAAGTATTAGATGAATTTGAGAAAAGTCATACAAGTCAAATTGATTCAATTGAAGATGCTGTTGATAACACTATTTGCACTAAAGATTCTATTGAAGAAAATCATTTTGATGGACCTGAAAGGGAATATCAAAAGAGAATGGTTAGTTATGTTGAAGCAAGGGTTTGGTTGAAACGTGAATAATACGTTTTTACACTCATAATGCATTGAGCATGTCAGATTGTTCAGGATTGCAATTCAATTGAAAAAAAAAAAGGAGACACTAAGAAACCCAATGAAGCCAGTGGCAAATTTACTGTCGTACAAATGTACACAAATACTACTGCATGGCTACTTGGTAGATACAAGTAAGAAGTCTGATTCTATAAGTTGAGGTCATTAATTCATTACTGATACAAAAAGGAGAAGAAGCTAACTAGTTTTTATAATTCTATTACATTCATCACCATTTATTAAGTGCATCAATTGTTTTTACACCTTCTTTTCTTCTCTCCATTCTTACTAATTTGTCCATTCGTTTCCAGTTTTATTTGCTCTTCTTCTTGATTAATCCTTTCCAAACATCTTTGTCGAATATTATATAAATCAACAATATGTCTTTCAATTTTATTACTAATTCTTTGTCTTCTAGATTCTAAACTTAAATTAATCTTCATAGTCTCACCAATTACATCTAAATCCACTTGAAATAATTTTTCACCAATTTTACATATCTCCAAACACTTTTCCCAATCTCTGTTGTAGTATGCTTTTTCACATCCGTGTAATAATTTAACTCTATTAATCTTTTGGGTTGGATCTAGCTGTTTATCAAAGATTTCTTCGTATAGCCAATTTTCCGTATTGATTTGAGGTCCTGATTCATTCCATAGTTTTAATTGGTGTTGATATTCCTCTTCTGTCTGTGGTTTTCTTTGTTTATTGGTTTTAGATTGTTGTGGTAAATAATCAGTATCATCGTCTTCTTCTTCGTTGTCTTTTGGTTTTATTTCTTCTTTTTTATTCTGTCGTATTAACTCTTCATCTATATTTAATGATTGTAGATTCTCATTTAATTCATTGTTTTCTTTTGGTAAAGACATATATCGAAAATAAGTTAAGGGTAATCTAATCTTTATAGATCTGGTTGCAATTTTTGATATTTTGATGAGATGGATCATACTAAAACTAAGTAACAAAATACTTTTTTTTCAAGATGCGCTCCAAATTAAATTCCGCTCCATAATAATTATTTTATCAATAGAATACATTTGAAACCTCAAACGTATTCAAACTCATCTTTCAACTATATAAGCCGGTGTAACATCGAAACTAATACTACTTTTGCAATAGTTCAGCGGGGTCAAAGTTGAATTTTATGATTTTTCTGAGTAATATGCTAAAAGTATAATTTTCTTTAATTTGGCAACAATAATTTTTTAAATTTGTAGGACTCACAAATAAGGTGCTAAGTTCAAAAATTAATGACTTTCTTATTTTTAGAGAATTAGTTTTGGACCAAAAAATGCCTACATGCAATGAAATTCGAGTAAGAAATTAAAGTACTTCAAAGACTTCAATATAATCAAAGGAACAACGCGTAAAAAGGGTTTTATGTATTCACAATTTCGCTTGAATCTGATTATTCAAAGATTTGGTGTCTATATCTTTTATCAGTTCAAACAATTGTCAGCATAACTGACAATAAAAATTAAATAGTTTAGACGATCCATTCACAAAACCCGAATAATTAAATAGTAGTCGTATGTCCAGATTTTTCCCTTATTAGTCAAATTACTTCATCGTAAAATTAATTTTAAATAATAAAAAATTCTACCTGAGAATTTCAGGTTAATTCAGGTAATAGATTTACAATATGTTTTTATATAAAGTTTACATTTCCGGGAATAAAGGGTTCATAACTTCAAGCTAATTATTTAATTGCTTGCTTCTGGTTAAACCGATAAATGAAAATGTTCTAGATATCTAGAGAGTGTGATTCAACAAGAAGACTTTGAAGTACATTGAAAACCACGTTATTTGTATCTCTGTTATTACTTTCTTCACCCAAATTTAACATATAATAAAGAAATAAAATGCATTATAATAAATACGAGAATTAAAATATGTAAGTAAAGTACGATAGTAATTAAAAAATTGATGTTACGTTTGATCTAGAATTAACGTGCATTAAAATATTCTCGTTAATTTTATTATTAATTTACGAATACAAAAAAATTGAATTAGTATTAATCTACTCTAACTTATAACTGGAGCATTTCAAGACTTCAATCTAATAGACTTTTTTAATCTCACTGGTACAGTGAGTAGTGTGCACGGTATATTAGTTCTTCCGCTTCTTTTTGTTTAAACCTCACACTGTCATTTTCCTGGGAAGTTAAAAACTGATAGAGTATGCAAACAATAACTTGATAATAATATCAGCATATATTTCAATATCTCTCGCTCAAGGATAATCAAACAAAAAAACCAAAACTCATTAACAGTCAGGCTAAATCTTTCGTATCATTGCACCTTCAAGCACTAATAAAAAATTTAAAAATAAATACGTAAAAAATAAAAAATAGAAGAAAGAATATAATATTGAGAAACAAAAAAAAAACCGTTTATTTTTGTACCTTAATTAACCGAATGTGAAATTTTTACAAAAAGGGTTTTATTTTTTGAGCTTATTAAAATAATATTTAAAATTTTTTTTACAGTCAATAATAAAATAACAGCACAACAATAATAAAAAAAATTCAAAAGTTAAATCATACATTTACCAAAGACACAAAGTCATAATTCAAAATCAATTATTTGTATTTTTTTTGTGACGTCATTTAAAACTGTTTTGTCCCTAATCGAATTTTATTTGTGCTTTTTTTTTGACAGACAGGGGATGTATCAAATTCAAAATTTACGGTGTAGTATAGTGATCAATTTCGTCATATTGATGAGTATTATAATTTTAATCACCGAACGAATGGTAATTTAAAAAGCAAAATCCTGAAATAAGGTTTTTTCAGATACGATACATATAAGTGGCAAAAAATCTGTTTATTGTCTTTCAAATATGCGGTTTCTCCGAGGATAATTTGATTTTATAGTATAACTGCAATTATTGTATACAGTATTCACATTATCATGTAAGTTCTTTTGAATCTATTGTATTCAAAACAGTTGAAAAAATTTCGTATTTTTGAGCGAAATTAAAAAATTTGGAGAATTATGCTGGAGTTAAAATTTGGGGTTTTTGGAGATCCTTTAATTTGAAAAAAATGATTTTCAAAATTATTTACATGGCTTTTGTTATTAGTACTTGCTCTAAGTTCGCTTATCCTTTATATTTTAAATCTTACAAATAATTTTAATATTTAGTTTAAAAATTTCCTATGATATCATAATTTTTTCAATTTTTATTTTTTAAACTTTTTTAGACGATTTAAACTTTTTTTTGATTTTAATTTTATTTTTATTAGTAGATTGAATGACAAATCCGTAAAAATGATAATACTTATTCGAACAATAAACTGATCACTTATTTTATTTACTACTCAATTCCCATTTGAAAAATGTCATATAAGTTATTGTCTTGTTTTACTTTTGATCTTTCCAACGGTTTAAAAGAAAACAATAAAAATCTTATAATAAAAAATACATATGAATTAATTTTCCAATTTAATTTAAATTTTACGAGATGGAGAAATAAAAAATTAAAATATTTTTAAATAATAGAATTATAAAAAGTTTAAATTTATGTATACTTTGATACATTGATTTGAAATTTACGGATGAAGCATTTTGATTTTACTAGTCATTTTTGAAAGATCAAGTCAATGAAGTCAAAAAATATAGCAATTACTTAGGTAAAACGATAAAAGAAAGCAATGATTCTATATACTTAATATTTAATTTTTTAGTTAAATATGTAGTATTTATTAATTCTTTTTAAGGGGACAATTCTAAATAAGAGCTTGATTATTTTACACTACCTATTTGATTATTCAAGATTCGTAATGTAATAGTATTATTGAAGTTAGTTAATAGCTTTTGAATCTTTAGTAATAATGATTGAAAAATTTATTACGAGAATCAATAATATATATAAAAAGTACAATTGTATTCTAAACAAAGAAATAAATAAAAATAGGTTATAAAAAGTATTAGACTAATATTAAGATTTCTAAAACAATAACTTTTATTTTTAAATTTAAGGTACAACACAGCCATCATTTTTTGGAAAGTGAAAAATTGAGAGTAATTTATGGATAAAACAAATTAATATTTATAGTATATTATTGTTTTATATATTTGAAAAGTATCTTCCAAGTAAATTAATGTCATAAATTCTGATGGCAAATGTTATTATTAAATATTTATTTATATAAAATTCATCGTAAATTCATAGAAATATAATTCTTTTTACAAATAAAAATAATAAGATCATTTTTTAATTTTTTTTTTTTATTTTTTTTATTTTTTAATTTATTTTTTTTATTACGAGAAATTTTTATTTTTTATTTTGTTATTGCTGCGTAAAATATATTGTACTATATGCAGTATTTAATATGAATAAATTTCGTAAATTCTTGTAAAAATTAAAAAAAATTAAAATTAAAATTTAAGAGAGAATAAAATTACTGTATATAAAATTTGAGTTATATACAGTATTTGAATTATATACAGTATTTTGTATGATGATAAATTATTTTTATTTTTTATTTTTTATTTTTTATTTTTTATTTTTTATTTTATTTTTTTATTTTTATGTCATACATTTTTTTTAATATTTTTAATATTTTTATTCTCAATAAGTTGTTGTTGTTAATTAAATATATAAGTTGAAGGATTATACAATATTATTAAATAATAGAAAATTAAAACAACTAAACATAGATTTACTCAAAAGAAAAAAGAGAGAGAGAGAATAATTAATTCTAAAAATTAATTTTATAATATTAATAATATTATTATTTATTATTTAATTGAGAAAAATCAAAAAATCACATTTTTTAAATTTCATTTCTTTATTTGTTTTTTGAATTTTACTCATTCATTCATTCATATAATTTTTTTCTTCTTTATAAAAGTCATATTTTAATAATTAATCAAAATAAATCTCAATTCATTTTCAAAATTATATTCTTTTACTTTGGTTCATTCAATATTAGATATTTAAATAATTCTAAATAATTTACGATACGAAATATCACAAGTACTAAAAAAATAATATTATTACACATCACCGTAAAATTCTATTATTTATTTATTTACAAATATTAAATCAGAATTTTTAAGTTTTTCTCATCATCATTCCAATTTAAAACCAATTATTAATTTATTGATTACAATTAATTTTAATTAAAAATTTAGTGTCAATGATAAGTTTCCTTATTAGTTTATCTTTTCTAATATAGTCTTTTATCAATTTATTATTAATTATTAAGATTTACAATCATAATCAATACAAATCAAATATATATTAATTTTTTTTACAACCAAATTTTATATACATTCATATACTTAGATCAAATAGCTTTTAATTAGTTTCCCCTCATGATGGATATATACAATAAAGCATTAAGAAATCCTGATCCTCCAAGGAAACATTCAACTGGTACCAATACTAGTACAACTCAAGCAACTAACAATTCATCACCTTATTCAAATCCAAATATAAATTCAAGAAATCCAAGTATAATATCTAATCAATCACAAATTCCACATTTTACAACATCATTACCTTCATTAAATCAACAACAACAACAACAACAACCATCAACTTCAACTTTACAACCAATACAATCTATATTACCAATTCAACAACAAAATCAATTATTACAACAACAACAACAGCTACATCAACCATCCATGTCCCTACCACCTCCAAATCAACTTCAACCTCCTCCTCCTCCACCACCTCATTATTTACAACAACAACAACAACAACAACATTTAATGCCTAATCCAAATTATATAGCGTCAGCAATACATCAATCAACTACTCCTCCAACTAATATTTATCAACAACAACAATTAGATAGATCGCCATTATCACCCAATTTAAGCCAACAACACTCACAAGAATTAAAAGAATCATCAGCAGCAGCAGCAGCAAGAAAAAAGAAAAATCTGAGAAGAAAACATAGGAACTCACATTTAGGTTGTGGAACATGTAAAAAAAGAAGAATAAAATGTGATGAAACTTTACCATCATGTTTAAATTGTTTAAAAGGTAAATTACATTGTGCTTATTTAAATTTAGATAATAATGCAAGATCTGCTTTAAGAATGGCTCAATATAATCAAAATATAAGACAAGAAAAAATTGAAGTTAATAAATCAATGGATGATCCAAATAATCAATTACAACAACCCCCTCAAGGATTGGGGATAAATCAACAACATCCAAATTTAAGTCCAAGATTATCAATATTACAGCAACAACAACAACAACAACAACAACAACAGCAGCAGCAACAACAACAACATCCACAACAGCAACCACAATTACAAACTATACAAACCGCAAATGGTCCAATGGTCACTTTACCAGGTGGTTCAATTATTCCTGCAGGGTTTCCAGCAACTAATGGTGTTGGTGCACCATCAATAAGTCCATCATTTATGAGTCAACCAGCTCCACCAAATCAACAACCACAAATTGTTCAATCCGCTTATGGTCCACTAGTTCCAATAATGACAAATAATGGTACTATAGTTTATGCTCCAACATCTTCTTTATCAACTCAACCTGCACCACCTCAAGTTTTACAACAACAACCATCAATAATACAACAACAACCTCCACAACAACAACAACAACAACAACAGCCACAAATACAACAAATTCCTCCACATCAACCACCACAAAAACAACCATCATTAACTCCAATAACTTCGACAGCAGCAAGTGCAGCAGTGATGGCATCTCAAAATATACCAATAAAACAAATTCAACAACAACAACAACAACCAAAAGCACAAGAAGAAATCAAAAGATCATCAATAGCGTCAATATCATCACCACCAACAAATAATGATCAAAAACTACCATCTTTACCTATCCCAATCCCACAAATTAATATACAACAAACTCCAACAATAACATCACAACCTTCATCATTACCAAATAGTTTAAAAAGTTTAACATCACCAAAATTAAAAAATGGTGGTGGATTTTCACCAACTAATACAGCAACTACATCAACATCACCAATCTTACCAAATATTTCACAATTCACAAATAAAACTCATGAAATAGATGATAAATTACCAAGACAAGAATCAGTTACAAATATAAGTTCATTAAGTATAAAAGAGCAGGAACAACAAAATTTACTTAAACAAGAGAAGCAAAAAAGTGAAGAAAAAGAAGAAAACAAACTTAGTGATTCAAAAACTGAAACAAAAGATATTAAGTTACCATCTATTAGCAATTTAAAAACTGGTACTGGTAATAATGAAGAAGAAAAAGTTTCGATTTCAAAATTAATTACTTAATTTTATTTAGTTGGGCAATTTAGTTTGTTGTATAATAAAAATTATTAACTTATTTATTTATTTATTCATCTTTTCGGAATTAATAGTCTGTAATATTATATCGATTTTTCGTTCTTAAACTTCTCCTTTCCGCCCGACTAAACATAACTTCAACTTCTAAATGTTATGAATAATGTAAAATTTACATAAATTTAATAATAAAGTCAAAATGTGTCAGAAAATTTATTCGTCGCGACAAAATTTCATGACTTAAATTCTTTTACAAGAAGATTTGAAAATTTAATTTATAAAAGGTAAAATATATCAATTGCTCAGTAACTAGTCAAACCCAACAACCAATGTCAGAAATATTCCCCAAACAGATAACATACTGTCAAGTATGTACATTTCCACCAGAATTCTGTGAATACGGAGCATCAATAACTCAATGTATAACATCATTAAAACAAACAAATCCAGAATTATATTCAAAATTATACGGTTCTAGTACCTCAAATGAAGACGAAACAACAACTGATGCTTTATCAAATTTAAATATTTCCGATAAAGATCTTTTAAAAAAACAACAAAAGGAAACTTTAAAACAACAGAAAGAATTAGAGAAAAAACAAAATTCTAAAATTACTATAAAGAGAATAGAAAGAAATAAAAAAAAACATATTATATCAATATCTGGGTTGGAGGTTTTTAATATAGATTCTAAAAAATTAGCTAAAACTTTTGCATCAAAATTTGCTACTGGTACATCAGTTATAAAGAATGCTGAAAAAAAAGATGAGATTTTGGTACAAGGTGATGTAAGTGATGAAGCTAAAGAATATATTGAAAGTTTGTTAAAACAACAAGCTGGATTAGAAGATGTTAAAGTTGAACAAATTGATGATAAGAAAAAAATCAAAAAACAAGCTATTGGTGGTGGAGGTGGAGCACCAGGTTCGAAATAATTTACAGCATAATTAAACGATTATAATAAATTAAGTTAAAATTAAAATTAAATAAAGTATTTTGCTAACTTTTCTTCTCTTATTTAAACACTTAAATTACAAACTTCAAAATTTCTAACAGGTCTTAAATCTTCTAAATCAATACATTTCCATAATGAACGAGTTAATAATATTTTATCATCAATAATTTCATAAATTTTACTCAAGAAATACCAAATTTCAATATTATTTTGTCCCATTGGCCAACTTAATGAATATTGTTCCAACAAGTTTTTAATACGAATTATACCTGCATCTATATCTTTTGTTGATATAAATATGGAATTTTTTGGATCATCATCAATTAAAAATAATTTAGATAATCCAATAATTACAGATCCTAATTCAATTGATTGATTATATTTTGAACTAGCATTTGTTGAAATTAATGTTTCTAATGATTTTTCAAAATTTTGTAATGATAAAAATTTTTTAGATTTACAATTTAAATAACCTCTTGCTATCCAAATTTTAACATTTGATTCATATACTATTTCTGCTTCATTAATACATTGTTCACATTCTTCATATAATCCACATTTTAAAAAAATATTTGATGTCCATAACCATATATCTTGTAAAATTTTTCTTTCTATTAAATTATCAGTATGTGGTTGTTGTTGTGGTTGACGTTGGTGTTGAATTGTAGCAGTTGGTTTCTCAGTAATTGGTTGTGATGTGATCAGTGTATCATGAGCAATTCCATTACCAAATTCTGGCTTCTTGATGTGATGAGGAGCAGTACTTGTTGATGAACCACCAGATGAAACTGTTTTTGTAGAAAATACTGAATCTCTTCTACCTAATAATGTTTCTCTTGTTGGAATCTTGGAAAATCTTTTTAATCTATCAACTGGATTATGACTATGTTTTTTAGTTGAAACTGAAGTTAAATTTTCACCATTTTGTTGTGGAAGTTTTTGTTGTTGTGGTGGTGCTGGTGGTGCTGGTTGAAATGGTACTTCTTTTTCATTAAGTGAGTTTGATTTAACTTTATTTAATTCATTTGGATCAATAAAACTTGGTCTATGTGACCATTTTTCATTTGAAGCAAATTGCCTTGAAGATAATGAACTTGATTGATTTAAATTAACATCAAATAATTCATGATATAATACAAATACTTCTGAAATATAATCAATCATATATTGAGATCCATGAATTGATTCTAATACAGCTAATTGAGTTAATTTTAATTGTAAAATCTCATATTTTGCTTCCAATGTTAATTTTATATCTCTTTGTTGATGTTTTAAAATATATAATCCTGAAATATTTAATGCTTTATTAATAAATTTTTCAGGTTCTCTAATCTTTAATTTTGGTGGGATATAACCATTTATTTTGGAATCAATTTGTCCGTTTCCATTTGTGAAATTATCAGGTAAAATATTATCATTAAAACCAGCTGGTTTTTCAATTTCATCATTATCATTGTTGAATGAAGTTATCAATAATACTAATAGATTCCAAGTTTTAAAAGATTCTGGATATTTCTTTAATATAAATTTACATAATTTTAATGATGGTTTTAATTGTGATATATTTGCTAATGATAATGCATACGTAAATAAGTATAATACATTACCAGTTGAATTAATAATTAATGAATTTTTATAATTTGATAAAACTTTTGAAACATTTGAATCTAATATAGTTTGATTTGGTGATTCATGTATCGATAAAAAACTGTAGTAGTAGCCAATTGAATGCCATGCTTTTGAAATCAATTCAATAAATTGTGATTGATCAGATTGTAAAACATTTAAATTATATTTTCTATACAAGAATGATAATGGGTTTTTATCACCTGCATAATTTTTATCATCATAAGTTAAATCAACCAATGAACTTAATTTATCAAGATATTTTTGTAATTCCAGTACAAATTTTTTCAAATTTTCTAAAACTAATGCTTCATCAGTATATTTGAATTTTTTAGTCTTTGCAAACGATTTTAATGGATTAAAATGTATTATACAAGTACTATAAGTATCAATAATTGATAAAATATCGTCAACATGACCCTCTTTTAATTCTTGATCTTTTTCAATATATGCAATGTAAGTATTAAATGCAGCTAAAGCTTCATCATATTCATTTAAATCAATTAATGTATAAATAAAATTTGATAAAACAACTTTACTTTGGTATGTCTTTGTTGTTGCATCAATCAAAAATTTTTTACTTAATGATGGTTTGAAAATTGCTAAATTAAAAGGAACATAACTCAAAGATTCATATAAATTGTTTATAAAATCATTTACTTGATTATTTGTATCAGCTGCATCTGGAAATTGAATTTTCAGGTGAATACATTCATTAATTTCAACATTTAAATATGAGGAATAATCAGCTTTAAAAGCTTTATTAATAACTAGTGATTGTTCTGGTCTTAACAAGAAATTTGAATAACTAATAATTGATAATTTGTTCTTATAAAATGGTAAATTTGATACATTGTTTACAAATGAAAATTGAATAGAACCATTTTTACTTAATACTACAGTTAAATTTTTAAATAATAAATCTAACCAATGATTTGCAATAACTTGAGATTTTGCAAATGGTTTATTAAAATGATTAAGGTATTGAAACCAAATTTCAATTTGTGGATGAATTGTACTTAAACCATATAAAGTATAAAATCTAACAGTTAAATATTGAATAAATTCTAAGGTATTGATTGAAACATTTAAATTTTTATTAACTTGATAAGTAACATTTATTGAATTTAAAATTTTATTCATTTCAATTAAATTCCCATCAAGATATAATAAATGTGAAATTAATACAGTATAATATAAATTTTCTTCATAAGTTCTATTTTCTTTATTATAATTAATATTAATTGAATTTGTATAATTAATTAATTGAATTAATTTTTCTTTTGGTGAATTAGAACCTTGATAATTTGTTATAGTTGTTAATTCCAATCCATTAAATTCATTATTAATTAACAATTGTAATTGATAATCGATAAATACTAATTGTTGAAATAAATTTTGACTTTCTTGAAATTGTAGTACATTTTTTGGAAAACATCCAAAATTTAATGTACTAATATATTTATCATTAATTGAATTTTCGATATACATAATGATAAGATTGTGAAAATTAAATTGGGTTTAAATAAAAAAATGAATGACTTTTTATAATACTTAAGATGAATTGAAAATATGTAAATTTTTTGTTAAAGGAATTTAAAAACTTATGTAATAATATATTTGGATATGAATAAATCTAATAAATATTTAAATAAAGAATGAGTGACAGAATTTATTTTGACTAATTAATCATTTAAATTAATTAAATAAATTGAATATAAAAATCTTGATCTAAAAAAAAGGGGAATTCAAGGATGAATAATAGAAATGAATTTATTGAAAATTAGTCCTAATGATTTAATGGAAAGGTTAATTATCTGCTGAGACTGATATCAAATATGATAAGATTGTGAAATTGTAATATAAACCAATTTGAATAAAATGATTCAATCTTTGGTTGTAAAAATAAAAATCAAGTAATTAAATTTGGTTGTAAAAAATTACAAAAATTAAATTGGAAATGTTGAAAATTTAAATATTAAATATTAATTTTTCTTTTTCTCTCTCTCTCTTTATAATTTTTGTCTTTTAATCTTTTTAATTATTTAACTAACGTTTGAAACTTTATTATTAATTTTACATTTTTAATTAATCAACAATATACCCCTTACAAATTAAAATCTTTATTTTAAAAGATCATCAAAATCTCTAATAAAACCCACCAATGATTCAATTATATATATATATCTTTGAATCTATATCTGAAACATATATCTAGACAATTAATAAAATTATCAGAGGATTGAAAAAACCAATCAGATGGTAGCTCATAGTTAATTAGAAATTAATTATTTGAAACATTACTTAATTAAGTAAATTATTATTAATAATTAATTAAGTAAAATAATTTAATCTTTAATTATAGTATAATAATAATAACAATTATTATTTGATTTGACAACTTTATTGATAAGATTATATTTTTCATACTGAATATGATATATAATAATATAACAATTACCGAGTCCAATTATATAACTTATATTATTATATATTATTTGACATAATTATTGTTTATGTAAATTAATATTTGATATATTTATTATTTATTATATAATCAAAAGTCTAGTTTAATATATATTGATGCGAGGTTAAATGTCAAATGAATTATTTATAATTAATTAGCCATATCTTAATTGTCTTAGTTTGAATTTGAGCTCTTAACCAAATACGTTAACTCTCAGGGTTTATGTTTCGAGGTATTCAATATACTTATTTACTTCATATTTTAATTAACATGGTTCTTTTGGATGTATAAAATTTTTCACAGCTTCTAACTATTAAAAATTATTCAATAAATATGAAAAATTTCAATAATTGATTTTGTGTGGGGTAAGAAGAAGAAGAAGAAAAAAAAAAAAACTTTAAGTAACACTCAGTTAATAAAAATATGAAGATAATTTGTCTAATTTAGTCATTGGGAAAATAAGAGTTGTATTTCAATTACAATTTGGTTGCAATTCTAATGCAAATTAATGCAAAAGAAATAAACAATTTAAGGGGTCCAAATTTCTAATGATTTCAAGGTATCTTTATTTTAAATGATGGTGGAAAAACAAAACTAATAAAATTAAATCTTTGTGTTAAAACCGAATACTAAAAAATTATTTCCGTATCATACATTTTGTGTTTTATTAAATAAGGACAGCATAAATCTTTCTGAAACAATTAATAATACAATAAGGTATATGTAAGAAGAAAGGATTATTATTTTATTCAGAAAAAACTTAAATCTATGTAGAGCTTTATAGACAAATGAGTAAATGAACTTACAAAATGAATGAAACTTTATTTGTTTGAATAGATGGAATTAAAAGTTTTATATTAGCAGTTTATTATGTACAGTTTTACTTTCCCTTTTAACATCTTTCAAAGACTTTATATAACCCAGGTAAATCAGCAATTTGAATAATATCTCTTTGTAGATTCTTTGTTGCCAAAAATTGCTTTTTGATTTCTGGAAATAAAATATTTTCCAATTGATTTTCTAATTCATTTCTTTTGGCTTCAATTTCTTCTTTTGTTTCTTCACCTTCTTCAGTTTCATTAAAAGGTTCAGGTAAATAAAGTAATGCAATTTGTCTTAATATACCATGTAAACAAGATTTTTCATTTTCATAATTTATTTTAGTTCCTAATCTATAAATGAAAAATGGTAATTTTTTAAAATCTGGTTTAATTTTAGGTAATATCATTGGTATAGTTTTTAAATTTTTATTATTGTCAATTATAATTTGAAAATATTCTTCATACATTTCTTTCATATTCATTATATTTTCAATAACTTCTTCCATTGGTATTAAATCTGATTTTAATTTATAAATTGGTTTTAAAATTTCTTTTAAATTTATTGGTTCATCAAATTGAATTTCTCCAAAATTACTAAATTCATTTAATGAAATTTGATAATAAAATTCTAACAATACAGAAGCATAATCACATAAGAATAATTTAACATCATATTGGAAACAACATAATCTTTTTAATGGATCTATTATGCCAACAAATACTGCATGATTGAAAATATTAGTTAATGATTTATCAACAAATTCTGATAATTCTTGTTTTAAAGTATTTATTGAATCTAAATTTACTGTAACTTGTGATCTTTGTGAATTTATTTCTATTTGTTGAGATTGAGTTGAGGTAAGGTCAGGTTTTAGGGTAGATGAAGTTTCTTGGGTTATTGAATTATTTTCTGTAAATGTGAAATCTTTTAAAGATTCTTTTTGTAATGGTTGTGACGGTCTTACTAAGAATGGATTAATTTTAGATTGATTAGCATCAACTCTAACTAGTTTATTCTCTTGCCTATATTTTTTCAAAGGTTGATTTTTAAATTCATCAATTTTTTCTTCATCTAATTCATATGAGTTTCTTTTATTTACAATAGTTTGAGTCTTAAATTTTCTTGAGGTATCAACACTTGATAATATTCCATGAATTTTACCAACTATTAATTCAATAATTTCTTCTTCATTCAAAAATCTAACTTCTCTTTTTGTTGGATGAATGTTGACATCTAAATTTTCTGATTTTATTTGTAAACTAATATAAAAAAATGGATGACTACCCTTTGGTAAAAAAAATTGGAAAATGGAGTTTATTGCTCTTTTTAATGGATCACAAGAAACTAATCTATGATTTATAAAAATTATAGGTTGGATTTTCTTTTTGTTGTTATAATTTGCATTTGTAATAGCTCCTGATACTTTTAATAATCCAATATCTTCAGTAGTTGTATCTTGATCAAATGTAATATCCAATAACTCATTGGCAATACTTGAACCATAAACTATACGAATTCTTTCTTTTAATGGTAAATTAGCTCTAGTATTTAATTGATGTAAAGGATCACCAAATTTTTTACAAGAAAATCCAACATGTTCAGTATGAACAGCATATCTCCCTACAATATCTAAAATTTTAGCAAATTCATCACTTTTACTTTTTAAACCTTTAAATCTTGAAGGTAAATTATAAAATAAATCTTCAACTATTAATTGAGTACCATCTCGTCCAGCGATTGGTTTTGGTTCAATATCTTTTATTGATGATTTAAAACTTGAATTACATAATCTACCATTCATATAATACGCTTTATAAGCTAAGTTAGAATTTTTGGTTTTGGTAATAACTGATAATTTTGAAATATGAGATATACTACTTAATGCTTCACCACGAAATCCATAAGTTTGAATAGTTTCTAAATCTTCAAATTTTGCTAATTTTGAAGTTGTAAATCTTTCACAAAGTAAATGTAAATCCTCTTTGTTGATTCCAGTTCCATTATCTGTAATTTGTAGTAATTTTAATCCACCTTCTTTTACAACTATTTCTATATTTGTTGATTTTGCATCTATTGAATTTTCTAACATTTCTTTTAATGCATTAGCTGGTTGAATTATAATTTCTCCTGCAGCTATCTTGTTTATAACCGATTCATCTAATTTATGAATCCTTTTGTTTTCATTACTCATTTTAGACACATTTTATAAATTTTGTTAGTGTCTGGTTGATGCTATCTGATAACTATTTGAATTTGCAACGCTTTTTAATTTTAAAAAAGGAAACGCGTATTAATATAATAAATTTTAATTTTTTAGTTTTTTGTGAATCAATTTTATACACCATAATATTTATCCTATATCAGATATCAAACACATAACATTACAACATCTACTTAGTTGATCAACTTTAATAGAATCATATACAATATAGACATTCACAACAAAACCATTTAATATACTTATTCCAAAAGTCGCCGCTTACCATCATCAAAATGTCAGCAACACAAACACAAGTTGAGACTCAACCATTAAGAAAACATCTGAAACAAGAACATTTCGATTCTTATGGAAGTTTAGGTAAAAAAGTTAAAAACAGCTTCAAAAGAGCTGCTGCAGGTGAAGCATCAGAATTATCAATAAATTATATAGATGAAATTAAAGAATTATATCAAAATTTAGAAAAAGAAAAAGTAAGAGATACAAAAATACATTTAGAAGATAGTGAAGTATTTAGAGATGTTTCTGATTTTGCTGCTTTAAATGCAAGAAATTTAAGATTTGGTGATCATGGAATTTCATTAAATGATAAAGATGTATTTAAAAAATTAAAAAAATTCACAGCTACTGATGCATCATTATTGAAAAGAGAAGATGATGATATGGAAAATGGTGAAGATGAAGATGAAGAAGATGATTATATTGCAGATGAATATAATTTTAATACTATAAATTGGTTAAAATTAGGAGCATTATATTATCAAGTTAGTAAAAAACCAATTGCAGTTGAATTTTTAAATGGTCCATTAGCAAGTGAGAAAAGAAGAACAGCTCCAAGAACAAGAACTGTTGATGATACAAATAAGAATGGTTCTTCCACAACAGCAAGAGCAGTAGCAGCAAGTGATATAAATCAAGATGAAGAAAAAAACACAGCTCATATGGTAAGATTAGTTTATGATACATATTTAAAAAAGGATTCACAAGAAGAAATTAATTTTTATAAATTTTTCATTGATCCTTTTTCATTTGCACAATCAGTTGAAAATTTATTTTATACAAGTTTTTTGGTTAAAGATGGTAGATTGAAATTATATACAAGTACAACAACTGGTCATCCATGTATAAAAAGAGTTAGTTCAAAAGAATTAGCAGAATCAAAATTAGATAGTTCAAATTTATTATCTTCTCATCATATTGCAACTTTTAATTATGATGTTTGGCAAAATTTTATTGATGATTTTAATATTCAAGATTCTTTTTTGGGTCATAGAGATGAAGTTGAAGATCGAATGCCAATAGAAGATTTAAATGATTATAGCTAATTATAGCTCATTAAAATAAATATCTAATTCGTGTGCCTATATACATAATCTATAAATCTATTAATTTTTGTATTTACAAACTCTATTAATTTCATCATCATCAACTTTTACCCAAGACTCTACATTAAGTAAATTATTTAGTGGCCATTTTCTAATAGGTATAAAATTTAAATTTGTTTTTAATTTTAATTTTTCAAATATTTCCATACCTGCGTACCCAATCATTACTGCATTATCAGTACATAAAGATAAATCAGGGAAATGAAAACTTAATGGGTTTTCACCAATTTCCTTATGATTTAAATTATTGAATAATTTTTCTCTTAATCTACTATTCGCAGCAACTCCACCAGAACATACAAAATCTTTAACACCAATAAATTTCCCATCACTCCATCTATCCAATCCATGTTTTTTAAATGCTAAATTAATTCTATCGATAATATGATCAAAAATATATTCTTGAGTCTTGTATGCGATCATTCTTTTGATTTTGTCATCTTCAATAATTTTTGAATTTAAAAAATTCTTTTTGTACAGTTGAATATTACTCAAGAATTGAGCAAATGCAAATTGAATTAAATCATCTTGAAATTTCCCACTCTTGGGAGTTTGATAAGGCAAAGTTAGTTTGAAATTATATTTATTTGATAATCTTGTGTCCACTTGCAAATTTTCAAATTCTTTGATTTCCTCCGTTGGTATGTTCTTAATAAATTTTTCTAATTCTCTACCTAACATATTTCCATACATTCCTAATTCTCTTGCACACTTATCTAGCGAGTCCCCAACTGCTATATCACTTACATTTATAATTATTTCATGTTCAGATACGCTTTTCAGTAGTACTAACATAGTATGACCTCCACTACATAATAAACTCAAGAATGGGAAATTTGGTGGTTGTTTTTGCTCAGTCTCCTTAGTAGGTAAAAATGAAGTTAATAAATGTCCCAACATATGATGAACTCCAACTAATGGCACATTCCAAGCAACACTCAAACCTTTAGCAAATTCAGTTGAACTACTTAATGACCCAGCCATTCCTGGTCCTCGCGTGACACAAATTAAATCTGGTGGATTTGTAGCTGATAATTGGTGTTTGGAACAAAATTCAATACACATATTTGCAATAGTTGACATATGATAAGTATAAGCTGCTGTGGGCATTATCCCACCAACTGCTGCTGAGTTCAATGTTTTTTTGGTGTGATCTATTATAGTTGGTGTTTGATTTGGGTGTGTTCTTTCTAATAATGCAATACATGAATCATCACAAGATGATTCTATGGCTAGAACTTTATAATGCCTTATCGTGTTAACATTTTTGGATTTATGTAGTAGTTTTCTTAATGATAAGGATTTATAAAAATGTCCTTTATTTAGTAGTATCATATCATATTATAGTTCATAATTTTATTGTATTTGATACTGATTATATATTTAACTAGATTATTCACTAGTCTATTAAGACCTAAATAAAAAATATGAAACATCGTGAAAAAAATTTGATGCGAATATCTCGGAGATATTGATTATTCAAAAATACGGCTAAAATTGAAGGAACATTTGAAATGGTATAACTAGTCTTTCAAAGTTTAAGAGTCATTGAATTAATAAACTGAATATCAAATTTTACTCTCCGATTCTTAAGTTCTCGTAGTTGCCTATCAATCGATAGAGAAGTGCGTTTTGGTCCGTTTAAATGCTACATCCTATTTTATGGTTAGAAGAGAGAACAAAAAAATTCATTGTACAGAATTTTTTTTTTTTCAAAACATAAAATCAAATAACTAAACCAATTATACCCAATAAGATAATCCTAATAGAGGTCTTTTCTGCTCATTAAGGTGTCTAACAATCACAACTAATACAACTTTACTATCAAAGATCTTAAATTTTTGATCCATTCGTTTCACTGATCCACACAACATCTCAAAAAACTAATTGAGCCAATCAATTGCATGTATAATAATCATCAATTCAATATATAATAATTAATTAAAACAATTCTTCCATATGATATGTCACAAATTTTCACATCTTCGACAATACCGTTAACATTTGAACCTCATGATGGACATCATATACATAAAAAATCACATAAAGTTGGATCACCGACAGATCCAATGGAAGATGATCTTGAAAATAAAGCACCAATATGGCAATGTATGTTAGCAGGTGGATTTGGAGGTGTTGTGGGAGATAGTGTTATGCATTCATTAGATACTGTAAAAACGAGACAACAGAGTTATCCATTTAATTTAAAATATAAAAATATGATACCTGCTTATACAACTGTATTAAAAGAAGAAGGATTTTTTAGAGGTTTATATGGTGGTTATACACCAGCAGTATTAGGTTCATTCCCATCAACAGCAGCATTTTTTGGAACTTATGAATATACCAAAAGAAAAATGATTAATGATTTTCATATGAATGATACTTTATCATATTTTATAGCAGGATTATTAGGAGACTTAGCATCATCAATATTTTATGTACCATCAGAAGTTTTAAAAACAAGATTACAATTACAAGGAGCATATAATAATCCATACACCAGAGAATGTGGATATAATTATAAAGGTTTAATAAATGCAATAATACAAATATATAAAAAAGAAGGTTTTAAAACTTTCTTTTTTGGTTATAAAGAAACATTATTTAGAGATTTACCATTTAGTGCATTACAATTATCATTTTATGAAAAATTTAGACAATTAGCAATATATTATAATCATGATTCAACAAATTTATCAGTACCAGTTGAATTATTTACAGGAGCAGCAGCAGGAGGATTAGCAGGAGTGCTAACAACACCATTAGATGTTATAAAAACAAGAATTCAAACAGCAACTAATACATCAGATTTAAATAAAAACCTCAAAATTCCAATAAAATTTATAAATAATAATGAAACTTTAAGAGCATTAATATCAATTTATAAAAATGAAGGTATATTAGGAGCATTTAGTGGAGTTGGTCCAAGATTTATATGGACTGGTATACAAAGTTCCATAATGTTATTATTATATCAAATGTCATTAAAACAATTAGGTATAATATTTGGTAACGATAATAGAAGTTTAAAAGCATAATCAAAAAGATAAAAGATATAAATACTTTATAATAGAGTTGTATGTAAATAGATTTTAAATTTTAATAGACTTGAAGAAAGAATTTATATTGTTTGGAGCATTAACAAAGTAGTAATTTGTTTGTAAGTTCTGATACATTATTCTAATACAATTTGATGGTGGTGTTGAAGTAATATACTAAATGATGATACCTCTTATAAATTTTGATATATTACTTTTAGTTTTGTGTAATATTAGATGTTTTACCGTGGCATATGATTTTTTATTAAATTTTAATAATTCTAAATTTTTTTATTATGTGGGGAATAATAAAATTTAAAATTTCATACAAACATAACTTTCATTAAGATCTTATTACTACATTCAAACTAAAATTATCAATTCATAGTACTTCAAAATAACCAATCAATTGATCAATAATAATTCACCATGCCAAATACATTACATAAATCATATATTGAAAAATCAGTATGGAAACCAAATTTATTTGATGGAAAAGTTGTATTTGTAACAGGGGGAGCAGGTACTATATGTAGAGTTCAAACTGAAGCTTTAGTTTTATTAGGAGCTAATGCAGTTATATTGGGTAGAAATGTTGAAAAAACAGAACAAGCAGCAAAAGAAATTTCAGAATTAAGATCTGGTTCAAAAGTTTTAGGGTTAGGTAATGTTGATGTTAGAAAAATTGAAACTTTAGTATCTGCAGTTGAAACTACTTTAAAAGAATTAGGTAGAATTGATTATGTTATTGCTGGTGCTGCTGGTAATTTTTTGGCTGATTTTAATCATTTATCTGCAAATGCTTTTAAAACAGTTGTTGATATTGATTTATTAGGTTCATTTAATACTGTAAAAGCTACTTTTGAACAATTGAAAAAAAATAAAGGTTCAGTCATATTTGTAAGTGCTACATTACATTATACTGGTTTACCATTTCAATCTCATGTAAGTGCAGCAAAAGCAGGTGTTGATGCAATGATGAATGCAATGGCTATTGAATTAGGTCCAATAGGTATCAGATTAAATTGTATTGCTCCAGGTTTAATTGGTAATACAGAAGGTGGTGCAAGATTAAATCCTCCAACAAAAGTCCCATTACATGAAAGAGTTCCAATTGGTAGAATAGGTACTACTGAAGATATTGCTGATTCAACTGTTTATTTATTTTCACCTGCTTCTTCTTATGTTACTGGAACTATAAGTGTTGTTGATGGTGGATTGTGGCAAGTTGGTGGAATGTTGGGTGAATTATATCCTGATGTTGTTAAAATTCAAATGGAAGATCCAGAAGCTAAATTATAAGTTAAATATACGTTTTAATTATAGAATGATATTTTGCTCATTAGTATTACTTGATTGTGATACGAATTAATATTTCTTGAATTTATTTACAATCTTTCAAAAAAAGTCATCCGAATTTCTCATATGTTAAATAATAAATCATAAGCTCATATTTTGTCTTTAAGAATGTCACATTCTGCGTACTAATTTTTTATTCTTGGCCTGAGGCAAAATCAAAATTATAAAAAGAAAAGAATTTTCATGAAAAAGTAAAAATTAAATACCATTTTTCTTTCTATACCTAGAGAATTTCCTAGTCCCGTTAAAGACAATGCATAGCTGGTAATTTCGTCTTTGGCTGTGTTGTTGAGTTTTTCAATATATATCGTTGGTGCATATGAGTGATTATCAAATGATTGCTTGAAGTTGATATGTCATTATTTGCCAATGATTAAAGAGGTTCAGAAATGAATCATTGTATATTGAATTAACCCGATTAAGCTGATTCTTATCTAATCACAGGAGTGAAGGTCTCCATAGTCTACTCCTTTTATTTGATTGAAACCCTTGGGCGACGAGTCGGGCTTTATATACTCCAGATCTTTGAGAGTAAAACCCATCGTGATTTATTGTGTTTTTTTTACTAGGTAATTCATAGTTTACTCATATTGAGATGCTAGTGCAAATATGTGATCATCAAAAAAATGAAGAGATTTTAAAGTTGATGGTCATACGTTGCTAGTGTTGATAAAGTAAGATATGATTATAATTGAATGATATTTGTTGATAAACGCCGGGCAATTTTATGTGTGGTATCTAGAGAATTCATTTATGGTTGACTTTAAGTTATATTTCTTTTGTGAAGAGTTCAGCATATGTTGGTCATTCCGAAAATGAATTTATCGTCTAAAATTTAATATATATTGTATGATTGTATATTTGTTGATAATACCTCATCTAATGTAGAATATTTTTCCAATGTGCTCTAATAATTATTTTTCTGTTTTCTTAACAAGATAATTTGGATATTTAAATAAACATTTGTATTATAAGTACGTGTTCTGGTATACTTGTGCTACTAATAGCCGTATAGTAGTAGGCCAGATTTATATAATTGAGATTGATGGAGAGATCGACTTACACTTTGATAGCTGTGTATATTATAGAATCAGGGCTGAGATAATAAAATTAATTAGCTAAAACTTCATTAACTGCTTAAGTAACTAAATTTTCTCAAAATTATAAAAAGAAAAGATTTTCATAAAAAAATAATAATTAATTATCACTTTTATTACTTTCTCAAGAGAAACGTTACTTGCCACTAAAATTGATACAACTTTTTGTTATTTAATGTTTTGCGCTTTTACTGAGTATTTCAATATATTGTTGGTGCATATGAGTGAGTATCAAATGATTGATTGAAGTTGATATGTCATTAGTTGCCAATGATTAAAGAGGTTCATAAAATGAATTTTTGTATATTGAAATATTTTGATAACTTACAACTTAACGGATTCATAGCGAATTACTGGAGTAAATTCTTCACGAAATCAATTCCTTCTACGTGTTTATATCCCTGGGCGACAAGTGGGGCTCTACATATTCCTTATCTTTGAGAGTGGATACCCATCGAGATTTGATTATGTTTTTTAATAAGGACTTTCAATTTTACTCATATTAAGATGCTAGTGCAAATATGTGATTATCAAAAAATGAAGAGATCTTAAAGTTGATGATCATACGTTGCTAGTGTTGATAAAGTAAAATGTGATTATAATTGAATGATGGTTTGTTTAGAAACCTTTTGAGATTTTAAGAGTGGTATTCAAAAATATTGCTTCACGATTGCCTTTGAGTTGAAACTGTTTAGGAAGAATACAACTTGCTATTGGTCATTCCGAAATGAGTGTATGGTAAATTCTTGAAACATCTAAGTCTTTCAATACACTCTGATTCCAGATAAAATCTTCAGACGATTGATCATAATTCTTCCTCATAAGTTAAAACAACGATAGGTGGTGATATGTATTTTAATATATATTGTATGATTGTATATTTGTTGATAATACCGTTTAATGTAGAATCTTTTCCCAAATTGCTCTAATAATTACTCTTCTGTTTTCCAAACAGAGTATATTAGGATATTCAAATAAACATCTGTATCATAAGTAAGACTTCTGGTATACTTTTGCTATTAATAGTTGTATAGTAGTAAGCCAAATTTATAAAATTGAGATTGATGGAGAGATCGACTTACACTTTGAAAGCCGTGTATATACACAGAATCAGGGCTAAACTTCAATTAGATAATGTAATTAATTAGCTAAAGCTTCATTAACTGCTTCAGTAACTAAATTTTCTAAAAATTATAAGAAGAATAGATTTTTATAAAAAAAATAAAACTTATCACTTTTATTTCTTTCTCAAGAGGAACGTTACTTGCCACTAAAAACGATACAACTTTTTGTTATATCGTGTTTTGCGCTTTTACTGAGTATTTCAATATATCGTTGGTGCATGTGAGTGAGTATCAAATGATTGATTGAAGTTGATATGTCATTAGTTGCCAATGATTAAAGAGGTTCAAAAAATGAATTGTTTTATATTGAATTATTTTGATAAGTTACAATTTTGATGATTCTATCTTATAACTGGGCTGATAATGTCTAATAGTCTAAGTTTTCTTTCTGCATGAAGCCTTTCAGAACTAGCCTGGCTTTGTATAGTCCCGATCTTTGAGAGTTAGGACCCATCTGGTTTTTTTATTAGGATTTTCAATTTTACTCATATTAAGATGCTAGTGCACATGTGTGATTATCAAAAAATAAAGAGATTTTAAAGCTGATGGTCATACGTTGCTAGTGTTGATAAAGTAAGATATGATTATAATTGAATGATAGTTTGACGGAAATCCTTTGCGATATTGTGTGTACTGTCCATGAACATATTTTCACGATTGCCTTTAAGTTGATACTGTTTGGGAAAAGTACAGTCTCATCTTGCTCTTTCCGAAAATGAACGGGTCATTTAAAATTTAATATATATTGTATGATTGTATATTTGTTGTTAATTCCATCTAATGTAGAATTTTTTTCCAATGTGTTCTAATAATTACTTTTCTGTTTTCTTAACAAGATAATTTGGATATTTAAATAAACATTTGAATTTTAAGTACGTCGTCTGGTATATTTGTGCTACTAATACTTGTAAAGTAGTAGGTCAACTTTATCTAATTGAGATTGATGGAGAGATCGACTTACACTTTGAAAGCTGTGTATATTCACAGAATTAGGGCTAAACTTCAATTAGATAATGAAATTAATTAGCTAAGGCTTCACCAACTGCTTCAGTAACTATATTTTCCTCTTCTACTCCAGCTTCAGCTTCGGGTTGAAGATTAGCCCATATGACTCCATAAGTTTTTTCAAGAGTAACTATACATCTTTCTTTTATAGCATCATTAAAATCATCACCATAAATAGTTTTTATATACTCAAAAACATCAATGGGTGTGAATTCAACTAGACTTCTTCTTCCTAAAGTATATTCAATTAGTTGATCATTACTATCATTACTCGTTCCGGCAATTCTATCTTTCGATAAATTAACTTTATTTATGTAATTTTGATTACTAAACTCTTTTAAAATTTCATCCAAATTCATATTTAAATTTGAATTCTTGGTATTTATTGAATTTGATATACCAAATTTTTTACAATTTTTAATTAATTGATTTTCTGATAAATGGTTTTCTTCTAATATTATAAATGTTACAATCAACATCATTATACCTGTTTTAATTAAGTCGAAATTTGTTTTTGGTAATGAGGTCGATTTTTTAGAAGGTAAAAAGAATTTGGTTTCTCCAATTTTTGATTTATCCAAGACTGTTTCTATATCTTTTTGCCATAATTCACCTAAAACTTCTTTCGCTTCTTTTGATAATGTATTTACTAAAACATATGATTTTATATTTGTTTTTTTGGATTTAATTTTATTACTTTGTAATCCTGAATTGGAACCATTCTCTTGTTTTATAATAGGAGTTTCAACAAGAGTTAGTCCATAAATATTTTCTAATATTTTTATAGCTTCTTTTAATAAATCATCAGACTTGAATCTTTTATTTGTTAAATTTTGATTTATTAAATCTTTTCTGAAAATTTGACCTTTAACATCCCTTGCTAAGATTAGTTTTACTACCTTGTTTACATCATCTAACTTATCTCCTTCTGAATGAATTTCATTACTTATATGATTACCAATTAATACATCATCTTCATCAAGTTCGCTAGTTATTCGAGATCTTTTTCTTTGTGTTTGTTGTGTTTGTTGTGTTTGTTGTTGTGCTTCTTCATTATAATCATAGTCCCCATCTTCATAAGCTTCTATTTCTTCAATTGGAATTCTTCTTTTAGCCATTGTTGTTCATAAAATGACTTCAAAGGTTGGTTGTAAAACTTGATTTGATCAACTTAATGATTAATAATTTTATTAAGTATTGTGATACAAAAAGCGTACTTCACTAGACTATAATAAAAAAAAAATAAAAATTAAGACGTGTAACGTGTATCATTTTTGATACAATTCTAAATTAAATCAAAAAGTGAATTCTATAAATCTTGTCAATTGAACAGATGATCTAGTAAATATTTAAACTCTTTTAATCATGAACTGTTGATATTTACTTGTTTTTTGTGAGTTTGATTATCTATGCTTACTTTAAAAATATACTATAAAAATTGATAAAAATTATCACAATTTAAATACAAAATTGTAAAATTGAAGCTCATTAGATAATTATCTTTTCTAATCCAATTATTTATATTCAAACATTAAGAGTTTATTTCAAATATATTGGAAGTCAATTTCACGTTCTATAAAAGTTGTTCTTTTCCCCCTATTTTTAAATACAATTGATTTATTATTAATTATGTAGTAGAAAAAAAATAAACAATGAATTTACACAACTTCTTCTTTTAATATACCAACCAGATTTCAACATCATATTTAAGTGGGCGCTTCAACAGCGTGCTAATTAATAATCAATTGAATAATGGGTGGTGATAAATTAAAACATTTACCATTAATACATTTTAAATATAATCATCATTCATCAATTACAAATACAAAACAATCTGAAACAAATTCAAATTCAAAACCACAAAGTCAAGTTCAAGATCAAAATAATTCATTTAATAAAATCTCGACTAATATTAAAGGTTTTAGAAAAAAAATTGAAGAACAAAGAAAAAGTGATGATAATGAAGGTGACTTAAGTGATATACCACAAGATTATATCCCAAGAACTTTACCAAATGATCCAAATGATGAACTTCATAAAATTCAAAATCATTTATCAAGAAATCTTGAAGATCACAATAGAATTAATCAAGATGGTGTGACAATTCCTTATGGTATACAACCATCTAATTTAAATGGCTTTACAAATACACAACAAAGTCATTATTTAGATCCTAATGAAATTGAGAAACATCCTAAATTATTTCCAATTCAACGGAAACTAGAAAAAAAACATCCAAGACAAGAACATGTTGAAGTTTATAATTATTTGAATCCGAGAAAGACTGCAAATATGACTTATAATGAAAAAATTTCGAATTGGTTATCGTCAATTCCATTAATTGCCAAAAATAATAATACTAGTGGTGGTAATTTTTTCACAAATAATGAAAATTTATCACCAAATTATAAAATTGATTGTTATCCAGGTGTTGTTTCACATTCTATTACGGCTTCAAATACTTCAAATGGAGAAATTGATTTAACTGATGTTGATGATATTATTGAATTACAAGCTCAAAAAGTCACAAAATATGTTACAAGATTATACTATAATGAAAATGAAACAAATGACAATATTGTTGAAGATCATAGTTCTGGTGGAAATGATGATGAAGAAGAATTGATAGTTGACCAAAAAATTCCACGATTAATTACAGTACAAGAAGGTGATGAAAAAGGTCAGAATTATGATGCGACTCCCTCAAAGTCGTTTCAACACTAAACGTAAATAAACCTAATTTTAGAAACTATACATGTATATATACGCATACGCTAATAAGATTCGATATTTTTATTACTTAACTTTCTTTGATTATAAACACAAGTCCAATTCTTCAACATAGTATTTTGATTTTTCTTCTTCGTCAGCTATATTTTCAATTTTAGGATAATAAGGAACTAATGCATCACTACACTGTACATAAGCACTATTGAAAATTTTCCAAAATGCATTACGAACTTTTCTTGCTGGATGGAATAAACCTGCCCATATATAATTCATAAAGGTACCATTACCTAAAGTCAATCTTAATGAGTCTAAACTTTCCAAAATTCTAGCTATAACATGAGGTGAAGTCTCATAAATATTTGGTAAAATTAAATTCAACAAGTGAATGAAAACATCGTTATATTCTGATTCAATTATTCCATAACAATTCATTGCAATATGGAAAACAACAGTTGAAGCAGTCTGTCTATGAACTAAATCTCTATCAATTAATGCATCTTCTAATAATGGAGTTATAGCAAATAAATAATCTTTTGTGGTGTTGCCATCAAGATATTCAAATAAGAAACTTAAAGCTTTTAAGACACCATTTTGAACATTCTTTTCAGGAGTTTTGTATTCATTCATTATAGCTGGTAAAACAGTAAAAGGTTGACAAGTTTCTGCAACTATACCCATTGCAACAGCTGTACAAACTCTGAGTTGACGTTCTTGAACTTTTAAATTATTTAATAACATAACTATAACATCTTGTGGTCCAATTGTTTTTGATATATATCCAAATGTTGCATTAGCTTCAACTCTTATTTTTTTCTTGTTGGATTTTAACATTTCTAATAAATCAAAACAAATTCTCATCCATTCTTTTGCAGCAATTGTTTCCGCATTTTTTGTTGCAATTAGTCCAATTAATCTGATACTTGATTCTTGTACTTTTTCATGTCTATTCTTCAAAATTGGTGTTAATGTTGGTAAAATTTGGTTGACTGAAGGATTATCCATTTGTAAAAAAGTTGATTTATCTATGGAATTGACACATGAATATAATGCATTTATTATTGAACCTAACACGTCAGGATATACTTCTCCCAATGATTCATATAATATCAATATTAATTTTGCTAATATCTCATCGTCAGTTTCTGAACATAATTTAATGACTGGTGCAATAATGGCTATCAAATCTGAAGATTGCTGTCGTATTTCTGGTGATTTATTTTTCATTCTGTACAATACTGAACTTATAATTGAATTTAAATGAGGTTTCATTCTTAAAGCTAATGCCTTCGATATTGCTCCAAATGCATTCAAGTAGATTTTGTTTTGTGTTGACTGCTCTTGAAATGCAAATAAAACTCCATCAACTAAACTTTCAACTTGTTCAGTAGATAAACCAAGCAATTCGTCAGGTTTATTCGATATAATAACATTTAATGCTTCAATTGATAATCTCCTTAATTGCTCATTGTCATCCTTACTGAAATATATAATATTCATTATAATTGTAATAAAATCAAATTTATCAGCCAAATGATTAGTTGCAGCTACAACAAGATTTATTATTTGTGAATTATCAGATGCTGTTCTTCTATTCCAAAATGATTTGAAAAAAGGTTTGATCAATTTATTATCGTAATCAGGTATTAATGCTCTTGATAATGGTAATCCTGTCATTAATCTCAAAATTGTTTTTCTCATATCTTCATCTGGAGTAGTAAATTGTTTTGTTATCAAAAACATTACCTCTGCAGTATAGTAATTCGTATACTCTTCGTAATTAGGGTCATAAGCCATTAAAGGTATAATTGATCCAATACATTTTAAAAATGCTGCTAATCCTTTACCTCTTTGCATTCTAATTTCATACCAAAGTGGTTCCAAAATTTGTTCAAACGAGTCAATCCCATAAGGTGCAACATTTTCTGCCAATTGTGATAATGTAATAGCTGTGATTGTTTTAACATGAGGTGATTCATCGTGTATAGCTGGAGTCAAAATTTCAATTATTTGAGTCAAATGTGGTAGTACAGCAGATCCATTTCCTTTTCCTAATGTTATACATAATTGTTGTAGGGATTTTATACCTGTATGCTTTGCTGTCCAGGTTTTACGAGATTTCACTACTGCCCTAACAAATGGTAAATACTGTTGTAAACCTGTTGTATTAGCAACGATTGCAAGTACTCTTGAAGTTAAATTTCTAACATATTCATCAACATGATCAAGATCCGGCCTCAAGGTTGATATGATAGTTCCAAACCCAACTGCTTTTACTAAATTTGTTAAAATGTCCTTAGTTTCATTCCTTAAAGTTGGATCCTCATCGATTAAAAATGGAGACAACACATGTACGATTTTGTCTGTATATGGTCGTACTGAATCTTGAAGTTGAAATAATGTTCTACTAACCATTTTAACTAGTAGATGTCTTTCTTGATCTCCTAAGGTCGGTTCAACAAGTACTGGTAGTATTTGACTTAATATAATTTTAGGACCAAAATTTTTTGCACTTTCGGTTAAAGATCTCATGGCTCTTTTTCTGACAATCTGAGTACCGTTTTTAACTTTTAATATAAGTTTCATCGATTGCACTTCTTTTCTTTCGTCTTCATCCAAATCTTCAGGTTTAATCTTTAGTAGATTGCCGAAATACTTCATATCTTCTTCTTTAAAATATTCTAGTCCGTGCACTCCTGGTATCTCTTTAGTTGATAATGATGTTGATATTGCAGCTATTTCATTCGTTGGTGGGAAATACTCTTTAGTAGTAGTTGACGTAGTTATATCTGGTTTTGATGTTGTTTGTAGTTGTTGAAAATCTGAGGGAGGTTTTACTTTAACAAATCCTTCAGGTAGTATTCTGTCAAGAATCTCATCAGTCAATGGTATACCATTAATGATTGGTACATTATCCTCTTTCAATCTCCGTATAAGACTTGTCTCTGATGGTGATAATTCTTTAGTCTTTTCCTCTTGTTCATTCAATTTTCTTCGTTTTAATTCATATTCTGAATCTTCACCATAGTCATTTCGTTCTTTTATAAACTGCTGTACTCTTCTTTCTTCTCTTTCTAGATTACGTTCATTCAAGATATCCTTTTGAGATCGTTGATCATCAAAATTTAAATTCATCACTCTTTTCTGTTTATTGTAGTCGTTTTTATTAATTTCGTTTTGTAGTGATTGGTTGGATATGGAGACATCACGTTCAAATTCTTTTTGTAATTCTCTATTTAACACATCAGATATTGAGTAATTACCCGTTAGTCGATTCTTTGTCCCATTCATCAGCATTTATGAAGGTTTGTATTTGGTTGTAAAAATTGATTTAAAGTGGTATTTTTATCTTCATATATTTTTTTTGTGGTTGCAAAGATCTCAGCTTAACTTTACTGGAACAGTCGATAAATTGAAACAGTTGTTCATCAGTACAACTATCCGTAATGTCAAATCAAAATGCAACTGTATTACTCACGAGGCTTCTATCCTTCAGAGAAAGTTCATCATTTCATTTGATATTAGACTCGTTAACTCAATCATCATATTATTTGATTCAAGAATATATACATCAAATTAAATCAAATCATAAAATATTATACTTATCATATGAAACAATAAATAAACCAACCTACGCCACAGAGTTTTTGGACTGTACAGTAACTCCATTGGCAGATGTCATTAAATTTGTTAAGGCCCACAACCCAACTGACTCATCTTCAACATCAAATACTTCAAAAAATGTCATAATCATAGATTCATTAAATTACATTACGAACGAAAGCTTAACCCTGTTCATAGCTAATTTAGTCACACCTCAACTGGTTGTTGTTGCCACATATCATACTAATTGCGTTGCTCCATTCATGAAATATACAAATTATCCATCAAATATAGCATTATTGACATATATTGCCAGTTCAATTTTTGAGATAGAGCCACTAACAAATGAATCAATAGATGAAGAATCTCTTGAAAGAGACATGTCTCAATTAAATTTTCCAGTGAATGCAAATTTAAATAGTGAAACCTTTAAAGTTGTGCTAACAAATAGAAGAAAATCAGGAAGATCATTGATCTATAAATTCAAGATTGATAGTAAAAATCATTCATATGAAATAATAAAAGAACAAACACCAGCAGATAATACGGAGGATGAAGAACTTTTGAAAGATTTAACAACTTTCAATCTAACTACAAGTGATAAGCAAAAACTTGCAAGAGAACAAGTTGAATTACCATTTATGCAAGCTCAAGAAGCACTAGGATCATCTGGTGGAGCTATTGTTTATGAATTTGAAAAAGATGATGATTATGATGAAGAAGATCCATATGAAGACCCTTTTTAAGAAGTTTGAATCGCAATAAAAATATAGACTTTTCGATTAAATCTTTTCGTAAAAGTAAGCAGTTAATTCAACTTTTTTTATTTACCTGAATTCGACGTGTCTCGAAATCTCTATATACATCCTAACTATTAATCTATTTTAGTCTTTCTGAAAACTTTTGATTGTATAGCTGCTTTCAATTTAGCAAAATTACTATTTTGAGCGACTAACTCAAATTCTTCCTCAGTTACGGTTTTTTTAGTTAACAAATTAAATACAATACCAAAAGCTAATGATAAAACTGTACATGTCAAAATAATAACATTATAAGGCATGGAAAAATCCGGTGTTGGGAGTGTTAATAATAAACTTGTAGTTCTAAATTCGTAAAATTTATTATCCTTATCATCTTTAACAATAATGACTGCTGGTTCAACATCAAATCCATGATTTGCATCAGGTGGATATTCACGATAAAGCAATAATGATTTGTCAAACTCATAAGTCATAGCTAATGTCAGTTTTGGTGGTACTGTCATTACTAATTCCATATGTGATGGTCTTGCTCTATCCAATGATGGTCTATAGTATCTATCTATAATAAATTTTGTTTGATCTTCAATTTTGTAAGTACCAGTTGAATTCTTTAAACTTAGCTCCATACTACTTAAATATAATCTCATAAACCAAGGTAAGGACTCAAAATAAATAAAGTTCACTTCTTTGTCACTAGGATTTGTAAATGCTGAACGTAAACCACCATTGTCTAATGAATATCCCATTAAAGAACGTGATACATGTAGTGGAGGATTGTCAATTGGTACCACTTGACTAGTATTTGTAGATGAGAATTTGAGATCGTAACGATATCGTTCTGATATTGCTTCTGTAGCTTGATAAGTTCCATGAGTGTTTAATGAATTTGTGATGATTGTTGTGGGGTTGTCTTTTTGCATTTGAATATTCCAGGCTGAAGGATCAAATTCAACATTTATTTTGGTAACATCTGGATCATCTTCAAAAGCTGGTCCCTTAATATTTCTTCCATACAACGTTTCTAGATTCCACTCCAACTCAGTTGGATCATTTAAAGGAAAACATTGCCATATGTTGTGAGTCTTGTTCGGATTACATCTTAATTGATCACCGGGGGTGGGCTTTGGAATAATACCTTCTTTTTGTTTACGTATTGATCTTATAATATCTATAACTTGATTGACAGTTTGATATAATTTCAATTTACAATTGTTATCATCATCACATTCAGTTGTTACATCTATTGACATTCCATGCCATAATGAATCAAAAATTTTATGACCATCTAAAAGAGAAGAAATACCAGCTTTTCCTCTTGTTGGTAATAATTTGACAAAAGGTGTTAAATTTTCAGTACAAACTGGTTCACTTGGTAATGCAGCTCTTAATAGATACAATTTATTCCCCAATTCTGGTTGATAATTTTTTATTTGTATATTTTCAATTGCATGCTTTGGAAAAGTTGTAATTTCATCATTTATTGAGTTTAATGATGCACAAAAAAATCCGGATAAAATTTTTGTTAATTTGGACCAATTGCGTTTAGCTTCTGTAGAATTTGACGCTTCAATAACAGCAACTACTTCAACTCCAGTTCCACCACTAAATAAACCATTATGTGGTAATTTACCCCATGATTGAGCATCCCACCAACCTTGAGTAAATCTTAAAGATAATTCACGAGTATTTGTAGATTCCAATATTGGACCCAAGGTATTTGGAAATAATGAATAATGACTAATTTTGGGACTAAAATCATTGTTATTATCGATATCTATAATTTTAAATGGTGATGATTCAATTTGAAAATTAAAACCTGTCAATAATTTATTTCTTGGTAATGGTTTTAAGTCTAGACTTTCTGAATATGATTCATCCGCTATAACATTCTTGGTCCATATCAATATCAGTATTAGTATCGCTCGTATCAAGTAATTCATAACTTTTATAATGTATATGTTGAACTATGAATTTATTAGTTGGTTATAATTGTGTTGTTAGATCAAATTTTATAAACAACGCGCGTTTTTAATGTATGAGATCTTTTGTTTACTTTTTATTTATTTTTATGTAAACATCAAAACAATATTATATATGATACCAATGAAATGAAAACATCTTCACCTAGAGATATAGATGTGATAGAAATGCATAAGGAAAACATTCAACCTTTATCAGGTGGAAGGTCTGTTTCAAAATTATCAAGCACAATGAAAAAATCAAACACAAATTCATATTTTCAAACTAAAGTAGAACTTCAAGAAGAAAGAAACAAATTTGAACTAGAATTAAAGTCGATAAATGAAATGGATGATCCTTTACAAATATACCTCAACTATATTGATTGGACTCATAGAAATTTTCCACAAGGTGCAAATACAGATAGTGATTTGGTAAATTTATTGGAAAGATGTACATCAGATTTCAGAGATCTACCTCAATACAAGAACGACTTTAGATATTTAAAAATTTGGCTTGAATATACAAATTATTGTGATACCCCAAGAGACATCTACATTTATTTGGCGAAGAAGGAAATTGGTAATCAATTGGCATTATTTTATGAGGAATTTGCACAGCATTTGGAAATAGATGGAAAGTATGTTGATGCAGCCCAAATTTATGAATTAGGTTTACAATATAAAGCATTTCCATTAGCTCGACTACAAAGATCTTATGAAAATTTTAAAAGGCGATTGCAATTACAGGAAAACAGAGTTTCGTCATCAAGTGAAGAAATCAGAAATATACTAGCGTTGAAAAGAGGATCTCAAATAGAGCTTACTGAAGTTGAACTACCTAGAAAAAAATCAAAATTAGACGTATATCAAGATAATATTGATAATAACCGAAGTGTGCTATCTTCAATATTTGAAAATAATTACGATCAAAAATTAAAACTAGATCCAAGGAAACAAAAAATTAAAGAAAATATCACAACACCAACTCAATGGAATGGTCAAGTGCTTAAACAAAAAGGTCCAATACGACATGCCAGTAATGATAAAGTGCAAATTTTCTGTGATGAAGCTTCATCAATAATCAATCGACCTAGCATAAATCAAGATTACAAAAGACTGAGTCATGTTGACAATAAAAACATGGTTTACACTTTAGTTGAAGCAGTTGGCAAAAAACCAGAAAAAATAATGGTAAATTTAGATTTGATATACTCAACTGATTCTGAAGAATTTTCAATGATGGAGTTACTAGCACAGCAAAAGCACAGAGTAAAAAACACAAGACTGGAGGAAAAGAGTAGTAAAATAAAAAATTTTGGAGATAAAGAAAACCAGGAGGAATTGATTAACAATGAAGAAACAAAATCATTCTCCATACAAATGAACGATGATACGACTTCCACAAAACCATTTAAGGATCCAACAGTAACCTCCTTCTCCAAAATGGCTAAAAATGAAGTATTTGGTATATTTAATCAAGTATCTCAAACATATGATAATTCTCAAGAGCTGGATGATGACAAGCTAGATGATCCAACAGTCACTAATTTAGAAGGATTCGTGACAGAAACTATTCATCCAATAAAACAAACTCCAATAGCGAAACGGAATCACAGTCATCAAGAGTATAAACCCACACAATTAGAGTATTCAAAGCAACAATCTAGCAGCAGACAAAGTAATGATTATCTAAGCTCACCATTTGTTGCAAATCCTAGAAGTTTTGTTAACAATGATGAAGTCATTTTGCATTACCCACTAAATAATGAGATGCAAGAATATATCATCAATAATTTATCGATTCCGATCACAACTTACCCAGGTTACTACAACAAATCATCATCTTCCAACAATAAATTTAATGAACTAAAACAAATCGCTCAAAATTCATCAAATTTCATAAAGGGAACCCGACTGACTTTAATTGATTATCTAGGTGAAGAAGTATATCTATTGATTAAAGTGTTAAACCAAGAACAAAACCTATATCTTGTTGAGACAGGTTCTGGAGTTCTAAAATTTTTAAAAGTAATGAGTCCAACTTCAAGATGGGAGTTCTTTGTAATACATAGAATCCAAAGAAAATTATTAGCTAAACCCGAATTCTCGAGATACTTCATTAAATCAGATTCGTTGTATTACTTCAAAGACGAGAGTTTTTTAGTTCTTGATCATCATCAAAATCAAAAAAGTTTCAAGTCAGTAGCCGATTATTATAGAAATTCGGATTTGAAAATTAATGAATGGCTTTGTTCATTATTAACGCTCGAATTGTTGAAAGCTGTTAAAACATTACATGAGATAGATATAATTCATGGTGATATAAGACTAGAAAATGTATTGATTAATTTTGAGAATGTTGATGATAGGTTCTGGTCATCTGATTACAGTCGATACGGACAGAATGGTTGGAACAAAAAAAGTATACTTTTGATTAATTTTGGTAAAGCTATTGATTTAAAAGAAATGAAAAGAATATCCAACTATAACAGAAGAAACTCTGGTGGTTTCTTTGATAATTTAAATGATGAGATGCTAATGAGGAAAGATTATGAAGGAGTAGCTAGGATCATGTTTGAATTATTATTTGACAAAAATTTTATTAAAAATGACTTGAGTCAAATACAAAATGAACTACAAAAACTCAAATTGAAAAATGTCTGGAGTAAATTATTTCAAGTTTTCCATGATTATAATTATAATTTAGATCTCAACATACTAAGCGATTTAGAAATTTGTCTTGAAAGAAGTTCAAGGTCAGAAAGGTTGAAAGAGACTATAAAAGAATTAGAGCTCAAGATTTAGCTAGAACAAAATCCTCTTTAATATGTACATTTGTAACATTATTTATTTACAAATTCTTATATTTACTTATTGCCATTTTCTCCTTCTTCTAATTTTTTCAATCTTTCATCTATAATAGCATCGACATCTTCATCATCACGAAATCCAAAAGAAGACCATTTATTACTTTCATCTTTTCGTTTGATTTTGAATTTTTTACCACTTGGTAATATCTCATAACCATCTTCTTGAACTGAATTTCGTGCAAAATCATTTGCATGTACGTTATACCCTTCTCCACTAGGTGGTAATTCATGAGACATTGGATTTGTCCCTGCTCTTTTCCTACTGATTGTAGATTGTAATTGTAACTCATTCTCATCATTAGCTGCTGCAGCTTCTCTTAATTCATCTTCATTGATTTTCTTCGGAAACATGAAACCAAGACCAAATTTATTAAACAAATTGAGTATCAACATTCTGGTAGTTGATGGCTCACGAACAAAAGTCCAACCTTGATATAAATCCTTGTAAGCAGTATGTTCAAAAACTCGCCTCAATTCAAAATCTTGTTCATAAACTTTAAAAGTATCATCATCATTGGGTTTGAACATAAATTTGAAAATCTTAATAAGTATATCAAAAAATAAAGGAACTGTGAAAATTATCAATAATGCAGCCCACCAACTTTGATCTTGACCCCAAGTTAGTAAACCATAAGCGACAAAGAAAATTGGTGACTGTTTTTTTCTATAAAGCATCATTATTAATACATTCCATAGACCAAATCCACCTACTGATATTATAAATGATGCAAATGCTAACCATTGTCTATTTTGCATCTCTAAAAATGTGATTTTAGCATTTATGACAATAATTAAAGCAGTGAATAATAATGAACCTAATGCAAAAGTTGTATTATCACGTAATGCAGTAAAACCCCAAATATAAAATCCTAAAAATGTCATACCAAGACTTTGTAGTGTAGCTAGTAACATCCATGAAATAAACACCTTCAAATTGAACGCTTGATATAATCTTCCCTTTGCATATAGTTCTGGAACTGCTAACAATGTAGCTGGCTTTAGATCTTTATCAAACATCCCGATGCAAAGAACAGGTAATGAAGTAAATAGTGTATTAAACATTGATAATGACCAGCTTTCATACATTGATGATCCTGAAAATAATGTATTTCTTTGATAAATACATTGAGTCAAATAAAACAACAACTCCTTGTAGAATGTACACAAAACAAATTTTGAAGTTCTGATATAATTGTATCTACCATTGACCAATAATAATTTCAACAAAAATCTAAACTGTGCAATTGCATAATCAGCAGATCTTGCAGCTTGTAAACCTTCTTTACCCGTAATACCAACACCTATATCTGCACTTTGAATCATTGCAATATCATTTGCACCATCTCCAATAGCTAATGTAACTGATTCATTTTTTAATTTCCTAACTGCACTGACCATATTTGCCTTTTGTGAAGGTGAAGCTCTACAACAAATTGTTGAATCAACTTCAACACATAAATCTAAAAATAATGCTAACAAAGTTGGATCAGCCTCAACATCTGCTAATGTTCCACCATCAATGACTAAAACGCTATGTGCTATTCTTCCACCTTTAATCTCTTTCAGAAATGAAGTGATTTTATTCAAGATAGCTTGTTTACCCTCATCATTTGATAGTATAGTCACAGTTGAATAATCCTTTATAAGACGACATGAATATCCGATATTGATTGCAGTTTCTCTTTTATCACCAGTCAACATCCAGAGTTTAATACCAGCTCTTCTCAATTTGACAATAGTTTCACTTACTCCATCTTGTAATTTATCTTCAATTGCGGTAGCACCAATTAATTCAAGATTCTTTTCAATCTTGCCACCTGTTTCTTCAACTAATTTTGCACGATCTGTTAATGCTGTTTTAGCATTGGAATATTCTGAATGCCATGATTCAAATTCAGCTTTGTCTAACCATCTAAATGAGTATAATAAAGTACGTAATCCTTCGGTTGAAAATTCCTCAATATGTTCTAAAGTCTTTTCAACAATATATTCTTCATTGACTAATAACTTATCATGAGGTATTGAATGAGTATGTTGATCAGATGCTGTAGATTTTTTACCATCGTTTAGTTCTTCTTCATCTAAACTATATCTTTGAGCTTGTTGAAGATGTAATGATTTCCTAGCTTTATCAGCGATATCAGCAATCTCTTCCTCTTCTGTACTCATTAAAGCATTATCTATAGTATTCATTCTTGCTGGTGCTGAGTTTCCAATATTTATGCTTTGACGGAATGATAATCCAGATTTTCTAGATTCTAAGTCATGAGAAAATCTTGATTGTAATACAACATCAGCTTCCTCCATTTTTCTTTCAGTTGATTGTAATGCTATATCTTTAGCTTTATTTTGAGCCATTTTGGAATTTTTCAATTTCTCTAAAATTATGTTGTCTGCTCCTTTACATATAATAGCTATTCTACCGTCTGGAAATCTAACAACAATCGACATTCTTTTTCTAGCTGATGAGAATTCTATTATTTCAAGCACTTGATATTCTTCAACGACTGGTTCACTCTCAAATCCATTCGGGTATGTTTTAATTTTTAAGTTATCACTTGATTTGTCAAATACAACATAACCCAAATCTCTGGCAGCTTGAACTAATGCTAACTCGTCTGGCGAAGCAGCTTGATACATGATTGAAGCATCGTCTTCGCATTCATCTTCGTCAATAATCTCTTCTATTGATGATGATGACTCACTAACTTTATGTTTTAAAGCTTTTTTCCTTCTAGGTAAACATGTACTACACAAAGCTAACGATAACAAAAACAATTTGGCTTTCCTTGCAAACAATGTATGAGGATGAGATTGCAAATGTTTTAATAGTTGAATTGAATTAGTTGGATTTTGTTTTTTATGAGGTTGAGCTGTTGAAACCCAACTTTTTGCACTTAATCCAGAATGTCTACCATCCATACTATCTCTAACAACTGAAGTTGTACTGTTTTTGTGATTTATATTGACATCTTCAAGATCTTTTTTAGATTTCACATGCATACTTAATCTTGCAACTAATGGAGGTATATTTTGACTATTTGGATTTTCTTTTTCCTTAAGCATTAAATCTAAATCATGTAACCAACTAACTCCACAAACACTAAATTTTCTGAAAATCATCTTGTTATCAGTTAAAGTACCAGTCTTATCACTGAAAACGTATGAAACTTGTCCAAGCTCTTCTAAAATGGTTGCAGTTTTGGCATCAGCTGGTGTATTGGTTTCAACATGATACATATCAATATCAAATTGTAAAAAACATAGTTGCATCACTTTAATAATTTCCATTGTAACATAAAGTGAAAGCGGAATTAAAGTATTATACATAATGATGAAACCCATTAAAGTTGCAGCTACACCTGCATCTTGTTGATATAAATACCAATCTTTTAATCTATGATCTCTAAATTGAATACGTTGTGCCATCGTTGAAAACGCTGACAACATAATAACAACAAACACCATGAATATGACGATATAATTAATATTTTTTTGAAGCTTTGGAGCTTTGGTTCTTGGATTTTTAATATTATTCATTCTAATTTTAGTTTCTTCACCAGTGAAGACAACTATACCTAAAACTGAGTCCGTGTTTCTCAATATACTACCACGATACACGATATTATCAGAATTTAATGAATAAATCTCATCATTTAATTGAAATGATGCTTCAAAATTATATAAATCAAGATTTGGATCTTCTGTTGTAATCAAAGTTTTCAAATTTTTCAAACCAGGTACAGTTGAAGCTCTTTTTGATAATTCTGGATGAGGTTGTTTCGACTTTAAATTGGTTTCACCATCTAATGCCATTGTTTCAACAAATGCTTCGTGTTTTTCCATATCACTTGTAGCTAGTAGTAAAACATCTGCTGGAAACCATTCGTTTTCTTTAATTTTCACTATATCACCGACTTTTAAATTTTTCCATTTTGTCGGTATTTCTTTCAAGTTATATCTCTTTAATGCAGCTCTGTCGTTATAAGATAAAGAATGTCTTCTAGCTGATGTATCTTCTGTATCTGATAGTGATGATGTTGATGATATATTATGTATAGATAAATTATTTTTCGTAATATTAGGAACTGGTATTGTTTCTGTTAGTATAGTGTTGATTGAATGAGTATCAAAACTACTTAAATCTTCATCTTCTCTAATTATAGTGGTCATTTTACTATTTTCTTCTTTATCATGACCATGTCTTTTCCAATCATCAAAACCTTCTCTTGCTATTGATATAGACATGAATATACATAATGGAATAATCGTTGTATATTGACCAGTAGTTGACCAACCAGGTATCATTTGCATTATGGCAACAATCATGAAATAACAATTTGCAATTTTGGAGAATTGCGCTCGTAATTGTTTCGGTAAAAATGAATATATTGTATACTTTGATGATGTTACTAGATTGCTGATGTATGGTAGATTTGTTCTTTCATCTATGTAACTTTTTTGTTTTGGTAGATAGTATTCATCCAGGTAGTATGAGTTGACTGAATTTGGATTTACTGATAGTGGTATAATTCTTCCAGCTTCAGTTGCTGGCAAACATTTTAGACCAAGTAATTTATTTTTGAATTCTATCAATCTCTTTTTAAATTTATTGTTGGAAATACCATGGAGCCTTTCCCTTCTTGATACAAATGATGATGCCGAACTATTGTTACTTCTTTCAATAGTCAAATGAGTAGATGATCTAGTTAATTGATTTTCATAAGTATTATAAGGTTCATATTTCCCCAAATGTATTGCTGATGAAGATGTTAGATAAGGTTCAGGACACTCTTCAACATTTATTTGTGGTGGTTCAGGAGTTAAATCTTTGGGTATATCTTGTAGTTCTATTCCATTTTGTGTCGCAAAGGTTACATTTTTGTTATGTAGAGTTGATGTCGTCGTGTTGTTCTGTGAATTTGGTGATGATTGATCTTGTTGTATATTAAATGCTTTATTGAATAATTGTGACCGTAAAGATAATCCACGTTTCCGTCTAGTATTTGGAACTTGTAAAGAACTTTGATTATTTTCTGAAGTTGTAGTTGGTAATGGAGCTGATTTCGGAATTGGTATTGATGAATGTTCAGTTGATAGATCTTGAGTTGTAAAATCTTCGGATTGACCAGGACTTATTGAAGTTGACTTATTATTTCGAGAATCATCTCTCGAATCATTATACATTATTCATTACTATATATTTGATTGATATGGCTATATTAATCTTGAGAATAATAAAAAGCTTTGTACTTAATGGCAAATTAGGATATATATGCCTTGAATTTAAAATGAAATAAACGAATGAAAAATGACAGGTATCTAATTTATAATTTTTTTTTTATAATTTGTTTTATTATTTAAATTATTATTAATATTTTATAATAATAAGTTATTATTAAATTGATTAAACAAGATGATAATTGTTGTTTTAATTGTTTCAGAATTAAAAATATAATAAAAGTTAAAAATATAAAGAGATCAAAAAGTAAAGAAAAAACAATTTTGGTTTTGATTTACATATTTTGAAAAATATATTGTCAAATGTGTTACTAAAATTGATTTATTTAAGTAGTTGATAATTAACTTTAATTTGTGATTAACCGTTTTACATTCGATTGAGACAAATAATACAAGAGATATAGACTCAAGTAATACATAATTTTCGCATCTATGTTATCTCAAGAAATACATTAAGGCTTAGTAAATTTTTTGATCTTCAAATGGTTTGTTGTTAACTAATCTTTTTTTTTTTTTTCTCGTAAATAATTAAGACTGTTTTTTTAGTATACGGCTCTGTGATCAATTTTAGAACTCATAACCTTCCTATAAATTGTATAGTCTATGAACATCAGAGTTTTATACTACAACTTGAAGAACTTAATATCTAACTTTTACATATATAAAATTTTCATCTATACAAACTAACGAATAAAATCTAAATTAAATCTAAAATTGGCAACGAAGAAGAATTGAAAAGAATTGCATGGCTGCAAAAAATTATTTAAAGTTCATTTAGAAACTTTGTCTATTTTGGAATATACCAAACAGTTGAATTACATGAACTTTTACCAGTTTGATCAATTGGTCTATAAGTACCAGTTAATACATTTCCTTGTAAATTATAGTAATACCAAATTTCATCAATTGCACCATTTAAACATCCAACATAAACAGTACCACCATGAGCTTCAGCTAATGCTTTTTCAACATCAGATAATTTATATTTTCTTGTTGTTGTTGGATATATACCTGCTGCTGCTAAAAATTCATAAGTATCTAATTGTGACCAAATTTCAACTGTTTTTTTATAAAAATTAACAGTATTTTCAAATTTTGTATAATTTGAATTAAAACATGATGGATTTAATGTATTCATACATGTACCATGTTTATTATATTCATGCTCCCATAATGATGCACTTGCTTGATCATCAACATTTGATTTAAGGGTGTTAATCCAATATTTTTTCATAATTTTTAATAATTGAGTTTCTTTAAATTTATTACCAATTAAATCAGTTAAATTATCTATAGTATTATTAACTTCTAATGATGGTTGACAATATTGATTATATGAACCATTACATAAATCATTCCATAAACCATGAATTGTAAATGTCTTTTTTAAATCATCATCAAGTGAACTAATTTGTGCTCTTAATTCTGCTTCAACAACATCTTGAGTTGATCCATTAACTGCAATATCTAACAAGGTAGTATTATAATCCCAAAATTGAGCTTGCATTAATATACCATAATCTTCAAAACAACATTCATTTGAAATAACTGTTTTATTATGACATGACCATGAATCTGGAGTACTTGCAATAAAAGCTGAACAATCTTTTACTGGATAATTGTTACCATCAGATGATGAATCATTTGAAGTTCTTTGACCATGGAAATATTTACCAAAATATGGAACTGCATATGGTGAAGCAACAACAGTGTTTATAGCAATTGCAGCAGTAAGTAATTGAGATAACATTATGTCTTTGGTAATTTTGAATTGAGTTAATGATTTGAATACTAAAAACTAGATTAAATAAAAGAAAAATGAATAGTTACATTGAACGGGGGAGTTTATCAACTATTTATACTCATGATGCCGCTTCATATAATGGCCGATTCGTATCTTCAATTGAGTTTTTCAAAATCTTTATTGTTCTAAATTATATTATTTTGAAAATATTGAAAAATTTGAAATTTCTAAGTCCACTAATTAAAATTGAGTTACAAAAACAAATATTTAAAACATTAGACATATTAATTTAATTTCAATAATAAAAATAGATCAACCCACATGTTTAATAGATTTGATTTTTTATATTGTTTTAATGATAATAATTTTGATTTTAATATTATAACAACTCAAAATTTATTATTTTTAAATCAATTGCATAACTAATAATCATTTAATTGCCAAATTCAAAACTGTAATAGAATTAAAATTTCGAGGTTATTTCCCCTTTTAAATTAGTCAAAAACAAACTAAAAAATTTGATTGATTGACTGTTTCTGTCAGTTTTATAAACGAAAAAGGAATATTGAAAACAACCATGTGGTCCCCCAAAATAATTTTTACCTTAAAACTTGTTAGTATACGAAAAGTGAATGAAGTTGGTTCGGATTTAGCCTTTAGTTTTTTCCATCCCAACCTTATTATGACTAAATTTTGCCCAATGGTTAAGAGTTGATAAAATACCCGATAAAAATTCTTCATGGTCCACTTCTTTGTTACTTGATCCCATTGAAACATTTTGATCTCGAGGCATGCCTCTAGTATCCTGCAGATCTACTCATCAAATAATAGCTTGGTTTTGTAATTTTACCATTTCTTAATTTTTTACCCTGAGGTGAACTTTCTAAGATTCTATACCCCATTTTTGTATACCAATTTAAGGCTTTTTCATTACTTGAGAATACAGTCAACGCGGTACCTTCTACTTGTTCATATAAATTATTTGCTGAACCTTTTAAAACTAATGTTAGTTCATGAAATCTATTAATTAAAGCTTGACCTAGCTTTTGACCTTGATAATCTTTAACCACATGAATTTCATATAAATACAAAACTAATTTATCCTCATCATCCAAGCAAAGTTTAAAGCATAAGTATGCCACAAATTTATTAGTTTCTTTCTCATCTTCGTCTTTATCTACTTCGTCTTTGTCTTCTTCTTCTTCGTCTTCTTCCTTACTCAACCATACGTAAATTAATCCTGGTTCAGTCAATTCTTCTTCTTTTTCTTCTCTCCAGTCAGATCCTTTATTTCTCACATACAAATCTCCAATATTCTCATCTATTATATCAATGAACCTTTCGATTTCTTCCTCTTGCAACATATCTACTACTTCTAATCGAGTTCTAAAGCCAGGTACTGAAAATAGGTGAGATAAATAATTACTAGTAATATCTTCAGCAATTGCTTCCATCAATGAGAAATCTTCTTCATCAAATTTCTCAAATTCCTGATCGTCAATGCTGAAGTTAAAATTCGTATTGAATTTTTCCATTACTTTGAATTTGAATTATTTTGGTTGTAAAAAAGAATTTTATTTTATTGTATCGTAAATATTTTTTGATACAAAATATTCATGTGCGGCTTTTTTCGTTTCCATAGTAGTATAATTTAACTTAAGACGCGCAACACTAAATTAAATAAAAATAATATTACAACACACACAGAATTATATATCAAAATCATTAATAATGAATTCATCACCAGGGAGTGATAAGATGAGTTATAATACGTCAAATTCAAGTCCAATATCTTCAATGTCAATACTAGATCTGATAAATTATGAACAACAAAAAAGAAATAGAACTCGACTAAATCCACTATCATCATCACCGGTACAACTGCCAACTCATTATCAACCAACTCATTATAAAAATAGTCATTCACATAATACATCTAATTATTATAATAGATTATCACCAACAAGACCATTAAATTTAAGAAATAAACATAATAAAATACGACAAGTTCGTGATCAACATCGTCATGATAAATTAATCGAGAAGAGAGATAAAACAAATGATCAACAACTACAGAGTGATGAAAAAATCGAACATAATATACAAATCGATGAATTTTTAAACAATAGAAGTATTGATGATTTAATTGCTGATGAAGAAGAAGAATATAGGATATCTCGAAATGAATTAGAAGAAGCTGAATATAGAGCTTGGCAAGAAGAAATGGAATTGATTGATTTGATAAATTCAATGGATGTTAATGATAAAACTTAATGATCTATTTAATTTAATATATTAATGATTGTAATGACCGTTATAGCAGATCAACTAGCTATTTGTAATTTTCTACTCTTATCTTTCTAATTTTTTGTGTGCCCCAGATTTTTCTTTATCTGATTTGAAAAATTTCCGCGTATGGAAATCATTTTACTTTATCAACAGAAATTTAGTACTTTTCACAACCAAATAAATCAATTCACTTAATTCACTTTATGAATGATAGATCAGAATTATATTGAACTACAACAATATCCAGAAAGTAATGATAATATTCATGAGGATGACTTTATAATAAATGACGAAGACGAAGATGATGATAAAAACAATTCATTAAGTTTAACAAAAACTCAATTATCATTAATACTACATAGATTAGGTTACATAGACTTACATGATTTAGATTTAAATAATATACAAAATCTACCTAAATCTGCACAATATATGATAAATATTATAAACACAATGTCAATAGATACAGCGATTGAAATAATACGGAACACTTTAGCTGATCATATTGAAGATGTTAATTTTCCTCGGGACGAGTACAATTTATTAGAAAAATTATTACATACAACATCAACAAGTAAACAACTTACTAAAATAGAAATAGAAGATGAATCCAGAATTTTCCATAATGAAAAATCATACTTAAATTTAGTTGACTGGGATTTACAAATTCGTTTGGAAGCAGCATTAGTACATTATCATTCACCATATCCAGAAGTACGGGCTATAACCGAACCATATGATGATCCAACAATACTATGTGAAACTTTCAGGGCATACTTTATCGGTTTTGCTTGGACATTTATTGGATCAATCATCAACACATGTTTTGTTCATAGAATTCCTAATATCAGTTTAAGCTCACATACAGTTCAAGTATTACTACTACCTTGTGGAAAATTATGGGCTCAATACATACCAAACAAGAGACTCAAGTTTTTCAGATATATAATTGATCTAAATCCAGGTCCTTGGACATATAAAGAATTAATGTTAAGTACAATAATATATCTGTGTTCAGCAGGTGTTCCTTACTCGATGTATAATATATTTGTAATGAAACTAGACAAATTTTATGGATTAAAGTGGGTTACTATAACATTTCAAATTTTCTTATCTGTATCTACACAATTTCTAGGTTTTAGTTTTGCAATGGTCATGAAAAAAGTATGTGTTTATCCGAGTACTTCAATATGGCCATCTATATTACCTACTATAGCATTAAATAAAGCATTAATGGATGAAGAAGATAATCTGCATAGTATGACGAGATTTAGATTTTTTAGTTATGTTGCAATATTCAGTTTTCTCTACAATTGGATGCCTAGTTATTTCTTTAAAGCTTTAGCTAATTTTAATTGGACTACTTGGTTTGCTCCATCGCTGATTCATTTGGTTAATATTACTGGTTCTTCAAAGGGGTTGGGGTTGAATCCATGGCCTACTTTTGACTGGAATAGAATTGATGCTGGTGGTTGTTTGACACTTCCTTTTTACAGTTATGTTAATCGGTATATTGGTAGTATACTTGGGTTTTTGGTCATTGTCATTGTTTATTATACAAATAATAATTATTCGTCATATTTCCCAATAAATTCAAATTATTTATTCAACAATAAGGCTGAAGTCTACGATGTACATTCTATATTAAATGACAAGAATCAATTTGATAATGATAAATATCAACAGATAGGACCACCCTATTTTTCAGCTGCTAATTTAGTCATTTATGGAGCTCACTTTTGTCTTTACCCTTTTTCAATACTTTATAATTTTGCAACAGAATGGAATTCAATGAAATCAAGTTTTGTTAGTGTTTGGATCTCATTAACTGATGCTTTCAAATCAAATTCTAATCAATTTGGTAGATACTCAGAGGATCCACATTGTAAAATGATGTCAAAGTATAAGGAAGTTCCCGATTGGTGGTTTATTACTATTCTTGTAGTGAGTACCTCATTTGCAATAGCTACTGTTACATTTTATGATGTTGAAACTCCATTATGGGGGATATTTTTGGTCATTTTCGTTAATTTCATATTCCTAATTCCTTTAACTTCTATTGCATCAGTTACTGGATTTTCATTTGGATTAAATGTGCTAATTGAACTAATTGTGGGTTATTTGATCCCCAATTCAGGATTAGCTTTAATCACTCTCAAAGCATTTGGATATAATATAGATAGTCAAGCAAGTAATTATATAACAGACCAAAAGTTAGCTCATTATACTCACTTGCCACCAAAAGCAGTTTTCAAAGGTCAAATAATATCAACATTAATAAACATATTTGTAGCATTAATTATTACAAATTGGTTATTAGATTCAAACATTCCAAATTTATGTGAACAAAATCAAAAATACAACCTAGAATGTCCTGGAGCAAATACTTATTTTTATTCATCAATTCAATATGGTGAAATAGGACCTGCTAAAGTTTTTAAATTGTATCCTGTTTTCAAATGGTGTTTTTTGTTGGGTGCTATTCTTGTGGTGCCTTGTGCTTTGTTTAAAAAATATGGACCTAGAAAATTTACTACCTCTTTTCAACCTACTATTATTATGGGTGGGTTTTTGGATTTCGCTCCATATAACGTATGTAAGAAATTGTTCATTCATCAAACGACCAATTTAGAAATTGGTTGGTCAAGTAGACCACCTGATACAAAACAAGATGTCATTGATTTTTTGGCTGAGAAATTTGTTTACTAACTCATTATTTCTAGTTATCATATTTCACAGGAGGTCTATATATGTCATATTTATTTATGTACAAATTAAAAACCAACTACTTAAACTTATGGGAACGTTACAACTATATCTTGAGTAGTGGATTAACAGTTGGAGTAGCTTTCAGTTCATTAGTCATATTTTTCATAAATTTACCAAGTTTACATTGGTGGGGTAATACTGTTAGTTACCAAGGTATTGAAGGTGGTAAATTGAGTGATATTTGGAGGAATGTTACTAGTTCTCCTGATGGGTATATAGGTTTGAGGAAAGGTGAATTTCCATGAGTACAGTTGCATGGTATAAAATTCAATATACATTTCTGACTTGAAAATAAAGAAAAGCCCTGTTAAGCTGAAACAAATTAAAGTATAAGACTTAATAGTTCATTTAAAAGTAGACTGAATATTAAGGACTATTTACATACTGCTGAAAGTAAAAAGCAATCGCCGTTAAAAATTTTTTGTTTTATTATATTAATAGAAAAATTAATATAAGATATAATTGATCAATCAAGTTGATATGGAAAGCAGTAAAGAAACAAAAAGAATATTTACTATTCAGATAATCATCAAAACAAAAAATTCAAGACTCAATTTTAAGTGATTATATTGAAATACTTCATCTTCATCTGCCTTAATGTCAAATTTGCCGTTAATCTGTTTTAACAACACTTCTGATATTACAGTTGTCACTTCTGCAAAATTATTTTTTGATTCAGTTTTCTATTTATAATACTTCTGCACTAAGCCCGTCCAGGTCAGTCACTAACTTCATGTAATCTCGAATCTGTTATATTTACACAACCTGCAAGATTTAAACAAGTCAAGCCACTGTAACTTTTAAAGGTGATAAACCGAGTTCCATTATTTAACTTTCTTAATTTATTGATGTATTATATTTCGCTAACGCTACCAAGTCAAGTTTCAGATTAGTTTTTGGCTAAATTTGTATCAATTCAGAGTAATGATATGAATCATTCCTCACCAGTCTTCTACGATTTTTTGTTTTCTTTTATTGCAGATGTTTAATTCTGTTGAACAAAGAAATTCAAAAAATTTACAGCATTCATCGGGTTTGCAATTATATGCAAAAATCAAAAAAAAAAGTTTAAGAAGCCAAATTATACGACAACTGCAGGACTCGAACCTACGCGGGCAAAGCCCAAAAGATACCTTAAATTGTGTTCAAACTATTCAAGTCTTTCTCCTTAACCACTCGGACAAGTTGCCAATTTCTTGGTTTGAAATTGTGCAGGTCTTCACGGTCTTGCTTTGCTCACAAATTTTTGAAGTTTCAGATTTACTACTTGCTTTCTACTGCACATTTTTCAAAGAATTTGGTAAGTCAAGCTGATTTCATAGTATCAGGCAATATTAATGAAACGTTCTGTGGCATCTGTATTGTTAGATCTAGAACTATTTAAGTTCACACACAATTTCACGATTTTGATAAACCTTTTTTATCTAATATTTTTGGCATCAATTTGGTTGTCAAACTTGGGTGACAGAGATTCATAATCTTAAGAGGTTGGAAAACTAATCAAATTTGAGAGTCACTATTTATATCAATTTCATAAAGTAAGTACAGCTTTAAAGGCTTTAATTAATCTCTAGCAAAATATATTAAAAGACAAATAGACTAAATACATCCTAAATTTTGTAAAGAAAATTTATTCAGTCTATCAGAATTAAAAATTCCCCATTGAGTTTCCCATTTTTGATTTGGTGACCAAAATACCTGTTTCCATGGTTCATCAAATGCTTCGAAAAAATAATATTCAATTGGTAAGTTTCTCAAAATGCATAAAAATTCACTAATGAAATATTTTAAATTTTCTTTATTTGCATAAGCTTTCTCGTACAGACCACCTCCACTTGGCCAACCAACTTCAGAAATAACTATATGAGTATCAATCTCTTCATTATATGATCTAACTTGATAATCTAAAAATTCTAATGTCCACTTTATTGCATCTTCAACTGCTATTCCTCCAAAAAATGGATGAATATTTGCTCCAATAACATCACAATTTTTTAATAAATTTGAACTTATTAATGAACCAATTTCTGATGTACCAACTGCTATATCATCAATATTCATTATTTTTAAGAAATTTTTAGCATCACGTATATATCCAATTAATTCTTTTTCTGTTTTATCTTCTCGAAATAGTACTTCATTCCCAATATATATTGAATTTATCAATTTTGAAGGTTCAGGTAGCCTTGCAATAATCTTTTTCATTTGATCCATCTGTTGTTTATTTAATTCATCATCCAGACCAATCCATACTCCCATAGCTAAAGTCATATTTAAATTCATAAATTCTATTGCATCTAAAATTAGATCAGCTTGATCACATTGCATTCCATAAGTTCTTATTCTTGTTGTTATAGTTGATAATTTAGCTAAATCCAACATAGCATCATGTTTTGCAAATCCACAATAAGGTTCTAATGCATTAATTGGAGAATAAGCAATTCCATGGAACATTAAATTTGAAACACTACTCATTAACAGAACAACTTCCAGATCATTTTTGACGTCTTCATTTAACCCTTCAATTGTATTTATTGGTGTTCCAAAATCAAATTTATTTTTCTGTTGATATAAATATTTCTCAACTAATTCATGTAGGTGGGGTAAATTTTTTCTATTTTGAAAATAATTGTTGATTGAATCGTGAGTACCTTTTGATAGTTGATATATAGCAGGGACAAAACCAGAAATTAATAAAACAATTATACAGACCAAACTTACAATAATAATTAGAAGACCCTTTTTGGAAAAACTTTCCAGTTCTGGTGTAGGAGTTGGTGACTTATAAGGTTCATCTTTTGAAAATTCTGAAACATTTGAATTCCGATTGTGATGATTACGATCAATTGAAGTTCTACCTATAATGACCAGATTTCTAGAACTAAGTACACCAGGACCAAAATTTGATTTAACTTCATTATGTTTCTCTTTTGAAGAACCACCAGAATCATTTTCACTTGATTTTTTTGTATATATAACAGTTGCATCTCTTCTTGGTGAATTTCCCTCGTCTGAGAATTTTAGGTTTGACTCAAAATCATTATTAGAATCTGAATCCAACGGTGAAAGAACATTCAGATTTGGAGATTTATTTAAACCACCATCAAAACCTTTTTCTAGGCTTGCATTTGAGGAGAGGCCTTCTTCGGTTTTTGGTATGTTCGTACCCCTTCCCAAGTATTTCTTTGATTTTGGCAAAACTTTAGTAGCTGGTTTCAAGTTAGGAATAGGTTTTTCAAATACAGGTATTTCTGTACATTTTGTAGGAGATATTTTATGAAGTTCCACTTTTTGAGGAGTTTCCAGAATATGCAAGTTATTTGTATTGTTTTCATTTTCAGATTGTTGTAAATACGAGTACCTTTTATTTGTTTCCCTATTGTAAGGTTCTATAATTACTTGTTCTGTATCTCTAGGTGAAGCTTCTATATCTAGTGGATCAAATGCAGTTTGATTTCCAGTTACAGAATTATCCGAATTATTATATTGTAGCTCCAAATCTTCTGTTTCAGAATCAATTTTATTTTTAGCACTTAGTTGAGATGATTGAGCTTGTGATTGTAATTGAACTGGAGGTTTTACATTGATTGGATTTGGATCATCTGAAAAATCACCACCATATTCCATAAATACATTAACTGAACTTGATCTACCTAGTTTGAATGGATTTACTTTAATTAAATTTTTTGCTTCTTCTTCAACATATGCACTATTTCTTTTTTGCATTAATGCTTGAATATTAGGAGTTGTTACTGACCTTCTTTTATTATCATCTACTTTCTTTTTCATCTTGAACATAAGATTTTAATTAAACTGAATAATGATTGAAATTTGGTTGTAAAAAAAAATAGTGCGTAATATTTAAATCTCTCTCTCTTTATAATTTATTTGCAACAAAAATAAATTCCCAGTGTAATAAGATGCAATAATATGTACCAACTTGATCTCAACGTCTTATAATGTAAGGAACCATAGAAGTTTTGGTCAAACACAAAAAAAGTTGAAACATTTGAAACTTCTTCTTAAATGTTATCTTAATTCTTGTTCTGCTCAAATACGTTGTGCCATGAATATACAAGTCAAATATAATGAAGTGAAATGGAATGACCAGATCTGGAGCTGCAGTCTACAGTAATAAGCTGTCACATAATATGTCGAATATATTATAAATTCCATGTATGTACTTTTGAATTTTTAGCCTTGAAAAACTTTATATACTTCAACTGATTAATTACTTCACCCAATTTATAAGTATTGTAGTCAGATAATTTAAAATCAACATTTACAACATCCAAATATAAGATTTCCTACAAAAGTTGCGACTGAAGTTACACAACCATCACCGTTATTAGGACAACAATCAACAACTCCAAAACATGTGCAAAATTCTATACAAAATTCAGTACATTCATTGCCTTCCCTATGATATCCACTTCTATTTGTATGACCAGAAAAATCTGATCCAGAACTTGATGATGAAGAAGATGAAGAATTAGAATTTTCAGGTTTTAGTTGATTGTTATTTAAAGTTTCATTAGATTGTGGTTGATATCTCATTGGCTCCGATAAATCATCTGTTGATTGAGGCTGCGTCGTTATTGGTTTTGCATCATTTTGATATTGAAATTTAGGTTGTTGACTTATAGTCTGTGATGATTGTTGTGAGTGAGAAAGATCTTTCATAGGTACTTCCTCAGATGACATTTGAATTTTACTTTAGTTAATTAAATTGCCTTGATGATTACTTAAAAGATTCAGGGATATTAAGATGCGTCGATGTAAATAGTGATAATTTGAACAGAAAACTGTTATTTGTGATTGGTAAAATTGAAAGAAGGTATTAATATATATTTGTTTAAAGACATATAATAAAAAATTATAACAAAATAAAAATTTCTTATGATGTAACAGATTTTGACAGAAAAAAATATTTAATTAATTAAATTACTTATAACTAAAATAATAATTCCAATTGATCAATGGATAGTAATTTTTGTTCAAATCTGAGGAATACAATATTATTGATGAGTCTTCTAGTTTTTGGTACAATAAGCCCACTGAAGTTAAAGACTTAAAACTATGTTCTATTGTATAATCTTATGCTCTCATATGGAAAAGTGATCTCAATTTAAACGCGTTCGTTAAACAATTTTTTCATCACTATACTACTAATTATCAACAAAGAAATAAATGCAACATTACAAAAATTGGTATATTTTTCTTCTCGTTTGATTGTTTTTGTATAAAGGCTTGCCCAGTAAATAGAACCTAGAGCCTAGATCCAACAAAAACCTTTTCACAACGGAATTTTAAATTTTCATCTCCTTTCGTAATATTTTAGAGTTTCATATTTTGTGTAATTTAAGTTTATTTATAGTAAATCTTTCATGTTCATAATAATATCAAGTAAAAGCCGTTTTGACAATTTAGATTCAGTCAATGTTTTCAAAACATTAGTCAAACGTTGCATATACGGTTTGTTTTTAGTGGCAAAATTAATCGGGATAGAATGATTCTTATTAAAAAACAAAACTCCTCAACTAATTGACAATTTTTGAAAACATAAATACAGTGTTAAATTCCTTGCCTCTTGATAAGAACACTTTTCTCTTTCTTTTGCAGTCAACAAAACAATTACAGTAAATAATCATTAATTCAAAAACAATGAGAACAGTTACAATCCAATTAATATTTTTAACGATCTTTTTAAAGCTTGCAGCTAGTTATATTAAAAATGGTCCAATTGATGGAAATTATCCTCCTCAACCACCATTAGCTTCAAGATATGATCCTTACTCCAATGATGTTCCACTTACTCCTGATAGCTCAGAAATTTTTTCATCGAAAACGACTGAATCAAATGCGCGCTTAGCTACATCAATTGCAGACACCTCAACAAATCAACAATCAGTGGAAACATTTTCGACAAGTTCACAATCCTCACATGAGACGTCGAGTCGTTCTGGCAATTTTACTTCCAACAAAAGTTCAATGTTGAAATCAAATCAACTTGTTCAATTATTTTACATCTTACTTAGTTTTATTTTTGTATAGTGGTCTATAGTATTAAACTATAAATAAATTTGACTCCAAATTAGTAATGTTATACGTGATAATTAAATTGTAAAGGTATTCAATTAAGGGGTCTAAAGTTATTATTTTTTTTATACGGCATTTAAACTTTTAATCTAAACTTTAGTCTAAATTTAAATTACTTGACTTACATATTTTATAAAACACTAACTTTATCTAAATAGAGCGGAATTTCAATTTCATATCAAACTGAAAGTGAGTAATGTTTATTTGTTTATAATTCCATTTTTGTACTACTTTTTTTTATTTGCAACCATTTTTAATGATCAATTTAACTCCATTTAAACTCCATAAAGTCCTGATATCATAGTCAAACAGTCATTTATTGAAATAAAGATAGATTTGCTTACCCATACAAAGATATAGTTTCAAGATAACTTATTTTTTATAAATAACAGGCCAATTCACTTGAACTTTATGATAAAAGATGTTAAAAGAAAATTCATTAAACAAATTCAAAATGAGATTCACAATTATATTTATTCAAACCTTTTTAATTACATCTTCAATTGCAATGCAACCACCTTCTTTTGGTGGTGAAGCTAAAGTTTATGCAATAATACAAGAGAGACAAAAACAAAATCTAGGTAATCCAGGTGATGATAATGGTCATACTTTTGCTGGTGGAGATCCTCCTGGTATTAGAACATTGGCTCAAAGTCAAGACTCAATTGCATCAACAATTAACTCGACAAACAGTGTTAGTGCTCAATCTTCATCTTCGCATAATTTTGGTGCTGAGAGTTATCAATTGCCTACTTGGTTGAACGTTTGCATATTAATTGCGTTAGCTTTGGTGTAATTTTTGTAATTTTATTTCATTGGACTAAATTTTTCATAGCAATAGACGTTTTTGTTCATATCGTTAGTTTTTGTAGAAATCAATAAATACCTTGTAACAAATAATAGCCCTACAGATATCAGTTCTCAGTTGCTTAGCCTCACAAAAGCTCTGTATTTGTGTCAAAACGTTCGAAATGAAACCTCGCTATTATTCTTTTAAGTTCTCGGTTTTCTATCCCAATTAGTCTTTACAATAATGATCAGTGTACGTTGGCTATAATTGTGAGCCTAGACCATCATTCTAAATTACACTTTAATAGTCATAAGCGGAATATGTAAATAAACAATGTAATTCAGGTCATTTATGCTGTCAAAAAAAATATTATTTTATATATTTTGAATCAAAAAAACCCCTATACGTCACCAAATTGAAGTAGTATAAATAAAATGACATTTGCCAATGAGAAAACTTTAAGAATAACTCAATTTAACTACATTTAACTTACAAAAGTGCTCTCAAATTATTTACTATCATATATTCAGCTTGATTGAATTGAGGTAATTCCCATAAGTTTTGCGGTGAAAAGATTTATTTTCATTTTTCACAACAAAGCTTTTGGGAATAAGATTTGGCAGTCACTGAATAACTAGTAAACTAAGTATGTGAAATCTAATTTTAGTCTAAAAGCTGGAACGTAAGAGTAATAGAAATGATTTGCAGTCTCGATGCCAATTTAAGCTCAAGCAAATGTGGAGTTTAAAGGAATTTAAATTCCATGTTTCGTAAATGTAAAGTTTAATTTTTTTAGTTCCTAGAGATTTCGCTTTCCAAATCTCTTTAATCCCGACGCACTAAAAATCTGAAACAAGCAATAATTTTTGTAAAAGCCGTGCCAGATTTATTTAAGTAATGCTCTATTATCTAATGACCGTTCAATTACGCTTCAAATACAAACTTATTAAGATTGTCTACTGCAGACTGTTGAATGGAATCTTATTTTTGGTCTTCTATTTCTCTTATTTTCCATCTAAAAGCGAGTGTAATACTCATAGTACATGTTGCAAATTCCATTGTTGTGAAATAAAATTGTATTTGGTACTATATATAAGAGCTTTGACATCAGATTATGCTATTTGTTTGTGATCTCTTCAACAAATAAAACAAGAACGTAATGCAATTATACAATATAATGTTATATGCTGGTCTTAGTGCTTCATCACTTATGAATAAATCTCAGTTAGAGAAATATATGACTATTCTTTCAATCTCAGAAGATACAAAAAATAAAAAAAACGGTTCCTCGAATAGGAATATATACGGCACAAATACAACACTACGAAGTCACAGCTGGTCTTTGGATAGGTAAAGTTAGCTTTTGGCTTTTATAATTACATACGAATAAGTGAATAATTAAATAAGTATATTAGAAATATAAAAATCTATAAATTTTTAGACAATTTTCTTTAACTCTATTCTATTTCTTTCTCTGAATATATAACAACACACCCGTGACTATAAAGGCAATAACACACAATATTAAACTTGCTTCAAAAGCTCCCATATAACAACCATTACCTAAATAACAAATACCAGTTTCTTTATCAGTATGTGAATCATAAATCCAGCCAAAATATTTATTTAAAAGGTACAATATAAATAATGGTCCAGTACATATGAGACCCCAATTAGTCGAGAATGTCTTTGTACCAAATTGATCAGCTATAATTGCCGGATAAGTACCAAATATTAAACCATATGATCCTCCCATTATTGCTGATATTATCGATGTCCAATGAAACGAAGATACATTTATTATTGTTAAGTATTGACCAAAACATAATAATGCTAAAGTGAATTGAACAATCCATAATCTTTGTATATGCCATTTCTTATGAATATAATCACTTAAAAATCCTGATAATAATCTACCTACAAATGAAGCTATTGAGATTATTGAAACTTGTATAGCTTGCAACGAAGCTGCTTCTGGATCATGAGTTAATGCACTTACTAGTCTTACTACTAATGAACTAATTTCGCTCTCATCATCACTATCACTGCCATCATCTTTATGATTTTTATAATAAAATTGTGCAATAACAATAAAACCAACACTAAAAATATACATTTGACCGATACCTGCAGCCATTGACACAATAAAATAATGTATCAAATATACCTTATGAGTAAGACGTTCTTTTAAAGTTTCATATGGAGATTTCAATTGATCTTTTTTAGGTTTTTGATCTTTATTAATATTTCTTAAATTCTCCACTATTTCATTTGCTTCTGCTTCTTGTATACTTACAGAAGATCTTGGCGTTCTTTCACCAATTCCCCAATACGAAATTGAACCTTTTAAAGATGCGGCTCTTGTCATTGAATGTTCTGGTGGTCCAATATCAGTCAATAATGATTCATCTTCTGGTGTACTCAAGACTTGACTACTACTACTTGATTCAACATTACTTTCATTTTGAGGTAAAGCTTGAAATCTATTTGGAATTTGTTGCGAGTGAATAGTTTCTTCATCATCATCATCATTAACATAAATGTGTATAAAAAACGAACCAACAAATGCAACAGATCCACAAAATAATGATAAAAACTTGAATAATTCACCAGTCTTATTATTGAAAAAAGTTGCAGATATTATTGAAAAAAAAGTAGCACCAGATCCATAAGCTGAAACAGGCAATGAACCGGCAGCTGATTTATGTTTCACGAAATTAGCTTGAGAAGCCTTTAGTGTTGCAAAATAACTTGTTATTGAACCAAACCCCACAAAAACCATTGATATACATATAACTAATAAATTATCATATTTATGTTGATAAATTTCATACATTGCAAAATATCCAACAAATATACATATTGAACCCACCAAAATTGCAAATTGAGGTCCGAAATGATCAATAATTATTCCACCTGGTAATCCCCCTAATCCTGAACCCAAGTTTGTTGCTAATGATATAGTTGCTGAATCTGATGTTGTTAATCCACATCTTTTGATTAATTGAGGTGAATAAACTCCATATAAATAAGGTGTCCCGGCTGCTAATGATATGAATACCGATATTATCAAAGCTGTTAATCTTTTGGCCAAATGTGATGAAGATTTATGATCATTATTATCGTCATGTTTTCTTTTGATAAGCTTTAGTATTGAATCAAACATAATTCTATGTGAATGTGGGTGAATGTAACGTTTTGGTTTAGACTGATCTTAATGATCGATGATGATGATACAAGGTTGAAGACTCTGTTATGATCAGAGTGTTATTCTTGAATGATTATTTTATGCTATATTTTGGTGTATTGTTGAATAATAAATGTGTGGTTATTAATTTTCTTATACAATTATTCATTAAGATTTACTATTGTTTACTAATAATTTATAAAGGAATTAATTTTGTTACTAAATAATTCCTTTCTCAAAAATGATACAACAAAAACAAGTAAGCATATGATTGTATTTAACAAAAGAATAACAAAAATTCTATTACAATGAGACGAGAGAAGTCTCTTTAACTCACAAGGAAGAGTTTATCGATACTATCAAATTATACTCGTATTGAACCTTATGTTTGTTTAAGCTAGATCTCTGATATCTCCAATTTACGAACAATTGATACATGAAAAAACGCATATAAATCGCACCCCGTAGGACGCTGAAGGGAATTAGCTTAGTTTGAGCAGCCAGATTTTCAAAATTTCTATATGATACTACGTGAAGCTGGATATGGATTTAGTAGATCAAATTGAATGTAATTAGTTAGCGCATATTGAAAGTTTATCATATTAATTTTGCAACAATTTAGCAGAAAACTGATTCAATTAATTTAGTGTGAAAAAAAAAATATTGATTTAGAAAATTATAGAATACAAAATATCAAATACTAAAACTAAACCAAATCACTAATAAAATATAACCTACAGCCATAATGACAAGAGTAGATAATTCAGAATTTTTGAAACAGTTAAATGAAATAGTAACGAAAAACAATGGTAAATCATCAGTATACTTAACTCAGAAAAGATTATCAAATAAAGACGAAATCAAAGAATCAAAATCATCAACTCAAATAAAGGACTTACCAACAAACGTAATAGAACAGACAGACAAGGATATAATAGAAAATACAGAAACGTACCCAATTTTGATAAGAATATCAATGAATAGTGAGAACAACAAAGATTCCAAAAATAAAAAATTAAAATTATCAACAGTTATTGAAAATGATCAAATTAATCAATTTTGGTCACAATATATACAAGTTTTGAAAAATGGATTTGTTGGGTTGAAAAAGAAAGATAAGAAAAAAAGTAAAAAGAGTAAAGTATCTAAATAGGATATAATGAGATAATGAATATAGCATAGTTTCATCTGTGTAGTTATAAATACATGTAAGTGATGAATAATTATTGCATTGTAATTTTGTCATCTATATATCTTCAACTAACAATAAACCATTGGGGTATATGATATCAACGTTTTCAATAAACTCATCTTTTTTCGTACTTAAATCAATTCTTGGAGGTAAAGGCGATGAAATTTTAAATCTATAATCAATATCAATGTCTTCATCATCATCAAATTCATCAATATTTTGTATTTTGTTTTTGGATGAATCATCCAACATCTTTCTTTTCAACACTTCAAGATATGTGTATATATTTTTTACTTTTATATTTTTAGGAAAAAATACTGTCTTCCTAGTTGAATCGGAAAACTTTAAAACAATTTTGGCATAATCTTTACTGTTAGTAGTTGGTTGAATTTGAAAACTTTGAAAATAAGGTAACTTTGTTTTTAAAAATTCATTGATTTGTTTTTCCTTTTGTTTGGCGTTCTTCTTTTGTATATCCTTTTGTAATGACAATAAGTAGTTATATTCTTGTTGTTTTTTCAAAATTTCAGTCATATATTGATCTTGATATTCTTGTCTTATTATTTTTAGTTCTGGTTCATACTTTTCAATCTTTTTGAGAAATTTGTTTTTGATTATTATCCTTGCATCTTCTTCACTATTCGTTCCATTTGTTGATGATTTTATATTACCACCTTGTAATTTTGCAATTAATGAAATCTTAGCAGGATCCTTCTTGGGACCATCTGGTGTCATTTTTGTAGTTCTTGTTAAACATAAAAGTCCTAAAAATGGAAATTTTGTAACATTTAAACTGTTAGCTAATTGATAAGCTTCAGGATTAGTTAAATCTCCACCCCATATTATTATATTATTATTATTTGAAGATGAATAAAATAATTTATTGAATTCTGGATTCAAAATAATTTCATTAAATATGAAAGATGAGTTCTCATTTTGTGGATTAGTTAAATAAACAAATAAAAATTTAGCTCTATGAGTTGCCATATATAAAGCTTGCGTGTAACTACCTTCATAAAATGGTGGTAATTGTGAATGATTTGATGTGATGGAAGTAGGTGATGGTGAATCCATTAAGTTGGTTATTCTTGGTTGGATATTATCTTCCAAATTTCTTACAAATTTATTTACTTTATCAATTGGATCAACTAAATCATTCGGTGAAGGTGATGCATTTAAATTCTTGAAATATAAAGAATTCAATATTTTAGAAACTATTCGAAATATAATTATTAGTGATATTATAATTGGTTGTATTAGTAAGTAATTGACCCATTTTAATAAGGCTGAAGCAAATTCATTTAGTGATTGTGAATTATAAGAATTTCCTCTTCTCATTTCTTGTTGTTGTAATGATTCATTAGGAAATGTTCCAGGTAGTTGTTGATCTTGCTGCTGATTATTATTATTATTTGTAGAAGCATCATCATTTGTTCCTAGTCTTTGATACCTTGAATCAAATAGTGATTCCACCCATCTCGGAAGTGACATTATAGAAATCGTTTTGTAGTGGGTAGATACTGTATTCTTTGCCCTTTATTTGATAAGATTAGAATTAAATTATGATATTCACTTAGTGCAACAAAATATTTTGTGTGACTATTTTACAAAGAATATAAAGCAGCAGCTAAACTACTAGTTTTTGACTAAACAATTAATGATAATGAGGAAAAACTTAACTGAGATATAAATATCAGTACAGACTTGAATACTACGATATTTCGTTATTACAAAATAATTAAAGTTGTAACCTGGAAGTTTTTTCCGATTATTTATAAAGGTTTTAAATAAAAATTTTCGTATTGATAAATCTAGAAAGTAATTTCGTTTATTGCGTTCAAATTTAGATTACTTCGTTATTCCAATCCCTTATCCATGAAATTGTTCAATATGTACTTCTACTAATCTTAAGTAACAGTTTGAAGTCAGTAAATAACATTACTTTATTGTATTAAATTTTGTACTGTCATTGTCAAATCTAAAAAGAGTAATTTAAAAAATATTTCAAATTTGAAACAAATTTCATTCCAACTAAAATTCATATTTCCATACAAGATTAAATTATTAAAACAATACAATACACCCCACTTCAACTATCTAATATAATGATTTAATTACATACATATATATTTCTAATTACCCATAAAAAATGACATCAAAACAAAGAAATCAAGTTGATTATCTTATAAATCTACTAGGTAGGAAAAGATCAATAATTGAACAAGAAATTGAATCATCATCAGAAGAAGAAATATATACAAACTTATCTCAAAAAGAAATGCTAGAACAATTATCAACGTTATATGGTTGGCAAATGTCAAAACCACACTTAAAAGCTTCACTATATGAATCAAGTACAACAATACAACAAGATGAAGTTACAAATGATATATTGGAGAATTACTTAAATATCACCCAATTAGATATTAAATCTGATCAACATGTAAATTACGTATTAAAATGTCTTAATTCAAAATTACCAAGTTATTATAAATCATTAGATGCAAATCATCCTTGGATGACTTATTGGTTAATTAATTCATTTTATACTATAAAAAACCAATCAGAACCTCAGAAAAAATTTAATGTCTTAGATCAAGAAATAATTGATTTAATTAATGCTAAAATAGAAACTTGTATTATTGAAGATGGTCAAAAGGGAATATCAGGTGGTAAAAATCAAATTGGTCATGTTGCTTCAACATATGCAGGTGTTTTAACATTGGTATTAACTAAAAATTATACACTCCTTAAGAAGCTCAAAAGTAACATTTACGATTGGTTAATGAGTCTTAAAATCCGTATAAATGATGATCAGTCAGCTTTTATAATGCATGAGAATGGAGAATATGATACAAGATCAACTTATTGCGTTTTAGTGATTGCTACTTTATTAAATATCAAAACTTCCGAATTACTTGAAGGTGTTGAAGATTGGATATTGAGTTGTCAAACTTATGAAGGTGGTTTTGCTGGGATACCAAATACTGAATCTCATGGAGGTTATAATTTTTGTGCTATAGCTTCATTATTTTTAATAAATTCAGATCCACATCAAGTTTCAAAAAAGATTAAAAATTTGGATACTTTTATTAAATGGAATTGTGATAGAATAACAGAAGAAGGTGGTTTTAATGGTAGATCAAATAAATTAGTTGATGCATGTTATAGTTTTTGGATTGGGGCTGTATTCCCCATGATTTCGGTAATGGTTGGTCATAATCTTATGAATAAAGATAGTTTATTTAATTATATTTTAAGAATTTCTCAAAATTTTGAAAAAGGTGGGTTTAAAGATAAACCTAATAAATCTGTTGATTTTTATCACACTAATTATACTTTGATGGGGTTGAGTCTTTGTGAATATGAGTATGAAGTTGATGAACTAAAAACTGGTGATGATGATTGTTTGGCTCTAAGATTTTTGGAGAAAACGACTGAAAATAATGATGATAAATTTACTAATGTTATTAATCCTGTTTTCGGATTACCTATCGAATTTTTAAAAGAAATGAGAGCTGAAAACATTTAAAGTAAATTTTGAATAAGTTTATAGGAATTAAACAAGATTAAAAACTTTTTATTAACCAAATTATTATATATTTTTATAAAAACCTAAGTAAAATGAAACCCATGTACATAAAATATACTGACCAGAACTAAAATACCAGACAACAGAAATTATCTTGAAGTAACAGGCATTGAATTTTGAAATTGAAAATAGTCACCACCACCATTACCACTAGTGTTAGGACATTCATTTTTAGAATCATTATTTAATATACCTCCATTAACACTATTACCATTAAGATTCAAATTAAAACCATTGGAGTCGTACCCATTAGAAACACCTGCAGAATTATTATGATCAATGGTTGATACATCACCTGGATTATCGAAAAATCCAGTAATCTCTTTATTTTGATTGTTTGGTGTTAAATGTCTTGAAAATTGTTCTACATTATTTATGATTTCCCAAATGTTTGCTAATTTCATTTCTTGATTTGAATCACCTGGTAATGAAGATCCAGATGTTTTGGAATTAGTTGAATCATCAGTTTTCATTGTAATATCTTGTTTCTGTTGTTCTTTTGATTCTTCTTCCTTTGTCTTGTAGTAATGAATAAATATTTCATAACAAACTATAAATTGATCTAAATTTTGAACCATTGAAATTCTTTGTCTTCTTTGATGTTGGACTAATTTGTAAACTAAATCAATTTTCGAATCCTTTATGGAACTTGGTGAGTTTTTGTAAGCTTGAATTAAGGAATCAATTGTGATAAATACTCCAGTTCTACCACATCCAGCATTACAATGAACTAATATTTTATGTGGTAAGTTTTTGATATTAGTGATTTCGTTTTTAAATTCAATCAAATCAATAATGGATTTGAAAGATTTTGGAACTCCAAAATCTGGCCAAGTTAAATAATGGAAATGATATATGGATTTATTGATTAATCTTAATTTGAAATCTGTAAATGATGTCTTTATAGTTTCAATTGATTTAATAGATGAATGATTGAAATATTCAATAGGTTTTGAATCTAAATTAATAACAATTTTGATATCTTCTTGCATTATTGTTGTCCAGAAATCATCTATAGTTGAGGCTAATGGATTTTGCGTTGCTATATAAGTGAAATCATTGTCTACCAAAGAATTAGCATTAATATAATTACCATTGAAATAATCATCTTTTTTATGTTGATGGTTATGTACATGTGATTGTTGTTGATCTAATTTAACTCTTGAATGTTCATATGGCCAAACATTATTATATCTATTTTTATAACCAAATTCTATACCTTTTGGTAATTGGAAATCAATTGAAGAACATGATAAACAACATGGTGAGAATATTTTTTCTTGACCTTGAATATTTGGTTGTGATGATGATTTAAAATTTGATGCCATTTTATTTAATCTACTTTTTTCAATATCTTCGATTTTATTGAATTTTGAAATTAATTGTTTTAAAATATCTTCATTAGTTGAATTTTTCATGAACCCCAACCAATTTGGTAAGTCCAAATCTTTTGGAATTTCATTTAATTTATACTTATATGAGATTGGAGACAAAGATTTTATTTCGTCTAGTTTCTTCTTTTCGGAATCGTAGTCATTATTCTTTTTGATGCTTTGTACAAATTTAGTCTTGAAGTTCGTTGCTGAGGGTAATGTGAAACCTGATAAACTTTTAGTTTTTCTATGACCGTTAGAATTTGACATTACTTGAGTATTCTCAATTATATCTGGTTTTTGAGTTAATGCACCTGAAAATCCACCATTTAAGTAGTAAATTTCAAATTTATCGTTATTCTTTTCAAATTTCGATATTGTTTGATACAATGGAAATGTGATTGCTTCATTTGTTGAACATTGATCATACACCAATATATTTAATTTTTTGTTGGCGTCAGATTTTAATTGATTAAAAAATACATCTTTTAATTCAGTTGATAAATCAACCATATTAATTAAATCATTTAAACAAAGCGAATTTCGCTTTAATAAAGTAGTTGGTAAACATAAATTTATAGATTTTTGAATTCTACTTTTGCAATATAAATTATAAGGTCTTACATCAAATATGAAATCAAAATCTGCTGAATTAAAATTAATTATAGACTGTTCTTGAATAGTTGGTGGAAAACTTGTTGCAAATGTAGGAGTAGTTGGTGATGGTGAATTTAATGCAAGATTGAGATTCCCAGAAATTGATCCAGAATTTGATGAATTTGATGGTGAAGATGAAGTTGAAGGTCTTGAAGATTTAGGCGATAGAAATTGATGATTATTATATAAATGAGAATTTGGATGAGAATGATTTGGATAACTATTAGATAGTGAAGTTGGTGTATTCGAAGTTATGTTTGGATTTGAAATAGTGGATGTTTGAATTGTAGGTAGTTGTGATAATGAAGTTGGTTTATTATTATTTTTGAAATCATTTTTATTTATAGATGAGTCTGTTGTAGGTATTGTTGACATCGAAGGCATATTATGTCCTATATAATATTGAACAATAATGTATTATAAAGTTGAAATATAAATTTATTGTAAAATTGTATTGATATGTTAAATGATGTGATTTTAAAATATTATATAATATTAACAAAATTTGACAGTTTAATATGTCAAAGTATTAATGTATTATATGCTAATGAAATATTGGAAATGCTATTATGCTTTTAAATGTAATAACTAGTTTTTATTTGTTTGTAATAATATATCAAAATATATAAGTACTTATTAAGATACTGTCTATCCTTATTATTAATGATCGTTTATAAAATTATTGTTGTTGTAATTGATTGTAATAATTATAATAATATCAAGAATAAAATTAAGAAAATTTGGTTGTCATAAAAATTCAAATATTTTTTTTTTTCTCTCAAGGAAGTTTTAAAATTTATATATAAATAATTGAACTAAAAAAATATTAAAATGCTTTGACAATAAAGAATAAAAGAAACAATTTTTTAATATTTATTAAATATTTCACAAGTAACATTAATTTTATATAATCATAAAGAGGATTTACACATTAATATTATTTAAGATTATTAAAGTATTCATATGAATTTATCAAAATTGAATAATAAATGGAAATATAGTAAATACAATTTCATATTTCCTATGTGATAATATTAAGTCAGTGTAAAGTCAGTGTAAAATCAGTGTAAAATCAGTGTAAATCCAAATAGTAATTAATTAACATACAGCATAACTCCAACATCACTCCTTTTTACTTTTACAACTTTAATTTTATAATGGGGGGTGTTTTATATTCTTTAATAAATTCTAAAAAACCACTTTAAGCTTGAATGATTTGAATTGATTAAAGAAATAGCCATGACTACCATTAATAATGATCAATTAATTGATGAGATTTACTATTCTGTATCTAATTTTTCTTGTAGTTCAATCTAGCAGGAACGATCTTTCTTTGAATTCTCAATTAAGATAAGTACTATATTATATCTAATACAATAGATTTTAATTAAAATTTAAAAAATGAATGTTAAAGTGTAAAATACTTAAATATTAAAAAAACCAGTAAAAAGTAAGTTAAATTAAAACAATATGACGTAATTTTTTTTTTATGTACATGATTAAAATTTGTTCTAGATTCATTTTTTTATTTTTATATTTTTATTTTTTATTTATTTTTTATTTTTTATTTTTTACTTGCAAATTGATTATAATTTAAGCCGTTTAAGTAAAATAATTTTAATACATTATACACAATTATAACCCTTTCTGCAATTAATAAAATTATTCCAACATTTGTTCGAAGCAAAAGTGTATAAATTTTTATTATTCAATAGATGAACTCTCTCGAAATAATACATGTTGATGTATATGAATGTAAATAAAAAGATATTCTCGAGAAATTTGTTCATAATTTATAAATAAAGCCCCTTAAAAATTTATTTGTTTAGTTGAAAAATATTACAATAGGCAGATTCGTTTAAATTTCTCTTATTTTTTTCTATTGTTCAATAATCAAAAGTCAATTTTTATATTATCCTATTGATTAATCCTTTTATTGATTGTTCAATATCCTTTGGAACGAAGGGCCCAAGATGATTAAATGAATTTACATCAATATTTAAAAGAAGATCTCTTTATGATCCTATTATATAATTAAGTTAATTAAAAATAAAGTTTAGTTCATACATTTGATGATTGAAACTGAATCTGAAATAATCAAATGATAGAAATATCACATCAACTTCATTTAGCTTGGAATATAAAGCGTTAAATACGTAGTACACATTTTCCAGTACTGAGATTATCATTTTATATCTTACTAACCACAAGTTGCGAGGTAATGAATTATCTAATATTGATTGTTCATTTTAAACAATAAAATAATTAGAGTAAAAACTGATTCTCGATCTCGAAAAATCAAATCTTTCGCAAAATGACATAATTTTTATTTTTTTTCATTTAAGGTTTCTCGTAGCTGGTTTATTCAAAAAAAAGTTTATTTTTTAATTACATCAGTAATTTCTTAATCATAAATTTTATCATCGAGTAATAGATCTTTTTCTTAACTCCTGTTTCATCAAAATGACTTGACTAATAATAAAATGATCTACATGTTTTATTGTCCCAGGTGCAAGACATTGGTTTCAGAAAATTAATTAACAATTACTTGTAAATTGAAACATCTGTTTTACTTTTTTATGTATTATGTAATGTAATTAAAATGACATCATTCAATAATTTTTTTTTTTTTCACCTTTTTAAGTTTAGATCGTCGTATAATTTTATTTTTTCATGCCAAAAACAAAAAGCCTAAATTGATACTATTTACTAAAAGTTAATTAAAGTAGTATCAACCAATATATTTGAGTAGTGAGACTTAAATGAGTTTCAAATACCAAACCCCCTAAAAATATAATTTTGCAAGAATTTTTTCAATGAACAGTCTTTAGTAGTGGTGAAAAAAAAATGACTTTTTTTTGAGGGTGTAAAATATTAAACCTTGTAAGATTTTAAAACAATTTATAAAAACGTAACTGGGGGTTTGCCTCCGTTTTTAATCTGAAACCAAAGTGAAACCACTTTATTAATTGGGGTGATTGTTGCCTTTGTTTCAAGATGTCATATAGCTTGCATAGTGAAACAAGTTTCAGAATTTATAATCTTACAAAAGGAAGGCTAGGTGTAAAAATATTTATGCATATGTATTTTGTACCTTGCAGTTGTATGACATTATTTTACTTAGTTTTAGCTTACTACAATGTTTAAGATTCGTTTGTATTCATGTACTATTATGAAATGCGACTCAATGAATTTATACACTAATTTAAGTATTGGACTGTAAGAATTCTTGAATTGAGATTAGATTAGAAGGAGTGAGAAATATTTGTTTTGAACAATTCAGTTAGTTTTATTACCAAATTTTTGCTATCTGATTTACATTATAAAACCGAGAACAATTTATAAAGTAGTACATAATCTAAAAAATTCAAAACTATCGACTACGGTGAGCCTAGTTCAATGAATACCTTAAAATTCTTTTTCTAGCAGAGTATCTAGCTTGAACATTGGTTAGTTTTGTTGGAGTAAAATGCAATTGGTGCAAGTACTTCCCTTTTATTTGTTAAGAAATGTGTATAACAACCTGCCTACTCCAATTCTTTGAATTGAAAGTAGTCAGATATTATCACTTTCGAATGGATATTCACATGTCTATGTACATAAAATTTATGTATTAATAGATTGGGTATCTATCTAATATAATTTTGACAGATGTATTTTCTTGGTTGGTAGACATTTTGTGATAAAATTGATGTTCAATTATGAATGACACTTCCAGGTTTCCCATAGTAATCATTATGTAAGAATTTTTATTGAAATAAACTTTAGCTCCAACAACTTCAATTGCAGCATTAGTTTTTTTAATATTACTACAATGAGAGTCAGCTCACTATAAGATCAATGGCTTGAGGCTATCAATAAAGAGTATACGTCGTTTGAAAAACTAAATACTTGGACCTTAGTTATTAGACTTTTAAATTCTGGGGTAGCATTATAACTAGCATCAGCATAACCCAAAATATTTGCATAGTTGGCAATTCTTAATCCTATTGAAATCTGTGGTAGTTATTTTAGTTTTAATTAATCCCCTGTTGATTAAGTTTGTCGTCTTTTATCTTACTATCTTGCCTTTTCAAAATTTAGAGGAAGATAAATTATTGTGATTATCAATTGCGAAAGTAAGTAAAAAAAATTTTAGAATTTAAATATAATTAACATGTATTGTAGACGACTTGAATTTTAATTGCGAAACATGTTTACTGGCAAGGAATTTTAATCTTTACCTACTCATTTGATCAATCCTAATAGTTCGTCATCAACAAATTTAACATCTTTGGCTTATACAATATCAGCAGATTCTACGTGTAATAACAAATATTCCAGTTTATTCATTAAATAACCAAGTATGATACATTTTACTACATTTGGATGAATTTTCGATCTATATTTTGTTGATAAATGTGTGCATAATATGCAGCTACTAACATATAAGAATTTTGTGAACACGAATGGGGAATTAGTGGCTCCAAAGGGTAAAACCAGGAAATTATATGTTTCGAACTTGCTTAGAAACTAAAAAATTTCCAGGTCGTATGACTAAATTCAAATTAGAAAGACGTTAATTATTGGTTTTGACTTTCAAATTTAAGTTTTTAAACTGATGTTTTTAATTTAATCTTTCAAGGGGATACTTTTAAATTCGTACACAAATATTATTGTTGTGTGTTTATGAATTGGGTATTTCTAGCAATTTTTTTAAAATTTGTTAGAAGTATCTTCGAGAAAGGCTCGGAAAAAGATGAGGGACGAAAGAAATTGGGCCAGATAGTGACAGTTTATTTATAGGCACTCACTGCGATGGGACAAAATGAAGCGATGAATTTGATCGTGCAACTTATATATTCTTAAATTTGCATTTTTTGTCAAAATAAAGAGTTTATTTTTGCATATGATACTTTGTAGAGCTTATCTTAATACTCTACATTCTTAACAAATGATCAAGCTTTCGCAAAAACTGAAATGCTTAAATATTTGCTGCAAAAATTCTGACATTGATTTGAAACACAATAAATACATTGGTTTTACTAGCTAATTTGGTGAAGTTATTATCATTGTTGGCAACTTTTTGTACCATTTATACTACCTTTCAATACCATGTGGTTAGGTATCTACATTTCTCTATGTATAAGTCTATATTTAAGATAAATGTTGATTTTAGGAAAAAAAAAAGTGTAGCTCAAGTTACACAAAACCAACACTCAGCTTATTTAAGTACAACAATTTAAAAAAATTGAAAATGAATTCAACATCACTTCTAAATAAAGTGAAAACATAAGGAGTGTTTATTAGCCCGAATGGCAGGGTGCGATAGTTGAAGAAACCTAAACGGCGTTCCAGTGTTTATTTGGAGTTTTCACATCACTTTTGCAATCTGCATTTGCATT